ATCTATGTCGGGTAAATGAGCTGGATATGATATGAGATGTCATTAGTCAACAGTGCAACAACAGAGATACTCAACATCAAATTAGCAATCCTATCGATACCGATCTGTGGCAATTGGCGAGATTTGAAACAAAGAAGCAATCGTAATCTCAACCTTACACTCAAAATAATACGGCAAACTAACAGTATTCAACACGATCCAAATCATAATTATAGATTTGCCAGTTATTGACTGTATAACTACCTCCATTTATAAGCTCATAAATCAGACAACACATACGAATCAAGAAACTAGTACTCCAACGATAGTGTAGTAAATATCCTAATATAATATTTATTTATAAATATTATAATATTCCACGGAAATCACCTGGCTGCACGGTGCAACTTTTTAACCACCAACAACCGCCCGCGCCACTTACCGCCACTCAGAGAGAGAGCCTGCCACTAACATCGATAACTACCCTAACTAACAATAACTATCAGTGGTGGCAGTCAGTGGCAGTCAGTGACCGGTAAAATCGTCATATTCAGCACCGTCTAAGATTGTTTGACCAATTGTGATTAATAATTTATTAATATCTGATTATGTTTTCGGCGCGGCGTGTATACGCTTCAAGTTCAAAGTTAACCAAAACAACCGTTATGAAACATGAAAAATGCTTGGCGGCGGATACAGCCATAACCATGATGCCGGTACTATGGGTGAAGTGTGAAGAATTATAACAGTTCCAATTGAAGTTGCTAATTAAGTAATTAACAAACCGAGGCACCAAAATAAAATAGCTGTATAATTTTGTAGCACAACATTATTTGCGCAATCTGTAAACTGCAACGGAGCAACTAAGAGTATACAATGACGGCAACTCCCAAATTTACTTGACGAAAATCCGCTATCGTCGTTTAAGTGGCTTTCTTTCTTTGAAAGTGCAGTGATTTCTTTTTAAAAGTCAACTAATTCGTGGAAGTTGCAGCACCGAGACTTTCTGCTACCATGCTGATTAGATGACCAAGTTACAAGCTGAGTGAAGAAGAATTACAAAATTTTACTCCGAAAAAATTGTAACTGGTACCAATAGAAACGCACGTCGCACAGTTCTTGAGATATCATTTCACACTGCACGTCGACCATGTTAGACGCCAACAAATACGGAACACAGTCAGAAACAGACAAGTTCAACGAGAGGCATTGACAGACGGAGACAAACAGAGACATATAGACTATAGAGACATATAGACTATAGAGACATATAGACTATAGAGACATATAGACTATAGAGACATATAGGCTATAGAGACATGATATAGACTATAGAGACATATAGACTATAGAGACATATAGACTATAGAGACATATAGACTATAGAGACATATAGACTATAGAGACGGACAGTATACACCCATGCCAGATACACACGCATCAAACAAGGATTCTACGATCGGTGTACTATAAATAGCTCACATCCCATTATCGTCTCCCAACAATGACGCCAAATGATCTGGCCCATTTACAGGGGCCGCCGTTTGAAAGTGTTTTTTGCGAGGAAGCCTGTATACGTCAGTTAATAATGAAGGGATGACGGGCAAGTATTTGCTGTAAAACGGGTGAGCAGCGACAGTAGTTGCTTGCGTTACACGTAGAAATGGGAGGATCATTATAGAACAGGTATAGCAGGAACCATAATAGGCAAGTGCAAATACATACGCCCACTGTTTAGCATTAAATACATATAACACGCTGGATTAAAATACATATAACTGTCAAATTTAAACCCAAAGAACAAATAACTCCATGCAGATTGCAGGTGTTGAGGCGCCAGCCTACATCATTGCTCAACTTTAATACGCTATTAAATGCTATCAAAATGCTAATACGATGTATCCCATTTCCGAAAGAAATTGTATTGACAATCAGATAGTATGCTTTATTACTATTAGATAATTGGATTTTGTTTAATTCTGGAATATGCAAATATTTTGAGTTCTAATACGGTTGAAGAAAATCAGAAAAAACATCAGAAACCATCTGGATTCTGGAAATAACTTTAGTACACATCCGTTTGTTTTCTATAAACTTTACAGCATTGATCGACAGCCACGTTGAAGCTTGGTGGCTACTGTGTAGGTGGTGGCTACTGTGTAGAAGGGTTGTATTCCACTCCATACGGTTACACCAGGTAATTAATCACGCAGAGGCAAATAATCACACCCTATTGACTGTGTGTGAGCAAGCAGTGGACACCTCCTAGTGACAAATACAGGCAACTAATCTGCCCATATGGAGCTGGGGGTGACTGTAAAAATGACATGGTGAGTAGAAGATATGAGGTGGCAGGTCACTACAGGAGGCACAAATAAATTAGTTCCTTCCATTTTAGGCAAATCATGGCAACTTAATATCAGGATGAAATTACCTACAAGAATCAACTGTGACGCAGAAATAAGTTATAATTGCATCGTAAAAAAACAATATATACCGTATAAGCCGTATGCGTATGGTAAAATATATTTTTTCTGGTTAAATATGGGCGTTTGAAATTATTGACAAGAAAATCTTCAGGGTTTAAGTTGAACCGAGTGAAACATGGTTTTGCACATTGTCATTGGCTAGAGAAAAATAGCTGTAAAAGCAGAAATTGCAGGCACGGTGTTCAATTTCAATCTGTTATTGAGTAAGCTCTAACAAGGCTCTAACTATATAATAATGAAATGTAAGGTATAAAGTTATAGTCTCTGAAGAAAAATAATAATCAAGAGTTTCCAAAATAATGAGTTTGAAGGTAAAAAACGAAAATTAATAGCCGTCTCTCCATCGGAGCATTTGGATTCATGATAAGATAAAATTGGGTATAGTATTGCGCAAACTTAACCCAGTATACTGGGTTTTGGTTAGAATATTATGGTTATATATTGGTTAGAATATTATGTTTTGGTTAGAATATTATGTTACACTACTGCAGTAGTGTAACATAATATTCTAACCAAAACCCACGGGTTTGCTCCTTTTTACGCTTCCCAGTGTACAATTTAAATCGTAAACCACACGAAAACTAATAAATACCCGACTTGTAGTAGTGCAGGTCCTTGACCACAATTTCTCTCTAATGTTTATAGACTTGATTAAACCGCAGCCCACAATCCTGTTGGGTGCAATCAGTCGTGTGAGGTGGACTTTGGTCGCAATCAGCATTTTTCAATTATTAGTATTATTTTCAAACAATAGCAATCCATACGAATAGCCAAAATGGCACCTACATACGGTTTTAAGTTGCTCAACTATAATTTGATGATCTCGCTAAATGAAGGTCAATGCTTTCATGTGGGTCAAATAATAAACTAAGTAGTGACTAGTATGACATTTTATGAAATATTAGAGGAAGCAAAAGACGGAAATTAAGTAATTTACTGACATGATACGCAAGACGAAACGGTGATAATCATGTGTTGTCATGGTGATAATCAAACATTCCTGACAATCTATAAGGAGATCAAAAGTCAAGAAATACTTCAAAGTAAAAAATACAAGCCACAAAGAGATGTTGTAAATCGTGTCCATGGTATCCATGGTGTCGAGGGCGACCACTGGCGATCATCAGATTCACTAAGATGTACCTTGATTCAATATGTTAATCAAAATCGACACATATATATAATATAGACGACACGTCAACTCTAATGAGAGCTCAGAGCATCTCAATTTCATCCCTCCCTGACAAGCATGAAGCATGCGTAAGATGGCAACATGATGATAACGAGTGACGGTATGACATTATTTCTGATAATGTGTATTATGTTTTGCACGTGATTATATTAAGAGCGGATTGAGTGATGATCGAACAAAAATTGTTGAGTCAACTTGAAAAGTCAACAGATAATAACGACTCAGCCACGTGGTATCTTGAACATGCAACTCATCTGATGGTAGCAGGTTTTGTAGTACTGAAAGTAACCCGATCTTTATCGGAGATATCATGCCAACCTGACCAAATTGTGCTGTTTTTCTGGAAAATGCAGTATTGCTTTGATGATCTCCTAGAAAATGAGGGAGCAATTATCCGAGTCAAGCGAGAGAAATATACTGGTTTCAGCAGATTAGTAGGTTATATAGCGTTGGAATTCCACAGACCAGCACCAATTGTATTGTCACCAATTATATTGTGATATTGTGGTCGAGGTATTGTGATGTGTAATTATCCTCCTAAAGACAAACAAAAGGGAACGCATTACGTCATCTTCAGACTTTCAGACGCTAAAAATCGCCGATGAACACATTTCATTTCATTCACGAGAGAGCATGATGACATATAGTCTATAAAGCAGAGCAAAGGCAGGGCTGTCTTGATAAGATTGCTATGATTTGCTCGTGCAATCTATATTGCATGCTGCATGGCAACCAATCTAGCTTTAATCAAGACAAATATCCCGTAAAAGTAAAAGGAAAAAGTGGATAACCCCAGTCACGTCCGGTATAATATAATATTATGTACAACTTAAGGTAATCATAAATTCAGCTATGAAATGCATGCCATGCAATGATCTCAGATACGTGATACAATAATTGTCTGCAGTAACTTTTAAAAAGTAAATTCTAGTAGTTCTAACACGCTTCGACATTTAAACATACCCAAAATATATATTAAAGCCGTTTAAGTGTGACAGTTGTAAGTTGTAAGTATAGGAAATAATAACTTGCATGTATTCAGCTTCAGCCCTAATTTGGATGATAAAATAATTGAATGATCGGAGTTTAGAGTAAAAACAAGCAATGTTGAAGAAACGGAAATTATCAACAATAGAAAAAAACTGATTATAAAACAAATCTATAATAAAACGTGCCATAATCACGATAATGAATATGATATCTGAATGATGAAATTATACCAATTAAATGCAATCGAGTTAGGTCTACAGACTTGTAAAATGCGAGAGAAATTGATGCAGTTTTAAATTATCAGTATAAATGTTCCTCAAATTTCGATGAATTTTAAAATATCGTAAGAATCAACATTCATGAAAACGATCATCGAAATATTTCTTTTTCAATATTTTGTTAACAACAAACTCTTTCATATCGTCGATGGACTCAAGTTCAAGTTTGACACGATGCCTTTTCATTTGTGCCACTTCGTTGTAATACCGCTGCCTCTGATTGACAAAGGGCTGTGATAACAGAGAGTCACATACCTGTGTGTCCTTCTTGCCAAACTTTTTAAAATGCTTAGCATCTGCATCCTTCACATCAAACCAATGCAGCCCAAGCCACTGAATATTTGAAGTGTATTGGATTCCTTCTCGTCCCATCCTAGTACTTCCAAACCGATAAGTTAACAGGATTTGCAGACCATGTGGATTGTAATCAAACAATCCCAGCACAGGAAGTTTGAAATCCTGTTCACATCGTGACACAACCTCCCTCACAGCTAGACCCGGGTAACCCCGACCTGTTATTAAAATACAGGGCACCTGGTTCCAGATAACTTTGTCACATAGTGTCTTGAAAACAGCATCCTTCTCCACAACCAGCACGTACCTAGCTCCTAGAGACTCTAACTTTACGTTTGACATGTCCCCGGGGAGCTCGTAACCAGAGTTACCTAACAGCAAACAGTCTATTTCTTCTGATCCTTGTTTCACTTTCACTGCGCCCGCTATGCTCCCTTTGGGCGCAGCGGAGAGGCCGAGTGCGCGCCGTGGCACATCCAGGATGCGCAGTACATCCTCAAAACACCTGTTAAAGTCGTTCTGGCTGGTGAAGGTGGAACTGAGAGTGTAATAAGCATCACGCTGTGTAACACACCCTCCCTCCGACACTAACTTGTAAACTAAAGACAGAACCTGAACCACTTTGAGAACTTCAGAGTAGAGGCTCCCTGCCGGCCAAACATCTCAATCTCTGTGGTTGCTGTTCCCAGCTGTATACTAGCTGCATCTCGTTGAACGTTGGAGCGAGATTTTGATAAGATGGTGTATTTAGGAGTCTCGTTACGTGAGAGCGAACGAGCAATGTCTGATATGATTGACTCTATCTTTTGGAGAATGATTTGCCTGTCAGTTGACATGATGATACTAGATGGTGATGATGTGATTACATATACCTACGATATTCATCATTAATTTACAGCAAGATCTCGTGAATTATAGGGTTTCATAAGCATCTTAGCATCAGTTATACAAATTGTGATTTGTGATACATACAAATTGTGATACTCAAATTTAAAGCGTACACGTATTAATTTGCATTAAAAAGCCAATGCAATGTTTGATCATATTGGATTGAAAAGTTGCTTCAACGCACATTTGAATTGGAGATCAGTGAATGTGACTCATGTATGCTCTAATTTGAATAGTTCTTGTGTCTATTATTAGGATCGTTCTTTTGCAAAGAAGAATTCGTCAAAAAATAGCAGAAAACACGAAGAAAATTGCTTCAAATTATATTCAAATTTACTAACTATGACGATACAACGTATGTCAGAATTCGGAAAACATGACGGTATTTCAAATGCAATGTTCGCTTTTTAAAAAGATATCAAAAATTCCACACGTACAATGTAAACAGGTAACACACAAAAAATAATCAACACAATACCAAGAAACCAAAAATTAAGCTCACAAAAATGCCAGCTCAGCTTCCAAAATAGTTACCCGAAACATATTATTCTCAGTTTTCAGTAGTTTCCAGGACGCGGACTGAAAATAACATTTCTGGGGTCGCCGATACTAACTCGACCTGCATTCTTCAGGGTCCCTAAATAAAATATAAATAGTTACGTAATCGTCATGTAGCTTGATAATGTCAGTAAGAATTTAAGGAAATTATTAGTAAGTGGGCGGCAGTTATTAACGACACGCCTTTTGGTTGTGTTCAATAAATTACCAAATTTGACTCTGTTAAATTTCACGCCCACTTTCAAATCCCGTGCTAATATTAAAATATAAGATCTTCATATTATGTCTACTGAATTCTTATATAATATCCATATATGACTATAAGACCGCCAGCAATCCAAAATCAATAATTTATTTCTATCGTCACATTTGAGGTAACTATAATTGCCAATGCCCCAGAGCTGGTAGCCCTAGATAAGCGTAGATTCTGTATAATCTATACATGATATGAGTGTCTATCTACAATATGAGTAAGAGGAAACATGCACAAAGCGTTATACCGAATACTATCATATCACTGTATATTATATATTCATAACCGTCAAAATCAGATCAAATCTTGTGCTTTAAACTGACAGTATCTCTACCGTAAAGTTATCAATTCGCACAGTTGCTGCACTTTAGCTCAGCTTTATATTAAACAAACGTGATCCGCGCTTTTGTTTTACATTCCGGCTGCATTATATTGGTAAATAGCTTAAGTTTGCGTGGCCTTTTATAATCATGATTTCATTTACATTTGATTTAGTTTGAAGATTGGTGACCCCGTGTTTCTTTGTCTTAAATATCAAGCCAGCAATTCGACAAAGTATTATCAATTCAATAATACTATTCTATTGTAGATACCCTTTGTTCTGATAAAATATCGAGTTTACAGCGACAATGCAATTCTACATCAGCACAACTTTTACTTATCATTTTCCAAACCAAGTATAACTTCCTGACCAGTTCACAATATTTCTAACATAAAATGTACGTCATCTATTATGCAATGTGGGGCCAAGCACCATTATTCGTATTCGTACATGTATAGAAATTATAACTATTACAATCTAGTAAACATAAGCGAATAATACAGGTATATTTTGCAGTTGGTAGCCTCAGTTGGTAGCCTCAGTTCACAGTGGGCCACCATGCTATAATAGAGGAAAAATTGAGTTCTTTTAAAAGTAATTAAGTAAGTTTTGTATTGCAGTAGAAAATCTTGGCTATTAGATGCAAAAAACCATAATTGAATTGATTAAATGGCTTTCGCGCAGCGCGTCGGCGATTTTACGAAATTTTTTGACTGCCAATTTTTTCACTTTTGGCAGTCAAAATTGGCATAACCCATCATTTTATTTCTAAAATTGGCTTAAAACACCGTATATTGACTCCTAATTAAGGTGAAAGTACTCTCTTTGATTCAATTCAAGCAAAAAACCATGTAATCATATCATTTAAGCTGAATTTTTGGCACGCACTCAATTTTAGGCCTCATTTTTGACTAATTTTTGCTTAAATTTGGCCAAAAAAAGTTTAGATGCCTCAGGTTGCCCCACTAATGCATGGTACCATCTGAAAGCTCAGAAGATTCTCTAAACAATGGTATAAGAACTGTTCTGGGGTTTTTTGGGTCTTTTTCAGAAAAAAATTCCAAAGTTGAAAAAAGGCCCAAATTTGATGGAATTTAGACTTACCTTGCAGATTTGAAAAAATTATTTTTTCTCAAACAAACCCCATTTTGAACATCTTTCTTGGCTCTCAATGTCGTGGCCTGGTGCCATGAGGTTATGGGGTACTAAAAAGTGGTCTGTTTTGGAAATATCATCAAAAAATGCTATTTTTCTGGAATTTTACTGGTATTTTCTGACAATTTCAGAAATTTCTGGCATTCGCGCCCAATTTTCTGGTTTCAATTTGACATAACTTTGGCTACGATCAATATTTTTTCATAATTCAAAAACTAAAATGATCAATAGCCTCAGGACTATCAATTTAAAAACATTCTAAACACATTCAACGATTATCTTTAGCAAAAACTCGAATTGGATGCCTCTAGACCTACATTTCAGCCATGAAAAATTTCTATGGAATGAGCCAAAAAAATTTTTCTGTGACTTATAAAGGACCAAAATTTGTTTAAAAATCAATATTCAACTGATTTGAAGTAAAAAATAATGTTTGAAATGATCTAAATTGATCACTGATGGTCTATTATAGTATGACCCCCTATTCTGGCCCACTGTGCAGTTGGTAGCCTCAGTTGGTAGCCACAGTTGGTAGCCTCAGTTGGTAGCCTCAGTTGGTAGCCTCAGTTGGTAGCCTCAGTTGGTAGCCTCAGTTGGTAGCCTCAGTTGGTAGCCTCAGTTGGTAGCCTCAGTTGGTAGCCTCAGTTGGTAGCCTCAGTTGGTAGCCTCAGTTGGTAGCCTCAGTTGGTAGCCTCAGTTGGTAGCCTCAGTTGGTAGCCTCACTTGGTAGCCTCACTTGGTAGCCTCAGTTGGTAGCCTCAGTTGGTAGCCTCAGTTGGTAGCCTCAGTTGGTAGCCTCAGTCGGTAGCCTCAGTTGGTAGCCTCAGTTGGTAGCCTCAGTTGGTAGCCTCAGTTGGTAGCCTCAGTTGGTAGCCTCAGTTGGTAGCCGCATATACAGTGACAGAGCCGGAGTCTTTATATAGTTTATACTCCTATAACTATTCGCCTATATACAAGACGGTCTAGTGACTAGTGTGACTAATGGTATGTTAATACCCTGGACAAGTGCTCCGCCATAGGAATTAACTGTTCTCATAATTGTAGCATCAGACTGGTCCATATCTTATCAGGGTATTTAGATATTGGCAGTTTGGAGATATTCCTAGGATATGTTGTATTATTTATTCAGAAGAAGCTCACAAGAGAATCAATCTAGGTACAACCACTAACCATCAATCAGTTGTTTCACAGATTAAAATAGTGGTGACAAGTAACACCTGATAAAGTCTGACCTCCCGGAGACACAACGGTTTGTCGGCAAAATGAGGCCAGACCACCGACCACGTGACCAGCAATTAAATGTAATAGCTCTGTGAGCCCCTAACAAAGCAGGTATGAGGCAATGTGGGAGAGCGAGGATGTGTGTGGTGCAGGGTACACTGTACATGTGCACACAATGCCACACACAGTCTGTACCTGATGTAACGCACACTTACACTGTACATGTGCACACAATGCCACACACAGTCTGTACCTGATGTAACGCATGATTGAGCGTCCCTCAGCTCCTTGTGTTTCTATTGTGATGTTTTACATATTTTACATGACACGTGACATGCAATCTTGTGACATAATGACATATATATGATTTTGACATACATGTATATTGTAGTATCTGTATCCTTAATAACTTCAAATTGTAAAAACTGCAGAGAAGCGGATGTAGATAAATGGTAATTAGACTGCATAATCAGAGCTAACGAGAGTTCCAGATGTAAGTAAGAGCCTGATTATTCCTGACATGAGCTGTGATAGCAAGATGTTAAATACTGTGGCTTTACTTAGATGGGGACTAGGTCTGAGACCAGAACGCAAGGGTATATGGTTATTAGCCTAAGATTAATATGCATGAATATTGAATAAGACATGTTCACTGTGTACAAGGTTACGATTCAAACAGGCTCAGTTCAGGATTAATGATTTAAATATAAGCTCATAATAATGATTATTATAATAATGACGATAAATACGATATTTTATAACCATCACATTGTATTACCATGACAATAACTAGGGCGAATCTGCTGATCTACATGCCGTGCCCATAATAATACAAACCCATACAATAGACGTGTTATATCATTTATCGTGTGGTGTAATTTACTGGATTATTACTCTTTAGTAAAGTAATAAATTTAGTAAAGCAATAAATCTTCCCTCAAGAAATATGTACATAACCTGGTGCTGAGTAATTAGTATACAGTATGTAATGTTACAGAGGGCACAAGTTACCGGAGAGTGAAGCAGCAAGTTGCTGGGGTGTACTTTAACCAGTACTGCCCGAGTAAACGCAGCAATATACAGGAAAAGATGCATTATATATGTGGTGGGAGTGCACTGTGGTAGTGCACTGTGGGAGTGCACTGTGGGAGTGCACTGTGGGAGTGCACAGTGTACTGTGGGAGTGCACTGTGGGAGTGCACTGTGACAGTGCACTGTAGGAGTGCACTGTGACAGTGCACTGTGGGAGTGCACTGTGGGAGAGCACTGTGGGAGTGCACTGTGGGAGTGCACTGTGGGAGTGCACTGTGGGAGAGCACTGTGGGAGTGTACTGTGGGAGTGCACTGTGGGAGTGCACTGTGGGAGTGCACTGTGGGAGTGCACTGTGGGAGTGCACTGTGGGAGTGCACTGTGCCTGTGGGAGTGCACTGTGGGAGTGCACTGTGGGAGTGCACTGTGGGAGTGCACTGTGGAGTGCACTGTGGGAGTGCACTGTGGGAGTGCACTGTGGAGTGCACTGTGGAGTGCACTGTGGGAGTGCACTGTGGGAGTGCACTGTGGGAGTGCACTGTGGGAGTGCACTGTGGGAGTGCACTGTGGGAGTGCACTGTGGGAGTGCACTGTGGGAGTGCACTGTGGGAGTGCACTGTGGGAGTGCACTGTGGGAGTGCACTGTGGGAGTGCACTGTGGGAGTGCACTGTGGGAGTGCACTGTGGAGTGCACTGTGGGAGTGCACTGTGACAGTGCACTGTGGGAGTGCACTGTGGGAGAGCACTGTGGGAGTGCACTGTGGGAGTGCACTGTGGGAGTGCACTGTGGGAGAGCACTGTGGGAGTGCACTGTGGGAGTGCACTGTGGGAGTGCACCGTGGGAGTGCACTGTGGGAGAGCACTGTGGGAGTGCACTGTGGGAGTGCACTGTGGGAGAGCACTGTGGGAGTGCACTGTGGGAGTGCACTGTGGGAGTGCACTGTGGGAGTGCACTGTGGGAGTGCACAGTGTACTGTGGGAGTGCACTGTGGGAGTGCACTGTGACAGTGCACTGTGGGAGTGCACTGTGACAGTGCACTGTGGGAGTGCACTGTGGGAGAGCACTGTGGGAGTGCACTGTGGGAGTGCACTGTGGGAGTGCACTGTGGGAGTGCACCGTGGGAGTGCAGTTATAAAGTAAGTCCGGGAGTTTGATCTCCAAATGGGGACCATGCGAACACTAGCGTTATAACACCTGGCCTATCTTTTCAAGATACCAACGTATTTCATTATAGAAATTGTACCTACACTCGACAAAGTATATAAAATATACACACTCTGGTACATGCAAGACTTTGAGTCATTAGCAAACGGAGCTGCAGCTCAGGAGCAATGATAATTGGCGCAAAACAACTGATACATGATGGGTGTAATGAGCCCAGAGAGAGAGAGGGTGTAATGGGCGAGGTTAGATGATCCAGAATTAATTGCTGCAGCCTAATCAGTGCTAATGAGTGTAATTAATGCCGTTACGGCTCATACGGCACACTGATCAAGGAGCTCTGTTACTAAAACAGTACAATGTTTGGTATGTACTATGTATGCTTGTACACCTAGGTCCTAGGCTTACACCTAGGTCCTAGGCTTAAGTACACCCATTAATATTGAAGTAAGCAGTATGATAGTATGTATTGGCAACTTACAACAGTTTAATAGACTAGAGTTTTTGACAGGGCCAGGGGCAGATGCATTTGAAATAAATTACAGGGATCTGCAATTTAATTTCAAGCACATCGCCGTCACGTGTCAATAAATACGAATCACTTTACAGTCTACATCCCTACATCCCTACTATACCAACATCCCTACTCAACATCCCTACTCAACATCCCTACTTTACATCCCCACATCCCTACCAACATCCAAGACTATATTATTTTAAGATTTAAATAATCATAGAAAGAATAAATAGAAGTATGAATTATATGTAATTACGTGTGATTTAATTCCATTTGGAGGTAGAACCTTGGGTAGGTTTACTCGCAGAGGGTTTACGCGAACCAGCAGGACCAGCCGATGGCTTACGAACTGTGCTTGGGGATACTTTTCCAGCAGGACCAGCCGATGGTTTACGCAATGTGCTAGGAGATACCTTGCCAGCAGGACCAGCCGATGGTTTACGCAATGTGCTAGGAGATACTTTTCCAGCAGGACCAGCCGATGGTTTACGCAATGTGCTCGGGGATACCTTGCCAGCAGGGCCAGCCGATGGTTTACGCAATGTGCTAGGAGATACTTTGCCAGCAGGACCAGCCGATGGTTTACGCAATGTGCTAGGAGATACTTTTCCAGCAGGACCAGCCGATGGTTTACGCAATGTGCTCGGGGATGCTCCTGATGGCTTTCGGGGCCCTGTAACGGGAGCTTGTGGTTGGGATGGTTTGCGTGCTGGTACTTTACCACCCTGTTGTTGTAAAGTGCCGCGCACAGTGCTGGGAGATCCCGTTCCTTTCACAACTGGTTTGATGAACTTTCCAGGGGGAATAACGGCGCCAGTAGGTCGACGCTCCTTCACTACACGCCCTGCCGACTTGTTTGCTGGTATCCTAGCCTGAAATTAAGAGTATGAAAATAACATGTACTGGCTAAAGCTGTAGCGATAGATGTGAAGTAGATTATAGATATGTGTGATATAACAGAATTTCGAAAAACAAACCGGTCCTGTAGTTTTATGAAGAACTTTTTTGCGATCTGTGTTCGCTATTACATCTATAGAAGTTCTCTTTGCTTGCGCAGTTTTTGCCTGAATAGTACTAGTTAAGCCAAGAAATTTTCATATTTAAAACTAATGAAGTTACATCAGCCAAATTGTAGCTGAAGCACCTTCTAATAAAGTTTAGTATCTGTATAATAGTAGTCAATTAAATTAGACCAAACTCCTTTAAGTCAAGCGAGGCTTCCGAAAAAGAAGACGAATAACTACACTATAACCACATACATCGTGCTTGGTGTCAGTAAGATACGTTGTATCAGCATTGTCCAGCACCTCCTTCCTTTTGCCATAGTCGTTTATCTTGTCAATAGTGTCCACTCGTGCTCGGTCGAACTCGTCATTCTTCCTCTCCTCGTCTCTTAGCTTCTCTACTTCCTTACCCTTCACTTTGTGCACCATGGTATCCTGAAAATAATACCGAGTACTAAATTTATTAGTTATTCTAGATCACTCACAACGTGCAACACGTTTAACCTGTGTGATTAGACAGCGGGCAACTCACTGAGACTGTGTTAATGAAACCTCGCGAACGCTTGGTCACTTAATTGAAAGTAACGCATAGTTACCAAATTTACCATGTCATTTCAGAACGTTTCATTAACTTCGAGACAGCTTCAGCTGCATTTTAAAAGTGTTGATGGTAGAACATGGAGAGTGGACAGCGGTAAAATATCTGTGTATTTAGCTCCCTTCTTTGTTAAACTATTTCAAGCAGTTTACTGGTTTTAAACCCATGAAATGGCCGAACAGATTAAACGATCGTTTAAACTATAGCCATCTTACTGTATATAAAGCGATACGATATATATTATATATAGGCGTGACAAACTAAACGGTGTTGTCGCCCAACTAAATGTTTCATGTGGATGGAACTCTTCGGAAAAATAAAGAAATTCTGGTAGGATATTTTTCGACAGAATGAGTTCGTAAATCAGTGTTAATATTCGATGATTTGGCTACATCGTGTAATCTTTGATATATCAGTCATATTATTAAACATAATATATATTATAGATACCAATCTCACAGAGTTTACGTATAGCTACAGGGCGAGGTCATGCTCTTGAATCTCAATCATTATTAAATAATGAATTTCCTATGTCAAAGCGGCTCTACAAAGTCCAAAAACAAAGACTCTAATATTATAAAGGTATCTACTTTCTCTTCTCCAAGGAGCATAAAATCGACACAATTATTTTTACAGCTAAATAGACAAGGGCTAGGATTACTGTTGATAATCAAGTTCCAGAGTATACTCATAGTATATATACTCTTAGTAGTAGTACTGATATCAAGCTATTAATTTCATAGTCAAATGTTCTGAGCATAACGTTCAATATATAATATAATATTCAAATATATAATATAATATTCAAATATAATATTATATTTACAGTCTAGTCACGGAGTTACATGGTGATCAAATAGCACTACATTTGACGTATTTCGGTTTTAAAAGTAGTTTACTTGATCAACGATCACTCAAATCGGGCGTTTTAGGGTCAAATAAAGTAGTACTTAAAGAACTTACAAGTATAAAGTAGTTATTTAAGTTATTTAAGTTAAATAAGTTAAAGAACTTACAAGTACTACACTCATCCTACTTAAAGAACTTACAAGTACTACACTCATCCTACTTAAATAACTTACAAGTACTACACTGATCCTACTAATAGAACTTACAAGTACTACACTCATCCTGTCCTTACACTTCCTCTCCTCCGCCGCCACCTTGCGCTCCTTCTCTCCGGTGTTCCTTGCCATGCTTACCATCAGCTCACTGTGGACGATAGACTTCTTACGGTTATTCTCTGCTATCTGGGAGATAAGAGTCACATATTACTCGGATATATACACATATTATACACATATATTATATACCGATCAGGTAAGTCATTATAAATGATTTGTCTGCTGGATGAATTATGTTGATGACACAGATTGGAGTAAGATATTTATCATACTTAGTAAGAACAAGGATATTATATGCTTAATACTGATAATTGGTATGGGGTAAAACAGAATTCAAAGATAGTTACGCGTACGATAGGATGATATTTAAAATGATTGTATAATATGTAATTACTTACATTTTCCATGTTAGATTTAAAAGCATCGCTTCCCTTCTTACAACTGCGACCAATCTTTCCAGCACCCTTCAATAATGTTCCCTCCAATGGGCGAGGTATATCGTTTTCTTCACTCAACTGAAGTTTTAGGACGATTCATATGTAAAATTTATACATTGTCCTATGTACAAAATATTGAATCGCACAAAAATATTTTAAAACCATATTTTGAAAAAAAGAAATTGAAGCTATCATTAACTGTAATATTTCTTTTGTTGCATTAAAAATTTCAACGTTTGTGTTTTAGATTGCAGTACATTTCTTTGATTAATTATTACAAAGTTCTTTAGCCCATCTAATTATCTATAATCGGTATTTGATCGAACTGTATCAGCCACTGCACTGTCAAGGCCTTAAAATTTTACTTACAATGTCAACTTTTGATACGATAAAATTCTCACGAAGAAGCCGACTGAAAGCGAAGACACTCCAATCATTGCATTGGCAATGTAAGTATCTATAGGTATCTATAGGTCTAGGTAGTATAGAGCTTTCTAAGTAAGCAGTGTCTGTGCGTGATCGGGTGGAGCAAAAAACATTTGTCAGTTCATATCAGTTGTCACTGCCTTGTAATAAGTCATTGTACGATTTTATAGGTCAGATGTATCGAAAGAAGCGTTCTGTATGCTGCAGATGACAGATATAAGTCACTTTACGGATATTTTTACTGTCCATGCCGGTTCTTACGCATTCATTAAACCGATATGAGTGTCATAAAAGAAAAGGATTCATCATATGTATTATATAAATTATTTAGAATGTCATTCACGTACGGTACGAACGATTATTTATTTTTACAATGTATTACCTCGACCGAGTCCAATATGTGATTCATCTTGTCCCTTGTCTCCAGCACTTTCTCTCTCGAATCAGAAGAATAGAGAGACTCGAAATCACCGCTCGAAGCTGCCCTCACCACAGTATTGGCACAAGCATTTTCTCCCTGTAAACGAGCAGCTGGTGGAAAATTTGGAACATCAACTCCGCTAACTATTTTTAGTATAATTACAACCTTTAACAAGCGGAGATGGTCAACGCTCTCCTACTATACACTCCAACACGGGTAAGTTAAAGTGCATTTTCCATTGGGTTACTATTTATAATCATTACTTGAAAGAAATATGTAAGCTGCTCGTGTATGGGCGTTAGTTGGGCCACCATATCAATCGTGGCTCGTCTGCCGCTGTTATCTTGACACTCTATTACTCTTCGTGCCTATTCAAACGTAAACATTAGATAAGAAAATATTGACGAAGATATGTTGTTGCAGAAATTAAAATAATTCAAAGACAGTGCTAATTACAAATGAAGCGTTATTATTATTATTATTAATTTTAGATCGGTGAGCACAGTTCATTATTTCACTTTCAGTCATAGATAGAAGCGAAAGAACTGACGTAAAAGAACAATTAAAATACCTGTTCAGTTTCCTCTTGTTTGTCAGCTCGCAATGCATTTGAGAATCGTCTCAGGTCCGACAGTAGCACTTTCTTCTTCTCTTTCAGCTGTCCTTCTTCCAGGGAATCGTTCTGAGCCTTTTCTGCCTGGGGATCATCATTTTGTTTTTAAATATGATTGAAAATGGTTTAAATTAATTTTAAAATAAACTGATTCAATAAAGCAATTACAATTGTTTTGTGATGGGACAAGAACCGCTTTATTAGCGACTTTTGATCAAAAATAATCACCACATGAAAATCTTAATGCAAACATAATCGCAATCAAAGTTACCAATCCTGGTTAAACTAAATAAAAAATATGAAGGTTTTACCTTTGCTCTAGAGGAAAGATGATTGATTAAGTTTACGACATTTTCCTTGTATTCCAAATAGTTGGTGTTGTTATGAACTTCTTTATTACTTTCATTCTCTCTTCTCTTTCGCTCAAGTTCGCTGATCAACCCAGTCAGCTGTTTGGCAGCACGGTGAGAGGTCAGGCTATCCTTGTTGATGTTGTAAGACTTGAATTTTGGCTTGAATGGTTTGACTAGAATGGCTGTTTCTTCAAGTTCAACCTCATCCTCATCTTCGATTTCAGGCTGTTCTTCATTTTTAATTGAACAGGGTGGGTAAGGAAGTGCTAGCATGTGATACACTTCCTTAAGTGTCTTGTCAAACCCAGTTTGGATCTTCATGGTCTATGAGCTGAGTGCTGGATGAGTTAGTGACGAATGGTATATGATAGATAATGATGAATGATCGTTATTATTTAATTTGATGATAATGTGAATAATAAGTTCTAGGATTGATGTTCATTGTCCATTCCATTTCATTGGTAAAACTAAATTTCCTGCCCCTAATTTTGTTGAAAAATGATGGATAATTGCTAAGCTATACTGTGTTCACTCCCTCTTCTTCAACCTCTAGGAAAAATACCCTATGCAGTATGCAGCAGATAAATATATTTTTCAACATTCAGTTAATTTCACATCATTGAGAACAGACTATTATTGTAATAAAGTAAAGTAAAGTAAATTAAAGTCAAATTTATGACATCACATCATCGCACATGTCTACAAAATATCATCGCACTATGTGAAAATATATATAATAAATATTTCCCCACCAACATTAATTATTTATCAATACAATACATTTTTTTAAATTTATCAGAAACATTATTTTAAAACTTTCCAGTGGAATAAAGATTTATAAAACGCTTCTTTGTCACATAAGGATGAAACCAAAGATAATCGTTATGTTTCTCTTTATTACTGACATAACTGGCACCCTCAATTCTTATTAAAACTTCATTAGAAACATTCTACAAAAAGCAATCATTTGTAATACTTTTAGAAATCATATCTTTCTTAAATCCTTCTAATTTAATTTTAAAGCCTAAAACTGTCACAAAGTTCTTGACGCCCGGAGGGAGTTTGTTCCAATGGCAATATGGAATAACTCGCTCCGGGAGAAAAGACTTCTGGATAGTTAAACTTCTACTGTATCTATTGCTTGAAACAAGATTAAGACCGGATCTGCCAATTCTAAACATACCCGATCCATAATCAGTCAAACCACTTGTTACTTTCATAGTAGCTGACAGTTACTGTAGGAGACTCAGGTCTCAAGGCCCATATCCTCAGTACACAAAGCCACCTCCAGACCACCAGGGTTGGCCACTGCAACAAATGACCCCTCAAACATCTGAACCTGTGGCAGATCACTAATTCCAGAAGGTCCAGGGCATTCACAGCCACCAGGAATATAGCTGTCTTCATCTTGAGCCAGTGGGAGCGCTTTAGCTGCATCTAAAGCCTTATCTTCATAGAGTTTCTTAGCTTTCTTTTTTTTTAAGCATGAAACACACGCGTTTTCGACAACTGTGCTCTCCTTTCCATTGTCTGCTCCGATGACGGTGGCAACCCTAGATGGTTTTGAATTGCCATGTAGGCAGATGGTCCAGACTCAAACTGCAGCATTGCTAATGCTGCAGCGATGTAAACCCTCTTATATCCATGAAACTTGTGCTTCGGTGTGTTCAGCCACACAAGTTGGTTGAGCGATTCTAGGGCATTTTGGTTACCTAGAATCACTCTCCGGAGACAATTATCCGTTGTTCGTTTCCGAAATATTATCTCGACGTGGGGAAGCAACAGTGGAGAAAGGTGGTGGCCCTTCTTCCGTCCCACTCCACACCACGTCTGTAGGGACACCAGGAGTCCTTTCCCTCAGGACAGAATTGGTGCCGGCTGGTAGGATCCTCTATGCACATGGAGTGGTATAGGACAGCAAAGAGACTTGTCCTCAGTCTACCAACTCCACGTGCAATATCAACTTCAGAACTGTTTGGGGCCAACTTGCCCTCAAACAGAACTTGCCTATACCTTTTGCCAAGGCGGGTTATAGACATCTGCCCTAGCCCATTCTTAGACCGGGTAATGCTCTTCAATCCCTCCACTTTTAATCCTGACTTCTCCAAGTCCTTTCTAAAGTTCTTAGCTTTGTGATTAATGCAGTCACGTTTAAAAACAACTTTGCATGAAGGATTGTGACTCACACCAATCAGTGTAGCTCTCACTCTTTACCCACTCAGTAAATGATGCATCCGCGAGGTTCGTGAACTTTTGTTTGTTGTCCATGCACTGCTTGCAGATACCATAGATCCCAAAAACGTCAATGTATGATTTTGAGTCTCCGTCTGAAATTATACAATGAGGTAATGACTGAAAACCGACTATTATCAAATAACATAGCTAACTTTAATAATATGTAGTAGTAGTAAATCTTTCAAAGTACGAAATATCTCTTTAAAAGAGCATCCTAGGCACCTTATAGATATCAAAACGCATAAAAAAGAAAACAAAAACATCAACCATCTTCTAACTTCTTCCACTCCTCCCTATCTAAAGCTAAAAATCTAAGGTCTTCGAAATCAGTCAAATTCTTAAGTCTAATATCAAGATTTCTACTAGTCAAGTCTTTTCTAATAACATCTAATAAGTTTAAACATGGTCTACCCCGTCTCCCTTCCATAAAAATATCAGAATTTATAGCAAATAACATAGAGGTGTATGCTGGTGAGTTGATAATATGTACCTACTGTTATGTCCAAGCATTGATTCACTATAAGATATAGTCGTTACATAAACTGTTACCTGAGACAAGAGCGCGGTAGGTAAGATTGAAAGACCTGGATTGCTCAAACATCTCTACTGCTGCTTTTCTCTCCATCTCACAGGAACTGCCAATGTAGTTCGAAGTACACTCGTGCATGGGAGCAGAAGAACGTTCAGAGTACTGGTCACAGGTAAAGCATTTCTTGCTTTGGATGACAAAGTCAAGAATTTCGTCTGTGTCAGCATTCGATATCCACACTACGGCTACCTTACTGCTAAAGCCCCTTGTCTGGTATGTGCCATCAAACTTAACAGCAATTTCTCCTGATGGATTCGCCCGAAGAGCTGCAGGCCTGTTCATCTCCAAATGTTTAGTTTCATTACAGCCGTTTTGCTTGCCTTGTATATTTTCTCGACATACACACTATTTTTAATAAAACAAAAAAACCACCCCAGCAAAAATAGCCCTCATGTTTAATGGTGTCCCTTCCCTGAAGTGTTTGGATGGTTGAAGGGTGTGGCTAAAATCACAGCAGGAGCAAATCACGACACTCGTAACATATATACCCTGGCTTTGAGGCAACCTGTTTATGTTCAGGATTCCCTGGGCACAATTAGGTCTGTGAAGCGCCTGTAATAGGACCAACAAAGAGCTCTCAGTTACTTTAAAAGCTTCTATGAGTTCCCCACGTATTCGCCGCTCTGCTAGCGTTATTAAATTGAGGATTTCCAATCTACGGCTGTAGGGAAGAGTACCCACCTCATCAATCAGACGGGTAAACCGCCTCTGGACGCTCTCCATCTCCAAAAACAATGATGAAAACAATAATGAACAATTGCTTTTGACATAATATAATACTTTCACTCTTACTCCTGCATCAATTGATGTATATATAACATAAGAAAGCCCATGATCACAGAAAGGAAGGTAATAGTATTTTTGATAGCAAATTTCTTACGCATTTAAAAAATCATCCTAACCAGAGATACATCCGATTGTAAAGACAATATGCAACAAGACGAAATGACAGAAATTTTCTGTGAGGATTATATAGTAAAATTAATCATTAATCTAAATATGAGATCTGATGAAGTGGCATAAATTTATTTTGCAGTATAGTAGGCAATACTGAGGCATGAGTGGCAGGAATGAGGGACCCAAATAAAATGCTTGGTGCTAACAATGGCTCATTTACAAACACTTCAGATATACCAAGTTCACGATCGAAGTCTGCGAATCGAAGGCCACACTTGATAACTATGTTCAATTTTTGTATATGATGAAAATCTTAAAATAACTGGCTACAATGAGCATTTCTATAAGTTGTAGAACAATAAAAGATCTAAGCTGGTTCTTAATGCTTACTTGTTCAAAGTATAAATTAAAACAGCCATTATCAGCGTATCTGTGAACTAAACAGCTCAGCTACAAGCTAGAACAACTGTTTTCTAATTTTACTTTCAGTATCAAAGTTTAAAATGTTGTTTGTCAAATAAAACAAAGCCTATCATCGCTTAACTAAACTTTCATATACTTGGTAATTCATCCCTCATTTAAATAATAACAAAATTATCAAAATTTAAATATTGTTGATCACTAATATAAAACTTGCTCTAACCAGAGCCCTCTCGCTTGCAGTAGCGCGCGACCTTGTGAAACAAGCGCGTCACGCAGTACGCGTAGGCACATGGCTATTGGCTATGTGAAATATAAAACCAACAACAAAGTCGGTGGACTTCAGCACATATATTTAAAATGTATAAACTTGTAGTTTCTAGAACAGTTCTGTTGAATGAAGTCTTGTTGATCAGAATATACATTGTCCATTATTTATGGACGGACCCGGCGCGCGCTACTAACTACTTAAAAGCTCTTTGTCTTTGCCTCAGGTCAATATTTCGAGAATAAATTTAGACGAGTACTAAAATTTTTGAACGGGTGATACTTTGCTCTATTCAGAGCCCTTACGCTTGCAGTGGCGCGCGCCCGCCTCCATCTCCCGGCGTGAAACAAGCGCGCCTGCAGTCAGCGGTGGCGCGAAAGCGCATGGTTAGGTGAAGTTGTCATACGTTGTTCATTGTATGACCCGCCGCGCACGAGTGCGCGGCTCCCCCTGTATCGTAGAAACTCTACAGGGGTAGTAGTGAAACGACGATGGGGTCACTACGTGATACAAAGGTGAAGGTGATACTCGTAAAATATTTGTTTTAAATATTAGACCACATAATAAATAATTAGATCAAATTACAAAACCGTCGACGAGTCCAACTCGGCGCGCGTCTTGGTAGGTTATTTGCTCTAACCAGAGCCCTCTCGCTTGCAGTAGCGCGCGTTACGCAGTACGCGTATACGCATGGCTATGTGAAGGATCTGGTTAGAGTTGTAGCGCGATGCACTACTGGGTCGCGCGCGCGCATCCAATAATGCTTCTCGCAACCACAGATCGGCGAGATGCGAAGGATTGACATCGTGAATCAATGGTTAGAGCAACTAAACAGGTGTTATTTGAAGTGGGATAGAATAACGACATGTTATATATAGGTTGCTTTAACGGGTGATACTCGTAAAATGTTTGTTTCAAATATTAGACCGTCGAAGAGTCCAACTCGGAGCGTGTCTTGGTAGGTTATAAACCTACAAAGGTTGCTATAATATAAAAATAGGCCAACAGTTCATTAACATGACAATATACATTTCATTAGTTGTTTTGACATAATTAATATTTAATAGCAATGGTGGCATATTTGCAATTCAATGATGTTATATGTTTTAAATAATCATAATCGGGACGCTAGATGTTGCATCACCAAAATACAAATATAATATTAATAATACAAATACTGAATACGAAATCTAAAATTTACGCAGACTGAAATTCCTTTACGCCGCGCATACCTTATTCACAATTATAAATTTCCAGCAAATTTTCTCCGCATACAATCATCGGCGCAATTACGCGCCATTGAAACGTCTGATATTTCCAGCACTATTTTCTGGAAATGACTATTCTGCAATTATTTGCATATTGTTTGAATATGTTTTGACTAGATACTTGCACTGTGCTTCCTCGTGTACTTAAAATGTATGCCTCCAGCGTGGTTGCGTTTTTATCTTCAGCGTTACTGCTACTACATCTTTTGGTATCTGTTCAGTTTTCGTTCCGTGACAATTTCTTGATAAGTTCTGCAAGGAATAATGAAAGGCTTTAGGCTACCCTTTATTTACATGTGATGATAGTAGTCTTGATTTCTCATATTTCATGCTATTCATCGACTTCATTACAAGTGGCGGTGTTTGCTTTCTTTAACTTCTAACATCGAGTATTACTGCACCATTCCTTATGTTCTTCATCATGTAGTATTTGTTATTACAATCATTCCTGGAATGCAATTAATTGGCATCGACTTTCTTATTAGTCTTCCATCCGGGCTTTTAAGTCTCATTATCGTAATGAGACACTGTCGTCGGCATGCGATGTATCATGCAATTAACGTTCATCCCACCAATTAGTGTTGCTATCTGTCAAATTAAGTGTTAATTAACAGTAACTGCTCTAATCCGCTAATAGGGTAGTTACCGTCTAGATATGGGTCTGACTTTATAAGCAATTGAAAACCTGATCTCTTTGTGTTGATGAGTTTGAATCTTGTTTCATTGCTTTTGGGAAATAAGTTTGATTAACTCCACTTGGGATTAAAACAATTTGACCAGTCTGTTTGATCTTAATACAATCTTAACATAGGTTCGACCTCATATAACAGTTTCTCATTTCTTTTGGAGACAACCTCATCCCTGCCCCTATGATGGAGTAGTATATATTTGATTGTTGATATTTCTTGTAATATTGGTAACAAATGTCCGTTGCCTTAGCTGTGTATTGTGCTCTGGCAATTGCATCACTTGATTTAATTGAATGTATAATGTATATATATTGTTTTAATGACCTTCGAAATCTGTTTCTTTAGGAGACATGAGTTTGACCAACAAGGTGTTTTTGGGTGGATTACCGGGCGACATATTGGCTGACGAAGTCAAAGAAGCATTCAAAGAGTACGGAAAAATCGAGAATGTTGAGATTTTGTACGACAAAGAAACGAAGAAATGTCGAGGTTTCGGCTTCATCACATTCGACTCGCCCGAACCAGCTGAAAAAGTACTAGCCTTACAGCACTTCAGTATTGCTGGAAAACTTGTCGAAGTTAAATCTGCTAATCCAAAAGTTGACCGAAACAAGATGGAAGGTTCCGGACACAACCGTGGCCCTCCTCACATGGGCGGTGGCTCTGGGATGGGCCCAGGAGGACACCCTCCAGCCATGCCTCCTGGTTATCCTTATCCTTACCCTTACCCTTACCCTCCTGGTGGTCCACAACAACAACGTCCTAGTGGCGGCGGTGGTGGTGGTGGCGGTGGTGGTGGTGAGTTCCAAACTCTTATTACCTGCTTACTTATTTTATCCTTAATTATTATACAGTTTCTCTACGGCTATAAAAAAATGTATTGTTATCATGAGATGTTTAGTATTAAATGTATCTCACTTTCAGAGCACGATAACAGATCGCCTCCCCGCGGTGGTCCCGGTGGTATGCCCCCTGGTATGCCTCCAGGCGGCCAAGGTGGACACCCTGCAATGTACAACCCTTACTACGCAATGTACTACGCTCAGATGGCAGGAGGTATGCAGCACGGTATGCCACCCGGTTACGGAATGCCACCAGGATATAGCGGGTCCAGCTCGTACAGTGGAACCAGCAGACACAGGAGTAGGTCTCCAGCTAGAAGAAGCAGGAGCAGGAGTCGATCTCCCCGACGTAGAACACCACCCAGGCATTCTCCCAGACGGTTTGTGAGACTGCATTAGAATTTAGAATGTTATCATTTTGTAAAAACATTACAATTTTGTACTTGTATTCTACTTGAACTATGAAGCTGTATGCATCTGGTACCTTTAGTCCTGATCTTCTCAGATACAGGTCTAGATCCCGATCCCCCCCGTATCGTGGACACTCCCCCGCACACCGCCCTCCATACCCCGCCCGCAGTCCTGGTGGTCGCAGCCCCTCGCCTCGCAGAGACTACCTAGCAGCCTACGGGAGCAGCATGCCTGTGGATTACTTGTACGGTAGACGGGAGAAGGAGCCCCGGTCCCCCAGTCCTGCTAGAAGAGCTCCCAGATCTCCTCCAAGCAGTTACAACCCTTACTAAATACCAGGTGAGGTTCAATCATATATTGTTCATTCTAACTCTAATCAAATTATATACTCTGTACGCTAACTTTACGGTAAGTCCTGTATCACACAACCACTTCATATAAAGCATACATGCAGGACAGAATTCATGTGCATCTAAAAATCATAAGATCAATTATTACCGGCGGGTAGGTGAACAATGAGTTACAGCCATAATTAGGAGTTGTAGATGAAAGTGTTTGCAATGATCCCATATCTTATCTGCTCTAATAATGAACTAATAATGAATAATGAACCCGTATTTTAGGATGGTTTGTAGCAGTTTGTATTGGCAGTTGTATAGATAGATGTTGATGTTGTCTTGTGTTGACATTTGCTTGATATTTGCATTTCTCATCAACTCAACTATAATCGATCAATTTGGCAATAAATCAAGTAATTGGGCTTCATGAGTGAAAGGGCCTGTTCATCAGCCCACTTTGTACGGACGCTATTTAACCACTGCTAGTCCGCATGAATTTTCTGTACTTTTGCTTGACTATTATATCCAAATCTGCTGAAACTAATTTCAATCTGTTTAATCACAATTTAATTGATTCAATGACAGTTTGTTGTTCATGACAGCTTGTTGTTCATTTTTGTACGACGACAAAGCACTAACATTCGAAATTGACGAATTGTGTAGTTTAAATTTCCTTGAATTTGTGCAATCACCAGAACTTCATCTAATCTTACCTTCTCTCACCAGAAAAAGAGCCTTGATATAAAGACTAACCCTGCAACAATTCCTAGGTTGTGTTGCAGTTTGCGTAGTGTTGTATTTGTTAACAACGAACACTCTTGAATTGCTTGCTCTCCCCCTACAACGATTGCCTTGCTCGACCGAAATAACGGCCGCCCCTGAGCCGGTCCGTAATCAGTCTTCTCTGGACTATTTTTTTCTTGCTGGTAACACCTGCATGGTATTTGCACTATGTTGCGCTTTCTACTCACCCTGATTTTGAAGACATTTACTCAGTGGCTATAAATACCCGGTTGTTTTGCACTTGCTACAATTTTGTTTTGTAGTTTGCACAGATTTAATTTCATACCCATATTATAGTGTAGTTGTCCAATGTGCTGAACGGATTACAGATTACAGTTTTATTTGAACATCATTCATGTATAACTTGACTCTATATTTTAACATTCTTATACAAGAGTTTCAATTGTCTCCAAAAAAAAGTTAAAAGGGTACCGGGGAAAAAGCGCGCACATCTAACTACTCTGCAAACGCTCGCGTCACGTCCAATACCCGATGCGGGACAATTCCGCTAAATAAGCTTTTGATACTAGCAAACTTTTACATATTCAAGTACAAAGGCCTTAATTTCGTGGCGCGCACTCATCTTTATATAGGACGCATTTGCACCTCGTCTATAATTGAACCATTTATACATCTACAAGTTTACACGTTATCAGAGCGATCTTTCTAATGGATCACATTAACCTCATTATCAGTCGCTCTAGTAGTCTAGTTACTCAATAAAAGGAAAGTGTTCAGCTCTATATCGTCACTAGATGTATCCAATAATATGTACAGTCGTCACTTTGGCATTGTCGTATTGCCACATGCTATATTACTCGCTCTCGGCTCTGCTGTGATATCAATCTTAAAGTGAGATATTATTATAAGTCCATTGTACTGAAATCTGAATATTAGCAATAACACTGCTTCAACGTGGTGTCTACGGTTGCTCCTTTCCACCCCAAGTTCTTGCTGAGGATCGGTCGGATTTATAGGATGTGAGGCAATTTCCAAATCGAAATCGATTCAGTCTATTCACTTCTTGGCGTGGAAGATTCTCCTGACCACACAACTTCGTTGTGTATAATTTCTGGTACAGCAGTGGCGTAACGTTGCGTGTTGGCGCCCCCGCTGAAAAAGCGCCCCCTAAAATTGAACAAATTGGATGAATTTAAATTTTAGAGGATACGCCAGTAAAATCTCCAAAAAAGTGTGTTTCTAGAGCAAAACGCGCAGTTTTGCTAGTACCGTAGTTATTTTTTTCCGAAATTGTCCCACATTCAAACGACGATTTGGCGCACCTCTAACATTCAACATTGCGCCCCCCGCACAGCGGGGTCGACGGGGCCCTTCGTTACACCACTGTTCTACAGGTTTTCTCTTCTCAAATGTGACTAGTTTGATGTCTGATATCGATTATGTCCTATATTTATAACACGTAAATCACAAATGCGGTGTTTTTGGAAATATATCTATTACGCTGGAACATTTTCGGTCCTAAAAATCAAAACACAACTGAAACTGATAATTCAAAATAAAACAAATTGTTTAAAACTGGTGATACTCGTAAAATAATTTTGTTCGAAGACTGAAGACCGTCGACTACTGACTAGTCCAACTCGGCGCTCGTCTCGGTAGTGAGATCTACTCTATTCTATACGGCCACTGCCAGTGGCGTAACGAAGGGCCCTGCTGACCCCGCTGTGCAGGGGGGCGCCGTCTTAGGGGGGGCGCCAAATCGTCGTTTGAATGTGGGACAATTTCGAAAACTTAACTAAAGTACTAGCAAAACTGCGCGTTTTGCTCTAGATACACACTTTTTTAGAGATTTTACCGGCGTATCCTCTTAAATCGCCTAATTTGTTCAATTTTAGGGAGGGGCACCAAAAGGAGAGGGGGCGCCAACAGGGGGGCGCCTTTTCGGCAGGGGGGCGCCAACAGGCAACGTTACGCCACTGGCCACTGCAATGAGCTGTTAGTGTTACGCCTACGGCTACATTACTGGGCCGCGCTCAGCCTGTCATTCCGCCGAATCTCTATATATGTTTATGAACATGATAGCCTGAGGTCCCCAGGTAACGGCTACACTGTACATGTACTGTACGCGGCTGAACGCTATCATTTATTAGCAGGTTCGGTTTGGCTTCAATCAATTAGCCACGCAACCGAACACATCCAGCTGACATCACGCAGTAATTCCATCAAAACGTTGATCCAGACTCCAGTTCAGCATCAAACCTCACCGGCTCACCTTGTTTGACTACTCATTTGCAATTCAGGGACCTAAATTGTGTAAAAATATTCCCTACCATCTGAATATCATTCAAGATCTCGAGCATACAAATTATAATAGATATGCTCGAGAGATAAGCTCACCAAGTGCATGTTGTATCAGCTCCCTGATAAGCCGCCGATCGGGATACACTCCGGGATACACTCCTCCAAACTCTGCTGTGCTGGCGCAACGAGCGAGACTTTACTTCGCTATGAGTTGGTCAGAAGATGTTATGCCTCTGTCAAGTCTTGCTGAAAGTCAACATATATCACCTATCCACTATCTAGACCATGCTGTCAAATGAAGTTGTCCTCTGAGATATGAGATTCAGTCCACCATATCAACTAAAATTTGCACATAAAATGAGAAAAGCCTTTAATTTTTAGTGAACTTAGACCCCATCGTCATATTAAAGACACTACTGGAGTAGTGTTAGAGAAAAGTAACTGTTAAATTACGTTTTGTCGCTATTTCAGCAGATTTCAGTGCTCCAGTATGTTGAGACGAGGAAACCTGATAATTTTATAAAGATTTTTACAGAAAACTCCCCAATTTGAAATACTGCATCAGTGATTTAATTAATATGGTGAGCATCTTGAATAAATGTTGCTGAAAGAAATGATGTACCCTATATTAGACACATGTAACGTGCTCCAAATTTTAAAATTATTTGGCTGATTTATTTCGGTTCGAGTCGCGAGTAGAATTTGTGCCCAGCAACTTATCGCCCACAGTTAATTATTGTCCGATTTAAAATTGAGAAATTTAAAATTTTATCGCTGTCTTATCTCTGGAATTCTTATTTAGAGTCAATTAGAGATCCTCGTAAAAATGATCGGGCACTTTTCACCCAGAATTTTAGGGTCCTGATTACTGTACCATTTCCAAGATAAGCGAATTACTCTTCCCCAATCGAAACTAATTTCAGAGAAGATTGATGCAAAAGATAAAGTGTTCATCTCTTCCTTCGCGGAAAAGAATTTTAAAGGTGTGCTCATACAAGTGGTTAGTGGTTTAAAGAGAATAATAATCTTTATTGAGTAAAATGTGTTTTTATTCATGTGTTATCGATTAAATTTTTAGAGGTTGAATTTAAACAGTTGTTGTGCCACTGCCGAACAGAAAGTCTCAGGTTACCTTGTAAACCTGCATCACGTGTAACGCGTTACCTGTCCTTATTAAATCATCCGCCACCAAATCGATTTGCCCCCTCAATTAGCAGAAATTACCAACTTCGTATTTTGATTTTTGATAAAAAGATCATCGTCACTGATGACGGTGGTGTAGTCCAGTGACCCTGTGCTAGGATAAGTTTTATACAAAATGTTTTGAAATCTTTATCTCTCGGAGTCCCTCCCAAAACGTGTTAAATTTCAGTGGTTATTCTTAAATCTTTGCGTTATTAAAATTCAGTTATAGAATTCGAATTGAGTCTTTTTGCAAATTATATTATTCAGTGGTTAGGAACCTTGCAGGAGTTGCTATGACCTAGTTTTCTTCAGGAATTTTATTTAAAATTTCATTCTAAGCCTAAAAGATTGACCCATTTGTCCCTAAAAATGATCGAAGCGTCTTTAATCCTTAGTCTTATATTGATTAAATCAACGGAGTAAGTTCTCAGCCAATACCGTGGACACCTTTTTGCAGCAACAGAACTCTATTTTAAATTCGGGGTTTACTTTTATTTGTAAGGTCCCATTCTTTCCTAGGTGGTTATTATGGTAGCGCTGCAAACATTACTCTACGTTATACATTCAGAATCAAAAACAGAATCAAGCAGCCTTATGTGCTAATAAAACCGTTTGACACATTTAGAAACGTAATGTCCAGCCTTCGAAAACACATTGAAGAATAAATTGTTAGTCAGCAGCATAGTCTGAAGCCTTTCAGTTTGTGGTTGTATTTTTCAGTTAATCTTTAATCTTTAATTGAATCACGTGAACAGTTAATTGAGTTTTATTTTGGCCTCAAAATATAGATACAAAATATAGGTGGCTCATTTCATTTGAATTGCCTTGCAATTATATAAGATTCCACAGATCACAGAGATTGAACACGTGTCAAGACTTCAGTGGCCGTATCAAATTGCGAAAATGGTTTGTTGTTCAAAACTTCATTCCCTGTTCATATAGTTCAGTTGCGCATTGTGGCGGTTAATAGCATCGTACGATTCCCATGAATAAGAGGGTACTAATCCTCTTCACTAATAGGAGTTTGCTTCTCATTAATTGTACTTTTTCTGAGACTGGGATATAATACTGATGAGGGTGTTGGGTCCTGGGACAGTGTAAGCTTTATGTCCGCAAGTTCTACAGGTGCCGCAAAATTGTCGGTGCCAATCTCACAATCTGTAACATCGCTCGCCCCGCTTAGTGACAGCTGAACAAAAATGTGACCTTTCGCACGAACCAATTTTATCTTTAAAGTTAAAAATCGCGAGGCTGTTTTGTCTTGCTGGTAGAATCATGTACAGTATACCTTATATGGGTATCACGTGACTCTCTCACCTCAATCAGCACTGATAATCAACGTAACCACGTCTTGTGACTTTAGAAGGTATGCGAATTTCTATCGGAACTTTGATTGGGATATGTGCGCTGGTCCAGGTGTCCGAAGGAGCTGTAATCGATGTGCCAACTAGAGGTGAACGTGATACAGTTGATGGCCCCTGGGATAATGTAAGTGTTGGGCTCATCAATTAAAGTGAACCAGTGAACCTCTGATCTTACGTAATTCATTAATGTGGGGCTGCTGTTTGATTCAAGATTAAATAAATTAAAGTTTAATCTATTTAGTAGTTTCACGACTAATAGTATAAGAACCTGTATTAGTAATACAGGTTCTAATTGGTGTTGACTCTGTATCGTATTTTAACGTGGGTATGTTCGTTAACAATCCTCATCATCTCAGCTGCTCAGGTGACCAAATACGGTGTCCACTATCAGTATCATAGCCACAAAACAATTGTTACGAACTGTATTTCTACGTTTGTTGCTGAGGGTCATTTGAAATGTGGACCATAGCGTTGAGATGACTTTTTTCGTTACTTATCAAGTTGGTTGAATACCAAGGCTCGACCGGAACCGCTTTTTTTGGCCGGGACCGGGATTGGGACTGGTAAAAAGCGCCGGGACTAAACCGGGAACGGGATTTTTGGGTTTTATAAATTAAAGTTGCTTTAAAAAATCATTTTAACCAGCATGTTAATTAACAAGAGCCAGAATCGACCCTCGCTGAAACTTGATCAGATGTTACAAAACTTGACCAAATGATACAGAAATTGATCTTTGTTAGTTTTTACTCTGATCTCAAAAAATGAACGATAGTTCTGCTTCACAAAATGGTACTCCTTCCTTCCTTAAGTACACTTACGAGGTTCATGAATTTGCTTATGAATTTGCTTATGAATTTGCTTGATATATTTTATATAAATGGATCGTTTCCTGAAATTTCCCCTCGATTGCTGAGTACCCAGTCCAAGCCATCTATAAAACGGTTCGATATTTCAAATGAATAGATAAAGTTAAATATCTAATAAATATTTGACAAAAATCATCCTCCCAAATATAATACAAATTCCAGCTTCGTGCCGGCCAAATTGACGAATTTTGAACGGGACCGGGATTCCAAATAAAAGCTGATTTTGACCGGGACTGGGACTAAAGTGTGATTCCGGTCGAGAACAAATACAGTGAAACTTAAATTCCTAGACCAGTTTCAGTCCGAAAAAATCACTGTTCAAGTGTGGTTATTTAACAAATTTTAAAAACAAGGCTAAATGCGAAACTTAGTACCGTATTACATTTATAAATTTCCCTAAGATTAGCTTATCTGGAGTTTGATTTTTCAGTTTATGGTTTAATTGATCTTAACTAATTTTGAAAAATAAAGGAAAATGCAGAAAAGAGCTAAGATAGGACTTGCTGTTGCAGTTGGTGTTTGTGCAGCAATTGCCCTTATTGTGATTGTAGTTGTTTCCACGGGTAAAAAAGGAGATGACCAGATAGATCCGGGACCTTTGGACGGACCCTGGGATAATGTAAGTTGGGAAATACAAATTAGAATATGCCAAATTCCAATTCTGACTTTATATACTTTTTGTGAAATTGCATGACATGATCATTATTATTCTGAAGGAATTTATAATTATTATCTCACTGTCGCCCAGAGGCAACATGTTGGTGCGGTAAAAAACACCGCAATTAAGTTGAACAATTCACCAACAATTACACGATTGTTGTGTTTAACACGAAAATTAACTTAAAATGTGTCTTATGTAGTGTCTTATAATTGAGCTGGCGATGGGCATAATTTACGTATAGTCTTCAACATTATAACTTTATAACTATACAACATTGTAACCCATTGTGTGTATGTACCAAAGTGACTATATTTCAATCTGTTTAGGGATTGCGAACAAACTTAGTAGTTCGATTCTGCAGTACGCACCCGCTGTCGACGATAAACTTATATTTTAAATTAATTTGTAGTTTAGCACTTAGTAGTGTCGTGTAATAATTGGAATGGCTGTTGTGGGGGTTTGTACACTGATATTTGTAGCTGTGATCATATCAGTGACTACATCAGTAGAGGTCGACCCTGGGCCCCTTGATGGGCCTTGGGATAACGTGAGTTCGGCATTATATGAAACCGTTACCATAGTTACCATGACACCGTTACCAAGGGCACAAATTGTGAATACATTTGGGTCTTTCCACTTGTTGTTGTTTTCATGATTTATGTTGAAATATAATGATACGTGTCATAATAATTGGAATTATTGTTTTTTAAAGATTAATTATGAACAATGAACAAGAGATCATTTCGCCTGACACTCTTAGTTGTCGGATATTATACAATTATTTAAACTTGAAGTACTGCGAAAAGTTTGAAACACATCATGATACTTGTTTGTTGATCTTCTCTTTTATTTTATTCAATTAAACGTATGAAATTTCAGATCCGGCTGCCAGAAAACATAGCAGCCAAAGCGTACACAATGACTCTCAACATTAATTGGGGGACCATGAATTATACTGGTGTACAGGAGGTAATTAATCCTTATTATTTAATTGCGAGATGTAATACTGTAAGAGTAGTGATGTAAGAGAATGACACAGACTATTCGTTAATAATTTGTCTCGAAAATATTCAGATTAGCTGTTACCAGTATGTAAGGTTCCACATTGTAACTTCCTCACTTTCTACCAGGTGACAATGGAAGTAACGGGTGATGACACCAAGTATTTCCTGATTCACACCAGTGGTCTGGTAATCGACAAGACAGCTACCACACTCCACAAGGTTGTGGGGGATGTTGTCACTGACCTCGACATCAAACGCACATTCATGTTAGTTAACGCCTGATAAGCTATAATTCCCAAAACTAGCCGTAAATTCTTATAAGTCACATATTATCGAATAAGATTTAAGTGAATGACTTACAGGGACACTGAGAAGAAGGCAGAACTGAGACATGATTTCTATGTTGTCGAGAGTACTGACGCTGTAACTGCTGGCACTTACAAAATGATAATATCCTTTGCTGGACAGGTACTTACCAAGCATATTGTCATAATTTAACTATCCATCAAATGTTTTCAAGATCGATATTTTTACTTATCAGTGTTTCTAAATCCAAACTCTCTTTTTTTCTTCAATTAAGATGAGGGCCATCGCTCGAAATTGTTGAGATTTATAATTCTCCGCTCGTACGGTTGCCTTGACATCAGATAACAGGTTAATTCTAACTGATTAATTAGGTGCAAACAGAGAAACTGACTGGAATATACAGAAGCAAATACATTCGTAAATACCAAGACGACACTGAAGTACCAATGTGAGTTTAACCTGTAAACTGTCATATTGTACTTATAATTTGTCTTTAAAATTAAATTAAATAAAATCGATGAAAGTAAAACTTTTATTGGCTGGTAATATTTAAAATGTATCTTTTCTTGTAGCGTCACATTTATGTTTCAGATACCAGATCTCGACTGATTTCGAACCTGTGGATGCTCGTACTGCGTTCCCCTGCTTTGACGAGCCCGCTCAGAAAGCTAACTGGACTACTAGTGTAAGTTTTAGCTAGAAAATTGTCCTTTTTAATGTTCGCATTATCTAATTTTGGATGCCAATTACCAATTAAACATTATTTCTGTGCAAACTAATATTTGAACAAACGATTATTTCAGATAAAAGTTACATTTCCGCCTGGTATTGATATCAACGAGTACAACATCCTTAGTAACATGCCGCTGAAAGAAGCACCAACTAAAGAGAATCAAATAATATCAGCAAAGTTCAAGGTTTCAACTTTCAGTTTCATAAACGAAATAAACACGCCTCACAAGATTCAACTACTTTTACGATTATTGTTTTATCGATTAATTTACATTACTTTCTGCCCTAGGAGAGCGTTCCGATGAGTACATATCTGGTTTGTTTTGCTGTCTCAGATTTCATATTCAAGGAGGCAGTGCACACTCGCGCTGATGGGTCTACTGTACTTGTAAGTACTGTTTATATATCAATTATGTCAATTAATATGTTTTCAGTAAATTATCATCTTGCGTTTTATCCATATCATTTTAAATCTCAATTCCTTAAAATTGTGTAAATCTCAGATGCGAGTTCACGCCAGAAGAGAACCAGAGTTCCAGGCCTCTGCTTCATATGCTCTACAAGTTACACCTGCAATCATCAAAGAATACGAGAAGTTTTACAAAGTCAATTATCCTCTCGAAAAATTAGGTAATGCTCAAAAATATTTGCCAAATTTTGTCAGAGGGAAAATATCAACTGAACCAACAATAATGTTTCAATCGAAGACTTAAAAGATTCCATTAGTTTTTTCTATGTTTAAACTTCGAGTAGTCAAAGATAAAATTGGCTCTTATCAAATTAATCGTCAATGAAATAGAAGTTATACTGGGGGGGGGGGGGGTCCAACTACATTAATGTACATCGCCATCAGATTTTTGCCAAATGTACGCTAAATTAGTGTACAAAAATGTAGTTGGACCCCCCCCCCCCCCTTATACTAATCTAACCAACATCGTATCTCAGACCAGATCGCTCTGCCGGAATTCAACTCAGGAGCGATGGAGAACTGGGGTTTAATAACTTACAGAGAGAGCTCCCTACTCTACAACCCTGTAACCAGCTCTACCGCGGAGAAACAGCGGGTCTGCTCCGTCATCGCTCACGAGGTCGCTCATCAGGTAACATATCTAGATAACTCTGTTAGTGTTAATAATGATACTATTGGGACTATTTCTAATTTGTTAGGACATGTTATGCGGGGTCCTGTTGAATGTTGATGGACCAGCGTTTTCTTGCCTCATTTTTGCCATCAATACCATGGACTTACCAGGGAGAAGAGGAAGACCCCAAAGCAATCTATTCTCGCTGATTGTGCATGATTTATGTAAAAGAAATCTTTCTATGAATAATATTTTTAATCTGTATTATCTCCGTAATTTAGCTATGAGAAAAGATGTTGGCAGAAATTACGATGAAGTTTTGATATTTAGTTATTTGTTTTAGGGAAAGATTACACTTGGGCGTTGTTTTTAACTATCCTTTGTTTAGAACTTTTGTTTAATAATTATGTTTAAATTTCGGAATGTATAATTTTTACTTAAACTTTGTACCGTAAATAATACACATCCTTCTTCCCAGATATTCTCGTATATATTTTCAGTGGTAAATGGTAACCTAGTGACAATGTGTATATTTTCAGTGGTTTAGTAACCTAGTGACAATGTGAATATTTTCAGTGGTTTGGTAACCTAGTGACAACGTGTATATTTTCAGTGGTTTGGTAACCTAGTGACAATGTGTATATTTTCAGTGGTTTGGTAACCTAGTGACAATGTGTATATTTTCAGTGGTTTGGTAACCTAGTGACAATGTGTATATTTTCAGTGGTTTAGTAACCTAGTGACAATGTATATATTTTCAGTGGTTTGGTAACCTAGTGACAATGTGTATATTTTCAGTGCAAGTGGTTTGGTAACCTAGTGACAATGTGTATATTTTCAGTGGTTTGGTAACCTAGTGACGATGGCCTGGTGGAACGACCTGTGGTTGAACGAAGGGTTCGCTTCATTCGTTGAGTACTATGGTATTGACGCGGCTGAACCTACGTGGAATATTGTGAGCTATTTTTATTCGCTAAATTTATCAATCTAAGATTATTTATTTATTTTATTTATTTAAAGTTTAGTAAACTATCGTTATATAATTTTAATTTCAGTTGGACTTTTTCTACCCGGATGAAGTGACGACAGCAATGAATTTCGACAGTTCCCCTAGCTCCCATCCCATCTCAGTTCAAGTCTCTTCTCCAGAAGAACTCAGCGGTCTTTTCGACACCATCTCCTACAGAAAGGTTTTGTTTTGCACAACTGGGACTGTTTTCCTTGCAATTCATTTATAGATTTTCCGATATTTATAGATTTTCCGTTATTTATAGATTTTCCAGTCTTCACCTAAAATAGCTACTATTTCACATGCGTTCATCACCTAAATATCATTGTTAACATATTTGCAGGGCTCGTCAATCAACTGGATGATGCAGAAGTTTATGGGCGATGAAAACTTCGCAACAGGCTTAGAAAACTATATAGCCACAAACAAATATGGGAACGCGTACATGGTGGATCTTTTTGATGCTCTCAACCCGGTAAGTGAGCCCCCCCCCCCCCCCCCCCCCCCGGCCAAACCCCCCCCCCCCCCCCCCCCCCTGAAATTATCTCCTAAAGACTAAACAATTGCTTGTTTGGCAAAGAGCCATTATGATTAAAACATGATATCGTTTTGTACGAATTGAAGTATAATTGTTAAGTTTTATAGGAATGTGTTGTTTGCTAAGTCTCCCACTACCTATACTTTACGGTCCTCAGGCTTATGGTGGAGTGAACGTTACGAAGGTTATGTTAACGTGGACCCTCCAGATGGGTTTCCCTTATGTAACTGCAGCCCTGGATACCACTACTACTCCAGGATCTACCATCATCACCCTCGAACAGAATAGGTACCTTTTCTGAGTCTGCTAAAATGCTTTGTAACGTTAACAGCAGCTATACTTATAGTTGGTACAGACTGATTGCAGATTTAGTATGCTCCTTTGTTTTCCCTCTCCTGTGTGAACTGTGGAATGTGGATAAAATGCTACCTTTAGTTACACTTGTTAAGATATTTGTGTTATCAGGTTTTTAGTAGGAGATGCAAAGGAGGATGACACTTCTGAGTTTGGTTACAAGTGGCACATTCCATTCTCCTACGTATACAAAGTCAAAGATGGAGCTGTTGAGACAGGCGTAACCCACTGGCTCATGGCTGATGATGAAAGCTGTGAGTTCTTGTCAGATAATTTTAGAGACTTTGTATCAAGATATTTAAAAGATGTGATGGTTGGATATATTTATATATTAAATATATTTATAAAAGCAACAATGCAGACTATCTTCTTCCTGCATATCTGGTATAATTAACTAACTGAAATTATTCTTTTATCAGCTAAAACAATAACTGTTGAGAAAGAACTAGAATGGATCAAAGGAAACGCTGACGGTAACTTTTACTATCTGTCAAACTATGAGGAGGCTACATGGACAGCTCTTGCTTCTGCTCTTCAAAATGGGGAGCTTACTTCAGCCACTGACAAAACGTCTCTTGTTTACGACGTTTTCCGGCTAGCTGAGTAAGTTAAGGAGCCGCGTCTTATCATACCTCGCTAAAAATCAGCTTTTAATACTAAGTTTTATAGAATAATGAAATCAATAACATCAAAACTTAGCAAAAGTAGTACATCAAAACTTTGTCCAGGACGGCTAAAGTGGCTTACAGTAAAGCTTTAGATATGACGAAGTACGCTAAAGCTGAATCAGAGTATGTCGTTTTATCCCGTATTCTGAGCGAGGTTCTTACTGCTGGTGATGGAGTAAGAAGCGACGAAACTGCTTACACCGAATTATGGGTCAGTTTATTAACGCTTTCACTTTCACTTTCACTTTCACTTTCCACCCTCTTCACAATCGTTTTGTTTTTGTGAACTTAATATTGTCTTTGCTCACTTTAATTTTTTAAAAGTTATAAATTGTCAGAAATATGTAGCTGCAATGTTAAAGCCGCGAGTTGAGGACATGACATGGGACCCTAAAATTGACAACGAACCAATAACCTCTCCAAAAATGAGAGACATGGCGCTCAGAAACTATTGCAGGTTTGTTTTTCTACCTCTTATTGAAACTATCTTTTCTTTGGCAGGCCTGATCTTTTTGCTTTGTTTCATTTGTTTTTACCTCGTCAATGCAACACTAGGCAACAATGAATGGCAACTTGGCAACAATGAATTACTGCTGTCAACTCAATAGGTTCAATAGGTAGAAGTATTTTAAGATTATCAACTGCTACAGGGCTGTTAAAGATAAATCTGACGCTTATGTAGTAGAAGCCCTGAATAAGTTTACGGAGTTTGCGAAGGATCCGGCTGGAAAGAAATCCGGAATAAAAGACGTGTTCACAACCGTCATGCGAACTGCTATAATATACGACGACACTGAGAACACTAATTGGCACAAGATGTGGAAACTTCTACAGGTCAGCTTCCCGAGTTCCAATCAGCAGAGTGGTCAACAATTTCCAATTTTAGTACACTGATTGATATTGAGAGGACTATAATGTGATTGTGTATTATATTTCAAATTTGAGTACACTGATTGATATTAAGAGGACTATAATGTGATTGTGTTTATATTTCAAATTTTCAGGACTCTGATTGGGAAGCAGATCAGAGGATTTACATCGCCGCTTTAGCGCGATCATCTAACACAACTGTTTTAAGACAGTAAGTAATCATTTTTCCATTAAAATTAACTCTAAAGATAGTTTGATATAGTTGAAATGTTTATTTTACCGAAAGTAGATGCCAATCTTGTAAATTGTTTGCTTTGCAGGATGATCGAAGATTCCTTCTCCGAAGACGCTAAAGCAGGAACTTGGCGATATCTGTACTATGTTAGTTACCATGGAGATAACTACGACCTTGCCTGGGAACTGCTACAGTCCAGATGGGACGAATATGCTGTGCAGTGAGTCAATAACATTATCTTACTACAGACTTACTTTAATGTAATAACATTAGTGCGTGATCCTTTTTTTCGTCCAATTTTACTGTAATGAACATTTCTACTTATTTAATCGTAAAATAATATTTAATTAACAGGTACAACACCACCTCATTTACTATGGGGTACCTTGTTCAGATACCTGAGGTCTTTGATACGCAGGAAATGTACGATGAGGTATGTAAACATGGCATAATGGTAACGCTCTGTTTTAACTCCGCCTCATCATGGACAATTAAATGGTTATAATCAATCAGTGTTATCGAATAATTAATTGATGAATATTGTCAATATCGAACTAACTTAATTCAGGTGAAAAAGTTCTTCGACGGGAAAGAAAGTAACATCGGCACTGGAAAGAAGACAGTCGAGGAAACTCTTGCTAAGATCAAATCTAACATCAAATGGAAAAAGGAACATTTTGAAAGCGTCAAGACATGGTTTACGGACTTGGGAAGCAAATAATTTTTAGTGTACCAATGTCTTAGGTATCACTTTAATCACAACTAGGAAAGTTATTGGGATTTTTGCAAATCCCTGAACTAAATGACATTTCAGACAATTAAATGTTGAAACTACAGCTGCTGTTTGTGGTTTTTAGGCTGGATTTACTTTTAGAGTTTGGCAGATTGAATATAATTTATTAATTTTTAGGTGTTTATTGATAACAAATATATTATAAATTTTTATGATTAAACCTTTACCCAGGTATTTTCAATATTTTTCGTTCTCCAACATCAAATATATAATGTTAATCTGTGTAGATTCTGGATTTGGAAATATTGTTAATCTTTTACTGTCGCGTATTGTCACTGTCAGTATCACATAAAATCAAATTTTACATTTTAACAGCGCAATTGTCTCGTTTGTTATGAATTAGGAAAGCCAAAGGGGTTTCAGTATTTTAATCCTACACATTTATCTTTTATCGTCCAACTATGCGGACAGAGGCTGAAATGGTGCCTCCGGTTACTTCATGGCCATGCAATGCGTACCTGAGTTTATATATGGATCATAGAGTACGTTCTACCTTAGTAGTTTTGGTCAATCTTTAGGACACAGACGATTGATTGGGTGCAACTGTCGTATCTGATCTTAATTGACGATGTCAATTCTTCGCAGCTCTCGAGGCCCAGTGGCAGTAGCGCATCTCGCCGATCTAGCGAGGTGCATGGTTGCGAGAAGCATAATTGAGTGCGCGGCCCAGTAACGCATCGCGCTAAAATGGGGAACCAAGCAACAACTATTTATTTGATATATATTTATTTTATGTTCTATGTCTGAACTTTTACACAATGAAAAAGCAGTTTTGACTAGATCCTCGTAATATTCTTTGCATCATTTATTTACATCAATTCTGAGAAATTATATCATTAAAGCAACTATTGACCATTGTTAATGATCTGGCCCGGCGCGCGCTACTTCTGACTTCGTAGCTCGTGCCATCGGGCTACATTTCGAGAAGAAAGCGGCGCGCGCTACTTCGAAGAAATTTAGACGAGTAACATCCGTCAAAGCAACTATAACAAATACGAATCATATATAATATATATATGAGTACACTGCAAAATTAAATATTAAAACCTTGTATTGTAGGTTAACAACCTACCAGGACGCGCGCCGAGTTGGACTCGTCGACGGTCCAATATATATATGGAACAGATATTTTACGAGTATCACCCGTTAAAACCTTGTAGCGCGATTAGATGCGTTACTGTGCCGCGCCGAGCTGCCATGAATTGACATCGTCAATTAAGTTAAAACCGTTCTATACTATCAACAATCAACTATGCAACTTGATAACACAAAGATTGGACTATGAAAATAAAACAGCTTTAACATTTAAGCTAAACAGGCGATACTCGTAAAATATTTGTTCCAAATATTTCAAGACCACCGATGACCACCGATGACCACACGACGCGAGTCCAACTCGGCGCGCGTCTTGGTAGGTTGACCATTGTTAATGATCTGGCCCGGCGCGCGCTACTTCGTAGCTCGTGCCGTCGGGCATTTCGAGAAGAAAGCGGCGCGCGCTACTTCGAAAAAATTTAGACGAGTAACATCCGTCAACTTGGTAGGTTATGTTTATAAACATACAACTTTAGACTTTAAGTTCAAAGTCGAAAGTTTGATTACCTGGTATAGTGCGGGGGGATCATGTTTTTTGTCCGTTCGGTACCCTATATTTTCAAAACGGAAAAAAATAGAGCGGATAAAAACGGACAAAAACGGACAAAAACGGACAAAAACGGGAAAAAATAACAAAAATGGAAATAACATTTAGATGCTTCCTCCTCCTCTTCCTCCTCCTCTTCCTCCTCCTCCTCAGTCCTCCTCAGTCATCCTCCTCAGTCCTCCTCCTCCTCCTCTTCCTCCTTCTCTCCCTCAGTCCTTCTCCTCCTCCTTCTCCTCTTCAGTCTTCCTCCTCCTCCTCCTCCCTCTCAGTACTCCTCCAGCTTCCTAAATCATCCTCCTCAGTCATCCTCCTCAGTCCTACTCCTCCTCCCCCTCCTCCTCAGTCCTCCTCAGTCCTCCTCCTCTTCATCCTCCTCCTCTTCATCCTCCTCCTCTTCCTCCTCAGTCCTCCTCCTCAGTCCTCTTCCTCATCCTTCTCCTTAATTCTCCTCCTCCTCAGTCCTCCTCAGTCCTCCTCCTCTTCAGTCCTCCCCCAGTCCCCCTCCTCCTCCTATTCAGTCCTCCTCCTCTCTAGTTCTCCTCAGTCCTCCTCCTTCTAAGTCGTCCTCAGTCCTCCTCCTCAGTCCTCCTCCTCCCCCTCTGTTCTCCTCCTGGGACCTCCTCCGATCATTATTTGTCCTCCTCCTTCTCCTTCTCCTCCTCAGTCATTCTCCTCCTCGTCCTCTTCCTCCTTCTCAGTCCTCCTACTTCTCCTCCTCCTCCTCCCTCTCAGTCATCCTCCTCAGCCATCCTCCTCAGTCCTCCTCCTCATCCTTCTCCTTAGTCCTCCTCCTCCTCATTCCTCCTCAATCCTCCTCCTCAGTCCTCCCCCAGTCCCCCTCCTCCTCATCCTATTCAGTCCACCTCCTCCTCTTCAGTTCTCCTCAGTCCTCCTCCTTCTCAGTCCTCCTCCTCCTCCTCCTCCTCCTCCTCAGTCCTCCTACTTCTCCTCCTCCTCCTCCCTCTCAGTCATCCTCCTCAGCCATCCTCCTCAGTCCTCCTCCTCCTCCTCCTCAGTCATCCTCCTCAGCCATCCTCCTCCTCCCAGTCCTCTTCCTCAGTCCTCCTCCTCCTCCTCCTGGGTCCTGCTTCTCCTCCTCCTCATCCTCCTCCTCCTCATCCTCTTCCCCCTCCTCCTCCTCCTCCTCCTCATCCTCATCCTCCTCCTCCTCTTCCTCCTCCTCCTCAGTCATCCTCCTCAGCCATCCTCCTCAGCCATCCTCCTCCTCCTCCTGGGTCCTCCTCCTGGGTCCTCCTCCTCCTCCTGGGTCTTACTCCTGGGTCATCCTGATCCTCCTCAGTCCTCTTCCTCCTCCCGTCCTCAGTCCTCCTCCTACTCCTACTCCTCATCCATCCTCCTCATCAGTCCTCCTCCTCCTCCTCCCCATCAGTCCTCTTCCTCCTCAGTCCTCCTCATCAGTCCTTCTCCTCCTGGGTCCTCCTCCTGGGGCCTTTTCCTGGGTCCTCCTCCTGGGTCCTCCTCCTCCTCCTCCTTCTCCTCCTCAGTCCTTCTCCTCCTCATCCTCCTCCTCCTCCTCCACCCTCATCCTCCCCCCAGTCATCTTTATCCTCCTCGTCAGTCCTCCTTCTCCTCCTGGGTCCTCCTCCTGGGTCATATTCTCCTCCTGGGTCATTTTCTCCTCCTGGGTCCTTCTCCTCCTCCTCCTCAGTCTTCCTCCTCCTCCTCAGTCCTCTTCCTCCTCATCCTCAGTTATCCTCCTCCTGGGTCATGGGTCCACTTCCTCCCTCTCCTCCTCAGTCCTCCTCCTTCTCCTCACCAGTCCTCCTCCTCAGTCCTCCTCATCCTCCTCATCCTCCTCATCCACATCCTTCTCCTCTTCATCAGTCCTCCTCCTCCTCGTCCTCCTCAGTCCTCCTCATCAGTCCTCATCAGTCCTCCTCCTCCCCAGTCCTCCTCCTTCTGGGGCCTTTTCCTTGTCCTCCTCCTGGGTCTTCCTCCTACCAGTCCTCTTCCTCAGTCCTCCTCCTCCTCCTCCTGGGTCCTGCTTCTCCTCCTCAGTCCCCCTCCTCCTCCTCAGTCCTCCCCCCAGTCACCCTTCTTCTCATCCTCATCCTCCTCCTCAGTCCTCCTCATCCTCCTCATCCACATCCTTCTCCTCTTCATCAGTCCTCCTCCTCCTCGTCCTCCTCAGTCCTCCTCATCAGTCCTCATCAGTCCTCCTCCTCCCCTGGGTCTTACTCCTGGGTCATCCTGATCCTCCTCAGTCCTCTTCCTCCTCCCGTCCTCAGTCCTCCTCCTACTCCTACTCCTCATCCATCCTCCTCATCAGTCCTCCTCCTCCTCCTCCCCATCAGTCCTCTTCCTCCTCAGTCCTCCTCATCAGTCCTTCTCCTCCTGGGTCCTCCTCCTGGGGCCTTTTCCTGGGTCCTCCTCCTGGGTCCTCCTCCTCCTCCTCCTTCTCCTCCTCAGTCCTTCTCCTCCTCATCCTCCTCCTCCTCCTCCACCCTCATCCTCCCCCCAGTCATCTTTATCCTCCTCGTCAGTCCTCCTTCTCCTCCTGGGTCCTCCTCCTGGGTCATATTCTCCTCCTGGGTCATTTTCTCCTCCTGGGTCCTTCTCCTCCTCCTCCTCAGTCTTCCTCCTCCTCCTCAGTCCTCTTCCTCCTCATCCTCAGTTATCCTCCTCCTGGGTCATGGGTCCACTTCCTCCCTCTCCTCCTCAGTCCTCCTCCTTCTCCTCACCAGTCCTCCTCCTCAGTCCTCCTCATCCTCCTCATCCTCCTCATCCACATCCTTCTCCTCTTCATCAGTCCTCCTCCTCCTCGTCCTCCTCAGTCCTCCTCATCAGTCCTCATCAGTCCTCCTCCTCCCCAGTCCTCCTCCTTCTGGGGCCTTTTCCTTGTCCTCCTCCTGGGTCTTCCTCCTACCAGTCCTCTTCCTCAGTCCTCCTCCTCCTCCTCCTGGGTCCTGCTTCTCCTCCTCAGTCCCCCTCCTCCTCCTCAGTCCTCCCCCCAGTCACCCTTCTTCTCATCCTCATCCTCCTCCTCAGTCCTCCTCATCCTCCTCATCCACATCCTTCTCCTCTTCATCAGTCCTCCTCCTCCTCGTCCTCCTCAGTCCTCCTCATCAGTCCTCATCAGTCCTCCTCCTCCCCAGTCCTCCTCCTTCTGGGGCCTTTTCCTTGGTCCTCCTCCTGGGTCTTCCTCCTACCAGTCCTCTTCCTCAGTCCTCCTCCTCCTCCTCCTGGGTCCTGCTTCTCCTCCTCAGTCCCCCTCCTCCTCCTCAGTCCTCCCCCCAGTCACCCTTCTTCTCATCCTCATCCTCCTCCTCAGTCCTCCTCATCCTCCTCATCCACCTCCTTCTCCTCCTCATCAGTCCTCCTCCTCAGTCCTCCTCCTCCTCGTCGTCCTCAGTCCTCCTCATCAGTCCTCATCAGTTCTCCTCCTCCCCAGTCCTCCTCCTCCTCCTGGGGCCTTTTCTTGGGTCCTCCTCCTGGGTCCTCCTCCTTCCAGTCCTCCTCATCGTCCTCCTCCTCAGTCCTTCTCTTCTTCCTCCTCCTCCTCAGTCCTCCTCCTCCTCCTCAGTCCTCCACCAGTCACCCTCATCCTCCCCCCAGTCATCTTTATCCTCCTCATCAGTCCTCCTTCTCCTCCTCAGTCCTCCTCCTCCTCCTGGGCCTCCTTCTCCTCCTGGGTCCTTCTCCCCCTCCTCCTCAGTCCTCCTCCTCATCAGTCCTTCTCCTCAGTCATCCTCTTCCTGGGTCCTCCTCCTCCTGGGTCCTCCTCCTCCACTTCATAAATCCTCCTCCTCATGGGTCCTCCTCCTCCTTCGCCTCCTCAGTCCTTCTCCTCCTCCTCCTCAGTCCTCCTTCTTCTCCTCTTCCTGCTTCATCTTCCTCCTTCACCTCCTTCTCCTCATCATTCCTCCTCCTCAGTCTTCATCCGCCTCCCCTTCTCCTCCTCAGTCCCCCTCTTCAGTCCTCTTCCTCCTCAGTCCTCCTCCTCCTTCTCCTCAGTCCTCCTCAGTCCTACTCCTCCTCCTGCTCTGTCGTCCTCAGTCCTCCTCCTTCTCCTCCTCCTCAGTCCTCCTCATCCTTCTCCTCAGTCCTCCTCCTCCTCCGTCCTCCTCCTCCTCCTCCTTCTATTCAGTCATCCTCAGTTCTCCTCAGTCCTCCTTCTCAGTCCTCCTCCTCCTCCTCCTCAGTCATCCTCCTCCTCTGGCCTCCTCCTCCTCCTCAGTCCTCCTCCTCCTACTCCTCATCAGTCTTCCTTCTCCTCATCCTCCTCAGTCCTCCTTTTTCTCCTCCTATTCAGTCCTCCTCCTCAGTTCGCCTCCTCATTCTTACTCCTCCTCAGCCCCCCTCCTCCTCCTCAGCCCCCTCCTCAGTCCCCTCCTCAGTCCCCATCGTCAGTCACCCCTCCTCAGTCCCCCTCATCCTCTTCCTCTCTTTTATCTCTCAATAATTTGTTCAATCTATAATTATTGTTGGTGTTATTGTTTACACAATTTATTGTTATACTATTACTAAAATGTTTTTAACGCATTTGAGTCTGACTCAAAATGTGCTCAAGAATCTTTTGGTTTAACAGAGTTTTACTCTCCAGTAATATTGAATATGGAAAAGTTGTTGCATGATATTTTTCATAAATAAATTGATTTTCATTCCTTATTAAAAAATGTGTAGACTATCCTTAGTATAGTCTTAGTATAGTACCTAATTGAGGATTAAAAGTTTGAGAAAGGACCATGGTCATTAACCGGGCTACCCATTTCTGCAAATATCCTGTTACAAATTGTGGATAAAATTTAAATCAAAAGTTACAATTTTTGTCCGTTTTTGTCCGATTTTGTCCGATTTTGTCCGTTTTTGTCCGTTTTTGTCCGTTCGGTACCCTATTTTCTGAAAACGGACAAAATTGAACGGACAAAAACGGACAAAAATAACATGATCCCCCCTATAGTGGTATGGCAATCCCAAAACCTACAAGGGTAGGTCAGTATTTGTGGTTTGAAATGATTAAAAATATGGTGGAGTCGTCTAACTCTAAATAAAAGCATTTTCACTGTGACATGTGAACATTCTTGTGATAGCTATAATTTATTTACTTGTATCACGTCGTGACCCCCACGGTCGTTTCACTATGGCGTAGAGTTTCTCGGAGACGCGCAAAAGTTGTCACTGTTGGCATGGTTTGGGCGAGCGATTTAGTAAGAGCCAAAAATACATTGGTATAGCTTACTTTAATTTCACAATCCTACAGCTTACTCATAAAACCAAAACGTATAAGCGACATGTACACAGAACACAGAACCTTAAAAATCTAACCTACCAGGACGCACGCCGAGTTGAAACAAATATTTTACGAGTATCACCCGTTAAAATCTAATCGTACCCTTACTGGGCCGCGCTCAGCCTGTCATTCCGCCGAATCTCTATCATTATGTTTATAAACATAATAGCCTGAGGTCCCCAGGTAAATCGTACCCCTATTCTAGTTGACGATGTCAACCCATCGATATCGTTGCTCTGCGAAGCATAGCAACGATCTTCGATGCGAAGCTAGCAAGAATGCTAGTTCGCGCGGCGCGTCGAAGCCCTCCAAACCCCTATTATATTAAAGTCAATTAATGTGAGCCGCGCATATGAGATGTTAATGCGCGGGAACTAACCTAACCGTTAGCTGGCGAATTTAATTTCGCGTTGGATAAATGTATTGATCGGTAGTATACAATCTACACCCAAATGCTGTTCAATAATTGTATACAAGCTATTTACCCCTAAATAACTTGAGCAGTCGTTGGCAATTGTCCCAGAAACATTAGTCACAATAACGGCGAGTGCCGATATAAGAGTCTACTGTAAAAAACAAACCTTTCGCTCCGTATATTTTAGTTTATTACATACACAAAGAGCATATGACTTTAAAACGGAACGAGATGTGAAAAGGGTGGATATATTTGGGTGACACTGTCAAGTGTTAATACAAACTCCCGCCAAGGCATTGTTCAGCGAAGGAGGAGTTTAAACAATATTATGTCAGCCGTCAGGAGCTATCTATAGCATAGATTTCTCATGTGTTTAATATGTCAAAACAACGTTGCTAAGGATCTTAGGATAGAGCCCTGAACAGCGAATCTATAAATAGTTCGTGCTCATTTTTAACACACCATGTAGTTTAAATTGATTCATATTCAATTCAAAATGTATGTGTCGTTAGATCTCCCCGGAACATGGTCCAGTCTAATAAATTAACTTATTACTTAAGGTAGTTCATCTAACTGCAGGGTGCCCAAGTGGGTTCTATAATTAGGACTAAACTTCGATATGGAAACTTTTAAAGTTCCGAGCGTTTATATCTTAACTCAGCGATTTTTTGCAAAAGATGGGTACTCTATCCTATTTAAGAGTCAGAGAAATTCCAGGTTATGATAAAAATTGGAGTATTCAATTTGCGAACAGTACAGAACAAATATTTTGAAATCAAAACGATAACATCGACAAAAAGTACCACGTATAAGAATGGATTTAAAGACAGAGAGATACTGTTAAAGCAGTAATAAGCACAGAATCTAAGTGGAAGTAACCACAAATTCTGTTCTCACTAACTTTGAAATCAAAACATAAATAAATAACTTCAATATTTACACCACAATTAGAAAGATAACTGTTTGTGATGTCCACTCGATCTACAAGTATGTATTCGATAAAATTTCGATTCGTCGAGTTTTACTGATAACAATAGAAACAAACTCATAATTAAAAAAAAGTTAAAAACACTGTATTCTCTACGAGAATAATTGTAGTTGACGCTAATTTAAAAAACCACGACAAAGAGGGGATTTACAAAGACAGGATATTTTGTTAGCTTCTTCTTCGATCGCAAATTTGTAATCGTAGGTAATTTCTTCGCTGGTGTCGATGTCTCGCTTGGAGTAAATCCCTATTTTCTTTTTCGTTCCAACAGAAATAACTCTGGCATAACAGTTTGGCTGAAACATTCTTTCGTTAAAATCGGTCCAATTGAGAATAATGCACATTGCGATTCAATAAGTTCATCCTTCTAAAGATTAGATAAAATACTAACGCATCATCATAGAAAGTCAAATATTATCACAGGTTAGTGTCACATTTACTTTAAATGAGTAAAATTCTAATCGAAAAGTTAAACTCACATCACAATTATGGTTGATGAAACGAGAAATGCTGCCTTTGTGGGTAGCATCCACAATGTAACTAGTCTGGTCTATTCTAAACAAATAACTGGATCCAATTCCTTCCTTCTCGTACCCCCGTTCTCTGATATTAGCGATTATTTCCCGGACCACCTCGCCCACGTACTCTATGACCAGTTCATCTGCCATGATTGGCTCCTGGGCAAAGAGTCCCCAGTCGTGGATATCCGATCTCATAAACTTCACTTGTTTCCTTCTCGTCTGTTAAAGAGGAGATTGATATAAGACACCGTCCAATTAAAGGGTTAACTTGAAAGATAATCTATAATCAGCAAGTTTTAAGATGTAAAGATGAGACTGTTATCTTAAATACAATACAGAAATCAAATACTTACAGTGAGCTGCATGAACTGAATTTCAGGAACAGTAAGATAGTGAGTTGCTTGTCGGCGCTGCATAGCTCGAGTACTCCGCGCAGTCGTCCTCCCGTCCACCTTCTTAACAGGATATATGGGAGGTGGAGGTGGCGCACCTGGCGCAGCTTCTGACAGAGGTCCTTTATATAATGCAAACTTTAGAGCCATTTTCTCTTGTTTTGTCATCTGAAACGTGTAAGTGTGAGCAGGTGGACTCGGCTGAACATTCCGTAGTAATTGTGAGGCTCGCAAATTTCAGAGACTAAGCAAGTGTAAAAACTTAAAAAGTACTCAGAAAAGGGCACACAGTCACGACTGCAAGAAAGATAAATGGGCAGAGTGAACTTCTCGAAAAAAAATTAAAACTAACTCGGTAGAAGCCCTCAGTTCTCGCACACCCAGTTCGGTGCCTTACATCCGCGGAGGAGGGCTGCCTCCGTCGAGCTGAGTAAGGTATTTCCGGGGCAGATAACCAAGTCACCCCCTCCAGTAAATCTCGACACTCTGAGAAAAGCTGATCGTAAGCCGTTTTGAAGAAGCCCTTGTCTTCCTCCGTCAAATCTTCTCTGAACAGCTGCTCCAACACCAAGATGTCCTCTTCGTCCAGACGGGGAGTATACTTGGGAGGTGTAACACTCGGCAACGTGATTTCCTCTGATAAAAAAAGAAGGGTCAAAGTCTTGATTTCATGTGTAAACACGAGAAATAAATAATCAGATCACTCTGAAAAGCACCTGGAATATTCAGAAATTTAAATGTATTCCTATCAAACCCCCTGAATGTTTCAATATAAAACCTTTAGGCTCAAGATCTGAAAGCTCGGCCTCCTTTTCAAGAACTGTCTGTACTTCTTCTCCTTCCTCCTCAGACTCACTGCTCGAGGAGGAACTGTAGATCTTGTTATATCTGTTACCCACTTGTTCTGTTAGGAAGATTATTGTTTACAAATATTTACATGGCAACGCTTATTTCTAAAAATCAGGAAAAATACTTGATAATGAATATTTTTAAAACATATTTGAGGATCGAAATGAGACGAAGAAAAAAAACGTACTCCTCTTGGCGACAAGGTCCAGGTCGTTAACCTCATCATCGCTGGGTTCCTCTGCAGAATCGAGCTTCTTCGGTAACTGCATTTTCTTAACGATAACTTGAGGTCTCATGCCACGGTTCAACTTGGGTACCTGTAGAAAAACATTATTACTAATTTCAGAGTGCAGAATATTTGATTATTTGTCTTCGTTAATTATAAAAGGGTAATCTGTGACAGTGAACCCAGTTAAATTATGAAATGAAAACAAAAGTTTGGACATTTTTACAACTCAACAGTATTTAGAGTATTTGGTCTGGTAAGGATGTTCATATGAAGTACCTTGAAGGAGAGGTTAGCTTGTCTGATGTGGGAGGATTGTTTAGCGTCACTCATACTTCTCATTTCTGACAAGCTCGGCATGTCAGGTGCTCTACTCGACCTGAACGAATAACAGTTATTTTTATAGCTTTATTAACAGCATGTTTTGAATATAAATAAAGGGATTGTAATGTAGGGATTGTAATGTAGGGATTGTAATGTAGGGATTGTAATGTAGGGATTGTAATGTAGGGATTGTAATGTAGGGATTGTAATGTAGGGATTGTAATGTAGGGATTGTAATGTAGGAATTGTAATGTAGGGATTGTAATGTAGGATGAATGATGTTTCAACATACGTCTGATCAGCGTTATTGGCCATATCCTCCTTCTTCTTTGCAGCTAGTTCTTCCTCCTCCTTCTTTTTCTTGTCCTCCTCCTGGTTCCATACTTCTTCCAACTTTGTGAACGCTGTTTTCTCGTTCAGAATGATCTTTACGTCCTGCAAATTGTGTGCTATTAATATAACACTGCAAATTGGCATTCGACAATGAGACTTCTGATCATATATTAAAACCTGACTAAAAAGGAAACTGTCACATTCATTTCATCTCCAAAACCCCAACGAACCTTCATAAGGATGCTCTCCATCAAGGAAAGCATCATGTCCAAAGATCTGTTTTTCCGTTCTTTATTGCGTGCTTGTTCGAGGCGTTTATTGGCAGCTTTCTCCTCAGCCTCACGTCTTGCGAGTATATCGGCAGCCTCGTCAGGGTTGTAGGACTCGTATCCATACTGGTACATCTGACAAACATACCATTTATAGAATGAGACTGAGATAAGTTGAGATGTTACGGCAATTAATAAAGTTTGGATAATATTATGTGATGAAAGAGATAGCAAGAGAAGAAAATACTCACGTCAGGGTATGTGGTATGAAGCCACTGTCCGGTCTGATATTGTACAGGCTGGACAGGAGGGAGGGCGGGAGTGATGAGGAGGGCTGCAGTGGGTACAGGAAGGAGAGGTATGGGGGGCTGGAGAGTGGTGGGTTCCAGGGGTTGCTGGGGAGTTGTGTTGGGGGAGATGTCCTCTAGTCTCATCTCTTTAACAGGGGACTCCTCCTCGCCAGCACTTCCCTCGTCCAGAGACATAGAACTGCTCGACATGTCCTCAGAGGGACCATCGCTCTTCTGACCTATCACCTTCACTTTGGAGATGTCCTTGCGAGGGACCGCACGAGCACACCCATATGGGTTTTCTGATAAGACGGAAATGTCCTGTGGGATCTCTTGTTTTGGAGCTGGTGGTGACACTGGAAGAGGTGAAATTGAGTGGTAGCCAGTGTCGTGACTGGTTGCACTTCCGGAATTCTCCATCTTTGTTTTGGGACTTACTTTCTTTGGTTCTGGAACTGATATAGGACTGCGGTGATAGATGGGAGACTTTGATCGTTTCCTTTTGCTGACCCTGTCAACGAGATGCTGCTCGTCTCTGGGTCGTGACCGAGACTTGCGGTCGGGGTCTGGTGTTGCTAGGTGGCGATGTTTCTCTGCCTCGTGGAGCGACAAAACATGATCTGTCCTGGGACTCTCCCTGTGGTAAACGTTCTCATACTTCTCATAGTCTTTCACTGATTTGGACAGTTTCTGGAGTTTCTCTAGCTCTTTCGAGGAGGATCTGGGCTTGTGATCGGAGTGCCTGTGGTACTCGTAATATTTAGAGTATTTATCCACCGCATATTTGTCATACTTGTCATATTTAGACCTGTGTTTATCGTCCATGTACCGGTGATCGCTGGGTCGATCTTTGTCCCGGTAATATTTGTCGTAGTAAGCGTAGTATCGCTCTCGTTCCGACATATGGTGGTGATCTTTAGAGGAGGAGTATTTGTCTTTTGAGTATTTTTCAGGTGGATACTTTTCAGGCGCATACTTTTCAGGTGGATACTTTTCAGGCGCATACTTTTCAGATGGGTACTTCTCCTCGGAGTATTTGTCGGTTGTACGACTGCTGCTTCCGCTGCAGTGTTCCTTAACATAGCGGCTTGTTTTCTCGGCTCGGATCTGCATCTCTGTCCTCATCTTCCATTCCTCATACTTTCTCTCAGAATGATCCTGAATAAAAAGCTAGTAATATAACACATTTCTCAAATCGATTATCAAATTTAAGTTACTTAGGTCGTCAGTCTTTACCATGGTTGCGAGATTAATGTTTTATGTTCGAAGATCAGAAAGGGCGGACCAGTTAACTTACCTTTCTTCTCTCCCGGTCCATCTCGTAGAGTCTAGCGTCCCTTCGGCGCTCGTCATGTCGATCAGCTGGAGACATCAGTTCAGACTTGGGGACCTTGTATTTTAGCTCTGGTGTCATGGCAGTCTCTCTCTCGGGGGAACGTTCACGCTTGACTGGCTTGGCTACCGAGTTTACAGGGGACTGTTGTTCAGCCATTATGTCTTCTTCGGGATGGATAGGGGAGATTTCTGAAAAGGAAATAAGTTAGAAAATCTAAACAGCTGTTTACTTTAGATATTATTTTAGGATTATACATATGTATATGCTGCTTACTTTTTAGTGAACACTACTTTACTCATTTCGCCCGCCTACACCTCATCCAAAAACAGGATTGTTTCTAATGTGTGCTCTTACCTGTATCTGGAGGAGTATCTATCTTTGGAGAAACTTGTTCCAACTTCAGATCATGTTGTACTGGAACTGTATCATGATTATCAGGCTCCTCTTGAGTCAGAGAATCTCGCCGCATCGACTCAGATTTGGGTGTTTCGGAGAGATCGCTTGGTTTGCGCACTTTCCCCCGGGCCGTGTAGTATTGCTGAGAGCGCTCGTTGTGTCGGAAAGCGTAGGCTGCCGTCTTGTGCTGAGACCGGAGTTCCACATTCTGGATTATTTCAGGAATGTTGACGACTACTCCTGGTGCTTTGATCAGCTTGTCCAGCACTTTCTTCGTTATTTGACCTGACCATATAGAAATTGTTTAGTTTTTAAATTCATCTTTAAATAACTGATGCGTTATAATGTGTTTTCACATTTTACATTATCAATATTTGATTCAAGAAGCCTTGCACTAATAAAAAAAGTGGATGTTTCAACTTAAAAAGTTCATGTCATATCAGAACAAATAAAATAATCAAGACTAACAGAGGGGATCAGGTTTGATGTTGACGATGTTTCCCATGACGGAGGTACCATGGAACCTAGCTAACACTTCTTTAGTAACACTAGACTTGCTGAACGACACGAAGGCTATTCCCAGATGTTTCGTCGTCTTTGGGTGGTAGTACACCTGGAAATTTGAATATGTTTACACCGATAATTTAAAGTTCATATTTGAGTGAAATTTTGTAGATAAGGGCAACAATTTATATATCTAAATTCTAAATTCTAAACACTAACCTTGAGCTGATCAATGGAACCAAGCGGCTGGAAAAGTCCCAATAAAAATTCTTGGTTGACATTATCGTTCAAACCATAGATGAATATTGACTTCATAGGAGGGGAACCAACTGACCATTTGTCGTACTGTAAATTGTGGAGATTTAAAATTAATCATGATTTACGGAAAAGATTTTACAGGACTTGTAATAATTTATACGTAGGTAGGTACAGACTACAGAGATCATATTCTTAATTCTTCAAGTTGAATGAATATTAAATACTCAAAAACAAAAAAGCATGTTTCATGCGACCCTTTTGTACCTTGAACTTAGGAACTAATATCAAGTCGACCTCTTTTTGCCTCATAATGGAACCAAACCGTGGATCTTTAATAACAGCAGGTTTCTCCTGGAAAACAAAAAGGTACACTTCATGGAAATAAACGATCTATTGTTAATAAACACACTGATCTGTTTATTATTGAATTGAAATCACGTTAATGGTACAGTCACAGTACATTTCATGGATAATCCGTCTTCCTACACTATGTTATTGTATTGTAGACGTGTCCTCAGAGAATAACATTAACGGCGCCGAGTGTAAAATTGAATTGATAGAGCGTATGATTGAATTGACCAGGTGAGAAGATGCCCGAAACTTACATCTGGCCCGTCGAGAGTTCCCCCATATCTGATTACTTTGGTGTGACCTTTCCCTTTGATTACAGGATCGATCATTAGCTTCCAGTTCTTTCCTTGAGCTTCTGGGAGCTGTGCTGTTTGCACTGAAATGGTACGTGACGGGTTAAACTTAATGGGCTTTAATTCTATTTAATTATTAATAATCAGATTACATCGAACAAATAAAAGAGGTTAATCTTTAAAATCTGCAAAATTACTTGAATACGGCATCTGAGAATATAAAGATACAGTAATTATAGTCATGCAAGTAAAATCATGCATTAAATATATATGCGTTAAAATATCCTCAAACTAAACTCACCTATGTGGTCGGCAGCAACAAAAGCATGCTCAACATCTGCACTCTTCATGACATCATTCTTCAGGGAATCGAGGGAGTTCAGTTTCCAAACGTGTTCAGACAAGCTTGACATCACCATAGGACCACGCGGTAGCTTTAATATTCCCGTGTATTATTAACATTATCTTATCTTAACCTAGGATTGAATTGGTTATTAATCGTCGTGTTATCAATTTTTAAATAATCATTCTCGCATCTTGAGGCCAGAAAACAAATCATATTTGATGAGTCTAGGCTCTAGATACTTTAATAGACTGTTTTCTTTTAACATTTAAATTAATAAAAGCAATTACAACAATTACAACCATCGTACAAAACACTGAGCAGTATATTTTAAAACTAATTATTATATACAGATAGAAACCGGAAAACTGAAAAGATATGAGATGGACCGATATATTTATAAATAAAGAGGAATGTCGACTAGAAAACATTATCAATAGTTTGAGTGAAAGACTCATTGTAAATGGAGTTAATCTGCTGAGGAGATGAAGTCTGGGTCTCAGTATTGAGTCCGTCCACCACAACTAGAGACCTCTCTCGTCTCATCTTGGTTTGAGTGTGAGTACTGTTTTTAAAGTAGTTTGTTTGACAATCTCGGTCTAATCTCTCTACACCGCAACTTCGATCATTGGTGAAGCTTTCAGTTGAAATGCTGGTTTGAGAAGCTAATGTAGCACTGTCACTCTTCATGAAGTTCTCAGTTTGAACTTCCCCGTCCAAGTACTCCACCAGATCACAATCTGAGATAAAGGGGTCTAAAACTCCGTCTGTGGCGCATCTTGTTTGGGTCCCGAATGAGTTTTGTTCGGTGTCAGTTTGAGTTGAGAACTCGTTGAGCCCCCAGAATTCGTCTGTCTGTGTGGTAATGGTGTCAATAGCTGATAGGAACTGTTTGTCTTGAATTGTGTCTTCAAACCCGCCAACAGGAGGTTTTCTCAGTTCCGGATATGAATTTGACATATTTTGGTCATGCTTGCTGCTCCAAAATCTAGTGGAATTCTTGTTCGAGGATGTGGAGGTATCGTGACACCAAATTGGAGGGGTTTGTGATGGGACATGGTTCCAGATATTAGCCTGGCTAGCAGCATTGTGGATGTGGTTTGTAATTTTATCATCATGTTTTAAACGTTTGGATTCTGAACAGTCTGAGTATGGATTCTGATCGTGGCTAATTGTCTGGGAGGAATTTGCTGAAATTTCAGATGAATGACTGGGATTAGCTTGGCTACAGTTGTTGTCAGGCGGCCCTGAGTTTTCAGGAGGTTGCATGACTATATTTTGTACTGGTACCAGATAATATTTGACGGAGGAGTCTCCAACATTAATGGCAGTGTCCACTGTTATCTTGTTTTCTGACGATTCTGGCAATTCGTCCGAACCTTTCTGAATATCCTGCAAATGCTTTTCACGGCAATGTCTAGACAATGACGAAAATCCAGTAAAAGTTCGAGAGCAGTAATCGCATTTCATTGTTCCAGAACTGCAGTTTTTAACGTGGCGGGTCCAAGTGTTTGAGCTAGAAAATGTTTTGAAACAGACTTTACACCGGAAATCGTGCTCCGTGCGATGCATGCGATCATAATGGTTCTGTAAATGCTGAAATCTAGTGAACATTTTCCCCTGTTCTTTGCAGTTTGAAATTGGACATCTGAACGTGGAAGGGAAGTTCAAATTCCGGTGGAGCTTTCTAACGTGAACCCGGAATTTTACTGACGAGTCAAAAACTGAGGAACAAGAAGAATTGTATTCATTCTGAAGATGCTTGTACTTAGAACAGGTCCATACCTTTCTATCTAGATCATAGCGGTCCACTATCAGAGGCTTATCATTGGATGCCATTTAAACTAGGACAGCAAAGGTTAAGCACAGCCTCTAGCACAATACATATCTAACAACTCAATCAGAAAAAAAGCAAAGTGTCAGCAACCTGGGCAAAAATCTTAACAGGATATAATCTGATATTACATCACTGGAATTATATCTGAAATACCAAAATACACTGAAGGAGTTCGCTCTAGATATTAGAATGCAACACAAGCAAAACCTGGGCAAACCTAGCATGTTCATAAAACTAAAGCCAATCAGAATGATCATCTTGTTAATGGCATACTATACTGAACAAAAATAATCTTAAAACGATCGAGTTCTATTTTAAGTCTGAGAAAACATTCACCGAAGGCAGGTCATCGGTACTGAATAAAATTTAAGATCAAAGCAAGACAAATTGAATATTGAGCATACAACCTACACCATAAACAAATTACAAGCATCAACAAACTACAAGCTGAGAATAAGATGCCAGCAAATATGGGGGGGATACAAACGATAATGCAATCCAACACAATCGCCCGAGCGAGTATAACGCTAGAGATTGAGCGATACGAAGTCACAAGGAATGGACTCCAATGCAAGAAACATAAGAGTCACTGCCGTATGTAGCAATATTGCATCCAAAAGCTTGACAAGATAAGACATGAACATGGTGAGAACGGTTACCGCCAAATTTCAGCAACGTTTTTCAAATCACGTAACAGCACTGATATACATCAGGCCACGCTGAAACACATACAAATGTATGAACGCCTGCTAGTTGATGCAGAGCGCCTGAAAATTGATGCGTGACGTCACATTTCCTTCCTTTACTACGCGCGGCTTCGTTCTTTTGCTCAGTGTGCTGCGGTTGTCCTTTAGCTTTGGCTGGTGAACTGTTATGAAAATTCTAGCTACGCTCATTTGCTTATCAAATTTCTTTACATGAAATTGAACCTACTTATTTATCACGCTGGCTGCTGCTCCCAAACCGACAAACTAACTGACTTGTATCGTTTAGGCGAATTAGTAAGAATTATTAAATAATCGTTAAGGTTGAACATGATGGTCTAACCATGCTATTTCCAAGTTTTCAGATTGCCAGACAAAGCTAAAGAGACAGCATTGAAAGGGAGAAAAGAAATCTGCCGGAGAACTGTCCGGAGAGTGAGTGAGCCGAATACAATATCGAATCCGGGAGAAGTGCTAGTGACTCTTGTCCTTCTAAAACAAGCTAAAATGAAGCCTCCATACTCTACCAACCTATATTAGTGTCCAGAAATGATCAGTAGCTCAAAGCTTGAATGTGTGGGTCCTGTGTGAGTTTTGAATATAATTAACTGATCAAACTGAGGAATCCTTGCCGTGGAAGGGTGGGGAAATTGAAATGAATGAGAAAATGAAAGAAATTCCCCGTTCCTCTCCTGAGAAACCTCCATGTTGCCCTGCTTCGTCATAATATAAGAAAAAGTTTTACATTTTGCACGCTGACAGACCGTTTGGTTTGGGGGCAGCAAATAGCCAGAAGTTTACCTGTTTTACGTGTTTTTTAATCTTTAACTTCGTTTTACGTCCTTATTCTCTTAATTATTCTCTTATTTTATAACTTAACTACTCTTCACGTTTTTAGTTGTTCTGTACTTTGTTGCCTTGGCCGAATCCAATATCTTGACCCATGCAAGCCTCAAATAGCCTACTCTTTACGCCTATACTTTACTGCCGGGCATTGCCATAGCGACATTTACTACAAAGAAAATTAGATTTATAAATATTCCTGCTTCTTTGAGCCATTTATTCCCTATATGGAATAATCTCTGCATCAGCTGAGCATAGAACGTTGACCGTATATGGAATAAACTGTGTCACGTGAGGGAAAAGTCGTGCACATGACGCCGCGCGGCCAATCACAAGCGAGCGAGCGTAATGTGTTGAGCCATCTCGATGTGTGTGATTATATTGCTCTCTCTACTGACTTTGCTAGCTCACCACACAATACAAAGGCAGGAGCAGATCAAGTCTCTTCCGCCTACTCTATGCATCTCTTCTAATGAAACCAAATCCCTCCTTGTTTCCAACTTATCCTCTTCAACAATATCCCTGGGTTGTCCCCAACAAGTTCGCTGTTCCGTGATTTTCGTTTAGCAGTCAGGGTGTAGTGAGGTCCTGTCTATTTCGTGTCTGATTGATCAGATCTCTGTATCATTCATTGTCTGTCTCGATAAAATGTAGCAATATATTGTACGCGGGACATGTAATTATATTCGTCAAGAAAGTTCAATGAGAGCATGTTTAAGAGATTAATCTACATTCACGACGAAATTGTGCCTAGAAAATAAAGTAAAACTGCATGTCCATTCCAAACTAAGATAATATGAAGATTTAATCTTATCTTGAATGTTAAAATACAATTCTTTTGATTTTCTACACTGTCGGATATCAGTATCACTCTGGACTGGCGAGGGAACAGGTTTGTCAAACGAAACTGTAATAATTCTACTCTTATAACATATTACGAATGGTGAGAATTAAAATAAAACGCGAATTTGACTACCTAATTACTTCCACTATCGAACATAGCGGCTTCTTTCGAGAACAATCCCTCATTGCATTGTGTATGAACTTTTAAAAATAAAGCTCTGTTTTTGAAATGTATTTATACTTAGCACCCTAATTAAAAAACTCAAATCTCGCCACGGGCCTACTTCATTCTGGGCGAGTCTGCTTGGATTAGCGTATGCAATATAGTAATATAGTGCCGTGACCTCATTGTATAACTGTCCTAATTCAAATAATTTTGAAATCTATCGAACAAAAATATAAATATTTAGTCAATTTTGCATGAAATGTTATTAATATTGTACAATTGCATGTGCCATGCGTAATATAACCCAGAAGAGAAACTTGATTACTGAGCAAAACATAACCGAACTAGCTTGAATTGTGGAATAATTGCTCATAAAAATTGCAGCATCTGAATTTCACGAACTTCTTTCCAGTTAAATCTCTTGAAGCTGTTCTGGAGTACGGAGTCTTTTATTTAAATAGCTGACGAAATGAAATCAAAGTCCCAGTCAAAGTTTCCTGAATTGCTACCAATACCTCATTCTATGCTTCCTCTCCACGCTCGCCATCTTAATGTAGACACTGGTTGTTAAATCATACGGAATATTCTAGAAGAACTAATGATATTTGGCAATTACTACTCTTTCTGAAAAATATAACTCCGGGAGTCGGAACGTTCGGCTATTGTAGTCGCACTATAAGCAGATGAAGAAACACCGATGTTACCACGTTCAGCCTCAACATAATCACATTTTAACCTCACCAGGCGATTCAAGATATATTTGACAGGGAAACACCACTAAATTAAGCTGGCGGACCTCAGTGTGTAATGTACACTGTACTTCCTACACGAGGAAGTGTTATATTCACTGCGGTAGAGTGTGTAACAGGCTGCTCACTACTATTACACTGCTGCTCTCTCTTTCTCTCCTACTCACCACATTATTCTCCTTGTTTCCCAGCTGCTCTTACATTGGGCGCCCCCCTTACATTGAGTCAATGATCCTGGTGGCACCTAATAACCTAATAATTCAAGAAATTTCCCGCCCTTCAGAGGAATTTAGGCTTATAATCTGTCACTAGCCCGGATTCAATTATAGGTTTTTTCTAAAGAATTATTATGTTTTGTAGAATCATGGCATCAGTAATCAGTTTATAGAATTCAGGTATGTAATGAGATCATCACAAAATTTAAAATTCATCTGCTGATCACAGAATTTGTTGAAATTGCTAGTGGTTTAACATTACATGCTCAACTAATTGTGCATGATGATTTCTCTCAGACTAGTAAATGGCGTGCAGTGACCACTTTCCTGGCAGTGATTAAATACGGTGTACATTTGAATTTATCCCGCTCTCGCTGTCTTACAGCGGGGAACTAAGAGCTGCCGTTGTATGGTAATTAGTCCATCTAACACCGATATTACATTACACTCACATAACTCAGTCTCTTAGTGATGAGGTGACTTTACTGAGGGGTCCAACTGTTCACTGAACTAGGCCTTTCGCTTTTGTATAGCTTACATAACTCAGCGCTCATTTACAATCTGGCGTGTTATTCGAACATTTTCTCCTTTACCGAGTGCATGAAGCTTCGGATATTCGGTTATTTATTAATTACCTAATTAGATTTTATAATATTCTAATTATGTTTTTTTATTTATTAGTCTCTTTTTTTTTGTTCCTTGTATATTAAATTAGGACGGAATGTCGATACCTTCGACATGCATATTTCGTTGAACCAACGTTATTTTACACAGCTATTTTCAATGTTTTGTGTACACTCTACATTGATGTATTAGGTTTCATTCTACTTAAATTTACAATAAAGGGGGTGGGGGGGCTGACCATATTAAAGTATATCCCCGGCCCTAAATCGGGAAAAAAAAACCTACATTTTAATATACTTTAATATACTTTTATATACCCAAAATAAGTCGAGATATATTCTTTGTTTAGATTTGCAAGATTAGCCTATTTTTGGACTAGTACATAAATTTACATCCAGTTTGGTCAAAAAATGGCAGCGATTTTTGATTAAGGCCTCCAAAAAGATTTTAAAGTTCCCATAAAGAACTTATTCATTTCTCAAAAAAAAACATTAACAGTATTTAAAAATTAACATTGTTAACTGTTTAGAAAAGAACATGTTGGAAAAGCGCGACGTGAAATATTACAAAAAACTAAGCTATGCTCAAGGGGGGCTCGCTATTGGAATGCTATTCTTCAGTTTTGTGGCTGGAGTTTCAGCCAAATACTCCATCGAAATGACCTTCACACACATCTACATCCCCTACTGGATCGCCATCCCTCTCATAACCCAGGCCATGTTGACCATGAAAGCTGTAAGATCTGGCAAACGCTGGCCTCTCGGCATCTGGATTCCTTTGTTTGTGATAACGATGATCGGAATCTGCAGTTACATTGTTGCCATGCCTCCCTACAAGATTGGTTTCTTCGAGAGATTCCCCTGCATAGTGCAGACCAACATGGCAAATGAGAAAACACGTTGCACATGTTCATTTGATTCGTCGCAATACCTTACAATAAGTGGGACGGGTACTATAGCTCCTTGCGTGAGGGCACTTACCATCCTCAATATTACGTCCAATGTTAACCTTCTACTTGCCATCCTGGCCGTAATCCCTCAGTTACTGATGTTTGTTTTGGTTTGCAATGATCTGTGTTGCTTGTCCTGTAGACGTGCTGCCTTGGTTCCTCGAATGATGGTCACCGGGCAGCAACCTGGCCAATACCTCCCTGTTCAATCAGAGACAGTCGTCTACCGTACAGACGAACAGCCTGGAACTAGCTCTGGACAAAGACCTGCTGAACCTCCTCAAGCTGGACCTTTACCGGAGAAACCGAAAAATCCTGGCGAAGTTCCTCACTCGTATTAGATGAATGAATTCCAAAGAAACAATTGAGAAACTTTTGAACCGACAACGCCGGAAATTTCTGTCTTGTACCATCGAACAGTCTAAAACATGTATCTAATATTGATAACGATTATAAAAGTTATTAATTAATGAACTTCTTAGACTTATAAAATGTATTTAATTTACTTCTTTTTGTCACTGGGTGACTATTAATTTTATCTGTACACTTTGATTAAAAAACGAGTTATATTTTTTACGTGCATTGATCTTTCTTTAAACTTTATTTCCCGTCTTCTTTATAGATGTAAATATTACTTAATTGATATTTCTAATCTGCTGTTGATTACTTTCATTATAACGTAGTTAAAGAAGGAAGATTCACAACATTTATTCGGAGCCTGAATTATAAGATATGATTTTCACAATACATTATAGACGACATATGTCACAACTACATTTCACAGGTAGTAAGTTATTCAGACCAAACTTTGGTTTGATACGAAAAGAACATGTTGGCGAAACGAGATGTCATATACTATAAGAGACTCGCTTACACCCAGGGGGCCATCGGGCTGATGATGCTCTGTGTTTGCTTTGTCTCTGGGGTCGCTGCAAAATACCACATGAGTGAAATTAACGCATTTGTTCCGTACTGGATAGGCATACCACTTGTGATGCAAGGGATTGCAACCATGGCAGCTGCAAAAACTGGAAAAAGATGGCCTTTAGCATTCTGGATGCCTCTGTTCCTGGTTGTTTTGTGTGGAATATGTGCCTATTTGATCATAATGCCGCCTTATAAAATGGATATCTACGAGAAATACCCGTGTTTCGTACAGAAGAACTATGCTAAAGATGAAACAAGATGTATATGTGCCTATAACAACTACAACTATCTGCAAGTTAATGGAGCCAAAAATGTGGAACCTTGTATAAGAGCTCTGGATATAATGATGATCATGGGAAACGTCAACTACATGTTTGCTATTCTGACCTTGATCCCTGAGCTGTTGATGTTTGTTTTGGTTTGCAATGATCTGTGTTGCTTGTCCTGTAGACGTGCTGCCTTGGTTCCTCGAATGATGGTCACCGGGCAGCAACCTGGCCAATACCTCCCTGTTCAATCAGAGACAGTCGTCTACCGTACAGACGAACAGCCTGGAACTAGCTCTGGACAAAGACCTGCCGAACCTCCTCAAGCTGGACCCTTACCGGAGAAACCGAAAAATCCTGGCGAGGTTCCTCACTCGTTTTAGTTTTGATTTGGTATACAAACACTCAGAAATCCGTTTTGTCACAGGTGAAAATTTTCAACATTAAATAATATCGATAGAAGAGCACAATGCACGGTGCACGCCAAATAATAAATGTAAATAGTTGTATAGGTGAGTAGTATACATAATTGTACAATATGTATACACCCACTTGGCAGCTTGTCATGCATGGTTGATGGTGTGCCTGGTATTAACATAATTTGAAATTATCTGCCTCAATTAATAGTATCCAGACTCTATTATGAAGATTTGAGCTATATAGTATAATTATTCGGATGTTCTGCTGGATAATGATGACAATGGAACTAGTGTAAAAATCTATGATACGCCATTACACTGGCACAGCTGCCAAAAAGGAATACTTCTGGTTTTAAGGTTCGAATTTTTATAACCGTAATTCTTATAACCAAGGACTCTACCGGTTTTCTACCTTCTTTGCTGTCAGATTTGAAACGATGTTGCGCGATAGCTTTTTATTCCGACTCGTGATATATGCTTAAATACAAAGGCTGTTTTGATGGCAGCAGTCCTTGGTACTTGCATTCGTATCAGTCAGAAATGTTCATCTTATATTTCAGATATTATAGCTTTCTAACGCTACCTGGAACTCTACCAGTAGTAGACAGTATCACTTGTTTTCATTCGCTGCCAGTCTTTTCAGCGAGTTTTTAATCAATTTCATTGATTGTAGCTTCGTCATAAAGTTGATTGTTATGTTGGAGACAAGACCTTATTGTTGAAAAAAAATTGTTGAATAAAAATATGAATTCCTTGCTACTTGATCGTGATTTATACTTTGTTTGTCTTAAAAACTTGGCCGCTGGCGAAGAGGCGATGCAAAATTGTTTTGAAACTGGACAGCAATTCACTGATGACCGATCAGCTTGTTTACAGCGATAAGCAAGAAACAATAGAACTACGAATCGCTGTCATGTGTCAAAGAAATTTTAGATCGCTTCCCCGCCAGAGTCCATAAGTAGAGTTGCTATTACTGAAAAGTTTTCTCAAATTAAAGTTGTTTCCTGCATGGTGAATTGTTGTAATATTTTTTAATTTCAATTTTTGATAAAAGCTCTTTTAAAATTTCCAACTTCTGTCACATATTTGTCGATTATCCTAAATAGGGTCTTAAATTATAGTGCATTTAGCGTACAAAACACAAACTGTAAGCGCCCGTGCGCGCGCTTTTCGTCTTAATTTAATATTATCCATCCGCATAGTCGTTTCAAACAGTCTCATTCCTCCAGCCTTCTTACCTTTCTCCGTGCTAATTTATTTTTTAATCTTTCACTACGACAAGCGATGTGGAAATTTTGGGAATGAACCATTTCTCGAAAAGATTCATTTCGTTAATGGTATAATTCACACATCCCTATTTGTTGTAGACTGGAATTTGCTTTCTTGTCCTGTTCGGAACTACAATCCGACATGTATAACTTAATTTAATTATTATAGATCTGAAAAAAACCGTTAATGATTATTCATCTTTCCAGTTCCACAGTTTTATTGTTTTCCATGATGAAACTCAACATAAATAAAATAAATACAAGTTAAATTAACCAACTGTTTTCTTTAGCGATGAAATCAGAGCTAACAAATGGCACGGGTCTCTCGAACAAGATTGCGCTACTTCTGGTGGAAGGTGCAAGGGTTCCCGCCAGGAAACGAAACACTGACGTACGTACTTTGTAGGTATTTTAAATAATTATAATCATTTCATTTATTCCTTACCAGTTTTACTCTTTGTTCGATTTATGCTTCTCATTTGTTCGTATAAAATGGTAAGCAAAGCTAATTCTCTTAAATTAGGGTAAGTGAAGCCCACCTGGTCTCTGTGAGGTAGTTGATTAACGTGATAACTTTTAGGATTGGATTGAAGGGGAGATAGTTGCTAAGAGACCAGGCGACGATGGAAAACAAGAATTTTATATCCATTACATAGACTACAACAAACGACTTGATGAGTGGGTGCATGATGATCAGCTCGACATTAATAAGGTAAATCCTTTGTCTGTTTTGTGAGAGATGTTACAATTATCTACCCTTAAATTCCAGTGTCAAATGATGATGACACGGACAATAACTCTTTAAAGTTATATTTGTCATGTAATCACTAAACAGTACCAGTACCAGTACCAGTACCCGGTACGTAGCAATTCATTTTACATGTGTTATATTTACACGGGAAGGTCTGACACGTAAATTTATTATTTCAGATAAAACTTCCTCAAACAAAGAACTCCAGACCGGTATCTCCCACAGCAATGTTGAACAAAGTGAACAGGAAGAGGAAGATTGAAGAAACTAACGGATACAGCAGTTCCCACAGCACAAACAGCGACACAGACGAAGCCCCACCAATCGTCCCTCCCATCATGCCAGCAGGCCCACCATCTACTGGCAGTCTTAGTCAGAACCAGAACACTTACGACGGTTTAACTCGCATTAAGAACGTCCAGCAAATTGAGATGGGCAGAGCCCGGATGACACCCTGGTACTTCTCCCCGTACCCCCAGGGACTCTGTAATTTACCTGTCATCTACATCTGCGAGTTTTGTCTGAAATATCTCAAGAGTGAAAATTGTCTCAAGCGTCACAAAATAAAATGCAAACTCTACCACCCACCTGGAAATGAAATCTACCGAAAAAACAATATCTCAGTTTTTGAAATTGACGGTCGCAAAAACAAGAACTATGCCCAGAATTTGTGTCTGATAGCCAAGCTGTTTCTTGATCACAAGACTTTGTATTATGACACGGACCCCTTTTTGTTCTATGTCATGACAGAGTACGATCAATTTGGTCTGCATATGGTGGGGTACTTTTCCAAAGAAAAGGAGTCCAGCGAAGACTATAACGTCGCTTGCATTCTTACGCTTCCATGTCATCAAAAGAAGGTAATATTGTTTACCTTAATATTTGTCCAAAATAATTTTTCTTACAATGTAAAATGTACATGTATTTAAGTTTGCAGTAAATAGTAGGCCTAGCGATCTTTAAAACGTATCTTATTCAGCACCGTGAGGAAAGAAACTAACGTATGCTTAATATCAGGGTTACGGCAGACTACTCATAGAGTTCAGTTATCTATTGAGTCAAGTGGAAGGGAAGCTGGGCTCGCCGGAGAAGCCTCTCAGTGATCTCGGATTACTAAGTTATCGGAGTTATTGGAGTAATGCTGTGTTAGAAGCGCTGATTCAGTATCTGGATAGTCCCACTGAGAGCCCGCCCAGTTTAACTATCCTGTAAGTTTTATTTGGTGCGATACAAATTGATATTTGTCTTATTTAAAATGTTTCAAACTGTTTATGTCAGGCGAGAAATCTTCAAGCCTTAAGGCCGATGGCATAGATATAAATGGTTCCTTGGAATTTTGAGGTGCTTTCCGTATAATACAATTTCCCTTTTAATTCAAGAAAACAACTATCGAATACATTATAATAAAAATACGGTGACTAAGTTTAATGTTATTTGTCCACAGAGAGTTGTGTGACCGGCTGTGTATGAAGAAGGAGGACGTGATCAGTACCCTCCAACATCTCAACCTTATCCACTACTACAAGGGACAGTACATTATATGTCTGAGTAATGAAATTATCGATCAGCATCGTAAGAGCATGTTCAGAAGAAAGGTGCGGATTGACGATAAATATTTGCAGTGGCAGCCAAAGGACTGGTCAAAGAGGGGGAAATGGTGACATCAGTCAACTATTGCATCTACAATAGTGATATCCTCCCGGTTTTAATTTTAAATGAATTGTAGATCTGGTGTTATGATCTGCTATTTTAGCATCTTTTGTAATTTTTACGCGTAACATTACTTTTTAATTTTAAATCGAAACCTTTTAACTGATGTAGGAATGGATTGTGTTACAGAGGTCGGAGGTGATTTGGCTAGTAATTCCTAAATGAGATACTTGTCACCGCTGAATATTTTAGCTTTGCATTTTTGAACGAAACTTAACTCCTTCTAGATTCCGTGAATGATCACGAAAATTTTAAACATAGAACTTAATTTAAAACATAATTTTAATTTTAAACATAGAACTTAATTTCCCTAAAATGTGGCTGATCGAACCTCGATGCTCTTCCTACTTTAATATTGAAATGTTTAATTGATCAAATTGAAAGGTGATTATGATAACAGATAAGAACGTATCCACCTGGTAACTTTGATGTATATTCCAAACGAAACTGAAATCTTTATTTTGTAAAACTGCAATGGCCTGTTTTACTATGTACTATATCAAGTTCAATATAATCTAAGAAGCCTATCCAAATCAGAAACTGATCAGTCAATCGTGAAAATATGTCAATATCGAGAGTTCTGCCTTGTGCAGTAAATAGTAAAGATTACCTTTGTTGCTCCAATTACCCAGGTGTCTACGCGTGTCGTGTACTCTGTACTTCGTGACACACTTGTTCCGCAAGTTGATATAGCCATGTATGGCATATGGGAACGGGTAGGGGGGTCTTCTACACTTTTTTACACCAAACATAAAAAAGGCAAAAGTGTAGTTTAAAATAGCCTTAAAAAGTGTAAAAAAGTGACATACCACTTTCACGTAAACCAATGCGAAAAGAGTTGCTCTATCCAGAGCCCTTTCCACTTTCGCTTGCAGTCACGCAGTACACAGTACTCGTAGACTCATGGCTAGGTACGAACGAAAAGAGCACCACGTATTGGTTAATTGGCGAGCCAGGTAAAGTAAATTTAAACGGGTGATAACCGTACAATTGACAATATCCCCAATTTCTGAGCCTTTCGAAGGCTCTACTCAGTTGATTTCGTAAAAGGCGCAAATGCAAAAACAATAATGTCAAAGAAAACAGTAGGCAGTATTCTATACGAATGAAACAGTTTTATAGCTAGACTGATAATTTACTTTGTACTTGATTTTGCATGCACCAAATGTGAAATGGATGTGTCTCTTCTAAAATAAAATATAAAACGGAAACTTGTTTCAACATTCAACGTTCAGATCACTTTTGAGGCACATCAAAAAAGCAAAAAGTAATTGTCCTGTGTATTAGAATACAAAGATTAGTACATTTTAGCTTATGATTAATATTATATTTTTACCTATAGTTTACCTAGAGTACATAATTGTATTGTGTACGTATTTAATTATGATTTTGCAAAAAAATTGACCGACGATGTCAAATGACTTGTGCATATAAATTATGAATGCATTTATAATTTATTGATTCTGAATCTTGAATACATTCAACATTTAAAAACATTTAACTCCGATAAATTTTGATTGACGATGTCAACTCTTTTATTACTAAGCGTTACCTGAGGACCCCAGGCTATTATGTTCATTAACATATAAAATAAAGATTTGGCGGAATGACAGGCTGAGCGCGGCCCAGTAATACTAAGCGGCGCTCATCCTGTCCACAGACATTCCGCCGAATCTTTATTCGGGCTGAGTGCATGAATTGAATTACAATCTCACTCGAACTAAAAAATACAGTGCGGATTTTCAGCTTCATCACGTCGTGACCCCACGGTCGTGGATACAGGAGGAGCCGCGCACTCGTGCGCGGCGGGTCATACAACGTATGACAAAAATTTAGTGCGCGCGCGTGATCAGCATTCACGTAATCGTTTATAATCGCGGCTTCGAAAAAGAACACGTGCACGCTAACTACCAATTGGAAAAAAGTAACGTATACCATACACTGTACACGTTACAAGAGCCGCGCGCTGGGTTGTGAGTTAGATTGTAAAAGCTGATTACTGGATTGTAAAATCTCAAGAAACAAGCGCGTCACGCAGTACGCGTATACACATGGCTATGTGAACACGCGAACCGTGCACTCCGGCCGGCCGGAATGCGCGGACATACCCGGACAGGGGGAGGGGTATGTAAATTTGCGATTTTGGCGCACGTCGTAGATGGCCCCTTACTCATACTGCATACTGCAATGTGCGCAATTTGAAGAGTGTGCTATGGAGGTACAAACTCAAAACTGCGCCTTTTGTGAATTTATAGTAAGGGTTGGTAAATTATGAATGATGGTAAATTTTTCAACCTGTTCTCTAGCTGGCCCTAAACGATTATTCGAAACCTCCAATCTGATTCCAACCCTCACCTTAATTAATTCAATCCCTAACAAAAGCATATGCTGAAACCTAACCCTAACCCTAACGAGAAATTATACCAATTTCCTTATACGGTCATATTACGTGATCGGACAGTTTATCTCGGTAGGGGAGCATTTTAACCCTATCACATATTTTAGGGGAGGGTGATTTGGAATCACCGTCCGAAATACATCGATTCAAGTCGATTTAAATTGTCGCATGTCGGGCCGCCCTTTTAGAAAAATTCCGAAGATCGACTGTAGAGTGACTTACCACGCTCGTAGATTTCATTTACACTAAATCGTTTACGTTAACAAAATTATTATACATTATAGAGCCCCTATACTAGTATTTTGTGTCTCTTGCTTCAACAGGCAACCTTACGCCACTGGTTCTTGGCATTAAGGGGCCATCATTGTTTCAATCATGTAACTGTATATAATTATTATTATTAGCATTGCAAATCGTATCCTCGTTCTCACATGTTTAACCACATCACAATACCTTTCCTTCCTCTGTTTTTTATTGTTTTCCTGTTGTAATCAGTCGATTAGAAGGATCTACAAAATAGTAGGGCCAATTTAGGTAAATCAAATCTAATGAAATAATTTAATTTATCGAAAATCTAGGTAAACTATAGGTAAAAATATGATATTAATCATAAGCTAAAATGTACTAATCTTTGTATTCTAAATGGGGAAAAAGAAGAAACATTGTCAGTCAGTCGAGAAAATTGTCAGTCAGGCTATATGTAAATACTCATTTATGGAAATAAACAAAACCCGAGTATTGTTTGAAAATCAGTCTGATGACCTGACCAAAAATAATACCAGGAATGAGAAATCGTTTGTAAGCATTGTTGCACCAAACTATCTCCAGTTGTGTGTAATATACAGTGCGCCACCGTTATTTGTTTTGAAACTTCCCGCCAGCCACAGTGGCGTAACGTTAGTGGCTGATTTAACTTGCAACGAAAAAGTTGCCCAATTTTCAGTGGCGTAACTCTGCCCCCTAAAATTTTTTGTGTCTCTAAAAAAAAAAAAAAGGTCGGAAACCTTTTTTTGGCGCCTCCCTACAGCTTTTTTGCGCCCCTGGAGCAAAAAAGTGCCCCAAAAATTTTTTTTCACACCGACTAAGCGCTAAATTGGACAGGGGAATACACTAATAAGGCGTTATTTTCAGTGAGAGGTCATAAAATTCAAGAAAAAACCTAGGGGCGACTTTTCGTTGAGAAAGGGCGCCTTTTTGGCGCCCCCTGAGGGTGGCCGGGGCAGCGTTACGCCACTGGCCAGCCAGTCTGAGGTGACTCACTTCTGTGCTGATAATACGCTCGCTTCTCTTGCGGGAAAAATATGCAAATTATCAGCTGTCCACGAGTTTTAGTGCATATAATTCCCGGAAATAGTTATAAACATTAATGCAAAGCCCATAATTTTTCGCCAGCCCACCAATAGATAATGTTCACCCTCAAGTGGCATTTTATTTTCTTAATTTACACCCAATTTTAAGCATAAGGATACAAGGATACAAGGGAAACAAGGATACAAAAGTGGTAATTATTTTATTGAATTCACAATAGTTATATTTCTGAAATAATTTAAAGTTACACAGTTCTAATTATCTACAAATGTGTAGGGATAAGATAGAAATACTATTTTCTTTGAATAGATCGAATTTGTAGAGTTCGATCTTATTTTGAGGATCTATAGCATTGTGCACTGGCCAGTGTTTGAGTGGAAATCTGGGCTCTTATAGTAGGCTGCAAATTGTTTGTTCACAGAGAGAATTGAATGGATTGCTCTTACTGTGGCAGTGAATTTTGTAGAGTTTTATCGGATAGCAAACCGGCTAGGTCAGTGATATTTTTGGGATGGAAGTTAAATTTGTCTCTAACTGAGGAGTAGAGTAAACAGTCAGTTAAAATATGAATTTCGTCCTCAATAGGCTTAAGCCCCTTAAGAAAGTGCACCATCGATGTTCTCTTGGTACTAGGGGGGTTTCGTAACGGTCCCTGTCAATGTAAAGGTTGTGGCAGCTAATACGAAACCTTGTTAAGCTTTTCCGAGCATCAGGGATCTTAACCACTCCTAAGTATGTTTCTGGTTCAAAGTCATGTTTAATTTTATTATAGAATTCTAATTTAGGCAAGGATGCCTTGGCAGATTTTCAGGTGTCTTCTTTTTTCATGTTGTGACTGATTTGGGTAGAGAGCTTAGATTTTGAGGAGGATGAGTGGGGGAAGTTATATTTGGTAAGAAGATTGGAGATGTTGATTGTTGGTATACCAAGGAAGGCCCAGCATAATCTGCTCGTGAAATGCAGCGGAGAGAAGTTCGTTTTCAGTGCTTTCAAGGCAACTATAGTAATCTATTGCAAGTTTGCAGCTTTAAAGAAAAGTGGGTGGCGCCCACTTTCGCCCCAGCAGCCTATATTTGATGCTTTTGAATGGACAGACAAAGACTACTTGATAAACTTAAGGTGGAATCTTTCATAGTGGTCTTGTGAAATGTACTTGAGAGTTGGCTTTGTTATCTGTTTTGGAGAGGTATCTCATGGTTTTTGAGTGGGGACATAAGATTTGGCAGCCATAGAGCAGGATCGGTTTAATTAGAGAGTGGTGTAGAGTTTCTGTCACAACAAAACTGCAATCCTTAGTGACAACACTTTATTTCTCCCAACAATTTGTATCTGGTCCAAGTAAGAGCCTTGTCTCCAATAACTCATCTGGACTTATGTTTCGGAGTGTGCAAAAGCTTCCAGGCCCACACATTCCTTGCCTGTCCGTTTTCAACTCAATTAGCAGTCAAGGACAGAAAGTCATACACCAAATGAGCATTCTATTTTTGTTGTTATAAATTTGTTGATTCTGTAAAATGATCTAAAATTAAATTACTTGTTTCATTGGAAATTTCTTGTTTCATTGAATAAGCTTATAGTATCATATAATAGTGAATCTTGCGGCTAACCTAATTATGATTTATGTACCAACACTGCCTATGCAGTTTGGGAGAGAGAGCTAGGAGGGAGAAAAAGTGAGCCATTTTATGTCAGATTTGTGGTACAAAACCATCAATTAAACCAATTACCACCGGCCGATTTACAAAATTTGCTTATTGGCTTCGTCAGAGTTTTATCAGAAAGTTTCTGATAAAATAAACAGAAGCTATACCGTTTTCTTGATTAAGCTGCTCGGAAATTTCCCACATCCCTGAATGAGTTACATATGGAAGTGAGAGTTTGATTCAGTGTCTGGATTCAAATTAATTTAACTGAAATTCTCTCTGTCATTGCATCATGTATCAAATTGTCATAATTCTATTTGGTAGATCATTCATTTAATATAGTGTGATTGGAACAAGCGAAACTCATATCCAAATTAAAAGTTTCTGTAGATGGTCTAAACCCTATTAATCTGGCAATTTAACTGCTTTTCTGAACTGTCTGAATGGTGCACCTTCCAAAAATAATGTATACATGATACTTTTTATTTGAAGTTGTATTTCCATGTCTTGAACCCTCAAAAATGTAATTTTCGGTTCAATCTTGTACTGTGAAATATCACCATCACATATATAACACATGTCAAAGGTGTATTTATTAATTTTTGTTTTATTAAAAAAATCTTGAAATATATTGTATGACCTAGCAAACCAACATTCTTTCCAGATTGCAATATAATCTTCTAAAAAATGACTATCATTTACAGGCAGCAATGGTTGAGATGAGCACAGCAGTAGAACAATCAAATGATATCCCCCTTAATGATTCTTGTGAACTTATTAAAGGTAGCGTGAACCAATTCTTGTTGCACAACATGAAATTGTTTTTTACAGTGAATATTAACCCTTTATGTTTTCACTTGTTTGCATGAAAAGCATTAATGTAAACAATAGCAATACGATAATATTAGTTCAAAGTTTCGTTGTAATTTCCACTGCACTGAATTATGATTTTACTGATAATTCCTAAACTTTCAGATAGTAAAGAACCAGATCCTATAGCTATCATTACCAATGGTTCTAGTGCAGAAAACAAAGAACCCCTTACCCCACCCCAACTACCTTCAGTACAGTATTCACGCGAGGAAATGTTAATACTTGAAAAAACGGACCTCGCTTTGCTTCGACCCGAATATCTCAATACTATTTTTGATAGGTATAGTAATATTATTTCGAAGCATCCCAAGTATGTTTCGAAACATTTTAAACTTCATTATTCCTCATTATCCAGTTGTTGCATTTAATATAATGAATATATCAGTTAAAGAGTCTATCGAAGATGACGTTTGACTAATAAGCAATCAAATGAAAGCTCGAAATTGTGATAAGAATTATTAAATTGTGTGGTTATAATTCATTTTAATGTGTTTTAATGTATCTTGATAGTACTTTCTACGCAGAGAAGGGCGCTGGGACCCGATGGCTTGGCACTGTGGACAACCTCTGGTTGAAGCAGAAACACCACCCGTCGGCACTCTTGAATTCAGAAAGCGAACTCGCTCCAATGCTGCAGACAGTAAGGATTTAGAAGTCATACTTTCACCGCAGCGGATGAGTTTCGGTAATGGATGTGCAGGAAGCAAAATACCGCCACCATCAGACAGTAGCAATTCAAATACCAAGCGCCTAAACGGACTCTTACCGAAAACTAAATTCGATAAAAATGCTTCTGAAAGGACTCGAGATCCTGATCGAGAAAAACATCTTCAAAAAATTAATGGCAATTATTCTGGAAATAGAGAGCAAATTCGAAAAGCTATAAGAGATTTGCACGAGAATAGAGATAGAAATAAAGACGGTACTGTACCTACTAAGGTTTGTAAATATCTTTTTCTTTTGTAATTGAATTATTTCATCATGTGCTGTACTTTATTCTGAACCTTTTTGAATACCATTAATGGAGCACTAAGGGTGTGCCATGATTTTTTGAATGGTGAGAAATTCAGAGATTTAACTATTTTTGCCATTCATATATTTAATTATTATCGGATGTTTTTTAAAGTCACCAGTTTTTATGTTTTAATTTGTTTTATAGATGTACATTGACCGTTCTTCGCTGTCACGTTGATGATCATTACACGTTAATTGTGCTGTGTTCGGAAGCGCCTTTCTGATTTGAATGTGACTCCATGTACAAATATCGATCACCGCGATTATAAATAGCCCACAATCACCATTTCATAACAGCACTGCAATTAGCAATAATTGTACCCGTGGTAGTTTGATAATCTAATACAGCTACAGGGAATACAAACTGTAATCTGAATAGAGACTGAATTATCGCAGCTGTACCTGTATAATTATTACATTCCATCTCTTGCCAGACTTTAGCACACACGTGATGTCACGTGATCTTGCTAACGAGGCTAAGAAGCGCCGTGCCGTCTACTGCCAATTCTATTTTGAGAATCCAAACTAAACAAAATTAACGCCGTTTGGACAGGCGTGAAATAGTGTTATCACCCACCCATGTTATCCGTCGAAACATGGTAATTAACATTTAACATACATGTTTTATGGAAATTAGGAATTGCTCTCTCTCCGGTTCAACGAAGTGGTTAAATGCGTGGTGTAATTTTAACGATAATAAATAAAAGCATTAAAAGGTCATTTCACAATCCACATTGTGCAAGATTCAAGAAAGAATGACTGGTTTAGCTCTTTAGGAGTTTCAGAATATCTTTCCGTACTTAAAATAGAACAATATAATAGAACCCAATAGAACAATATAATAGAACCACCTGACCCTGAGTTCAGCATGCTTCAGTGCACGAGATTGAGAATAAGTTAAACTTTTCTACTACATCACTCGGACGAAAGGGCGTGTTTATAATTAAGATTCTTATTTTCTGTAATTTAGTGTAATTAAGAATTTAGGGCTCATTTTTAGAGTGCCATACTTTTTATGACACTCACACCGTAATCTACCGGTACGAAGCGAAGTTATCCTTAGCTCTGTCGCAACTTAGATGTCGAACTCATATTATCAGCGCCGAAGTTGACAGATTACTAAAAAATGTATTAAAATTTATCCTGAGAACATCATATTCCACTTAAACATAAGGATGTACTTATTACCTATTCAATAAGCTCATTACAGTAAACCACAGCTTACTGCAGTACAGTACATGCCATGCTTCAATAACTTTGTTCAACTGCGGTTAGTGGTATGTGTACTCATGAGTCATGATGAGCAAATGGCATGCATACTATAGTCTAACATGAGTCGAGATGTGAGTACGTGACAGAAGCGAGCACTTGTGATATGACGAGGATAATGGAAAGAGTTAGCACTCTCCATTCTCTTAGTTTAACCTCAATATTAATAATAAATATCTTTTTAACCTCAATAAATGTAAATCTTATGTTTCAGGAGGAAGAGGAAATGTGGTTAAGAAACCAAGAGTACGCCTCCGACTACAGGCCCGAACCGTACAAAGAACCGTACAAGGAACCTTACAAAGAACCGTACAAGGAACCTTACAAAGAACCTTACAAGGAACCTTACAATAAGACTTATAAAGATACTAAATACTCTTCTTCGGTAAGATTTATCATTAATACCACAATTTACTGTTGTTATTTGTATTAAATTCACAGAATAAGTCTTATTTTCTGATTTCTTTGTCAAGTTGATCATGAGCTATATAATAGGTCAAATGCTTAGAAGATATTATATACCACGAAAATAAGGTAGAATTTGTGTTGCTTTGTGCACACATCTGCATTTAGCTGGTACTGTGTTGCAGAATGTAACAACCACGCATTGCATCATCTGTTGTATAGCACAGTAGCGTACCCGGAAATCAGAACAACTTTTAAGTTACGTAATTCATGCGCCGTGTACAGTGTAGACCCTCTCTCTCTCTCTCTCTCTCTCTCTCTCTCTCTCTCTCTCTCTCTCTCTCTCTCTCTCTCTCTCTCTCTCTCTCTCTCTCTCTCTCTCTCTCTCTCTCTCTCTCTCTCTCTCTCTCTCTCTCTCTCTCTCTCTATCTCTCTCTCTCTCTCTCTATCTCTCTATCTCTCTATCTCTCTCTCTCTCTCTCTCTCTCTCTCTCTCTCTCTCTCTCTCTCTCTCTCTCTCTGTGTAGACCCACACACAGATATTATAATTAATCTTCCATCCTTAACACAATGAACTGTCTATGTATTTCTAAGGGAGGTTTAGACGCTTAATTTTATAATTTCTACGTCAACATTTTTGATTTCGAAATTTGGCTTTGACCAGAAAATGCAGTAAATGTAAATTTGTTCCGTAAACGAGAGTAAATTTTATTTAGAAAATCCCGTTTTAAAAATTATATTAATTCGGGGGGGGGGGGGGGGGGGGGGGGGGGGTGGGGTGGGTCATATTTTCTTCCAAAACGCAGTTAGTACTTTTGAACTAAGTGGTGGGTCTGCTACTCATTTCCCAGAAAAACAGTTAGTACATGGTACTAAGGGGGGTGTCCAACCCCAAAAAAACCCATTTTACCTCAAATTTCAATTTTGGGAATTGGTTTGGAGGTTTTTCCCTTTTTTTTGGGTTTTTTTTAAATTTCCCTTTTTGTAACTTTTTATCTAATTCGACTACATTGAAAACAAAACCCCTACTAAATAATGGGTATAATTTGCCCATTTCCCAATGTTTAATGAGCTGTTTAAAGCAATGTATGGGGGGGGGGGGGGGGGGGGGGGGGCCAATGGCATAAATGGAGAAAATGGAGAATTACTCATAGGTTTTTCCATTTTCTCCATAGAAATAGTCTGCATTTTATGCCATTTTATGCCATTTTATGCCATTTTATGCCATTTTATGCCATTGAAAACCTGAAAAATTTAGAATTTCGAGAAAAATTATTTTAAAAAAAGATATTTTCGGCCAATAATGAACAGAGTATCATGAAACATGGAGAAAAGTGGTTTTCAGAAAAACTTTGAATTTATGTAGACTTAGAAAATGTTCGGTCCGAGTCATTTTCGATACGTACCTCCCGTTTCGAGAGCTCCCGATTCCGAGCTCGTGTTGCAAAGGGGAGGCCTGCCTTCCGAGATCGCATTACCTCGAGTCCAAAATTGTGTATCGAGGGGAAGGTGTGGACTTCAAAAAACCGAAAAAATATTTTCGGCTTAAAATGAACAAGGTAGCATGAAACGTGGAGAAAAGTGTTTTTCAGAAAAACTTTGAAAAATGTTGACTTAGAAATTACCCCTCGGTACACAATTTTGGACTCGAGGCTTCCCCCTGGTAATGCGATCTCGGAAGGCAGGCCTCCCCTTTGCAACACGAGCTCGGAATCGGGAGCTCTCGATACGAGAGGTACGTACTACGTATCGAGAATGACTCGGGCCGAAAATTTTCTAAGTCAAAATTTTTCAAAGTTTTTCTAAAAACCACTTTTCTCCACGTTTTATGCTACCCTCTTCATTATAAGCCGAAATTGTTTTTTTGGTTTTTCGGTTTATCGAAGTCTGCACCTACCCCTCGATACACAAATTTGGACTCGAGGCTTCCCCCTGGTAATGCGATCTCGGAAGGCAGGCCTCCCCTTTGCAGTGCGAGCTTGTTTCGACTGTCGAGGATGTAGGTCTCACTTCTCAGTGCCTATTACTGTCCCTTATTACTCACTCCTGCTGTACCCTGTAGAAATAACTTTACACTAGGCTTGAGTAATTATGAGTTTGCCTGAAGTGTGCCTCTACTAACCTAGTATAAGCATCTAGTAGCCTACTATGAGCTTTCATAAGCTTGTTACGCCCCTAGTAAGCGTAAATAAACATGTTAGGATGTCCAATTTAGGTGTTAAGGGGGGGGCCAATGGATATTTTTTTGTGAAACTTGATTTCGAGATAGCAGTTGACCAACAAACTAGGACCGGTGACCAAACTTTTGAGGGGGTCCCGGACCCCAACCGCCAAACGGTGCCTGCAGGGCAGCCACGCCCATATTTGGTCCAAATTAGGCCCAATTTAGCCAAATACCCTGAACATGCCCAAAACCCAAATTTTAGGTGCTCTACTTGTAGCTAGTGGTCTCCTGAACTCGTATATGAAATTTCATCAAGATTGGACAAAAAATGACTGAGTTATGAGCCAAAAACCATATGCCCATATTTGGGCATACGCACCAAATTTGGTAGATTTCGTCCCATAAATTGGTCAAATATCAATATTTTTCACTGAAACTTACTTTATATGAAAGGTAAGCCTAAACTACATATTCTCTGTAAGTTATAGCTTTATATCTGTTTAAATGTGGATACTAAGGCGAAAAGACCACAAAAAATGAACTAAATTGCCCATATCTTGGTTCGCGATATTCGCGGAATTGATCTCATTAAAATTGTAACAACTCGATCAGTTTTCAAAATTTTTCCATGAAATTTTCGGAATCGACTCGAAATCGCATTTCCACCTTAGTTTGAGAACAGATTTTTGATTTAGGCCTCCAAAAAAATTTGGCGGCCAAATTCCAAAATTTTCCCGGAGAAATTCAGAATTTGGCCGCCAAATTTTTTTTGAGGCCTTAATCAAAAATCTGTTCTCAAACTAAGGTGGAAATGCGATTTCGAGTCGATTCCGAAAATTTCATGGAAAAATTTTGAAAACTGATTGAGTTGTTACAATTTTAATGAGATCAATTCTGCGAATATCGCGAACCAAGATATGGGCAATTTAGTTCATTTTTTGTGGTCTTTTCGCCTTAGTATCCACATTTAAACAGATATAAAGCTATAACTTACAGAGAATATGTAGTTTAGGCTTACCTTTCATATAAAGTAAGTTTCAGTGAAAAATATTGATATTTGACCAATTTATGGGACGAAATCTACCAAATTTGGTGCGTATGCCCAAATATGGGCATATGGTTTTTGGCTCATAACTCAGTCATTTTTTGTCCAATCTTGATGAAATTTCATATACGAGTTCAGGAGACCACTAGCTACAAGTAGAGCACCTAAAATTTGGGTTTTGGGCATGTTCAGGGTATTTGGCTAAATTGGGCCTAATTTGGACCAAATATGGGCGTGGCTGCCCTGCAGGCACCGTTTGGCGGTTAGGGTCCGGGACCCCCTCAAAAGTTCGGTCACTGGTCCTAGTTTGTTGGTCAACTGCTATCTCGAAATCAAGTTTCACAAAAAAATATCCATTGGCCCCCCCCCCCCTTAAATGGTGGTAAAGATGAAATTTCGAAGACAAAATGCATGGCATAAAATGGAGAAAATGGAGAATTACTCATGGGTTTTTCCATTTTCTCCATAGAAAAAGTCTCCATTTTATGCCATTTTATGCCATTTTATGCCATTGGCCCCCCCCCCCAATGTATGGGTGGGTATCTTATTTTTTACTTAACCCGGCCTTCGGCCGGGATTTCACTGCTGCAGTTAAAAAGGGTAGGAGTAATTACCCGCTGAGTCAAAACCCGCATTAGGTGAGAAATTCTATTCGGAGTGTCCTCACGTATCCAATAGTATCTTAAACAATAGGGTAAAGCACATAATTTTGTCATTTTTTGGCAATTTTCCGACTGCCTGATATAAACCATGGGTTTTAACCTCGTCTGAAATTCCGATTTAGATGAAACCTCCACCATGTTATAGTAGACAGTCTAGGCAAGTTCTAACACAAAAATGAGCGAAATTGCTGGGGTTGAAGATGTTCAAAAAAATTATTTTGAAAAAATGACAAAATTAGGTGACTTTACTTAATTTTGTCACCCCGAACCTAATTTTGTCATTTGAAGATTGTGCAAAAAGTAACCGTTTCTCGGTATTTTAGACTACCTGGATGCATCATTCGAGCGCTTTTTTACCAACATTGACCTCAAAAATCCCAAAGATATGATGTTTTCATAGTTTTGTAGCTTGATGAAAAGATGACACTTTTTGGATATCTAATCTTAGAAAATAGCCCCAAATGCCCCTGAAACCACTGGCATCTTGAAAAACGATTGGTTCTAGGCCTAGGTTGAAATTTTCATGTCTGTAGATAGATCACTTGCTTAGTAATTTCTTCAAATATTTTTTTAGTCATTTTAGATTGAAAAAATCAGATTATCCACCTAATATTTCTCGGCGAAAAATATGCTATTATAAGTGTTATGCTATTATAAGTGCCTTATACATATCCTATGGGCAAAAAAACTTCAGAATAGTTGTATAAGGCCATTTTCAACACAATCTGTGATTTACAAGAAATTTGAGAAAGGTCGATTTTTTTGACAAAATTAGGTACTTTTGGCAAAATCGAACCTAATTTTGTCACCCTCTGTAACTTGAACAATAATTGCGCTAGAGACTTGAAAATTTGTACGTATACTTCTGCTGTAGAAGATATTTGAAATATGCAATGGCATGAAGCTAGCTCAATTACTTTTGAAATAGCAATAAATCAAAATTTTGAAAATTCCTTAAGAAAACCTTAAGGATCTTATTTATTTTTCGGGTTAACAGTTTTGCCTTCATTTTTGACACAGATGCAAAAGAGCTAGAAACTTAAACTTTGTACGAGCAGTTTTAGCAAAGTCTAAGCTTTCTTTTTATACACAATCCTTTTCTTTCAAGCTGAAATTCCGAGCCGAGGCAGTTTTTCAGAGCAAAATGACAAAATTAGGTACCCTGACAAAATGATGTGCCTTACCCTAGTATCTTAAACAATAATCAATAGAAATTAACCCTTATTAACACCGCTTCGCATGACCCGCATATTTGAAAACATGCATTACATTGTCGTATTAAAGTATGAACTCTCTCTACAGTCCAAACAGACCGCTAATGGCAATCCCTCCCCTAATAAGTTTATAGTATTCATGACAGTGAAATTATGATATATGTACCAAGGCTACATAACATGCAGTAATGGGAGAGAGAGAGAGAGAGAGAGAGAGAGAGAGAGCGAGCCCCGTAACTCTTACCGTTTTCATGATTTAGCTGCTCAAGCCATTTTATGTATCATTTGTGGTACAAAACCATCAATTAAACCACTTAACACCGGCCGATCTTTAAAACATTTGCTTATGGGCTTCGTCAGAGTTTTGTCGACACTCTACCGAAAAACCAGTCCCGTAACTCTTACCGTTTTTTAATATAACCGCACGGAAATTACACACGTACACACAGTACACAGACGATCAGACACACTTACATTCTGAGATTATTGTTTAAGATACCAAGACACAGTTAGTACCGTGATTTCTCAACAGTTAGTACCGTGATTTCTCAACAGTTAGTACCGCGAAGGGGGTGGTTGGGTCTTTTTTGTAAATTTTTGTAAATTTCAAAGTTGCACTTAGTTTAAGTCACGTACGGCACTTGGTACCTGATCCCCCCCCCCCCCCCCCCCGGTGTAATTAGTACATACATGGTAGATGTACCATGACGACACCACTCACCCTCCATGGTATTACCCAACGTGAGCAACTTGCAATCACCTAATCACCTCACAAACCTGCAATCTTCCCCAATCTCGTCAGCAATAAGTAGGGAGCGCCGACTCCGCGGTTAATTGCTGGTGAGGGCGTTTGGGGCGTTTCCTCCTGCCACCTTAGTCATCTTATGATGGGCTTACAAGGTACATTGCGCTAAAGGCGGCATAAATAAGTAGAATATCAGGCTGTATGTAGCTAATCAGTTATGATTAAGATGTGTGTATTATTTAGCGTATCTTGATAAGCCCAAAATGATAATGGCTGCTTCTATTAACCATGCATTTCCGGTTTGAATCAAGAAAGTCATTTTAGTATTTGTGCAATGTGCCTTTGTTATGACACACAAATGGCATATGCGTTCATGTCAACATATTTGGCAATGCGTGTGTTAAAATGTATAAAAATATGCGCTATCAATATTTACATAACCGCACGGCGCACAGCTGGCATGTACCTGACGTCCTGACACTGCGATAAATTCAATCGGGTACGCTTTCAGGAATAGAATTGTGATGTAACAGAAATTTCGGAGCTAATATTATCAAAAGAAAAAGAGTTGTATGTAAGCCAAACGATTCTTTTGCTATAGAAAACATGGCTTCTCACCAAAGTGAAAAACTTATAAATATATCCAAGACTAAGGGAAACATTTAAACTATAAGTGCTATGTATATGTAGGAGCTAAGGTGACTAGTTGCGTAATACCAATTACCGAAGGGTCCGCAGACTGAAGAAATATTTGTTGCAGTTGCAATGGTTTTAAAAATTACTAAGGACGTTTTAAAGTTTATATTTTGTCCAAGAATAAGCGGAAAATCTAACGTATTATATACACTTCTTAAACTTTAATTTATTATTATTATTATAATTCTGGGATACCCGATACATCTGCAAATGTGTTATTTGTGCTAAAAATAAATGTTTTGGATTTATCTGCAAAATTTATCTGCAGAACTTGTGGAGGAGCTGAAGAAATTCAGATATAATTAGATTTTACTGATTACAAGTTCTGTGGGCTCACTGTACCATTTAAGCATCGTCTTTAATTTTAGGATCTAACTTGAGTTTTATTTCAGAACGGAATGTATGACCGTGCAAGTATGAAGAGAAACTGGAACCCACGTCGCAATAGTGAGAGGAGTGTAGATGATGAGCCCGAGTGGTTTACCTCCGGACCCACTTCTCGATTAGACACTATTGAGCTCAAAGGCTTTGAGGGTGGGTACAATTTCTCTATCTATTTAACAATTTACTGCACTAATAATTTCACTAGTACTCATTTCACTGTTCACTGCACAGTACAAAGCGTAAAACGCCCTCTTTCTTGGCTTCTCCTTTGTCAAAGCCAGGTGTTACTGTTTACTTCAATCAGTTCGCTAACACAAATCCCTAGCTACAGGATTTACTCGTAGTTATGAAGGAATAAATTATAACTGTTCCTGTGACAAACTAAGAACCTGCAGAAGATCCAAATTTAGTCTGAAATTAGTAGGCTCAAAATAAAATGCCCAACGAAATTATGTCATCTGTACACCATATTCCTATAGTATCTGTCAAGCTACATATGAAGTTTCACTGCTTGTGCAAACACATCATGGAATGAGCATTTATTCAAAGTTCGGAACTTATTTTGAGAAACTTTGTTTGTATCCAGGCCGAGCTGACAAGTAAACAGGGCCTAAACCTCAAATTTAACTTTTTGTACTAGCAGAATTTTGAGGCTAATGCGGTGAAAGTCTCCAAATGGTTGCACTTTCGTTGCGCGCACTTGACTTTATCGCGCATTATATATTCCCTTATCTCTTATTGTCACACCTCGACTTCTTCACTTATTCCTTATTGTTCTAACAATATTATTTTTATTCCAATCCTGAGTCCAAACCAGAATTTAACCCACTGTTTTCAATTTCAGATGATGATAAACTCCATCCAACAGAAGTCACCAATAACAAAGACGAATCCAGCAGCAAAGGAAGAGACGACGAACTAGCCATGGACCCTCTAGGAAATCCCGAAATGACAAGCGCCTCTAATACATGTAAGATGTGTTTGTATCATTAAAAGTGATTTATTTTTCAAGATTCTTTATCTGATATTTGATGGTGAAATGTCAGAGATTCTAAACTGTACGCTTCACTTCAGATGCTAACGAAAGCAGCTATAGTACAGGTCTGCAGGAAGACTGGGACCCCACGCATCCCAAGTTTAACGTTGATGCTTTACTCGACCCAGACGCTTTTGTTGAGGGAGGAAAGGTAGTACAAGTTCACTTAGATTCTGTATTGTTGTCGATGTGCTCTTTCCTGTCGGTAATATTTTGTTGAAACACTTTCTCCAGCAAAGCTTTTCATTCAGGACCTTCTGGAAGCTGAGAAGAGTATTAACATGTCCAATAATCGTGGAGTGCCCATGCCAATGGAATTCTGGTCAGGATCTCACAACACGAGCAGCCCCAAAGAGTTCCAAGGTCCTCCGGGACAGCCAAGACCTGACGGTCGTTCTCCGCCCAATCCTAACAAAGAGGGTCCAGGTAAACTGCTCGCTTCTCCCTACAGTCTTAATATAAGCTTGTGGCAATGCATTTAATCTCATTGTAACACCGTTACGTACAATTTAATTGGTATCCGGACAGGACTTAGAGTAGACTGAAGCTTCGTAGTAATTTAAAAAACGAGAGGACAGTTTCGTGGCATTAAAAATCGAATTTGAAATGACCTTATTATTAGAAACACTGCATAAATTAAAAATGTCGATTTCGAAAAAGTCTCAAAAATGTATCCCGGAATATTCCCGACCGCCTAAACTTCTATACCAATAAGTAGTACCATTTTACACATAAAAAAGTGGAGCAGAAATTTCTTTTCCCAAAAAATTAATTCACTATATGTTGAACATTTTAATTTACTAATACTCTATCCTAAGAATTCTTATGGTACAGGCGCGGCTTATCTTCATCCTCGTAAAATGATTTAATTGATCAACAATTCACTTTTTTTAACACGTACGTTAACAAAAACACAATGCACTGACTGTAAGGAGTTACAAGTTGTTTGATAAATATCGGATATGCAATATGCATGACATCAAAGCGCAGAATTTAAAAAACACAAATCGAGAAAACTTCTAATAATACTTGCACAACTGAACCATTCCATTTTACAAGGACACCCTCACTAATCACTATGTGCAAATTTTTTCACAAATTTTCGCATCATTTCAGCTCATTTTGTCGCTGATGCAGTTCATTTCGGCGAAAATATGGCAACAAGCAATCTGAAGGCAATGCTTGGAGTCCATGAACCAACCGCAGGGTATGCTTTTTTAAATCTGCTAGTATTAACAGCTGTTTTATCAGGATATATCGCTGGAATGCAGTATCCTGATGGGACGTTTAGGTAAACACCTTTCTTATCTAAACTGCATAAGTTCAAATCTCGCGTGAATCATTTAAAAATGTGTATCGTGATTTGCCTGTCAAAGTTTGCATGGATTAACAGTATCATTTATCCTCAGACCTGAGCAAAACCAAATGGGTGTACACCCAGGAGCCCCAGGAGCCCCTGGACCACCTCCACCCGGACACCCCATGTTCGATGCTCGAAATGGAAACAATCGTCCCAATCTGGAGGACGATCCAGTTATTCGCCAGCTCCTTCAGAACAACGATAAGCACCCCAACTTGAAACCGTGAGTAAAATCCTTTCGTATCACTTATATGTTTTAAATATCCCCCTCCAGGTAAAATCCTTACTATTTTACTGATATTTTGTGATATTCTGTGTTCTGATTTAAGAAACCGTGAGTAAAATCCTTTCTATTTTACTGATATTTTGTGATATTCTGTGTTCTGATTTAAGACTTTAAATATGATTTAACCATTGAAACGCAGTCTTAACTTAAAACGCATTGTTAACTAAAATATGAGAATAGAAAATAAACTGCGAAATAATCTATAAAAAGCTATATGAGGCACAGTCAAAAGGACCTGTATAATTCACTAGAACAGAATTTTACAATTTTCAGACCACTCTTGATCTTATGTTAACTCTTGCTACAAGATAATAAAGACAATAAATTGTCAAAAGACAAAAAACAACATTTCAAACGCCATGAGTTACAATAAACTGGCCAATATTGGCTACAGTATTCTCTATAGTAATCTCTATAGTTTTGACATTGTTATTGCATTTTGCAAAGGTTGCAGATTGAGATATTCTTGGGTTAATTTTTTCTCCCATCTGTAAAACTGACCATCGCATCTGAATCATTTTTTCCTTTTATAGCTGTGAAGACTGAAGAGGATGTTTCAAGCCGAATCATATATTTGTAATCTGGATCTACTTGTACTTTAACCGTGATCGCTTTCTTCACATTTGCAACCTGAAATACTGCAGACAATTCATTTGACCCGTAACCATGGTTACCATGGTTACAATGTCGGTTGTGTTTTTGGTGTGATGGATGGTGAACTTGCCCTCAACCTATGGAATGAATGATAGATACTGTTCACATCTCTTTTGAGGCTGTTCATTGCATCACTCTGCCACAATATGATGGCATGATCTGAGTTATCTGTGATTGTGTGTTCCGTTGGTGTGTTATTGGGTCTGACCATTTGTGACCTGTAAAAAGGAGGCTTTTAACACTGACCATTTTAGCGTTTAATCGTCCCTTATAAGGCCTTACAGATAAACTAAGTTCGCACGAGTTATAAATAGAATTATTGCAAACAGGGCGGTTTTAGCGTGTAGATCACTTACTTGTTGTCCTTCACAAACACAGTTATCGTAGTGATTATCCCTAAAAGGACCACCACGCCAGCCACTCCGCTCACTACATACACCACTGTCGAAGTACTGCCTGCAAATACCCGCATTAATACGAGATTATCGATCACGTGACCTCTCTTAATATCATATGAATTGGATAGTTTGTATTAATATGATTTGCCATACTCCCTGCCATTAAGAAAGCAGCATTTGTCGCGTCACTCACTATCACACTCGATTCGTAATGAAGTACCCGGAACACTACAAACTAAAGTAAGTGGTGTTTGATCGTCCTGACAGGTGAAGCGGAGTTCTTCCTTGTAAGGGAGAGATGAGATGGAGGGATCGGGCAACTTGGCTTTCTCCGAACTTTTAGTTATAGGACACGTTTCTGAGGAATCAGCAGTTTAGTTAAAGGACTCATATAAAGGGACAATATAAAAGGACTCATTAGCGACAAGAGAAATGCCATTGTTGGACGTGAGGAGAGTGAGGAATCCTCAAACTACATTAAATTAATTCCTTTTATAACAGGATTGAAAAACATAAAACCAACTTTGCTCTGCTAGAGATATGCATTGTTATCTCACTAGTCGACTGTAACTAAATCTTAACGCCCTTTAAAAGTTAATTAATTAAAGTTAATTAATTAATTAGCTAACCGTAGCAGTTGGGCTGGTAGACATCTCCACACTTTGACAAACTAGTTTGGTTGGTCTCTATAGTGTACCCAGAGCCACAGAAGGAGGAGATGGTAGTGTGAGGAGTGACTGTGTACCCCACCGCAGGACTCCTGTATCCTCCTTCCAATCCTTGTACCACACAGACCGCTGAAAATAGTTTTAGTAACTGAACCGGATATTGTATCCCATTAGTTAGTAGTAGATTAGTAGTACCCTCACTATTAATACACATCTTTATCATAATTCTATATTATTCAAGCCTTTTACTACATTTTCTTTTCCAGAATGCTTACTACTTTACCCCTTTAAGTTGAACAATTCTTCAGAATGAAATTTTAAGAACCTGTGCAGTCGGTTTGACTGTCAGAACCAGTCGAGACAGTTTTCAGCCCCTCCGGGCAGAGTTTACACTCAGTACTGCCTGAGAGTGTGGAAAAGGAATGCAGTGGGCATTTCTCGCACATTCCACTGGTCTCGTACCGGCCGGCCCCACATAACACTGCGGGAATTGGAATTATAATGCATGTTTGTGGGACCAAGGATAGGAGTAATTAAGAAACTTAAGGAGTATGAATATTGAATAGCAAGAAGTTGCCATGAGAAAGACCAGATTATGAATATGAAGTAATTTTCTAATTGTACTCCACCACAACTGAGATCGACAACTTGTTGGCCAGCCTCGCAATCAGGAATGATTTCTGTAGTTTCTGTTTTACTGAGAGTAAGGGTGATGATGGCCCTCTTTCTGCTCCCGTCATCCACACTGAATTTGAGACTCGTCTCGGTCTCCAGCTGAGACTTGAACTGTAACATTGTTTGGGGCGAGGTGAGGTCCCCTGCTGTTTGTGTGACGAGAAGTTTCACTTCTAGTCCGTCACTTGTCGAGCTGCATGTAATCTGGGCACGGTATATGGTTGTGTAAATGGTTAGGTAAACTTGTCATATCATATCTTCGGATAATTCATACAAATACAAGCTAGTGCCATTAAAAACATACGTTTCCACTGCTGATGAAGCAGTCGCCAGTATCCATGCAGCTGTAAGCTGGGGAAGTGCTATCTTTAAGGGCAGCAGTAAGGGCAGCACTCAGTGAGGTGCTATCTGCACATTTAGTGGCTCCAAATAACGTCAGTGTAGCATCTAAACTGTATGACTTTGGTGCTACTTTCTCTGGAGAGAGTAAAGTTAGAAAGTAGAATTGGTTAAAGTTAACTGTCTGAAATTTGATCTTATAATAAATGATAGTCAAAGCAGCTAAAAAACATTTTACCTGTGCACGGTGGAAAAGATCCAAGGGAGTTGGAGAGAGACACGTGAGACCATTGAGCAGTGTCAGGATCACATGTCACCATCTGAGAAGTAACCAGATCCATCTCTGACAGGAGGTATAAGTTGTCTGGACACTTGTAGGTGCAGGTAACAGGTGAACTCGAGTGAGAGCAAGTCAGAATACCTGTTCCGGAGTGTAACACTGGACACGTTATATCTGGGAATATTATTAGTTTTACTTATGTACAACTAACAATTAGCGAGGAAAGACCCTCCTTTTTCAAGAGTTAATTTATAAAGTCTCCAACCATAATTATTGATGAGACAGTAAAGTCGATGATAAGGCTTACTCTTGTCAATGGGTTGGATAGTAATGATAGATGAGAGGTTCACTCCCGCCACAGTGAATGTGCAAGTCAACTCGTACGGTTCACTAACCCTGAAATAGAAAGGATGATTTCTAAAAGCGACACTTCAAAGACACTTCAATGATTTAAATACACGCAGTCTGAAGCTGAAGGATATTAAACGAAATGTCAAGAATGATAATGACAAGGACAAGGGATGCAATGACTACGAAAAAACGATATTAGTCGCGAATTTTAGTCTTAAGTCATTGAATGTCACCAAATTGGATGGTAAAGTAAATGATTTTGAATTATCTGATGACCACTAAAAACGAAGTAGACAGAATATTGGGCGATTAGTCTAAATAAGTCGTTGCATCACCCCGTAAACCCTCTTCTAAATTGCTAACGTTTTAATATCAATAGTTGAGTTTAGCTTGCCCTCTACCATCGCACTGTCGCTGATAAGTGCGCCACTACCCGTCTGATTTGTCTTGACTTGCCATGCTACCTTCCCGTCGCTTGATCCCCACACTATGAGCGAACAGTATAGTTGCCGGCCGTCTCCTGTTTCTACTATTATAGTGCTCTCCGAACTTTGCTCGATTGCACCTGGATTGATGCTTATTGAGTACTTATCCTTCAATAGATCCTTGATGAAGTTCTACTGTTATTTTATTAAATTTTCAGCTTCCAAATGCAATGCAGACAAAACATTGTACTAACTGTGCACGATCAGTAGAGTTGAACGGGTAAGTTCTTGTCCAGATATACCACACATGTAACTCCCAACATCCACCTCTGATACGTTAGCTATCTTCAGGACACCTGTAATTCAGTAGGAGATAAAACCCTACTCGCCTGGCCAATGGCCATGTTGACCCTAAAATATTTGTCAAGATATTCCGGGTTCTCAGTTCTTAGTTATTGAAACAATTTCTTACTGGATTTGGTTGCTGACCCACTGTCGTACGATACAGTAACACCTGTCTCCACAACTTTCTCCCCGTGTTTCCATTGAAGCTCCGTCTCCGCTAAGGTTACAAGTGTGCAAATTAATGTGGCTTCTTGACCTTTCTCCGCGAGGGTTTTCGGCGACAACTTTGGTTCTGAGGTACAAATAACTGTGAGGGGTAATGAGCAAGACACTTTGGTTCTGAGGTACAAATAACTTTGAGGGGTTATGAGGTACAAATAACTGTGAGGGGTTATGAGGTACAAATAACTGTGAGGGGTTATGAGATACAAATAACTGTGAGGGGTTAAGGTTATGAGCAAGACACTTTGGTTCTGAGGTACAAATAACTGTGAGGGGTTATGAGGTACAAATAACTGTGAGGGGTTATGAGCAAGACACTTTGGTTCTGAGGTACAAATAACTGTGAGGGGTTATGAGGTACAAATAACTGTGAGGGGTTATAATGAACAAGATACTTTGGTGTTGTGATATTGAAGAATGAACTTTCTAAATTATTCAGAAGTTATAAGAATACAGTTCGATCATACCCTGATAATTCAATTGAAAAGTGTGAGTGTAAGTTTTCATCTCCCCACTGTAACTGTACTTATACAAGCAAGTAACACTTCCAGAAGTTTTTATGAAGTCAGCTGGATAGGTTGCAACTTGTTTTCTGGTAGGATCAGTCTCTGTGGTCGCAACAAAAGCTTGATTTAATCGATCAGTATCTGTTCCAAAGCTATCAGACCATTCCTCTTCCAACAAGGTTTCCTTCCCTGAAATTAAAAGGAAGAATTAAAACGATAATAAGCTTTTCACACCAGAGCCAACGTTTAAAAGATTTTGTTTATCAGCAATATTGGCGGGAAATCTTGTTCCTTCAAACCTGTTTTAGTGTAAGAGCAAATAAAGGAGATGTGAGCAGCAGTGTTGTGATAATAAATAGGACTGGTGAAGGGGGAGAAAACCAGCTCCTTTGTGAAGTACACATTGACTGAATCTGCTGACTGTGTCACTCCAGGAATCTGGCATTTGTAGGACCCGACATCACTCTCCTTACCCTCAACTATCTCTAAAGAATCTGAGAAAGTAAAGTGGTTTAGAAATTTAGAGTGACAAGTAGGTTTCCAACTATATAATATATAATGAATTAAAAATGATGGACAAAACTAACTTGATAAAGTTGAAGTGTCTGTAGAGAAAGAAGAAACTCCAGGAATGTCAGTAGTGTCGTCTTTTCTCCAGGTCAGGGTTGTGGAGCTATCAGTTTTAACTCTACACACCAGTGTCACTGTACTTCCTATCTCTTCTACCACCACAAGAGGTTCTGTTATCGAGATAGCTGAGGTGGAAATATGTTAATTCAACAAGCCTTCAGTAGACTTTCAGCTTGCAAGGTCAAAACTGGCTTTACTTGAAATATGGAAACTAAAAAAAGAGGTCATCACAATAACATACCTTCCACACTAATTTGAAAAGTGTGAGTGTAAGTTTTCATCTCCCCACTGTAACTGTACTTATACAAGCAAGTAACACTTCCAGAAGTTTGTAAGAAGTCTGCTGGATAAGTTGCAACTTGTTTTCTGGTAGGATCAGTCTCTGTGGTTTTAACAAAAGCTTGATTTAATCGATCAGTATCTGTTCCAAAGCTATCAGACCATTCCTCTTCCGACAAGGTTTCTTTCCCTGAAATTAAAAGGAAGAATTAAAACGATAAATAAGCTTTTCACACCAGAGCCAAGATTTAAAAAGTGATGTTAATCAAAAATACTGGCGGGAAATCTTGTTCCCTGAAACCTGTTTTAGTGTAAGAGCAAGTAAAGGAGATGTGAGCAGCAGTGTTGTGATGATAGATAGGACTGGTGGAGGGGGAGAAAACCAGCTCCTTTGTGAAGTACACATTGACTGAATCTGCTGACTGTGTCACTCCAGGAATCTGGCATTTGTAGGACCCGACATCACTCTCCTTACCCTCAAGTATCTCTAAAGAATCTGAGAAAGTAAAGTGGTTTAGAAATTTAGAGTGACAAATAGGTTTCCAACTATATAATATATGAATTAAAAAGGATGGACAAAACTAACTTGATAAAGTTGAAGTGTCTGTAGAGAAAGAAGAAACTCCAGGAATGTCAGTAGTGTCGTCTTTTCTCCAGTTCAGGGTTGTGGAGCTATCAGTTTTAACACTACACACCAGTGTCACTGTACTTCCTATCTCTTCTACCACCACACGAGGTTCTGTTATCGAGATAGCTGAGGTGGAAATATGTTAATTCAACAAGTAAAGCATTCAGTTGACTTTCAGCTTGCAAGGTCAAAACTGGCTTTACTTGAAATATGGAAACTAAAAAAAGAGTTCATTACAATAACAAACCTTCCACACTAATTTGAAAAGTGTGAGTGTAAGTTTTCATCTCCCCACTGTAACTGTACTTATACAAGCAAGTAACACTTCCAGAAGTTTGTAAGAAGTCTGCTGGATAAGTTGCAACTTGTTTTCTGGTAGGATCAGTCTCTGTGGTCGCAACAAAAGCTTGATTTAATCGATCAGTATCTGTTCCAAAGCTATCAGACCATTCCTCTTCCGACAAGGTTTCTTTTCCTGAAAAAGTGGTTGAGCGGTTTTAAATGCCTAAAAGTAAAATATTAAAAAGGGCGAATGATCGGAAAGTTCATTTGCCAGAAACGTAGGCGGATATACATTATACAAACCTGTTTTAGTGTAAGAGCAAGTAAAGGAGATGTGAGCAGCAGTGTTGTGATGATAGATAGGACTGGTGAAGGGGGAGAAAACCAGCTCCTTTGTGAAGTACACAGTGACTGAATCTGCTGACTGTGTCACTCCAGGAATCTGGCATTTGTAGGACCCGACATCACTCTCCTTACCCTCAACTATCTCTAAAGAATCTGAGAAAGGAAAGTGGTTTAGAAATTTAGAGTGACAAGTAGGTTTCCAACTATATAATATATGGATTAAAAATGATGGACAAAACTGACTTGATAAAGTTGAAGTGTCTGCAGAGAAAGAAGAAACTCCAGGAATGTCAGTAGTGTCGTCTTTTTTCCATGTCAGGGTTGTGGAGCTATCAGTTTTAACACTACACACCAGTGTCACTGTACTTCCTATCTCTTCTACCACCACAAGAGGTTCTGTTATCTCGATAGCTGAGGTGGAAATATGTTAATTCAACAAGCCTTCAGTAGGCTTGCAAGGTCAAAACTGGCTTTACTTGAAATATGGAAACTAAAAAAAGAGGTCATCACAATAACATACCTTCCACACTAATTTGAAAAGTGTGAGTGTAAGTTTTCATCTCCCCACTGTAACTGTACTTATACAAGCAAGTAACACTTCCAGAAGTTTGTAAGAAGTCTGCTGGATAAGTTGCAACTTGTTTTCTGGTAGGATCAGTCTCTGTGGTTTTAACAAAAGCTTGATTTAATCGATCAGTATCTGTTCCAAAGCTATCAGACCATTCCTCTTCCGACAAGGTTTCTTTCCCTGAAATTAAAAGGAAGAATTAAAACGATAATAAGCTTTTCACACGAAAGCCAACTTTTAAAAGATTTTGTTTATCAGCAATATTGGCGGGAAGTCTTGTTCCTTGACACCTGTTTTAGTGTAAGAGCAAGTAAAGGAGATGTGAGCAGCAGTGTTGTGATGATAAATAGGACTGGTGGAGGGGGAGAAAACCAGCTCCTTTGTGAAGTACACATTGACTGAATCTGCTGACTGTGTCACTCCAGGAATCTGGCATTTGTAGGACCCGACATCACTCTCCTTACCCTCAACTATCTCTAAAGAATCTGAGGAACGAAAGTGGTTTAGAAATTTAGAGTGACAAGTAGGTTTCCAACTATATAATATATGTATTAAAAATGATGGACAAAACTAACTTGATAAAGTTGAAGTGTCTGTAGAGAAAGAAGAAACTCCAGGAATGTCAGTAGTGTCGTCTTTTCTCCAGGTCAGGGTTGAGGAGCTATCAGTTTTAACACTACACACCAGTGTCACTGTACTTCCTATCTCTTCTACCACCACACGAGGTTCTGTTATCGAGATAGCTGGGGTGGAAACATGTATTTAAGATTAATGAACTGTCATATTTCAATACTGCCTACACCTTAAATAGTGGTTTATAGATCCTCCAAACATGTGCATTAAGCTACTAACTGTACCTACCCTCAAGTTTAATCTGAAAGGTGTGAGTGAAAGTTTTCTCCTCGCCACTAATAGTATACTTATACAAGCAAGTAACACTTCCAGAAGTTTTTATGAAGTCTGCTGGATAAGTTGCAACTTGTTTTCTGGTAGGATCAGTGTCGGTGGTCGCAACAAAAGCTTGATTTAATCGATCAGTATCTGTTCCAAAGCTATCAGACCATTCCTCATCTGTGAGAGTGTCCCCACCTATAATGGAATGTGTGTGTTAGTTCTGCATCTTATATTGGAGGGAGGGGTACATTGTTTCAACTGACTTATTCTTATCTTAAATCAGCAGAGTACCTGTTTTGGTGTAGGTACAAGTCAGTTTCAACTCTTTGCTACTGTCATGAATGTAAATCAGTACATTACTGGGAGCTGCAGTCAGATCTGAATTAAAATCACATTGAAGCTTTACGTCGGGGGTTTACGTCGCTAGGCAGCTAACATTTCGTCAATTCAAGGAATGATATAGTAGAGCTTTTCGTCTAGAAGTGAACAAATTGGAGCTTATGTATAACAAATATATGGAGCTCTGTTTAATGACAAGAATCTGAAAATGACTCACCACTGAGGGCCGTTTGTCCTAACAAAAAGAAAGTCACCAGTGTTAACATTGCTTTCGTCTCATCTCCTTCAGTTTATATGCCAGTTACTCTACTAAATCTAGTTATAAATTCGCAAATCAGTTCAAACTTAGTAAAAAAGAAAAGTGAAAGGTATCTGAATAAGGAAAGATGTCTTCAGAGGCAATTTGACAAACTATTTTACGGGCAAAAGTTTAAAAAAGATCTTGAATATGTCGTTCAGAAACAAAGGACCGATATAGACATTCTAAAAGACGAAAGAAGCTACGTTACTGTGAAAATGGGTGCGCCAGCCTTAACCCTAACCGTTTCAACCAAACAGACGAGGGTTCTTTTGTTTAATGTGCCGACAAGTTTTGCATCGTTTGTTATCAGAAATTGTGTCTGTCTGAGACCACTAAGTATTATTTCTAAGCAAAAGCTACGAAAGATTTACAGAGAGTAAGTAAATGCAAATATACACTGCTTTATGAATATCCAGTCAGATGTAGGCCAATTTTTACTGCCAATTGCTTGAATTTTTGGCTAAAAAAATCGTTAATATTATCGTACGCCATTTCCACATTTTGAAAGATTTTTAATTATTGTCTTCAGCATATGTAATGTACCAGCTGATAATTTATGATAAATAACAAATAAATAAACAGAATTTCATGACACTTGATTTTGGGTCAATTATAATAGCCTGGTGGACCACTTGCACTGTGTAATGGTAGATAATATGATGGGATATACCCTCTTGTATTTAATACAAGGATTATCTGGCAATCTGGCATATTGAACTTTCTGAGTTACTTACTTACCAATTTAAGTTTAAAACCGATTAAAAAGTTTTGGCTATAACATTTCTCTAAAGTCTAAACACATTGTCTTGAATATGTAGGTAATGAAAAATGTTACTTAGCAATTAAGTGTAATTTTAACTCTAAATTTAGTTCGTCGCCAAGGGTCGCGAAAATTAAATAAAAATATGGCTGAACGGAGTTTCTGTTTTTTAACTTATCCTAAGAGTTGAGTCTAAGAATTCCATGGAAGTTCTGTCCCTAATATATCGAAGAGGGAATTGCTATGAATTGAACACGGCTTAAATAAAATATTTAAAAACCAGTGAGAGAAGCGCAAAATGAAGCTGCAGCATTAACCGAGCAGTTTTATTATATACACCACTCTGCCAACCATTAACTCCCCATTATCCTGAACTTCTTGAAAAGCACGGGCTACAAACTGCGCTGTAATGAATGCAATTATTGTGAGCTCTACTATATTAAGACTTTAGGAACGTCTTGCACACGAAGCGCATATTTGTTCAATTAGCAATGTTTACGCATTTAGGTTGTTCAGGGTGTTTGTAAATATGATAAGAGACGAGCTTGACCTCTGGGACCGTCGCCGGGTCCGTTAATTATAAAATTACATCCGGCTGCGTCTGAAACTTGGAAAGAACGATTAGCCACTTTGGCAACGAGATATCTTAGGGCGCTAATAACACGACACATTGTCCGGAGGTATGGAGACTTAATTTTAAGGGTTGCTTTAATCAATCGGACAAATTCAGGCAAGCAGCCCTCAATATCAATGGTTGTCAAAATACAAAAAAAAGGTAATAATCTCATTCTGAAAATGTTTCAGAATGCCTACGTTTAAACAACCAAAAACTAGATAAATAATTGATTTGTAGCCAATTATTGATGTCGATTTGTCCACCATTGACCACGGATCTGAGATGCGAATTATGTGAACATATTTTTGAAAAAAAATTAACGGGTAAAAACTAAGAATGTTAGCTTATCACAACTATTCAAAGAGTCCGCTCTGAAGAATCTACTGATCAAAGGAATCCGGCGGCAGATTCAATGCGTTAATACATTATACAAGCCAATAGTTTTGCAGAATAATTATGCCGGAATATTCACCGGACGGCCCTGTAAACAATGTTTATCTTCATAACTCCTCTTCAAGTGTTCCTGGTTGGTCCTCTCACAACTCCAGTCAAGCGTAACGGAGCAGTGCCCCATGTATGTCCAACTAAAACTAACACTACATGCTCTCCAGTCATGTTATGAGAGTTTTGAGTTTTGGCCAAGACACAATCTAAGTATATTACATTTGGACCAGTGACCATGCCGCAAAATATACCACGTCCGCCTCCCAGACTTTGTAAACTACAGAACTAAATCGATTTTAAGGTCCATTTTGTTAAATTTAGTTATTCCCCATAATCCCCAACAACAAATCTTCTTTTTTTCAGAGGTGTGGAGATGCTGATGAGGCCGGAACTTTTGGCGCACGCACAGAACTTGCCACGCAACATCAGGGACATGCTGAACCTCCAACGCTCCCAGTCCGAGCACCTGCCTCCTCCTGGGCCCATGTTGCCCCACCCCGGCCCTGTCCACACCCCACGACACCCCATCCCCGAGCATATTATGAGGGACCCACGTCTCATTGATCCGCGTGTTATGGATCCCAGATTCACTCTTCCTAGCCCCATCCAACAGCAGCTTAACAAACAGGTTAGTTTGCTTACTCGAATAAATTGTTTTCTCCGCCGTTGAAATTATTATAATTTGTATGAGCTGAGAGAATGAGGATCTTAATATTCCAACCCAGGGACCACCGACCCAGTCGCCGAGAAACGGTCAGGACTTACTGAGAGCCGTAAAGAACGACCCAGCACAACTGGACAAGGTTATATCCTGCCTTCAGAACGCCCTGAAACTTGGTAACGCCCCGCCAGAGTCTCAGCCTACTGTGAGAAAATTTAATTATTATAAATTCAAATCAGAATTAATCCTCTCCCGTCTTACATATCTCTCTTAATATTTTGGTCTTACATTAATTTTGATATTTTGCGCACGCCACGATTACACAGTGTTACTATAGAGAACAATTTGTTTCAAAAGTGCCTCCATTTAACAAGGCCTCATAACAAGGTACAGTAAGGAACAGTAAGGCACAGTAAGGTACAGTAAGGCACAGTAAGACGTCACAAAGTAAACCAAGATTGCGTGGTCAAATGGCTCTCACCAATGAAAGGGGTCTCGCACGGGCCCTGTACCAGTAACGGGACCTACCATACCGGCTCGGGGCCCATTGCCCACTTATCATGCAAATTTAGTGGTTTAAAAAATTGTCATAATGTCATAGTGCACACTAGACTGCACACTAGAGTGCAGATCATTTTGCACCCACTTTGGTTATCAAAAGGTATATATAGAGTTGGCCTCCTGACGATGGTCTACTATGGCATGAGCTGTAGCTCCCAAAGACACACTGGAGCCGGCTAGCAGGGTGCTTATAGTAATGATATGATCCATTAACCTCGTTATTCTTTCTTCAGATGCACGCTCTCTTGAGAGATATGGAGAAAGCCAAGAATGATCATATCAAGCTACAAAGACTACAGCTGCTGGCAAACGCCCAACATCAACTCAACAAGCATCCTGACCAAATTGTGAGTCTTAATATTTTAATACTGTCATTCCTCACATTCCAGTCAATCCTAGACAATTCATACTGTCATTCTCATTCTTCATCAGCCTATTCATGTTAATGTCTAACACAATACAGTCCATAATGTTAACGCCTCTAACTAGGTGTTCAGTGATCACACGCTGTGTTACCACCCTCCCTTACCACTAACACTGCATCTGTAGCACTCCCACCCACCCCACCCCACCCCACCCCACCCCACCCCACCCCACCCCACCCCACCCCACCCTCAAACAGCCTGTTTATAGTTGGAGCGGGTGTAGCGAGTTAAATTAACTGAAATCATCCTAGCAGTCTAAACGCCACAGCTACGATGTGCAGCAGCCAAGCCAGCAGCAACTAATCCAGGCTTTACACCTCCAAAATGCAAGTCACTGCTGCATGTATAATGTATAACATGTATAACATGTATAACTAACTAATATGTATAACTAACGTTTGTTTAATGTTCAAATCACTTCGCCTGTCTGGGGTCTTCCTTTGAGAGGACAGGCTACACTAGTGTCTCAAGCAAACATTATACATATCGCCGGGCAATGCTGATATTGTTGAGAACCTAATAATTGTTGATTTGTTCCCATATAGTACACGCTGAATGTATCTCCTATAGTATCAAGAAGCCCTGACATTTCCATCATAATGTTTATTTATAGCTTTAAAATTACTAAAATAAATGCTTATTTGAAATATAGTTTGCATAGCAAAGTTTAAAATATCTACGAAACTAACAGTGTTGTTAAAATTTGTTTAAAAACTATAGCTTAATCTGTATCATGAGTATGCATATCAGAGAATAGTGTAATAATTGGCAGTTCTTTATCATTAAATTCATTGAACTTTGAATATTCTTCAAATTAATTAGCCTTAAGCCAAGTCCCATAGCTGTATCGCATCGCATGGCAATGTCTGAATCTCCGATCCTTTGGACATCTTAAAAACTATAATCTCATTTAACAAACGATTAAAAGTGAACTGTACATTCCTCGGTCAGTGGTTTTTCCGGCGAGTTTGAACTTTAATCATTGAGTGGAGTGCATGGTCAGCATTTGAAAATCAATAAAATCACAAAAGCTAAAATCCTCCAATAAAAATAAACGATTGATGTCGCTATGTTAATATCATGTTGTTTGAAGAAGCAATTTCATGATTTGTATTTCAACTGAAAATCAACAGCAGCTCTGAATTTCCCTCTCCACACTCACTCAGTGCTATATTTAATCTTACACCTCTGTATTTAATCCTACAATTCTCTTCAGTTGCACGATAAGACACAGGCTTTGAAAGCGCTCCTCAGACTACCAGGCCAGGGAGCCCCGCTGATGACGGCCCCTGCTCGCATGGCCCCTGTTCCTCACAAGGAGGCTGGCCATGCCTTCATTAGACCTAGAATGACTGGGGAAGAAAACATTCCTACCCGTATCACCGGTCACCATGGTGATCATAGGTACAAAACTAGCTACAGTTTCAATGGTCTTTTTCTTCGACTACTCGCAATGCTTAATAACAATACCGTCCTGACTGTCAGTTTTTCTCAATTAATATATTTCAGGATGATGATGGGTAACCACAACAAGCTACCACACGGTTTCCCCATGGCCTTCACCCCGACCTCAGTGATGATCAAGTCATCGGAGTCACGTAACTTTGGACAGCACAAGATGGAGGGAGGAGAGCTGGAACATAACATCAACCTGACTCCCTCCCATGCGGGTCCCAACCACCAGGGTCCACATCCCGGACACCATCCTAGAATGCAGTACCGGACTCAGGAGGTCAGCTCAATATCTTTCTATATTATTTAACCATTCTCAAATCTCAATTATCAGTGTTCATGAATCTTTAATTACGTTCTAACTGCCAGCCCGCAGTGCTGTTTCTCAATAATTCATACAACCGATTGTTGCAGGGCCAAGGAATTCCCAACGGACGACGCTCCCCTCGCTTTGATGACGGCCCTAAACCGGTACCAACCATCGAGACATCCAGAGGAGGAGTCCCCAAGTTGCACTTTCCTCCCTCTGCTTTCTCCGCTCCTATGAAGGGAATGCCACCTCCTCCCCCCAACTTCATGATGGCTCTAGCTAAGGGAATGCCACCCCCCTCTCCTCATGGACCCCACCTCCCTTCCCAGCTTCTCATGCAGGAACTGATGCACAGCAACAAACCCAGCCCTTCCTTCAACCACCCAATTCCTCCTGGCTCTGTGAGTATTGTCTCTGAACTTTGGGCGACGAAACGGAATTGGAAACCAGAAGCAGCATCGCCGAGCAAACAAAAATGGGAGCAGAAGTTTAGAATTGAGAAATTTATTGATCCTTATGAGGCAGGAGGCTGTTACGAAAAACAACACGTACCCAGAGAATAGTCATCCGTGCAGCGGGCTAGGCACCATGCAAATAATGTCATGTGTATTTTAATCTTAGGCAAACTCCCCTGGGATCCGAAAATAGGCCATGTTTACACGCCCTCGCCTTCGTTACTAAATTTGTAAACAATAACTTCTTTGGACCACTATTAACGTGAACCCCATTATCACTCTTGTCATCTTCTGAGTTTCTACAAAAATTCATTTATCACGTGACTACTAGTTAGTTAAACGCTCGGCGACGATTGCTTTGTTCAAATTACCAGAAATTGCATTATTGTATTTAAAGTCTATTTCCGACTCCATTAATCGTTTAGAAATTTAGTTAACGTAATTATTTGAAAAACTCCAATCTTAGCAGCTAAAGTGATCACCAGATTGGCATACCAATAAAGAATGTTATAATCCCAACTTCACCCCTCAGATTCCCAACTCCAACGCTCCCACTTTCTAAAAGGACCGGAGATCTCTTCTCGCTGCCAACCTTTGCTTGCTTCCATCTTCAAGTTTTAAATATTTATAATTTTGTACTTGGTAATTGTTAATTTATTTGAAAAAGAATCGTGTATAATATGAGGATTTCCTGATATAGGCGTGGCACAAAACTTTATAATGGTGCCGAAACTCCAAAAACGCCGCCCACATATTTTCGAACACAACAAAATTGTATCTTTATATAGAGGTTTGAAAAGAATGGCGTTTCTTTTGAGACGTTGATTACAGTTTCCACTGTCATAAACTGGTGTTGTGCATGTTTTTAAATAAGTATATTTAATTAGGAGTTTAAGACAAGTTGTTTTGATTTCGTGGGCTTAAAATGAAATGCAGACGATTTGCCTTTCTAACAAAAAAAAAGAAGGTGGTGAACTTATATCACATTCATTCCCTTTTATGAATAATTGGTAATTGGCAAATTTGTTTGTAAAATTTACTTCTTCATATTTCTTGATGAGAATAAAATTTGTTTCTCTTTTGAATTTAGGCCATTAAATTAAAAATACTATCTATATCACCGGTTTCCATACACGAAAGATTAATAGAAGAGTAATTTCCAAATACCTAACATATCTCACTATTGATTTATAAAACTTAAAATTTACCCATGAAACCGGTGCAAGTCTTGCCTGAAATGATTAATTAGATATTTAATTAGATATAGAGTTGGTCTCGTAAATGTGATATCTGTGGGTTATGACAGTCTGTACAAAGTGTGCAGCTGTCCCACTATTTCCTGTTGGCGAGATTTAGGTGGATATTTCATGCCTCTTCTAATTTCTTCTTCTTGTGCGTTTTCGATGTAAATTGTAAATAGATGGGTCTATTGATACTATGAGTGTATTGGATTTTTGTTCGTGCTTGTCTAAAGAGGCTATAGTTTGTTTCTTTACGGGTTTTCACGATTTGCAGTCCGATGATTTCTTTAGGCAAGCACATGAGTCGAGGTGATTTTACCACTTTTTTTTTGCTTTGTCCCAGAATTTGAAATTGCTCCAATTTTTTTTTCATTACTCTCGAGAGGGTCATTTGAAGCTTTTCCGCCTGGGACACGGCAAAATGAGATGTGTGGCAAAACCAATTCAGCTAACGGATCGATTTTTTCAATTCGAAACCATTTGATTTTAACTTGCAGAAGTTTTGCCATGCATAGTTAATAATTGTTGCGAGATTTTAACCGTTTTGGTGCATGTTTTAAGGGCGTGAGCGCATGATTTTTAGTATGACTCCTTTAGAATACTAAATGTATATGAGGCAAATTTAACCGAAGATAAGTTTATATTGTGTTATTTTGAGAATGCGCCCAAAAACATATGCTAAAATATTAAAGCACCTCTTTCTAATAATAATATTGCAATTCGATATGTCAATTTTGTAGGTGCCGATTTACTTTTGTTGAATACCTTTTTTGTCAAAAAATTGAAGATGTAAATGTAAGGTCAAGTTGGACAACTTTATTTTTAAGCTATTCCATATTTAAAAGCACTGCATTTACACTTAGATTTTTTACGATTTACGATGATAATTACATCATGTTACTTACTCCTTGCTTGCAGTAAGTAAGTCTTGTTGGGAGAATTCGACTAGATATGAGGGGGTGAGACGAGTGGTGCTGAGTGGTGCCGTTCAGCACCGCCCTCCATCCCCACATTATATACATAGTAGTATGAATATTGTTATAATTACTAGTATTATATTGGAAAGGCTGTTGCGCAACTGGTCCGTTTCAATGTTACAAGGACATGATAAATGTTGTTTTTATTTTGTGAAACATTAAAAATCATTTTTTCTTCATTCCCAAAACTAGGGATGTTTTTATTTGTATCAATCCATCATTTGAAAACCATTATCATTTATTGTTATGGCAACTGATTTAGTTAGCTTTAGGCACAAAATGACGATATGTCTCTGGAACTAAACGTGCAACTCTAAACTCACTATCAGTATCATTTATAAGTTGCTCCTAAATTACATTGACCGCCGGTCCAAAAATCCATTGTTCAACATTATTGTAAAATTAATGATGAGAGTCTGAGTTGGACGTACACAGATCGGTACAAATCGAATGGAAATTACGAATAATGGTTAAAAACAGACAATATAAAACTGACCTCATCCGTCCCCGCTGCACAAAAGACCCCAAGCACCAAGTCAAAACTAGTTTAATGGAATTATGACCTCACAGAGCTGGCGCTGCTTATATGGCAAAATTATCTCCACGGCAACGGCCAATTATTTTCCAATGGAGCAGGTAGATTCCACCTTCGCGACCCAAGACAGGACTGGGGGCGACACGCGAGTCCAGTGTTGAGTGTTGACTGCTTGGTGTCAGGCCTGGAAATTTGCAATGATGAACATTATAAACCGTATATTGCTTGTAGTTAAACTTGTAAGTCCACAAATATGAATGATGAAGCTGATTCAACACATATATTGGAGAACCCGGTGGATGTCCTTGCTGTACGGCAGTGTTAAACAACAAACAAGGAACTGAAACCGAGGGGTTCCGTTCAGGCCCTTCACACTTTGTTTCTGTCTAGTTCTAATGTACCGTCACAATAATGACTATAATATATTAATATATACACATATATTATATGTACTAGCAGGAACCCGTCAAACCTTTAAGACTGGTGTCAAGATTGACGGATGTTACTCGTCTAAATTTCTTCGAAGTAGCGCGCGCCGCTTTCTTCTCGAAGTGCTACGAAGTAGCGCGCGCCGGGCCAGACCATTAACAATGGTCAAGTGTCAAGGCTCTTTGGTGGCCGGATCAGTTTCCTACCCTAAAGTCTCCCAGTAAAATAATTATTACCTATTTAATTCGCGTTTTTGACACCACTTGGGGGTCCAAATTTTGGGTACTAAAATTCTTATTCCTTGGCCGATTTTCGATTTTTTCATGCTGATTTGAAGGCCATTAAAGCATTTGAATCAGTTAAAAAAGTTTAAGTTTTATATCTTGTACGGTTTTTGCGGAAACCCGTGTTAAAGTTGATGCCGTGGTGTCAGTAAAATGGTGCAGATAAATAAATATATATATATAACAAAATATATATATATATATCGTCTCGCTTTATATATACTTATAGTAAGATATACAAGGAATTAAACAGGAATTAAACAGGAATTAAACAAAATTGGGTCAAACGGCAGATGCCGTGTCTGACCAATATAGGAATAGAAGGTTTAATATTCAAAACTACCCCAATGTAACGAATAACCAAACAAGGTGGTAAAAGTAGATAGCCATGTAAAAGAATATAGCACAGATAGCACAGTCGTATGCAGAAAAAACTCAGCCAAGAGCACTCAACAATGACAAAGAAAGTATCATACAATGTCCACACACTTATCAAAATATACAAAACACGTCATTCATTCAGTATTTTTCTTCGGGAACCTCCGTTCATCGACCTTATTTTAAAAACGTCCAATGTCTCTAATTGTTGTTGAGTCGTCGAAGATTTCTCCCGGTTCTTCTCTCATTACTAACAGGTCCCTCGTTCGTTGATGCAGGTTTTTGCGTAGGTCTTCGTATAGGGGGCATTCGTAGAGGATGTGATGCTCATCTTCTATCACTGGATAGGCCCCTGGTAGCTCATAGAGAAGATCTAACAAGTCATCGTCACTTGAGCAGCAATGTCTGCAGGCCCGATGTTTTATGTTAAACCGCTTTTTGCCGTAGCGACCAGTTTCAACGTTAAAGCGGTGGGAGCTGCTTCTGAATTGCGCGATCTTCTTTGAGCAGTTAGGTTTAAGATCAAGGGCTAGATACGTCTCTTGAGCAAACTTTCTCTTCACTAAGTTGTAGAACGATAGTTTTCTGTTAGATGTCCTTTCTGTTTCCCATGAGTTTATAAACCACTTTTGCAAACTCTTTCTAATCTGGCTTGGTCTTAATCCTTGGTTTCTCTCTGATGCCTCGATGGTTTCTTGCATCTGCTCGAGAGTGGAGAACCAGCTCAGGTTTAGGGTCGCCTGCTCTTCGAAAGCGTGTCTAGCAAAGCAGTCACGACCGTCTACAACCATTTGTTCAAGTCTTTCTTTGTAGTTGAACACTTGCTTTGATAGCGTGATGCCTAGTGGATGCCTGCCTGTGTCACCCCATATCGCAGCATTGGATGTTGACTTCCTCACCCCTAAGGTCCATTTCAAAAGAGACAGATGAAAGTTCTCTAGGGGGTCCCTGGCAATGAGTGTACACACGTTTCCTGTTTCTGGTGTGGTGCTCGTGTTTGTGGGGAAGTTGCGGAACAGAGCTGTGCTTGGCAGCCACACTTGGCAACCATACGACACCACAGGTACAATAAGTGTATCATATAGCTTGAACAGTATAGATTTCCTGATGTGGCGGGTATCAATGTAGCTTTTCAAAGAGAAATAACTTCTTAATGCTTTTTGCCTCAGCTTTTGTTGTGTTAGCTTAAGTGATCCGCTCAGAGTAAATGTAATGCCAAGGTAACAGTACTCTCTCCCGGAGGGGATCTGTTGTTCTCCCAGTTTGAACTCATGACTTTCCTTCAGATGCCTTCCTGTTGGGTTAAACACAAGGACTGAAGTTTTTCCAACGTTTACTGTCAGGCCCCATTCTGAGCAGTAATTGTTTAGGACATCAAGCATTTGTTGAAGACTGTGTTTGTTGAGGGCTAGAAGGACAAGGTCGTCTGCCCATAGCAGATGAGTTATATCTGTATCATTTAGGACAGGGACTTTCACTCCTTCGATGTTGTTGAGATCATGTGAAAGCTGGTGGACAAAGCATTTAAACAGTTCAGGGGACATGGGGTGTCCTTGCTCGGTACCACATATTATGTCGATCTTCTGTGACAGCTTGTCTAGTAGCTTCACTTTGGCTGAGGAGTTTGAGTACATGAACTTAATGCACTCAAAGAATCTCCCTTGAATACCCATTTTCCACAACTTGTATAGGAGTGCCTCACGACAGATGGAATCAAACGCTTTGGCAAAATCGACAAAGCATGTGTATAGCCTTTGGCGTTTCTTGGTGACATACTTTTCCACGCAGGTTGAAAGTGTGAAAATGTGGTCTGCTGTCTGTGCGTCTTTACAGAAACCTAGTTGGTTGGCTGTATCAGGATCACATTGATCACGGAATGATATCAATCTTTTCAGCAATATGCTTGCAAAGAGCTTTCCGAGATTGCTCGCTACAGCGATGGCTCTGTAGTTGTTTGGATCATAGATATCACCTTTTTTGTGTAGTGGTGTAACTACTGATGAAGTCCATGGGTAAATTGATAGGCTTAGGCAGTGGTTGAAGAGGTTGAGGACTGCTTTGAGCATGGATCGTGTTGAGGCTTTGAAGAATTCATTAGAAATTAGATCTTCGGAAACTGCCTTTCCTTTTTTAGTGGCCTTAATGCAAGCACACAGCTCTTCCATCTTTATATCTTGATCCAAAAGCTTGGTCAGGTCGTCACAAATGTTGTTTTTCTGCATCTTTGACTGTAGCTCTGCGATCTTAGAGTCTTTGATGTTCTTTTTGCCGTAAAGTTCACTGAAGAACTTGCAAAAGTTGATCATATCGAAGGCATCAAGACTGGTTGCAGGCGATTTTGTATTTTTAAGAGCTTTGAAGGATTTCCAGCAGATGTTGTTCCCTGTTTCTATGTCCTTGCAAAGCTTCTCAAAGAATTCTGATCGCTTATGTCTGATCATCTTTCTATATTGTCGCCGAGTGTCGTAATAAGAGTCCCTGAGGAGCTTGTCCAATGGGGATCTTCCATACTTTTTTGCTAGAATGTTGAGTGTCCTCTTAAGACGGATACATTCACTGTCAAACCATGCCATTTTTGGCTTCATTCGACTCTTCTTTTTGGTGCTACCATATTTATTATGTCTCGGCCCTTTCTGACGACTTGAGGCGTTTTTTCGGGGCATCACTTGTTCAGCAACCTGATGATACAGCTCAACAATTTGGTTGTTAAGGTTAAGAACGTCTTGATGGGTTTTGCATGAACTTGTAGCCAGAGTTTCCGTCTTTTCTTTTATACTAGGGTCACCCATAGCTAGCAAGAATTTGAGCTCAGCATTATCCTCACATGGCCATTTGTACTTCCTGGGCGCGTCCTCGAGGTCACGCAGTATTTCTTCTGAAAGGGTTATGTTGTGTCTCAAGCTAAGTGTTGTGACAGAGGGTTTGTGATCGGAGAATTTGCTCAAATCAAGGACTCTAAAACTCTTAACGATCGCTTTTATGTCAGCTCCTACAGCAACATAGTCTACAACGCTAGCTCCGCCATAATTCACCGATGTGAATTCCCCTAAGGAATCGCCAAGTACGCTGCCGTTTAGGATGGTTAGATTTGCACAGGCCAGAAAGTCAAGGAGTAACTTTCCTCTAGGATTAACCATCTGGTCCTTGCTAGAACGATCAAGTGGCAAGCTCAGAATTCAAGATAACCGAGTGACAAAGCAATATACCTTTCTCGCTTGCCTGTGACTATGAGTATGAGTATGAGAGGCAGATCGTAGTAATATACTGATAGTGATAACATAAGCTGTGAGCAGATACGTAGCTCCTGGGAGACAATACAACAGGCAAAGACAATACTTGTGACTTGACTCACGTTGTCCATTGTTTGTTGTTAATGTTAATGAACTGACCCCACTTGCGAGCGTGCTAAATCACTCTACACTCGATTTTTCTAAAAGAGCCCCTGAAGTTAACCATTAACCCTCATTCTCAAATCTGATCCCAACCCTAACTTAATCACTTACCACTAGTACTTACTACTTGGGTTACTTGGGTTGGGTTCCGAGCTAGAGTGCTACCAGGCCAAGAATGTCTTGCATCTCCACCGCCAAATAGTAGCGCGACAGGGACACGTGCCACCGGCCCACTCCAGCATTGAGTTCCTGTTCTGTCCAGTGTACCCAGGTGTTGGTGGAGTGTCAGGGAATTCATTGAGGAAAGCATCAAGAGCAGGTTTGAAAGTGGTCAAGGTTAGGAGGGACTTGATGGTAGGAGGGACCACGTTGTACAGAGCAGAGGCTCTAGAGGCAAAGGAGTTGAACCTCAGGTTATTGACACTAGTGTACTTGGAGGACCCTAGTGGTCGTATACACGTAGTTCCGTATCATGAGGTCTCGCGGAAGTTGATGTTCATACTGTTTGGAGCATCAGCAAGATTGTTATAGATCTTCCAAACTAGGATGATAGTGTATCTCTCACGCCGCCTCTGAAGGGAGTACATAGACAGGCGACGGAGGCGTTCCCAGTAGTAGAGACTTCCAAGACCCTGGATTCTAGCAGTGAAGGATCGTTGAACTGCTTCGAGTTTGATAATTTCGCACTGCATGTGAGGAGACCACAGAGGACAGCAGTATTCCAGATGAGATCGTACGTAGGACTTGTACAGGAGCATCATGGTCGCTACATCCCTGGAGATGAAGGTGCGTAGCACCCAGCTACTGCATACTGCTAGCCATGTTTCTGGCTTTGGCAGACTTCATCGCTATGTGAGTGCGCCAGTTGAGGTCTGGGTCGATATAGACACCCAGGTCCTTCACGTGGTAAGAGTCTCTCCAGATGGTAAGATGTAGGGCTGCTTCAAGTCCGGTAGTTCACCGTGTTGTAGAAGCTGGAACTTTTCCTCGTTAAGCTCCATGTTGTTAGCATCAGCCCAATTCACAACCGAGGGAAGATCTTTTTGGAGAAGGATGCGATCGATATGGGAAGATATATCTTTGTGGAGCTTCGAGTCATCTGCAAACACTTTGATCTTGCTGTGCTTGACTACGGAGAAGATGTCGGTAGAGCACGTCAGCATTTTTGTCGAGGTTGAGATCGCAGATTATATCCTCGATGTGATGGAGAAGCTCAGTGAGGCAGTTCTTTTCTTTTTGGAAACCGTGCTGATCAGGGTTGAACATGTTGTTGCGTTCAAGGAAGCTGACCATCTGGTTGCACATGATGCGTTCACAGAGTTTGATGAGGTGAGTGGTTAGGGAAACCGGCCTGTAGTTAGCGGCTACAGCCTTGCTCCCCTTCTTGAAGATAGGGATGATACTCTGGGAGCGGAACATCTCAGCGATGTCCGAAGTATCAAAAGATAGCTGCCAGAGCTTGGCTATAGTGGGAGCTAGAGCGTCCTTGCATTCCCGCAAGATGAGAGCAGGGAACTTGTCTGGTCCTGGAGCGGAGAACCTCCCTGTTTCCTTGATAGCACTAAGGACGTCGTCAACCGAGAAGGTGATGTCGGAGAGTTCTTCTGTATGCCCTTTTTCGTCAGGGATGTTATCGGGGTTGACGTTTTCAGGGTTACTGAAAGCTTTCTGGTACTGGTTCTGAAAGATGTTGCCCATAATAGTGGGATCGCACTGGAGGTTGTTAGCATCATCGGCGAGAGGTCGAACAGGCGCCTTGAACTTTGCCGATTTCTTAGCGTAAGAATAAAACGCCTTGGGATTGATCTTCATCTTAGCTAACGCAGCTATCTCCTGTCGGAGCCGTTCTTGTTTGATGTCTTCCCTTATAAGAATTTCGATGTTATCACGTTCGCTGTTGAGGTTATCGAGTTTAACGCTGTTCCGTGGAGTTCTAACACCATGCTTTATAGCATTGATCCTGGCATTAAGACGGCGCTTCTTACGAATAAGTTCCCTTCTGGGCTTGGGAATGGAGGATTGTGAGGACACTTGGATGTTTTTGCTGTGCGAGGGAGCGTGCTTAGAGCATATGATTCATGAACGCTACCTTGTTTTCAAACAATGTCCAAGCTGTATCTACTACACACTAACAAAAGCATATGCTGAAACCTTAACCCTAACGAGAAATTAGACCAACTTCCTTGTTCGGTCATATCACATGCAATCGAAACAGTTTTTCGCCAGGAGGGCATTTTCAATATTTTTAACCCTATTATATTTTTGTATCACGCCGTGACTCCAATTGTTGTTTCATTGATTAGTTAAAGGGTGATACTCGTTACTGGGCCGCGCTCAGCCTGTCATTCCGCCTAATCTCTATTGTTTACCAATATTAAAGCCTGGGGTCCTCAGGTAAGATACTCGTAAAATATTTGTTCCAAATATTAGACCGTCGACGAGTCCAACTCGGCGCGCGTCCTGATAAGTTATAAACCTTGTCACTTGTACACAACCTTGTTGTAGGTTTACAACCTACCAAAACGCGCGCCGAGTTGGACTCGTCGACGGTCAATATATGGCACAGATATTTTACGAGTATCACCCGTTAATTATAAACCCAGCGATTCATTTGAAAACCGGCCTCCTTCATCCTTGCTCCTCGGCTGATTACAGATTACGTAATCTTACGTAGTAGCGTAATTTTGTCTTTGATACAATAACTATATGTAAAATTGATTACGGAGGGGGATGGGGTTTAAAATTTTCCAAAAAGTGATTACGTAATATGTGAACGACCTTTGCTTGTTGCTATACATGATACAACATGTATCACTATCAACTCGTCATTTATGATTTATTGATTATATTTATTCAAGCCGATCAGGCGTGAAAAATAAAAATGCACGGCGTCCGGCAAAAGCAAAAAAGGCTTATACTACAACGTTGTTCCCAGCGTTTCAAAATTAACTTTAACGAACATATTTCTAATTTATAATATCAAGTTTAACGAATTTATTTCAATCAGTATCAAAATAAAATGTTGTGATCAGTGATATCGGTCGCGCGCGCGAATCACTAATTACAATATAGCACTACGACGGTAAATAACTTTGCGGAGCAAAACGTGGCGCTTGGCAACCTGGATCATATATTTCTGTAATATGTAATACGTGTTTTATTACGTTAAAGGTTGTTCATCCAGTCAAATGATTTTGTAGTCGAATGCAACATTTTTACTACTTAACGACTATTTTTCTTGCTAATACTATATTAAAAATCGATTGAAGTCAACTCCGTATTTCCTGGTCTAATATCAGCATTGCTTTTTTGTTTTAATAAAATATTGAGTTAACTGCCAGTTCATATTGATGAAAACTCGCATTTGCAGTTATTTTACAATCTTTAGTTTATGTTGTTATTCACGGATGTTTAAACCTGAAACACTAAATACCAAATGTGATCTATTTCCAGAAGATCGGTCTTTTTGAAAGGTACATCAGTCTCTTTTATTTTATTTTATCGAATATCTCCTATTTGTTCATCAAGCATAAGACTAATTGATTCCCGTTATTATTGTTTAGAGAAACTGGGATACCTTTAAATGCATACCTTTAAAGTTTTTAATTCGAACGATTTCAGGACCACAAAGATATGGGGAAACCTGGTCACGTGGTAAACAAAATATTATTGCTGACTGTTTGTCTGGTTTTAACGAGGGCTGCGAGTATAGACCCACCCGAGAGTGGCTCCATTCTCTTCAAGTTTGTAGAAAGGTCTGCAGGTGATGATCACGATCACACAGCCGATGATCATGAAGATAAAATTCCTCACAGTGCAGACCCACTCGACAGTGGCCTGGGCTCCATTCTCTTTCTGTCAGGAACTTTCCTGATTGGGGCTGTATCAAGACACATAATCAACAAGATCGGCTACAATATTCCCTACACTGTGGTACTCTTGGCTATTGGAATGTTGATAGGTGCCCTATTCAAACACTGGGAGAAGGAATTTCATGGGTATGCCGGAATGATACACATAGATCCTCATCTCCTGATGTTTACGTTTCTTCCTGTCTTGCTATTTGAATCTGCATTCTTGCTCGATATTCATGCCATCAAAAAGTCTATCGGGCAGATTCTAGTTCTAGCGTTACCCGGTTACATAGTTACCTCGGCAACAACTGCAGTTGTGGTCTATTACATATTCCAATACGACTGGTCCTGGAATACCTCTATGATGGTAGGTGCTATACTGAGTGCTACAGATCCAGTGGCGGTAGTCGCACTTCTGAAGAGCAGTCCTGGCGGTAAAGACGTTCACCACCTATCGATTGTTATAGAAGGCGAGTCACTGCTGAACGATGGAGCAGCTATAGTTTTGTTTAACATTTTTCAGAACAACGCCATGAAACCCTGCCCCGGGGAGACATACTTCTGTGAAATAGGGAAAGTGTTAACAAATTTCACAGCCGAGCAGTTCTGTGACCCAAACCGGCTCAATTACTTGAATTGTACTGAACCACTTCGTATCAACAAACAAATGTGCACTGATTTGACCGTGGAAGAGATTTTAATAGATATAGCCGTGAAAGTGTTAGGAGGGCCTTGTTTTGGGATAGTAATGGGTTATGTGTTTGTCTTCTGGCTAGGAAAGGTCTTTAACGACTACTTGACCGAAATAACAATCACAGTCGGATCTCCATATTTGGTGTACTACATCAGTGAGATGTTCCTTCAATCGTCCGGGGTGCTGTCGGTAGTTTTGTTTGGATGTGTAGTCAACATGAATAAAATGAACATAAGTCCAGAAATCGAAGCTTTCTTAAACAAATTCTGGGAACAGATGGGTTATCTGGTGAATACAATAATATTCCTGGTGGTTGGAATGATCATAACATTCTCAGCTCTAGAGAATATAGAAGTGACCGACATAGTGTACCTTGGCGCATTGTACGTAGGGGTGGCTGCCTCCAGATCATTGATGCTGATGTTTTTCCATTGCGTCCTTTCCAGGACAGGGTACGGAAGTACCTGGCAGTCAGCATCTGTCCTGATGTGGGGTGCTCTAAGAGGAGCTGTTTCTCTGGCACTAGCTCTTCAAGTGAATCACAATGCGGGATTCTGTAAGGCGATGAGAAGCAAGATACTGTTCTTTGTTTCAGGGATCGTCGTGCTAACTTTACTTATCAACTCGACGACATTCAACCAAGTTCTGTCAATACTAGGATTTTGTCATATCTCTAAAGCTAAAAAGGTGGCAGTAGATTCTGCTGCCACGATAATAATGGAAGCAATGAAAAAGGAACTGCATTCCCTAAAACAGGATGATAAACACACGGATAGCAGCTGGGAAGAAGTTAAGAAGATATGTTACATAGATACGATCTACAACACAGAAAAAGATATTTTGACGAATAGGCGGGAGATAGAGAAATTACACGATCAGGTGACTGCGTGCAATAACTGTTCCACTAAAGTTGCAGTACCGCTTACAAGGGCAGAACTGAGCGAGTTTTATGATGAATCTAGGTCTAGGGTGTTCAAAGCTTTTAAGATAAGTCTCTGGAAACAGTTCGATCACGGGTTGTTGAGTAAGCCGGCGCTGCGGTTTCTAGACGACATGTGTGATCAAACACTAGACATTCGAGACAAGTTCATCGAGCTATCTGAGATTGAATACATGTGGCACACTGGATGTACACTGTCATATTTTAAATCAAAGCTGGTTTCACTCCAGGCAGGCAGCAAGGAGGATAACTTCCCAATTCCTAACAATATCCACCAATACAGGGTTTATCAGCTAGTATCTACTACCGCATTCGATATGGTTATCATGTTTTGCATTTTCGTAAATATCATTATGGTAATAGTAGAGCTATCTATGCCTTCAGCCATGTGTGAAGGAACAGAAAAAACTAACCTTAGTATTGCTTTTGGAATTTCAAACTATTGTTTCTTGGCCCTTTTCATCATCGAAATGATATTGAAACTCATCGGCCAGCGAAAATACTATTTTTTCAACAAGTGGAATTTGGTAGATTTTGCAATCATCATCATCTCGATCGCTGACTCCGTCTCAGACATCTTTACAGCCTGTGGCTCAGCCAACCTTAATTTCAACGTTTTCAGAGTCATCCGAATTGTGCGGTTGTTCAGATGCGTTCGTCTCATAAAGTGGATACTTCTATTTTTTCAAAAAGTGGTGAGAGATCTAATACACAAGTCAGTTTCGGCTGGGTACGATATTGGGAGTGCATTCATTGTTGCTTCTGACGAAGTTTTGGAACACTTGGAACAGATTGTCGCTTACGAGGAGTGCAGGGCTGTCTTCAAGGAAAAAATTCTCAAAGCTCGTAATGAAGTAAATAAAAGTTTAGCCTTGGTAAGGAAAGAATTCCCAGGGATAGCCATAGCTATAAATACCAAACAAGTGGTGCGACTTATTCTAAATAAAGGCAGAGACACCAATTGGAAGCTTCTCCAAGATGGTTTAGTAGAAGAGTTTGACTGTGCTTTGTTCACCAAACAGTTAGAAGAAAAGATGAAACGTTTGCTTGCTAACCCTACACATTGGATATCTCCTCCCGATGCCTACAGTATGTTTGTTAAGGTACCCTGGCTGAAAAATTTGCCGGAATACGTTGTGACTAACTTTAGTAATCTTGCAGAACATCACCTTTACACCAAAGGGGAGGCATTTATAAAGAAGGGAGAGATCGCTGATGGGGTGTTTTTAATAATTTCCGGACAAGCTAGAGTTGTCCACTCCTTGGAGGATATTGAGGTCGCCTCGTCAAAATCAGACCTCGCCAAAACATCTAGTTTGCATTTGGCTTGTCATCTAAAACACAATGTTCTATTAGGCCCCGGAGCAATAGTTGGGGAGCAGAGCATTCTCGTTAACCGACCAAGAGGATCGCATGTTGTGTGCGAGTCTGATCTACAGTGCTACTTTATATCAGCTGAAGATATGCACGGGCTCATGCTCAAATATCCTATCATTGAGGAGAACCTCTGGAGACTTTGCTCCATCAGAATGGCTCAGACTCTTCTCTCAAAAACAAATAAATATAAAACATGCAGTTTTGATGGACTTAAAGCTCGGTGTGAGCAAAGTGTACTGGCAACGTTGGTTCCAGAAACCAGTAATGGAATATTTGAAATAGACGAGGTCATTACAGATGTGATTGTAATATACGGTTCAACAAGATGTTTCCCCTCTAACATTGTAATAAATGGACCCAAACTGGTACCCGAGGGCACAACTAAGCTTCATCTCATGTCTCCGTGTAAAATGCTAACAATTATCAGCCCAACACATGATATCGACCTGAAGAAATACAACGAAACAGCGCCAAAACCCCAAAAAGTGGAGAATGAATCGCTTTCTTCCCAACAAAGTCTATTATATCCAGGAGATAGTGATAGTTCTGTATCCAGGGAACAAATCATCAGCGATATGAAACTTTCCTGCGTCATTAAAGAAGATCCTAATCCGACGACTCGACAACAGTACGAGAAGAAACGCAGAATGGATCATCTGAAGGACATTCGAGAGCAGTCTGGTGAGGTAACAACAAATTTGGGACAATCAAACTCATTAAGTAATGAGAGACTAACACCCGTAGAGAATTCGAGTCCTTGTAAGAAGAAATCCTAGAGTTTTAGATATTTCTTCCAGTGCTGGACACTGCAGATTGTAGATTATCTAACGAGTTATATAACATGTATATTGTATAAGATGTATATTGTATAAGATGCGTCAGGAAATTGTGTCATACTGGAATGTAGAACATAGAAGCGGAATGATGTTCCGGATATAAAGGACATTTTTTTATAAATTTCAGTGATCCCTCCCTGTATCAGTGATTTGATTTTAACTTAATAAGAATGATTTTCTTTCAGGTAAAAACTCATTGTTTTAATCGATCCGTTGACCGTTATGCGCTAGCTAAGCAGGATTATGTAAAAACTAATTTCAAAGGGTTACCTGAAGGTGAAGCCATTACTAAGAAAATTACACATCATGAGCAAATTATTTTTGCTGGATCAAAGTTAGCCACAGGGCAACTCTTAATAAACATCGTTGATCGAGGAAGCTCCGTTAACTTTTAAAGTTATTATATTAGTTATTATAAGTTATTATATAAGCGGCATTATTGCATTTGACCTCCTTGATATTATTAACAATATAAACTGCCGTGCGCTGAACTTAGTAGTGGAGTGTTTGTATCAACTACTTATTTTCGCGCGTCACATATTTTGCAAAATCCGAGCACTTTTTACTGAAGTTCAGAAGGACTTTCGACAAATCTGTTCCAGATTGCAAGGCCGAAAATCAATCGTTTTAAACAATAACTTCGAAAATTTTCTCCTAGATCCTACCATGCGATTTCCTTCAAAATTTCCAGATAGTAAGATAAGTATGGGACTGACATTATATAAAAGTTTTAGTAAATGTCTATGTTCCAAATTTGAGATATCACTTCAAACACAAGAAAATATCTCCAAATCGGTGGTTTGCAGTGGTACCAAGGCATATATCTCGAGACCTGAATAAAGGATTTTCTTGAAACTTTGCAGATAGTAAGATGGCTATGAATCTGGTAATCTGTACAAGTTTGCCACCTACTGTACAAGTTTGCCTCCTACAGCTAGTATAGTGCCTCGGCACAGAGTGGCTTAGGGTTACGGAAAAGGAGATAAGCACCTCAGGCCATCCCAACATTCGGGAGAGACCTGCCCTTGTATTGTTGTTGTATTGTACAAGTTTGGGCGAATTTGTATGTGCCAAATTTGAGATGTCACTTTAAACACAAGAAAATATCTCCAAATCAGCGAATTCTGCGGAACACAGGCATATATCTCGAGACCTGAATAAACGATTTTATTTAAACTTTTCAGATATGGTCATAATTGTAAGACGGATAATCTGTGCAAGTTCGGGCGAATTTCTATGTGCCAAATTTGGAGATATTTTCTTGTGTTTGAAGTAATATCTCAAATAATACTATCTGGAAAGTTTCAAGAAAATCGAATATTTGGATTTTGAGATGGTCGACTTTCGTCAAATATTGTTCCGTGGAACAAATGAAACGGAAAGTCCGACTCCTGAACTTTCTGTTATTGCAAAGAGGCTCATACTTCATACATCTGTGGAAAGTTCTCCAGGGTATATGTCCAAATGACCTAGATGTACAGTTCAGAGAGAATGCCACACTGGGAGTTAAAGTTATACTCCCTTCTCTCACAAAAAAAAAGCATTAGCCACTGCACGCTCCACCTACGACCACTCATTTGTAGTGAGAGCTGGAAGACTCTGGAATGTTCACCCCAAAATTGTCAATACTCAAAGGACTTTGACAAGATTCAAGACATCTCTTGGAAATTTCCTAGACACCCTTCCAGACAAGCCCCCTACTCCTGGACACAGTGCAGAAAACTCTAACTCGATAATAGACTGGTGCAGTCAAGGAGGTGGTCCGCAGATTGCGTGATGGCCGTGAAGATGCCTACTTCTAGAGTTGTTTTCGAATCTTTAATTTTGTAAAACGGTCAGATGTGGAAAATTTAAGACTAGGAAAGTAAGTATTTAGAATCTGCTCCGGCTTGTCTCATTTAATATCCTCTATATAGATTTGTGAAGCTATTGAACCTATTGATAGGTTTAGCTAAACCTATCAATAGGTTCAATAGGTTCACAAATCTATATAGAGGATATTAAATGAGACAAGCCGGAGCAGATTCTAAATACTTACTTTCCTAGTCTTAAATTTTCCACATCTGACCGTTTTACAAAATTAAAGATTCGAAAACAATAGATATATTATAATTATTTGTAGATTATAAACGGCGATGAAGTAATTATTATTATTATTATATATATGTTATATTAATTATATATGATGAAGTAAAGGGCTTGATTCAAAATTATGTCAGATTACGGTGCGCCGTAATTTGGTAATATAATCGTCACACCATATTGCAACACTAACGACATCTTAGCCTGTATTCAAGGGAATCAGAAAGCTTAAAAAGCCGGTTACAGTGCCACTATTTAATGAAATGCAGGATATCCGAGTCAGAGCACCATTGAATAGTTGAAAGCAGTACAGTATTTAGTTTTGTTAGTATTGTAACTAAGCGATAGAATGTAATTTACAACTTTTCTAAATATGTACAATCTGGTTTGTGAAGGTTTCACAAAAATCTCATACTCCAGTTCACAAGAAATAAATTAAAATGCTCCTTGAATATAAAACCCTAAATATGAGCATGTTACTAATTCCGATTCTTAAACCAAATGTACCGAAATAGAAAACAGAAGGCATGAAAGCAATTAGAAATTCTAAAAATAATATATTGCTTCGAGTTTTAATCTTTAAACAAAGAACATCACATTATAAACAGTTCACCATAAAACATCAACTCCGTTTCAACGGTACGTTTTACTTTCCTGTATTTCTAAAGGTGGTAAATACTTTGCATAATGTTCGTGATGAACTTCACCCTTGAATTCCTTCTTTTTATTGGGAGGTCCTTTGACGACAGTAACAGATAGATTTGACCAATATCTCACTAAACTCCCTTGCATTCCCTTTGCATGAACTGTCAAACCGTTTTTATCTGTTTGATATCTAGCACAAGTTGCGTAATCAATCCACAAATTGCTGGTATCTTCTATTCCCCCTTCTTTTGCTATCCGTCTGAAAATTTCGAATGTTAGACTTAGAGCGATAGAAAAATTCTTTACATTCGACAGAAATTTGACTAATAAAGGGCTGCGTCAATGAGGGCACACAAAGACACCAAATCTCGTGACGGTAAAAAAACAAAGAACATATCTCAATGCAAAGTGAGACATTTTTTATGATACGATGCCCTAAAAAGAGATAATTACGTTGCAGAATAACTAGAAACCAAAATAGTAAAGCCAAACAGAATCATTTGATCAAACAATATTTTAGTTGTGTCTCGGTTGCGTTGTACTTGAAAAGAGGTACGTTTTCTCTAGTACTATTGGAAATGATGCAAGAGTTAAACGGCGCAACTAACCCAGTGTTCGACTGTGGAACAGTCCCGGATAGCCCGCCCCCGCAAACACCCACCACCACCTCTCCGGCAACCCTCCCATTTCCTACCAGATTCTCAGTGAGTTCCATCGCAACAATAGCCACCACAATGACTGAACCAGCTCCTAAAGTTACAGTTATACCAGGCGTAGTACCCCGTACTTCTGTATCACACGAATACGCTAAAACTCCCCTAACCACTGATCTCCCCACTTCCTACCCCCCTTCTAACAACATTATTCTTGTTCTGGTGGTCACCGTTCTCTGTGGTCTCATCAACCCTTGTGCACTCCTGGCGCTGAAGCACTCGTTTGATAGTGCTAAAGCGATTCAAGCTTACAACTATGTTAAAGCAAGGAGGGAAGGGATCGCGGCAAAGCACTTTGCCATTGGAGGCATCATACTGGGTGCATTGGTGCTTTCCATCATTTACTATCGGGGAATTATAAATGCACTTAATCAAAACCACAACCCCAAGTTTGAAGAGAGCCAACCCAAAATTGAAAATTAGCCTGATTGAAATGCAGCGTTTGAGGCTCGTTGAGGCGTAGACCAATGTAATAACAATGTGTCAGGAATAATTGGGACGCTATTTATCGAGGTGTAAATATTAATGCTCAATATCAACATTTAAACTTGAATATTTGGAAGTATACCAATTTTAGTTACTTGTTTATGGTAAATTTACAATGCTGGTGGTTTTAAATAACTTATGTTCTGATTGGTTGGAGTTTCATTGATTCATATAGTATATAAAATACCAGCCCAGTGCACTGATTGGACAGCTAATAATGGCGACAACAGAAGGTTCTTTTTTTGCTTTGATCATATTTGATCTTGTAAATTTCTATCACAAACCCTATTCCAAACCGGCCACCAAGCAACCTAATTGCCACCCAGTAAGATAAATAAGTTCAGAAAGATTAAAATAACTTTGGACACTCCCTAAGGTAATATTGCTCGGTCCCATTATTCTGGGTGTCCAGAACCAGGGTGATATTGTGGGCAGTGAAATAAAGGAAAGACGAACCGAGCATTTAGCAGTGTAGTGAGGGTGTCTCTGTATCTGGGGCTCCAGTTACTGTTGAAATAGCATTGTAGAATAGCGTGGTCTAACGGCTTCTTGTTTATCTGAAGATAACACCGAGTTTAAGTTACAATTATCTTTATAGTTACACCGAGTTTAAGTTACAATTATCTTTATACGACCGAGTTTTGTGGTTATCAGTGAGGGTGTTGCTGAAGGAGACTAATGTTGATGAAGGATTTGTGTCACTCTAGCCGACAATTCTATACAATGTTGAATATTATACAAGTCATCATGCCTTAGAAGTTTTTATAGGGAAATTAGAATTAATCAACTTAGTTAAATTAACAACAGTTAAATTAACTTAGTTTAATTAACTTAGTTAAATCAACAACAGAATGTGGATCTTTTGATTGAACTTTTTGACAAAATGATTGGTTTTGTGTTCGCGAAGACTGTAGATCAGCTGTAGGCGGTAAAATAGTTAGTATTTCGCATATTACCAAGCTCTTTTCAGTAATGCTATGTGTGTATTTTAGAATGTTAGCTAAATAAACCAGGGGTTATGAATATTTCGTGTATAATTTTTGTGAATACCTCCGATTTAAATCAATAACCGCCGTTTTTAAGGACCCATTAAATTGTGGGCCCCACGGCATCTTTACCGCATTCTGATTGGTTGCAGGATATAATGCAGGCTGCTAACTGGTCAGATTTGAGTGTAGTTATTTTAACATTATATGCGAGGTGCCTCTTATTTCCGGGAGTGTGTTGTGGACATATTGCTGGTCCATTTTGAGTAGAGTTTTACACTTACATTTTACTACCTCCAATTTACATACATCTGCAATCTGCATGAAATAGGAAACTACATTACTATTAAAAGTAGCAGATAAGAAGTTAAAACTCCTTTAGATTGGTAACGTGAGAAAACCTACACTTTGTTTATTTAAACCGACCGTTTTGGGGATATATTAGACGATAAGCAGACAAATTCAACAATTTACAGATAAGGGCACCGAAATAATATCAATTTGGTTATCATCATGCATTGTCTAATCTTATCGGCCTACTAAATAAACAAACTACTCTGAATTGAAAATCTATTTCTAAATTTGATGTGTTATATTTACAGCAATTAAATAAGAATACGACGTTTGAAGACAATTTCTTTCGTAATTTGAATCGCAGTACTTAAACAACAAATGACTAATGAATAACGAATTAGTGAGGTTTTGAGAAATTAGGTGGTCAGATAAGAAATCTACTTGGTTTCAGTCCGTGCGATGTTTTTATATAGCGGATAATAATCCGCTATTAAACAGATTTAATAATAGCCGAACAGATTTAAAACGTTAGTTAGTATGAAATGAGAGGTAGAGGATGACAGATATGAAACAAACCTGCTTTATTATGGGATGGAGTTTCTTCCACCGCCCCATTATATTATTACTAACAACCACAATTTTAACTTCGTTCTCAGTTATAATGTTAACCTTTTCTCTCTTCTTTTCTTTTGCTCGCGACCGTTTCTGAGAAAAAGAGGAAATATTGATGGCCTGGATGAAACATCTAGCAAGAAGTTGCTGAATTATTCATCATTAACTTGAATTTCAATGGTTAAATTCATCAAAAAGCTCAATTTAATCTTCATAGCAATACCTGTCGCTTTCTATCGACGTGATCAAAAGATTTGATAGTAACGGGATAGGGCTGTTCATCGTCACATGGTAACAGTTTCTGTGGCTGTACTTTGTGGATCCTGGTGGAGACAGTATTTTATTATTATAAAGGAGCATTTTACAAGACAAGCATCTAATAAACATAGGTTTATTAAAGGTGACACAAATACTAACATACCAAGGGTAGAGTCGGGGAAATTTCTTCTCTTTTCCGGGTTTGCCGAGGTTTTCAAGCCAATAAGGCGGGTTTTTCTTCTCTGGGAAGAATGTTGCAGCTTGATAGGGGAGGGAGGAGAGGAGTGGTCGTAATGCTCGCGACAAGATCATATCCCCCTGCTAATCTAGTTTTATAGAATGAGGTTACATTTATAAGAGAAATCTTGACTATGTATAATAAGTATATGGTACATTTTAATCTTGCTGATTGATAGTCTCATCATGACTTTTATAAAATATGAAAAATTGTTTCTTATTGATTCATTTACATCTAGTATTTACTTCAGCAACCTTGCTTTCGGGTTAAATAAAATTTTCTAAAAAGTAAACTACGTTTATTCCAAATAGTAAATATACGACAATACAGTACATTGAAAATAGTATAAGAATTACAATTCGATAGGATTTATCGTACACAAGCTACCAAAAGCCAAACCAACAGTCAAAAATGGACAAGAATTGAACTTCAAAATACAAGTGTACAAGGTCAAATATTATTCTAAGTCATTTAATTTAAGTAATATCTGATTCTAACCATACCTGCTACTGCTTTTAAGCGTTTTTGTATAATTTATAATATCAAATAATATCTATGAATCGTGCTACCGTGATTTGCTTAAATTTTACGTCATTTTTCGAATATTTTGTGATTAAGGTTTCAATAATGTAATTTCCATAGTGTCACCACTATAAAGTGAACTTAGAATAGACAGACAACTCAACGGAATAATTATTATTCCAAATTATTACTACTAATACTACTAATAGGTGTCTATATTTAAAATGATTAGCTGTTATCCAAATGAGACACTTAATAACTCCCAACTGAACAAACTTCAAGATCCCAAAACAGCCAACTAAACGGAAACCCAACTTATAAAGTCTCTAATATTTCATACTATTGGTAAGTTAAAGATAAAAAGATTATGATTGAGCCATTAAAAAATCGATCATAAATACTTTAAAAAATAACGTCTACGATCACAGAGCTGCGTGCCTGAGCTGATTCTATCAGATTGTATTCAGTAATGAGGATTGAGGAATGTTACATCGGCGCGCTGAGTACACAACCCTATTATAACAACTAGTTCTGCGTCAGAGAAATTATCGTGAGGAATTTATGAACCTTGAAATATCCCAGATATAACAACCACGCCTTTATGAGGGGTATTTCTACCGGACCGATATTTCTCAATATCAGAATGTGAGTACACCGATGTTGTCGGACCACCCCAACTGTATCTAGATTTACAAATACTGAGAATAATACCAAACAATTCTGAGTTTATAACGTCTCTTGTAACTTCCGTACTGAAAATATAACTATTTTAACACCTGCCACCATATTACAAATTCTATACATTTCAAACAACATTACCATGTGTTGAAACTGTAAAGGTGAGAAAGGTCAAATATAGCCATTAAAAGTGTTTACTAACTTACATTAAAGATTTCAAAACAATACTAAATGTGTTAAAATCGGCTAAACTGCTAGCACTGGTTGAACGGTTAAAGGTACATCTGAACAGCTTTCAGATTCAAGAATATTATTATATCTGTAATTAGCGACCAAGACTGCAGTTAGAAAGAAACTGTTTTCCAAAATATGGCATGTTTTAAGATCTTAGGTACTTCATGATTTTTAGAGATTCTTCTCACCTAACGGACAGTTGACAGTTTAGTCTCTGATGTACGAGGTTTCTTGCTGACGGGAGAGGAGTCTTCAGTCGATCCTATTTTCTTAATTGGCTCTGGGACGTGCTTCCTCTTCTTGAAGAATGCTGTGAGGAGGATGGCGGTTAATTTACAAAATGTCAGCCAATTGTTTGCAGATAAGCATGTTTTGATAAAAAGCATATTAAGTTCTTCAGCTACATGAAATCCTTAAAATAACGAACATTTAACACAGCAAAGCAAAATATTACTGGTTAAAAAACAACGTACACTGGATAGAAGGCTGGGTTTTGTCGTCCTTGAAGCCTGGAGAGCTGGTGATCTTCCGTTTACACTTGACTTTAGTGGTGGTTCTGCTCAACAAGCGTTTCTTCTGAACTGACGATGAGGGTGTTGTCTCGTTTGCCTGATGGTTATTATTACTTGTAAATATGTAACGTGGGTGTTTTAATTTCATAGCTTCCCAAATGGTCCTCACAGAGAACATCGCATGATTTTAGTCAAAACAAATTACAATCTGTAAAAATTTGCTAACTTACTTTTCTGGTCTGTTGTGGATTAAGAACTGATTTGATAAATTCAGGCGAAGACGAAACTGGCTGGGGAGGTGCTTCTGCTGATGGTAGAAGTTTGAACCCCTCTACTCCAACAAATGCCTGTAAAGATAGACCGTAATGGTGATGGAAGCGTAATAGAGTGATCATGATAACAATAGTTGAACTACATGGCATTTAATTAAATATAAATACAGTATTATATTATAAGTTTTTCCATACATAATAATGTTTTCACATGATTACTATAAATTTATATAGGAACCTTGGTGTTAAAGGTCAGAGTCTCGACAGGTTCACTTGATGATGATGTGGCCGTCACCTCATCATTTATGTTTATCCACTCGATATTGCTGCCATCAACAGGCTCCCCCTTACTGAAGTCGAAGCCCCACTTTTCTTTCTTTTCGTCATTTATCTTCTTGATGGAGTCATTCAGCTCATTTTCTAACAGTTCATGATCTACAGGTCCAAACAAGTTTCGCCTAGCTTTGTTTTCTGAAATGATACACATTAATTGTCAATGACCATGCTTATTGCTTATCTTGGTGACATACATTTATATTTGGAATAAAAGAAAAAATCACTCTTAGCTTGAAAGGGAGGTCAATCTGAATAAACTTTTAAAGCTAAGTCATGTATTATAATCACATATCATCACGAGTTGACATACAATAACATTCTCAAGAACTAATAATTTAAAGAATACTTACTGGCATTGTACGGGACAATCCTACTGGCGGGAACCCTCCTCACACGCGGAGGGGAACGTATATTGTCAAGTGCTGACATAAGGCATATAACCTATTATAAGGGTTTAGAAGTTAAAAGTTTCAAAGTAGTTGTGAGAGGGATGGAAATAAATCGATGAAAGTGAGTGTCTACACTTGAATATTCGATGAAACAATGAAACAAGAAATTTCAATGAAACAAGAAATTTAATTTTTAGCACATTTTACAGAATAATATTGAATTATAAAATATGGAGCAAGGAAGACTTCAGACATGATAAGCATAGTAACAAGGCTTCCGTCTGTGACATGTCACGAGTTTTACAATGAGGCTAATCTGTCAAACGTATTGCTTACACTTTACATAACCTGAGCTCAGATTGGAGCTCCACATCTACATTGATATGTAACAGCGCAACACGGATGATAATTAATTAATTATTAAATGTTAAAACATGGTAAGCAAACTTGGTAATTTACATTGCCAAAGCCCCTATTTGTGGGCACAAAAGCTCAGGAGTATGAAATGTCTTAAATTAAAGGGTGTTCTAAGAGGATTTAGAATCTTTTGACAAGACCCCAAAATCAGTTTCCATATCATGCGGCTCAGTTACAATAGACCCCGAGATTAATGGGTAGCCTCTACTTAGACTGTTGTTGATATTTCATATAACATTGGTAGCAGTGGATAATTTCCATTACCTGTGTATTGTGCTCTGCCAATTGTATCACTTGAATTGAATGATTTAAATGAACATATATTCTTATCTATCTGTTGAAGTTGTGATTAAGCCTATTGCCATCCGAAGTAATATAATATAAGTTACAATAATTTCACATACAAATATCGATAGATTTTTACAGTTCTTTGTGGATTGACTTTCAATTTCGGATGTGAAAAATTGACAATAATATCATTAACCCATTAGGGACGATAGGGTCGTTTTTATGACCCACCTTTTCTAGACGAAAAACCAAATTACTAAACGCTATAACGAATCTATAGCATATATGCTCAAAATTTTTTGGGCTACATATAATGAAGCCCAATAAATTTATGGTACGAGGGTATGAAACAAAACCCTTTGTAATATATAAAGTGTTCGACTAGAAAACTTTCAATTTCGTACTGCACTAAAAGAGTATTTCCCCTTATCCCAGATTAGATATATCGATTGATCATACATCAAGTACACAAGGCCTAACAAGCCGCTAACAATGTGGCTATTGGACCATCACGAAATTAAAAACAATTGTTCAAACAGTATACACAGATAGATTCATCAATGGTTACTGTCCAACTATATGGTTCAATCAATAAAAATAGAATGGTAACAATTTGAGTGAAAGCGTAAAAAACAATTATTAGATGAAATTACACGGTGAAGATGCGCACTGCTACGAGCAGATCAGACAATTACTCAACAAACATCCTCTGATCAATTATGATTTAGAAGTTATTTGTTAGTTTCCGGTCCAAACTCAAATTTTAGAGTTGTAACTGAAATGATAGTGAACTGATCAGTAAGTAATAAGATCACCTTTTCCCATAATAGTAGCGCTCGATTTTACGGTATGAATATAAAATAACACAAATATGCGCGGCGCTTCAAATTTAGATTTTCGATAACCAATCATTTTATTTTGTGTTTTGGTCAGTATGTAAAACAAAATTTAATGTTTTGATTTTTACAATAATGTATATTACAATTGATTTAGTCTTAAATAAACGAGATCGTATTCTTATCTGTCATGTTATATTGTGTATTTACGTTGACTGATGTTACTCGTCTAAATTTCTTCGAAGTAGCGCGCGCCGCTTTCTTCTCGACTATTAATAATGGTCAAGTATTTAATTACGCAATTAAAAATATTTTTAAATTTGATGACATTATATTTATATTGCAATTTAATTATAACATATGAGTTTGATTACCTGAGGACCCCAAGCTTTAATGTTGGTAAACAACCGAATAGAGATTAGGCGGAATGACAGGCTGAGCGCGGCCCAGTAAGAGTTTGATTGACGATGTCAACCCTTCCAGATCGTTGCTAGCTGCGAAGCAAAGCATTGATCTTGTCATCGATGCAAAGCAAGAATGCTAGTTTGCGCGGCGCGTCGAAGTCCTCCAACATATGAGTATGACATACTAAGGCGCGCTTTCCAACTCATTAATTATCTTATATATGTAATAGATTTCAATATTTCTTAACAATTATTGTATCACCTGTTCCATGTTCAATTTGTCGTGCTCGAATAAAGTTAAACCCAAGCAAAATAAAAGCTCTTGCTTAACGGGTGATAGTCGACGAGTCCAACTCGCGGCGCGCGTCTTGGTAGGTTATAAAGGTAAACCTACAAGCTAATTGACATTATCGTAACGGGCCTTGACAGGCGATAGTGATACTCGTAAAATATTTGCTCCAAATATTGACCGTTGACGAGTCCAGCTCTGCGAGTGTCTTTGGTAGGTTATAAACCTACTGCCTACAACATACAAAACGGGCCATGACAAAATGAAACACTTGATTATTTACCGATAATGATACGTAAAAAGTTAATAGGTTAACCTTCGCACATTATTTGTTATTGCAAATACAAAATACACGTATCAAAAATATGTATGATATTACACACATTGACATGGTCATCGTCATTGTCCATACTAACGAACAATCCACGATCACCGAATGACTAGGAAATCGCTTCAGAACTGAAGTGGAAGGGTTGCTCAATCAATATACGATGGATAGGCCACGATGCACGACCGGGAAAAAAATGGTGTTTATCATTCAAAGTTTGAACCAAACTTAATCAGCACAGTAAAACCGAATCAACTTTAGCACTGAATTATTCGCAGTTGGGAAATCGCGATACATGATTTGGCGTGAAGCGGTGTAGTGGGCACACATTTAAAGGACCAGTTAACTGAAAAAAAAAGTTATCCTCATATTTTGACAGATTGTGACAAATAGCAAACTAAGCAACGAGTCGAAATTCCTAAATCTCTAACTGCTCTCTAACGCGTGTAATTAGCGTTTGTATTATTTTGGCGATGACGTCATAAAGTCCCTTGCGCGCACTGAGTAGCTCGTGAGACTGTATTTTACAGGTAGAAAATGGACATAATACAATGTTTCTCCCCCAAATAACTCGAAAAGTAAGTATTTTAGGGTACATGTTGCTTCATAAGTTGTATATAAACATGGCCATTCTGCACAATTTGCACTCATTCAAAAATCTGTAGGGCCTTCATAGCCCAATTTACGAGATGCCCATATTTTAGCATGATTTCTGGAACCGAAAATCAGTTTTTCGCCAATAACTGAAAAAGTAAGCACTTTAAGGCATATGTTTGTTCGTAAGTCATATATTAATATGCTAATTGCGGTTCTTTTGCACCCTGTCTAAAGACTCTATCACGATCCTATCAAAAATGGGCTCAGCACCACGCCCAAAATGGTTTTTGGCAAATTTCTCGAAAAGTAAGGATTTTAGGCCATGTGTTGCTCAGTAACTCCTATATAAACATGCATATGCCGCTTGGTTTAAGCCTATTTAGAAGTCTCTACGACCTTCAGAAGCAAGGGGTCGGTTACGTTGTTGGGTCAATATGGGCGTGGCCCTCCTGGGTTTTCTCCACGGTCAAAAAATGTCTCCAAACGAAAATCGTTTATTCATACCTTCAGGAAGGTCTGTGCAAAGTTTCGTGAGTATTTGAATATTTGCAGGTTCATTTCCATAAATGTCCATAAATGACTGGACTACACAACTTTAGAGTTAACTTTAGAGAAACTCTTAAGTCATTTATCTCAAATTAAGCTGTTAGTGTCCATGATCAACCTGTGGCGACAATGTTTAACGTGAAATGTAAAAATCAGGAGTAATATAAAAAGTGTATTTTTAGATTAAAGTGCTAGCTCATAGTTTTAGAATTGTATAGATTAACGTTGGTCGTTTAGCCATCTAACAATCGATCGTGCCGTAATCATATGGTAATATATGGCCAGAGAATAATAGGGTCTTGGAAATTCTATAGTTGTTCAGTGGGTCGATTGACTGAACACGTTTGCACTTGGTATTTAAACTTACCAGTAGTTTATTTATGTTATGTACCGATGATAATGCAATTAGGATAACAACTAGGTAAGCCGTAAGTCTAATTCAAAACACACCGCACACCGTACACACCAATCAGTATTACTATTTGGTAGACCGGGTATTTTGGCGGGAATTCTGTTCCCACGGCACTGTTCTGATAGAAGCTACTTCTACTAATAATCCCAGAGGAACGGCCGTAAAGTAGCCAGACTTCTTGTCTCCTGTACTGGCTGACACATGTGGATTAAAGTTAGAAATTCCGCTATGATATAAATATAATTGCTCTCGGAATTGAACAAACTCCTACTTATCTAGATCCTTTCTAAACTCGTTAGAGTTTCATGGACTGGGGAAAAATAATCGGTACAGTCTCCCTGCTTGTGTAATTAAGCAATGAAAACAATCCAAAATTATCACATTATATGACATAAGTTGTAATAGCAGAAACTTTCTAACCGTACATTCACCCGCCACTGTTCAAGAAATTATGTCACTGTTTAAAATCATGACGTGAGCACTGTACATACAATCAGCTATTCCTTTAGTTAGGATGATAGCCAAAACTATAAGGATTTTGGAGAACTAGGGTAATAGTCATAATTCTAAAATTTGAGTGAGTTACACTTGTTTTATTGACGATGATAAACATTTGCAATGTATTACGCTATGCAAGCGCGCACTGAGGGACTTTATGACGTCACGACGCCACAGCTTATTATTGCAATAACACGCGTTACACGTACGCTAGAGAATTGGTTCTTTCGGCGATACGATTCTTTACCAGTTTGTCACAGCTGATTTAAATCTTAGCCAAATTGGAGACTACAAATTTTTCAGTTAACTGGTCCTTTAAATTGCATAGCAATAGTCAATATCACATTAAAATGCTAGGTAACAAAAAAAGAAGTTTTAATAATTAAATCATAAATCAAATATTCTGTTCACCAACAGAAATATATACGGTAATATTAGGGGCAGAGTGGTACAATATCTGATCCCTTTCCTTACCAAAAGCTTCGGTAAAAATTTCATAAAATCAATTCAGACGACTTTAATCCTTCCTCCAATCTTCACTAAACTCGCTAAAAAATAAACATTTCTGATTTCAATCTCGAAGTTGAAAAATACGTTCTCAAAACTAATTCTCACAAAGTTCTCCAACATTAGTTTCACTTTCAGTTCTCCAACATTAATTTCACTTTCAGTTCAACACTCGTTCTATCAACCGTTCTGATCCAAAGCTTGAGAGCTAGGTAACCATAGTAACCACCATATTGTTACGTCTTCTCTTGTTTGTTACCTGAACATTTGAACGTTTGTTAACCAGTCTATTTGCAGAAAAATTATCGAAGTAATTAAATTCAAATTATTGTTCGATCAGTAAATCGAATTTCATATTACCTTCACAAGCCACTATTTTGACTTTGTCAGCATGAAACCCCTCCGTAGAGTCCCTGAACTCTGTATTGGTCATCAGAAAGGTCCAAACATTGTCACAGTAACGGTATGTTTTTATCCTACCCTATAGGGACAAATGATTAATAATTCATTTGGTTAAATTACGCAGTAAAAGTATCATCCTGGGATCTCAATCCATCAACAATAATAACACCTGGACTTACCACAACTTTCACATCGCCCCTCACTCAATCACAGACCAAACCATCTCATCACTCACTCACCAAATTGCCGACCCAATATCTATTGAAGTGGCGAAAATTTTCTAGACAAATGATATTTCGATATTATTGCTGCAGCAGATACATATACCAACATTATTATATTCCCAAACGTTTGAACCTTTAAATTAACTAGGAAAGTCAATCCTCAACTTGACTTTTACTGTTTTAAACAGATATGATGATATTAACTTAATTTATTATTATTATTATTATTTTTTTACATACTCCTTCTTAGTGTGGTGACTCGGGGTCCATAAATATAACAATACAAGCTGATAAACCAAAAAGAACAACTGGGGTAGGTAGGTAGCCCTGGTGGGTGCGTAAACTTTACGGTCTGCTCTCTCCAAGATCAGCCTGCTTCTCCATTTTACCGTGAAGCCTAATTTCTAGTTTTTATAAAATATACAATGCAAGTGCAGGTTTACTAATCTTAATCTACTTAACAACTCAATAGCCCAAGTCACCATACCCGTAGTATATTCCATGGTAATAGAAGAGCTTTAAAGTTTTTCAAATTGTTGCTATAATTGATTTAAATAAAAATTTGTTGTTTTCTTGAAAAATTTGTTGTTTTCTTGAATTCAATAAGTTGTTTATACCAAAAGAATCTTATTAAACATGAACTGGCTCCAAATTCCAAAGCAAATAATAAGCTCGTTTTGCAGTAAATTATTTAATCCCATTAGCGCCATCCATTTTAAATGTGAACCCTAACTTATAGTTATTTCATCGATTATAGCACAAGTCGCAAGATGAGCTCCCTCGTCTACTATTTACATACCTTGAAATTGACTTTGTTCCTAGCTCGTTGTGCGAGCGAGTAACTCATTGCTTTATCAAACTGTAGTAACACTTGTGCCTTAGCAGCGACAGTGATCTGTTGCGTCTGAAATTACACAATATTATCCCAACTGTTTACAGGGGAGTATATCTTAAACAATAATATATAATGACTTAGGAAATATAATGATTATGATATTACCTGAACCATTTCATCTAGCGAATCTTCCAAACATTGACCAAGTGTAGTGTTTCTGTAAAATTGCCACGCAGCCATAAATTCTACCTTTAAAATTGTATAAAATAAGTAGATATTTAAGGATTCGTTTAAATTGATTGCAGATGTTTGTTTACTTACACTGAGACCCTGTTTAAACTTAACATCTAGTTGGTTAAAGTAAAATCAATCTGTTAGATACAATTTACTAGATACAATTTCGTATGCAAATTAATTATTATTCTAGGAACCAAAATGAAAGCAATTAAACGATCATAGACATAATTTCAAAAACAATAATTTTAACAATCAATATCAGCAAGAAATATACGAAAATAAAACAATCATAACAATCAATTTTTTTCTGAAATCTATTCAAACGAATCCTGCAGTAATTCCTTAAAAGTCAAAAGAATTTAGAAATTATTCCTCTTATCAAATGCTAAGTTTGGAATCTACCAGAATTTTCATTTATACAAAGATTTATCAATTTATTTTTGTCTTAGAGAAAGCGATATGAAATAAGGAGAGCACGGTTCCTGGATCCTGCCTGTTTACTTGACACTTAACATCTAGTTGGGTCACTGTGAGTAGCTCTAGTCTGTTTGGAGTGTTCGCCCCACTTATAAGTACTGCGTAGTGCTGGCTGTGAGCTGGAGGTTTAACTTTATTTAATCGGTTATTAACAAACTACAAATTTAGGTATATATAATGATGAATTTCTTTCAAAACTTTGCATGGGTGAATGCTCTTTCTCAATTCTTCCAAATAAGTATCAAACTTAGTCGGATCACTCAAGATAATAAAAAGGACTAACAGTGGGGGTTCAGGTTTGTCATTGGCGGACGCCTCCTCAGGAATGTGCTCGTGATAACTGACCCAGGTAGCAGCGGGGTTGGGAGTGCCGTCCTTAGAGGGTACATTTACTCGCTGTTTGGGTCCTTCTTCCTGAACAGGACCAATATAATTGGTAACAACCATGAATTATAGATTGACAGTTGTACATTGTACAATGTATATTGTACAATGTATACGATTTGATGACCTTCTCAATAGAGAATTACAATTGCGATTCAATCACAAGAATAAAAAGATGACGAATTATAACTGACCTGAACATCATGGCCAAACTCTACTTTCTCAGTGGGACCATTTGCTCGCTTTCTGAACTTAGTAAGGAACTGTTTGTGAGCTGTGGTGTTTTCGAGACCAGCATCGGGAGTATTAGCTAGTTTCTCTATCAGCACTGATAACATCTGGCGGGATAGCACCCGTTAGGTCACGTGCTTTGTAATCTAGGTCACGTGCTTTGTAATTTAGGTCACGTGCTTTGTAATCTAGGTCACGTGCTTTGTAATTTAGGTCACGTGCTTTGTAATTTAGGTCACGTGCTTTGTAACTTAGGTCACGTGCTTTGTAATCTAGGTCACGTGCTTTGTAATTTAGGTCACGTGCTTTACTTCAACTCTAGAACCAATAATAACTCACATCAGTTTGTGTATTAAATAAGTCAGTGACATTAGGAAGGTCTGACAAGTTGACAAGTTCAATAGCCAGCTGTCTGATGATGGGGGAAGGGCTGTTGGTGAAGGGATGTAGGGTGGAGTAGAGGGGGGCGGGCAGTGCACCTAGTCGAGTTACTAAAACTACAAGACTGTCTAGCAACCATTTTATCTGGTTATCTGGGGGTTTGTGGAGGTTATAATAGTTGATATAATAGTTGATATAATAGTTGATATTTAATAGTTGGGGGTCGTTCACATATTACGTAATCAATATTTTAGCAATTTTTACCCCCCTCCTCCCTTCCGTAATCAACCGTAATCAAGACCCAACCCCCTCCCCCCTCCTGACTGCAATATTACGTAATCATGACCTGACCCCCCCCCCCTTGACTTTTTTCCTAGAAAACACTTTTCTCTATGTTTCATGCTACCCTGATCATGCTATCATGATGAGCCGAAATCATTGTTATGATATCCGGGCAAGCACCTTCTAAACTACTTACTATTACAGCCGGATATTCGATCAATTTCTAAATTTTATCACTATCAGTGAGTGGAATTTGAATTAAAATATTGTCAAATTGTTATTATTCTAGAGGGTAAAAAAGAAAATGTTGATTACGTAATCAACGACCGAAACCCCCCCCCCCCCCGTAATCAACCGTAAGCATTTGGAAACCCCCCCTCCCCCCTCGGCTGATTACGTAATATGTGAACGACCCCTTGTTATAATAGTTTATAATAGGTGATAACTCGTAGTGATAAAATGAGAAATGTGAAGAATTTCCTAAATACGAACCAGATAAGGATTTGATCTTGTTAACCCAAATTCCGGCTCTATCAAAATCAGGATCATATCTTCCCAGCGCCCAGATACTCAGCCAAGATTTCTGAGAGTTTATGTCGTCGTTTTCTTGGGCAGCTTTTTGGATGAGAGTTTTTACTTCAGCGTCGATTGTAGTTGTGCAATAGTTGATCAACCTAAGAGTTCAATTAATATTTTTTCAGTGGATTTATTTAACTTTTGAAGTCTGCAATTAAAAAGTTAGAAGAAACAAAATTTAATTGCGAACCGGAGAAAGCTACTCAGTGAGTAGTACTACTAGTACTCACGTGTTAAGGATGGGAGAAGGAGAGGTGGAGGGGAGTGGGGAAGCGATAGCAAGTATTTTCAGGAGCAGTCCCACATACCAAGCGGGGCTGGGTGCATGCTTTCTTCCTATCTCAGCTAGTGTGGAGCAACATTCTGCTTCTAGCTCCTTACTGCAACTGAGGTTCAGTTTATTTAGAATTTACATTTTTCATAGAAATTTGAATTACTTTTTATCACAGTAAATCTTGGAAAGATTTTAGGCATTTATGTGTCGAAAATCAATGCTGAATATCCGGAAAAAACTTTGAAAAAAAAAAGGAAAATTCTTAAAATGTGCTACGTTAAACACTCTTAAAAATAACAAAACATATTCTAAAACCAAATCTAAGGATGATGACATTTCGTGAACTAAAATCTAGAATTATACTCAAAACTTACTTTGAGTCTGATAAAATGTCTAAAAGAACTCTAGTAGCATCAGTCAGAGTATCAGGCGAAACCCCGACCCGTAGTACTTTAATAGCAGCGTCTCTAATCATGGTGCACTGGTGCGAGGTATACTGGTACACTGAAACACAGAGTTAATCTAGATACAACTGATATTGTGATACAAATTTCAAGAGGGCAGGTACATACTACATATGATCAGATAACGCGATAAAAGAAATGTAGTACTCGAATATCCCCCAGGAACAGTTTGGTTATTAGCGTACAAACCTTGTGGTATAAATGTTGCTCCGATTGAGGGCTGTTTTTCGCAAAGTTTCTCCAACAGTTGCAGACCAAGGTGTATTTTGTTGCTTGCACTGTTCAAGAACTCTGAAATTGAAAAATTGTTTCGCCGGATATATTTCTAAAACTGATTCGGTTAGATCGAAAAGGCTGACTTGCTCAACACAAATTTAAGATAAAACTTTCATCTGACGTACCATCTATTTTGCGGGTAACAAGAAGGATAAGGTCCTGGTTAGGATATATAGACAAGATAGTCTGACAGACTTGGTACAAGACAGCCACAGCAGCATCAGCAGCCTGAGGGGTGGTCATCTTCCCTGAAGCTCTGGCTATCACCAGGTGCAACACGTGACTCATATTCTCACTCAACCTGGTTAGACGCAACTTATAGGTTACAGAAAAAGAAAACAATTTTCAATGGTATGATTTTCAAGAACTACGTTTCATACTAAAATTTAAGGTTAAGTTTTCATACAAATATAAAGCGGAATATTGGGGCTTGAGTCCGGGTTCCCGCCAATTTAAGTTAAAACTTACTGCTTATCATTACAGCCCAAGTAGTGTAGTATCTGAAGGAGGTAGACCTGGGCCCAGGGAGCAGGGAATGTGTGGTAGTTGAAACTGTTGTGAAGTCGCCCCTCAACTATTTGGATCAATATGTCTGTAAACGCCTTGTTCATGTGACGGTACTTATCCGGCTGTTCCTAGGTGATTAGCAGACAGTTAGCGATAGCTCAGCAAAAGTATTTAATACTCAAAGTAATATGGACCAAAAATAGAATGGAGTTAACCCTTATTATACTAACCAATTGCTTTCGTTGAAAATTGAGTCAAAGTACACTACACATTGTTGCGTGTGTTCTTATGGTGGCTTACCTTACAAAGCTAAAGTGCACTCCACATTGTTGCGTGTGTTGTTAAGGTGGCTTACCTTACAAAGTTTCAGATATATAGGTAGAGCAGATATCATGACCCCAGCATCAGGATCACACAACGCCTTCAAGTAACGTTCATCGTGTGTTTGTTCTGGCATTTCCCGCAGAAACTGGTACAAAACATCTACTGCTTTCTTTCTGATTATCTCTCTGGGAAGGAGAAAGTAATATTATTTGGTACAAAACATCTACTGCTTTCTTTCTGATTATCTCTCTGGGAAGGGAGAGGAGAAAGTAATATTAATTTCAATTACAAATTATAATAACACTAGTATAACCCGTGCCAACGGCCGGAACTTCACTATCGCAGTTGAAATCCAAAAGTATAAACCCGCCTATTATATTCGAAAACACGCATTACATTGTCGTATGAAAGTATGAACTCTCTGATAGTCCAAACAAACCGCAAACAAAACCCCCTCCCCCAACCTTATAAGCTTATAGTATTACATAACAGTGAATATTGCCGCTGATACATTGCCGAATAACCTAATTATGATTTATCCCCGATTTATGTACCAACGCTGCATATGCAGTAATGGGAGAGAGAGCGAGGAGGGAGAAAAAGTGAGCCATTTTATGTCACATTTGTGGTACAAAACCATCAATTTAACCACTTACCATCGGCCGATTAAAAAATTGCATATTGGCTTCGTCAGGGTTTTGTCGAAACTATGTACCGAACAAACCAGTCCCATAAGTTTTACCGTTTTCTTGATTAAGCCGCTCGGAAATTACACGCACACAGACAGACAGACAGACAGACACACATTTTGAGATTAGTAGTATAGATGACATAAACGTGGTTGGATAGAAAAGAGTAATGTCACGAAGGTTATCACGAACTTTCGCGTCATTTTATTAAACTAACTTCGGATGAGATAGCTTTTTGATGATAGTAGGAAGAAAAGCAGATATTGTATCTTTTCCCATGAGCTGACAGATGGCAGTGAGAGCCATACTTTGCTCCACAACACTTTCTGATGCAAGATCCTGAGGGTAACAGCGAACTTTAATTGGGTTCAAAAGCATTTCAAATTGTTTATTTAAAAAACCACACATGGCATTAAAATGAAGGGTTCGACTGATATAGTCCGGCTCTCTTCCTTACTTTTTGTAAAGAGCAGCATAACAGGAGAGATTCCTCACGTCCCGGGTTAAGAAGCAGAGACGAAACTAAATACCCTGAAATAGATTAAATGTCAATTAAAAATTTTGGAAGCATGTAAGGATTTAGACCTGATGTCGATCGTATATACTAAAAATACTCTAGCACATGCAATTGTAACTGCAGTTTTACAGAACTCTAAATGCTTAATGAAGACACTTGCAGGTACCACCCGTATTCATAGTCAGACCTGAGTTTAGTCATTTTCCGATGCGAGATTGGGGACGGGTTCTATAAACGAACAAACTAACAAATGTACGTTTACACATTGGCACATCATTTGATGATGATACGGTGGGTTGGAAAATATGATCCATTACGAATACGCAATGTTAGCACCCTTTATTGTCGTTTTCTTCCCCGTTTATTGATGATCACGTCAAAATTCTACAAATCTGTTCTTATTTTGATTGCTTCATGTTATTTGTTTTCGATACTTTACCAGGACATCGTAAAGACAAACTTCAAGCTAAATTTAAGAGCAGTTTCATCCACGATCGATTACGAGATCCCATCTCAAGAGTTGTTAAAAGAACAGTTAAACCGATTCTATGACGAAATGTACAGCACCTACCAGTCGCCATCTGACTGGATGCATGTCTTACTCAATCAAACTTATTATTTCCCCAATACTAACATAATTTTCACGGGAATACCTAAAACAGGTTGTTCGCACTGGAAAGAACTCTTCCTACAAGCAGAGGGCGTACTAAAAGGTCGACTTGAGTATCTTCCCGATGTACATTTCAATTTCTCATCTCCCTACAAACTTCATAATTTCGCTAAAACATGGAACGGGAAATACGACGAGAAGATCAATACAGCGACCAGCATTGTGGCATTGAGAAACCCTTGGGTGAGAGCTGTCTCTGCATACAGACAGAAACTATCCAGCGAGAAAACACAAGGAAACACTTTGCCAAAACTTCAGTTAGAGATCATTCAATCCGAACGGAATGTCTCTCAAATTCAGCATTTCGCTCTTCTTCGGAGCGATCCGAAGAGGCTAGTTCACTTACTAGAAACTAGATAAAAACTCCAACGTTCGAGGAGTATGTAAGGTATACAGTAAAAGAAAACGAGAAAATAACAGCAAATCCACATTTCTCTCCTCAAAACATGTTTTTATCGGTGAACGAAGTCCGTTATGACTATATTTTACCGATGGAATTTGCGGAACAAATGTCCACGGAGTTCTTACAGACAGTGGGAATAGATATTCCTTTGCCAGGATCTTATGACAGAGAAACTGATCCAAGGTTGCAGACGTCAGTAGTAAAAGCAAGGGAGTTATTTTCTACATTGGATAAGGAACTGGTAGATAAATTTTATGAAATTTATAAGTGGGATTTCAAGCTCCTTGATTACAGCAACTTTAGCGATCCAAACTTTCCATTTCCTAATTTCTACACTGACTGTGAAAATGACAAATGAGTTGATAAACTAAAATTGTTATATTTTCAATTTGAAAGATACAACCCATATCTATGCTTCCCACTACAGATTTGGAGACCACTCTTTCAATACATAATTTGGGGTTCGAAATACTGGGCTATAGTAATTGTCTCCTTGTATATCTTGATTTATTTATAATAATTAATTTCTGTATAATTATGTATTGTTTGAAAAGAATTATGATAAAAGAGCTGCTCCCGCCGTGACTACTGGGACTGTTATTGGAATAATTGGTAGATAGTATAATATAGGGCACGCATAATCCTGTCAATTCCTATTTTTGAATACTGAGATATTTCATTCCTTTTCAATCTCCAAGTATAACTAGTCGGTGCCAAAAATGGGATGATTGAAGCAAGAGTAAAGCTAGTATCTAAACAATAACTCAAAACTTCAATTTCACGGAATAAATCAAAGCAGGTGCTTACCAACCCTCTTGTAGAATAAACTGGACTGTTGAGCAAACTTGATGGCATCAATAACGCCGAAAGTAGCATCGTATCCCAGCATGTGTATGTAGATGAGCTTTACCAAGCGTTCGTGCTGCACAGACTGAAAACGTGTCACTTAAATTCTGTAAAAGAGTTAAATAAACGCGCGTGATGCCACTGTGAACACTGTATACAGCGAACTTATCACGCGTAAAGGGTTTCGCGCGCTACGTTTACCAGTTTATGTAGACGCGGCTACCACAAAAGGTGGCGGGCAAATGGCATTGGATTTAAAAAATCGACCCAGATAAATATTTACGTCATGCCAGTTTGACGGCGCAGAAAATACAGCTCGAACATAAACATCCTCAGCTGGTGCATACTGCGATGAAAGTGGTCAGCGTTATTTTATTCGTTTATGAACACGGTCACAAAAAGATCACAAGTGGGTCACATCTCAGTCTAATTTAACCTGAATATATTAACAATGAGTATGTTTAGCTCTAGACTAGCAGAGAGGCTGCAGGACCTGTTTGAGGTTTCAATTTGGGCAACTTGCAAGAGTTTTGGAGACTACATGTACCAATCGAAAGCACGTCATGGCATGGAGCTTTTAATGGGAATTTAGTTTACTCTTTCTAACTATTTTGTTATTGAAATAAAAAAATAAGGTTCCGATGGACCTATGCAGCCCCCGGTCTACTCAGCCGAATGCTCGAGAAATCGTGTGTGAGGGTTAAATGAGGAGCTGTACATGATCAATGCAGCGGAGCCACGGGCGAAGAAAGTGTGGTATAATACCTTAACCGTCGCTGGCCTTAGTAATCGATCCTTCGGTTTCCTGTAAGTGCTGGTGCCGGCCATGGTTGTCCGAAGTTAAAGTAAAAGGGTGGTTTTCATAGATGACCCTGCTGCTTTGCAGCTAAACAACGTAAAGTAAAGTAAAGTAAAGTAAATTATATGACTACCAAGTCCTTACAATTACTTACACTTACTGTACCAACAAATATAGATAGGGAAAGCGTTAGTGCAGGATTGTCCAAGATAATATCTCATTTAGTTTGATAGGTCCTCCCCAAAGGGAGGTGAGCCTAGCCCCGAGGTACTGCAATACGGGGAAGACTCGTGGTCTGGCTGAAGCAAGCTTCACATCCTAGACCGATTTCCAAAAATCAATTTAATATTGAAGCTACTCGATGAGTAGCGTATCAGATATTAAACTGATAAGAACAGATACTACACTTGATCTTAGCCAAAAGGCCGAGAAGCGATGCTTATTATACTTTAAATACGGGGTATATAGAGAGCATTTAATATTTCCTTGTGTTTAAAAATGTTCACATTTATATTAGTATCAAGGTATCATCTTCCAATCCTTATGATCCATTAATTATGTTGTCAAGTTTTTAAAGCAAATTCTGGAATTTACTCACAGTATATCGAAGAAAATAGCGAACAAAGCTGTTATTCCGAACAAAAGTAAAATTTACTTACCGAAGTTGCGTAGGGTGTTTTTATTTCTTTCTTCAGATTATCGACCTCTACCTGCATGACCAAGGATTCCTCCTGAAATATATGATAGTTTAAGATGCCCGATAATTCGGGTTAGGTATCCAAATCCGAAAAAATGTAAACCTCCAAACTGTAGTTTTATGTGCAAAGCATCTTACATATTTAGTTTTGGAGTCGGCTATGTCCTTGATGAACTTCTTGAAGGTGGGGGAGTGGCCGTTGGGAGTGCCAATTATCATTTGCTCCACATTCTTCATCCTTCCAGGAATTTGGGGTTAAGGGACGCAAAAGTTGCAAGTGGGGGGGGGGGCCAATGGCATAAAATGGCATAAAATGGCATAAAATGGAGACTTTTTCTATGGAGAAAATGGAAAAACCCATGAGTAATTCTCCATTTTCTCCATTTTATGCCACTTGCAAAAGTTGCAAGTGGGGGGGGGGCCAATGGCATAAAATGGCATAAAATGGCATAAAATGGAGACTTTTTCTATGGAGAAAATGGAAAAACCCATGAGTAATTCTCCATTTTCTCCATTTTATGCCATGAATTTTGTCTTCAAATTTTGATCTTTAACACCTAAATTGGACATCCTAACATGTTTATTTACGCTTACTAGGGGCGTAACAAGCTTATGAAAGCTCATAGTAGGCTACTAGATGCTTATACTAGGTTAGTAGAGGCACACTTCAGGCAAACTCATAATTACTCAAGCCTAGTGTAAAGTTATTTCTACAGGCTACAGCAGGAGTGAGTAATAGGGGAGAGTAATTATAGGCACTGAGAAGTGAGACCTACATCCTCGAAAGTCGAAACAAGCTCGCACTGCAAAGGGGAGGCCTGCCTTCCGAGATCGCATTACTAGGGGGAAGCCTCGAGTCCAAATTTGTGTATTTAGGGGTAGGTGCAGACTTCGATAAACCGAAAAATCAAAAAAATATTTTCGGCTAATAATGAAGAGGGTAGCATGAAACGTGGAGAAAAGTGGTTTTTAGAAAAACTTTGAAAAATTTTGACTTAGAAAATTTTCGGCCCGAGTCATTCTCGATACGTACCTCTCGTATCGAGAGCTCACGATTCCGAGCTCGTGTTGCAAAGGGGAGGCCTGCCTTCCGAGATCGCATTACCAGGGGGAAGCCTCGAGTCCAAATTTGTGTATCGAGGGGTAGGTGCAGACTTCGATAAACCGAAAAACCAAAAAAAAATTTTCGGCTAATAATGAAGAGGGTAGCATGAAACGTGGAGAAAAGTGGTTTTTAGAAAAACTTTGAAAAATTTTGAATTAGAAAATTTTCGGCCCGAGTCATTCTCGATACGTACCTCTCGTATCGAGAGCTCCCGATTCCGAGCTCGTATTGCAAAGGGGAGGCCTGCCTTCCGAGATCGCATTACCAGGGGGAAGCCTCGAGTCCAAATTTGTGTATCGAGGGGTAATTTTCTAAGTCAAAATTTTTCAAAGTTTTTCTGAAAAACACTTTTCTCCACGTTTCATGCTACCTTGTTCATTATAAGCCGAAAATATTTTTTCGGTCAAAATTTTTCAAATTTTTTCTGAAGACCGCTTTTCTCCACGTTTCATGCTACCCTGTTCATTATTTGCCGAAAATATTTTTTCGAAGTCCACACCTTCCCCTCGATACACAATTTTGGACTCGAGGTAATGCGATCTCGGAAGGCAGGCCTCCCCTTTGCAACACGAGCACGGAATCGGGAGCTCTCGAAACGGGAGGTACGTATCGAAAATGACTCGGACCGAACATTTTCTAAGTCAACATTTTTCAAAGTTTTTCTGAAAACCACTTTTCTCCATGTTTCATGATACCCTGTTCATTATTGGCCGAAAATATCTTTTTTTAAATAATTTTTCTCGAAATTCTAAATTTTTCAGGTTTTCAATGGCATAAAATGGCATAAAATGGAGACTTTTTCTATGGAGAAAATGGAAAAACCCATGAGTAATTCTCCATTTTCTCCATTTATGCCATTGGCCCCCCCCCCCCCCTTGCAAGTTTATTGCTTATTCTTAGACATGATTACGGAGAGTGGTTTTATTATTAATCCCTAAATAGAGATTGAAGAGAAACTCTGCATTCCTCAAAATAATACGAATGTAGAAATTGGCAGTGAAACTACAATTAATATTGTTTTAGAGTATTACATTTAGTTTATCTCAACATTATACAGGATCCAGTCCAACACGAAAAATTATGCTATTTATCTGCTTAATTAATATTTTAATTAAAACATCACAAAAGTTGAAACCCATACGTAAATATAGCATGTCAAGAAGTTGCAAAAATAAAACTGATTCTAAATCATAATTAATTTCCTAACTGTTCCTAACTGTATATCACTCCCGATGGTTATTAATATGTACATAGGTTATGTAATGGGTAATAATTAACAAAATTAATAATACTGAAGGTAGCATTTAAAGATCATAACTAATGTTTCCAATTCTGAAGCCTATTTCAGTAAACATTATACGTTGTTGCTGCCAAGAACTTATTATCTTGAAGTCTCAGATGCACAAATATCTTTGCTGCAAAATAATGAGTAATCCGATAGCCCACAGGGAATCATCATGCACGTGAACTATCACGTGATATCTATTTATAGAACACTTTTGTCAAACATCATATCATTTAAAAAGTATATTTTATTATTATCAAAGGATATTTAAACAGCTAAAAACGAGCTGAGAGAAGAAGCTAATCAACAACAACAAACTAAAATCCGCAAAGTATTCAATACTAATACTACTGTAGAAGGAAGAACAGTATAATCACAAAACATCACAATCACGAAATAAATACCACAAACAAACAAACACACATCGCAAACTCACTCGCAAATTCACTCCCTACATTTGCTTGATACTTTTCTTACTCTTCAGTCATTGCGCCTTCTTTTTCTCCACCACATCTTTATGGTACTGCTGAGCCATGGAATTAACGATGGACAAAACAAAGTACCCGATCATAAGAAAGAGGAAGATCTCAAAACATTTGGATACCATAGAATCAGTGGGGGGACCACCCTCTTTACCGCCACTGTGAAGTTTCAACTTCTGTTTATCCATGTAGTCCACAAAAGGAGCGTGCAGGGCGGGTCCTATTTCAGGAATACTAGCAATGAGGTTCTCTAACGCCTCTAAATGGTGCTTAGTGAAGATGAATATCACAAACAACATCTGGATGTGCATTTTAACGATAGCTTTACCAATCAGAGTGGCACCGAAGAATGTTGTAAAAGGGACAAGGAAATGTCCGCAAGTAAGCCCAGCCAGATCGAACAGAGGATTGGGAATACTGGCACATAGAAGAATTCCGAAGAATCCAGCCTTTTCAACGAGATTGTGCATGAGTAACTTGGCACGTGACCAGAGGTCCAGGTCATCTTTCTCCTTAATCTCCTCCAGCTCATTAAAGTCCTCGTCCTCCAGCTGCTGCCCTGATAACCTGGCAGCACGTGCCATGAAATAGGGTGGAAGTTCCCCTAGCGCAGTGCCAGCCCCCCACATAAACGCCTCCAGCCTTACTTTGGACATGATAGCCAGCAAGTTAATACTCATGGGCTCCCCGCTGTCAGGGCATGTTATCTCAGCGGGGTAGGGGGGTTCAGGGAAGTGAGTAGACCCGCACTCCCAGGCAGCAATAGTAACACTAGCTATGTGAGGTCCCAGATAGAGGAGGAATGTGTGGAGTCCAGTACCGAACCCTACACTAGACAACACTCCCAGACCCAACCAGTAGAGACACCAGGCTGACTTGTCCTGAAGAACAGAGACATAGACCTGGTGTGGACCCTCAAAGTGTAGAGCAGCCACTACCACAGCACTTAGTACCACACTGGTGAGGATGAGGGTGGTGTTGGTGAGGAGGAGGGTGGTTAGTCTCACTACTTCTGAGATGAGTTGGAGGGTGAAGTAGAGGAGGGTGGTGAGGGGGCGCCGCCATAGTACTAGTGTTTCCCGCTCACTCGACATACCTGGGGGATTTAGTTAACAAGGTAGGTTCAAAGCTGTAACTTTAAAGCTAATTGCACTGTAAATCTGTGAATGAAATTGTATATAATTAGGTTGTAAAAGGAGTGGGAGTTAAACAATTATATGGATCAGCGGGACAAGTGAAAATGAAATATAGTTGTCAAGACGACTGAAAATTAATTAAAGTAAAAATCCTGTAAATTTTAAAAGCAAGTTCTCGAAATCGTTTCATGAGATATAAAATTTACCCGATTTATAAATAAAAACTCATATACAGTTACAAAAATTAACGGATGTTTTAAAAAACCATCTGCAACGGAAACATGAAAATGTCATGACTTCAGTGTCGATCACTACTAGATAAAAATAATGACCACAATGAATTATTAATGGTATCACTTTAACAATTTACATGGCAAGGAAGCCTCCATCAATAGGAAGTGTAGTTCCATTTACCATTGAAGAGCTATCACTCAATAAAAATAGAATCGGACCGACAACCTCCTCAATTTCAGCAAATCTTCCCAGAGGTATTTTACTCAGCATGGGACCAGCTTTTGCCGGATCAGACCAGCCAACTCTCCCCATATCTGTCATAACTACAGTTGGATTTACACAGTTTACTCTGATACCATGACTCCCCAACTCTAGGGCCATATTCTTAGCTAGATTATCTAGCGCTGCTTTTGACATTCCATATAAGGAATGGTCCTGTAAAGCAGCTTGGGACGCTTGGGATGACACATGAACTATGGAACCAGCCTTTTTGTTATTAACCATATTCTGAGCAGCTGCCTGGGCCACAAAGTAGTTTCCTTTTACATTTACATCCATCTGAGCATCGAAATCAGAAGTGGTAATTTCCAGGAAAGGTCTGATAACGGCAGTAGCAGCATTGTTAACGAGTCCGTCCAGAGGAGGTAGAGATAAAATGTAGTCTCTAACAGCCTCATACTCAGTAATATCCAGAGTCTTAGTGACTACATTGTGACTACACTCCCTCAACAAAGTGTCCAGGTTAGCCTGACTCCTGCTGATGACGTAGACATTGGCTCCGTGAGAAGAGAGTGACGTCACAACTCCTCTACCTATACCGGCTCCTCCTCCTGTTACTAGAATGTTCTTACCTCCCAGATTCATCTAATATCTACACTGTAATAGGTTTTAAAAAGGTTAGCAGGAACCCATATAATGCGAGGATGTCGGAGAAGGTAATCAGTTCATCCTACCCTGTAGAATAAATTATATCATCAGTGGTGAAAGGAATGTTTGCAGCTAAATAAACGAGTAGATACAGACTTAGGATTTTAAAATTCCTTCTGGAGGGAACAATTTCGAATCAAAATTTTCGAGTTTGAAAGTTTATGATCGGACGCAGAACAAACAAAAATAATTAGGACACAATTATAATTTAGGTAGTTTGTACATAAAATAGGTTTAATAAACATTGAATAGAACATCATGTTAAATACCATTGAGAAATTTGGGAAACGTTTAAGAACAATTTTAAATAATGACATGATTAAGTACCGTTCGCGTTTTAACCTAAAACTAATTTTAAAATGATATATGTGAATTAAAAAGGCCAAAAAAAGGCCATGATGCCTATTTCATTTGGTAAAAAGCTGCTTATAAATAATCCATAACATAACAACTGCTGCTATTAAAAATAGGACACCTAGGTCAACTAAATAACAGGACACCTAGGTCAACTAAATAATTGTCGCCCTTCAAAAACCGAAAACAAGTCCAATTAACATGTTAATAGAACGTTTAAGTTGTTAAAATGTACTCCGAACCACGGGACGAAACTTGTTAAATCCCTGAACTGTTGTTCACTGACTGTTGTCTTATGTCGCGAGGGAAGCAAGGAATCATTTGGCCTAGAAACTAAGACTGTAAAAAGACTGTATGCTGCTATGCAAATTTCAACACAAAATAATAATCTAGTAATTAGTTTGCCGCGTAAAATCTATACTTAATTCCCTAAAAGTGACAGTTTTAAAATGAAATACCACAATACTCATGTGTCTATGTTTATGTACATATGTACTAATATAAATACTAATTAAGATACCTTAATATCCCCGAACATCATTTATTATTAAACGGAAAATACTAACAGATTTTTATTTGAATTGACATAACCCCTCAAACATAGAATTGTATATTTACAAGCCCCAAGACGTGGCGATCTGATTTTAGAAAGACCACGATTTAAAAATACGAATTGAAGCACAAATAATCGGTATCTATATTGAGATCGTTATCTTTGCAGTTTATCAGAAGAATGACTCGTAAACACTAAACATATTACCGTCTGATAAACGATTTATCAATCTTCAGAAGCTTCCCGAGGCGTTGTTTGGGAGTTCTCAGTCCTTTTTTAACTGATTCAGTCCTTTTTTTGCTGACGTTAGGAGTTTTGGGAGGTGGTGTCGGCTGACGATCTGGTATCGGTAACCTGACTTTGAGTTTGAGGGGAGTGGCTGATGAACAGTTATCAGACTCACCAGTATGCTCATCACTAGCGTCCTGAACACCCATAGTCGGGTAAATGTAATAAGAGTCTTGCTTGCATTTGCTCAGGAATTTCTCTGATTCAAACTCATCAGGACTTTCTTCATTGTAAGTGTTTCTCTTTCCTCTAGCTTGGATTGTGAGTGGAGTTATACTGGGTGTGTCTGGAGTTGGAGGGCTAACCGGCTGTTGTTTTGCTTGTTTTTCTGATTGCTTCTTTAACCGCTTACGAATCTTAGCTATCTCTGGTTTTTCTACCTCACCCAAGGATAAAATGTTTGCAGTTTTCGAAATAGAGTCGTCGCTGTCATAAAGGGGTTTACTTGACTTGCCTGAGTCGACAAAATCGGCCAACGATTTTGGCCTCTTTCTCTTTCTACCACTTTTCGTAACAACTGCAACTTTGGTTTCAACGGGCTTCTCTGACTTTTCTGGAGGTGAGACCTCATTGTTCATTATTATTTTGGGCAATCTAAGTTTTATGGGCCCTTGGGCGACATTGGCCTCAGCACTGTTGTTCTGCTCAGAGTAAAGAAGTGACTTGTTGAATTTTAGTAACAACTTCTCCCCTCGAGGAGGCGGTTCTTTTGTGTCTATGTTAACATGATCCGAATGAAAAGCTGGACTCTTCACTCGTTTTGAAGGACCAGGTTTAGTTTTGACTTTTAAGGGCGACACTTTGGGATTATTACCGCGGTTAATCTTCCCGATAGAGTACACGATCGAGTTGGTTAGTTTAGTTGGGTTGATATGGGGAGGTATTTCTTGAGCATGAAGGTGCTCTTCCTTTTTTGAAATCCATTTTCTCAGTATTGTAACGAGAGCTTTAGCTGACTCCATGAGGCCATGTCTATTATAGCTAAACTCCTTACTGGAGAGAAGCATGTGTATGTGTTCAGCAGCACACCACACCAATACTTCAAAATGAGGGTAACGTACCGTGTTCAGGCACTTCAGTCTCTTCTGTAGTTCGTAACATTGGATGTGGTGAGGCAGGGAGAACATGTTGCAAAACTCGCCCACCAGAGATACACCTTTGGTATCGAGATAGGAAGCAAATATCCAACCTCCGGGAATGTAAACAAACTCATTCTCCCGAGTGTCCAATTTGTAGCAAGCGTTAGCCAGATCCCCGAAAAATCTATCATCACAGCTGTTTATTTTTGTTCGCTCCTCGTATATTTTCAAATTTTCATCAGTTGGAGGAACCAAGTATATTGTCCGGGAACCGAGCATGTTATACACCCACACTGAAGCACCCACCATACCAATTTGAAAATCTACAAAGCTACCAGCATCTCCCATGGATAAAAAGAGCGATTGTTTTGGCTTGCCGAACATAAAGTCTTCGTTGTCGTCGGTTTTTGGCCAAGAAGACTCAACAAGATCAAATTGTCTCAATTGTCGCGGGGGTTTGATGATTCTTGACAGTTTTGTCCCATTGATATCTAATTTATCAACTATGGAGATATTGTCCAAGTTCTCAGCTGAATCTAAATGCTCGATCCATTCTGTCAGTTTTATCGTCCTCTCCTCATTTTCTAAGATATCGTGAATGTTGAGGAGATGGCTGGGAGGCAAGTAGTTTTCAATATCTTTGGAAGTAGATATGGGAGGCACGATGAGTCCTAAACCGACAATGCTTTCTATTAAAATAGGCTTTTGAAGAGTATTTTCGTAAACATACTCAGCAGAAAAGGAGGTACCATTAGCGAGGTAGGTAACTACGTGGCTACTGTCAAGAAATGAAGTGTCGTCCAGTGCTTGGTAAAAGTTCTTGATGGCTGGATGTTCAATAAGCTCAAACTCCTCCGGTTTGTGACTTGCCCGAGGAATGTTGCTCTTTAATTTGGAAGGACCGTGACTGTTCTGACAAGCGGTGCAGTAATACTCCTCGATCTGATCAGCTTCTTTCTCCAGAATGCCCACACAGTCCCCGTGAAACCACTCTTTACACGCGTGACATTCTATCATAAACCGGTGCTCATTGTAGACGCCACGACATATGCAATACAGGTTACTGCTATCCATAAAACGATTACCTTGTGCTACCTGAAATATTGTGATCAGGTCAGGGAAACTGCAGAGCTATATATTACAGCTGCACTGAATAAGTGAATATGGTCAATTAGGATTACAAATTCTAATCAATAGAAAATTGAAGATTTCAGAACAATTTAAATGATCGATCAACTTTGTATAATCTTATTGTACTTAATAGAGTGAACACGATTGTCCCAATTTTGGAAAAAAAAAACAGCCAGGCTGTATAGTGTATACAATATGCAAACAAATATAGGGTGAAGTTTTAAACATTATAGTAAAATGCGTGACTCCACAACTGGGCTCCGCTGCATTACACACGCAGAAGATCTTTCAGGCAAAATATCATGAACTAACGCCCAAAACTTATCCTATGTTTTCTGACAAAATCCGTTATTTCATTAACGCTATACAATTGACTAAACGATTTTATCACATTTTCACAATTGTCCCATGAACTATCACAAGATCTCTTATTTTCTATCGATAATTCTCTAATTAAAACATTGTGATCGGATTGCGATAAATAATAAAGATTAGCTAACACAAAATCTAAAAACTCGGAAAAGTCTAAACCGATATTGGCTCTCAAGAGGAGCTGGCACTGCTCGAACCACTCCTGCTCATTCATCAGGTCCCTACAATCAGTTATCTCCTTCTCCACCAACTCAGCTCGGATGTAAGGTAGCACCACATTCTCGGGACACAGTGAAAGTTTGCCCAGTTGTGGTTGATGGATATGGTATCTGCAGTGTTCAAAACTTGGTGCCACCATCCGCTTGGTACAAAAATACCTTGTCCCGGTCCCTGGATAACGATAACATACTTTAAATTCTTCTCAGAGCACTGCTGTTCTACATTTAGATGGGACAGTGAGTCAAGCTTCAACTCCTCACCAGGGTACATGATTAGCCATTTCTTAGCCCCACACACATTGATAGACCAACTGTAAGATCTGAATACATCAGCGTGGAATGGCGTGTAGGATCCAGCTGGTCCAAAGTAAGAGAAGATATAATCGTCATTCACATCTTCTCTAGTCTTCCAATATCTGTTTAACCAGTCGTCTGAGAATAACTCAGGAACTTGGTAGACTGATTCGGGTGGTGTGTTCTTGGCAAAGTGCCAATCTTTAAGATAATGTGGCAGGGAAAGGAAGTTGTCCCTTGGAAAAGCATCATTCATCTTATCATGTCGAGAAGACTTTAAACTTTTCCAGTATGATATAAATTGGCTGATAGTTTGTTCACTGCAACCAGTCTCCAACCTCTCGTTGAATTCAGTGACTGAGGCTTTACAGCAACCGAAGTTTTCATCCAAGTAGTCTAGGTTAGGAGAGCCATCCTTTAAAACCCAAGTATGTCGAGCTGGCCAGTCTTCAGATATCCAGTTCCCAAACGTACAGGGAGTGTTGCTCTGCAAGTACAACTCAAATGTCTCGTATGATACAGCTTCTTCAAAGTGGTGAAATGGAACAACTGCCTCCATGCGTTTAGACTCGCATTTCACTAAAGATTTCACTAAAGATAAAAGGTCCAATATATAGCTGATCCTGTGAACCTGCGATCAAATTTCAACGTATCAACATTATTTTTAATCAATTTGCTACATAAGAGATCGTTCACATAGTACGTAATCAATTTTTTAACAATTTTAACCCCCCCCCCCTCTCTGTAGTCAGTTTTACACATAATTGTTGTGTCAAAATTACACTAGCGTAATCATTTGGAACCCCCCCCCCCTCTCGGCTGATTACGTAATATGTAAACGACCACTAATATCATTGTATACTTTACTCGATATTTGTGAGGAAAAATTGAGGGAAACAAAAAGTTCTTAATGTGCTGAATTGTTAATGAAATAGTTACAGTTAATAACATCATAGATGTTTAATACACGATTACGATAATATATAAATTAATTGAAAGATTTGAATGCAATAAATTTTGAAATCCTTATAAAAGTTCTGTAAATTCCCATACAAAAATAAACTAAAAAAATAGAAAAAGCTACCGAATTGATAACTTCGAATATAGTATTGATATTATTGAAAAGTTTACAAATTATAAAAACCCAGAATTATAAATGAAAGTGACTAAAGACTGGAATGCTGGCGAGGAGGTGAGCCCTTTTTTAAAATAGCGATTCTGGGGTAAACCCCAGAAGTCAACCCCCATCAGTATCCAAGTCTATAAATCTATAATACTTATGTTTGAATTTTATGATATAAGCTCTATAATTTAAATTAAAGTAAGCTAAAAAATTTCCCACTATAAAAAGTTAAAGTTCATCATTCCAAAAGAGATCGAATACAACTAATAAGAATTTCTCCAAAGAATATTTTTGTCAGCGTTGAGTTCCGAAATGAGGCCCATATCACCGAGCATGTAATCCTGCTTATCTTTCAGCCTTTTCCTCATCTCCTTCTTACCCACTATTGCTGACAGCACCTCCTGCAACATTATTAAATTTCATAATATTTCAAATCAACAGAAATATATTATAGGAATTGATAAGTTACAATCGGAAAGAGAATAAAGGAGAGGTATTTTGAATATTTAGATTAACTTAATTAAAACTCAGTTGAATATTAATCAATTAGTAAATTTTCCATCGAATAGATAACGAACCATGTCTAAAGAATTCTCCTCGATAAGGCTGCTAAGCATAGTAAGTTGGTCAGGTACAGTTCCCAATTGTTCGGTGTAATATTTCAGATTGTTCGTCATCGTCTGATCGCCTGTTAAGTGTTATGAGTAATCAGTAAAGGTTCATGTTGAATGTTGATGTAGCTACGTAACGCTACTTCCCAATTAGACTTAATTATAAACTTCAATTTACGGTTAACTAATTAACTAATTAACTAATTAACTAATCGTATCAAGAACAGTTATTTTCACAATTACTGAGTCAGCTGATCTATTCACCTGGATTTAAAGTAAGATAAGCAGCTGCTATCTGATAGGCGAACTCGAGATCCTTTGTCTGAAATGCACTGAATTGCAGGTAATTCAGCAGTTGAGGAAGATAGTCCTCTCTGAGGTCGGTCATTTTGTCGAACTTGCCCAGACATCTGTATCTGCACTCCATTACCTTGTGGTACAACTTTACAAACTGATCCTGGAAAGTGCTGGTATCGTTTAGATCTGGTAGTACCTTCCCTTCAAACTCATCGTAGCCAGTAGCACACAGTATTTTACATTTCGTTACCTCTTCTACGTACACTGAAAATGGAAGATTACCATTTTGAATAAAAAGATTAAGCTTAATTAATGCGTTTAATGTCACCAACACACAATAACACTGTGTCAAAAACATCAAAAATGGTATTAAAATAACAAAACTTACGTATCAGAGCTGAATCAAGGTGTTGTGAGGCACCAGCGTAATCCATGTTAGTGTAGGATTTAACGCCCATGTTGAACTTGTCCAAACTGTCCGGCTGCTCGTGACGCAACATTCCAGATAGATCCCTGATCTTCCTACCGTAGAAGTTAACATTCCCCTGCATCATCTCACTATCCTGGTTATACTTGAGGTTGACGAGGGCTGCTTCGTAAGCTGAGGTCAAGTCTCCTATCTGGTAGTAGGAGAACTGCAGAAAACTGAAGGGCTTCCGAGTTTTAAAATCTTTAATTGCCTGAAACGATTATTTGTTATAATTTATGACATAATAATATATTGGAAGCTCAAGAAATTGCTCAGTTCTTGCTGTAAAAGATCTTACCCATAACGGCAACTGAAGGGGCTGTCCAAACAGATTCTTCATACACTTTCTGGTACACTTTTCGCCGGTTACCAAAGACAGAAAGAAGAGTTGTTGAGAAGACTGGCTACCTTCCTCAGAACAGCGCTGGAAACACTTTACTAGCATCACATCGCGATACCTGGTCAGTGGACAGGTGGTTAATGTGAAAATATTAACATTAATTGTTGATTAGCACGGAAATTTTCCTTAACTGGATTAAATTTTAGCAAAAAAGCAATATCACAAAACTCGAATCAAAATAAACATGTACCTTTTGTCAGCAAGAGCCAATTCAGTGAAATACTGAGTTCTTTGATAATCCGAATTACGATAGTGTACTAAAGAAGTTTGATACAACTGAAGGTAATCCTCCTTCGAAGGGATAGAGTGGTCGACTACCAGTTGACTTTCAGAAGGTTCCAAAAGAACGGCAATGAGTAACAGCAACATAGCTGGAAGAACTGGGAGATTTAAAAATTACGATCATAATGAAGGATAAATAATGTATTAAAATGAATATATGTAAATATGGTACAAGAATGTCTTGTTAAATTGCTTAAGAAGTGTGTATTGAATCTGTGACGATAACATCAAAAACAGGTTTCGAAGGTTGTGCATCAGAAATATGACACAAAAAGCTTCACAAAGTAAATCGCATTGTATTCACTGTAGATAAAATGAGTAAAATTAATAAGTCAAACATATTTCATTCGATTCACTCACTTGATTATCTGCCAAATTATAATACTGGTTATAGATTGTGCATTATTACAATTCAAAATTAAAATCCTCTTAAATTATGTAATTCATGATTCCAGGAAAAAATTGGTTAGAAATATGATAAAAAAGTTATTCAATTATTAATGGAGATACCTATAAATATTATAAAAAATATATATAAACATAAATAAAAAATTGCTGTGACTAAAAATTTCTGCATTCTATGCAGATCTGATGTGTACCAAATGAATGTAAAAGTTTCACTCGTGCATAAGTTTTAAAGTCAAAAATATCAATCATAAAGGTTAGGAAAACCATGGTAATCTTTCCTTTCTTCTTCAAAGCTTGAACATCTTTCACATCTTCCAAAGATGATAAACTTAAAAAAGCGATTGTGCAGTTGTTCGATCAGCTCATAGGACTCAGCAAAAAAGTGTTTTTCTTTGCAAATGGGGCATTTCTTGTAATTTTCTCCGCCTGGAGCCCAAAGCTCTAAAATACATTTTTGATGGAAAATGTGGTGACAGTCCAGCTTAGCAACTCTAAGGTCATTTATACTAATTTTATAAGTGCAGAGAAAACAGTTTGGTAGGTTTGAACCACCAGCAAGACCAAACCGGAAACGTCTGAAATCGACAGTTTCATCACCATAACATGTTCGCTGAGTGGCAAGGCCATGTTTTAAGTAGAAATGTGTGTGAGCATCTTTATCAGCAGTGTCCAGATCTTTGAATAAGGGGAGAATGTTATTTCCCATAACCTTACCACATTGTAAAGGTTTTGTTATATCCACTTCTTCCATGGTCTCCCGAATCTTGTGGAAAACAGCTAACTCTGGAATATTTTCGTTTTCAGGTTCATAAAGATACAACATTATATATTGTAGGGTTATTTCAAGGGCTTTGTGAAGTCTTCTCTTATTCTTAAATGCGTTGGTATCACTGAAGTTTTTCGCTTGGAATCTTTTAAGCACTGCTGGATCATTCCTGATTTTGTGTTCCTTCATTTTTATATAATAAGCAGTACAATAATCAAAAGCACGATGTCCACGATTTTAATATCCACATTGAAGACGAAAATGATTCAGTTGCACAAAGGTTTAATTCACTACTTAAGTCTTGTGGGTGGGTGCAACAAATTTCAGCTGCAACACACAGAGATGGGGGCATATTAGATCTTGTAATTACCAGGGATGGTTCTTTTACTCACGATTGCATTGAAGTTCTAGATCCTGTCATTACTGATTCTGGTACATCGTCTGACCACTACTTTGTTGCTTTCAATTGCAATGTATCTCCAGCACCCATAGGCACTCTAGAACCAATTACTTACAGAAAAATTGCTTGCATAGACCTAGATGCTTTTGTTGAGGACATTCTTAAGTCAAAACTATGTGACACTGATTGCTTCAATGACCTCGATAGTGCAGTTGATATCTATGAGTCTGAGTTGAGCAGTATTTTGGACAAGCATGCTAAAGAAAAAACTTTCATCCCAAGAAAAGATCATAACGCTGAATGGTGGTCTACACACTGTCAACAAGCAAAAGCAATGAGAAGAAAGATTGAGAGACTGTATCAAAAGAATCATGATTGCCCAGATTATAAACGACTGTACAGGAAAGCATCAGAGAGAGCATCCTCAGTCATTGTATCCACAAGAGATCACTTCTACAAAACAAGGTTACAAGATAGTGCAGGTGATGCTAAAAAGACTTATTCCATCGTTAATAAGTTGCTCAATAAAGAAAAAGTTAGTACTACTACACCTTCTTGCTCTTCAAATCTTGAGAGTGCTAACAACTTTGCACAGTTCTTTAAATCAAAGGTCGACAACATATACAACAACATTTATTTAGAACAACAATCGCAAGATTTTCCTAACTCAGATGAATTTGTTCCTCTTTCTAATAGCCCAAAGATAGTACAATTCCGTCATGTGTCTGATGAAGAACTAGTAAGCATCATAAAGAATATGTCTAACAAATTCTGTGATCTTGACCCCATACCTACAAAGATTCTCATCAAGTGTCTCCCAGAACTCCTTCCTCTGATCTCATTTATAGTCAATGAATCATTAGTTAAAGGTGAGTTTCCTATAAAACTGAAGGAGGCTCTCATTCGTCCAAGTTTGAAGAAACGTGGCCTTGACGGTGAATCTCTATCTAACTATAGGCCTATTAGCAATCTCTCATTCTTGTCAAAAATCATTGAGAAGTGTGTATCTATACAGCTCACCAGTTATCTTGAGGATAACAACTTGCTTTCTAAAGTTCAGTCCGGCTATAGGAAGTTTCATAGCTGTGAAACTGCAACAACCAGAATCCATAATGACATCTTGATAACTATTGACAAGAAAACTAAAGTTGTTCTTTTACTTCTAGATTTGAGTGCTGCCTTTGATACTGTCAATCACCCAAGATTAATCAAGAAGCTAAGATCTGCTTATGGCATTACAGGCATTGCTCTTACATGGATCAGGTCCTACTTGGCTAACCGTTCATTTTGTGTCAAAGTCAAGGATTCGTCTTCCTCAGCAACTGTTCTTGAGATAGGTGTGCCACAAGGTTCAATCCTTGGCCCCCTGCTATTCATATTGTACACCAAAGATCTTGAGAACATTGCAAGTATGCATGGGTGCTGTATTCATTTGTATGCTGATGACACCCAGCTGTATTTCACTCTTGATTCTGATGACCCATCACAGCTAGAGCACAATATGGAACACTGTATGTCTGATATCAAGAAATGGATGACAAACAATTTCCTTCAACTGAATTCTTCTAAGACTTAAGTCATCGTTATATCCTCTAAATTTGACTCAACAAATATTCCAGCCTCTCTACAGATTGTTAAGGATCAAGAGCCACATGTTGTTAGTGGAACTGTGAAGAGTCTTGGGCTGTATTTGGACAGTTATCTTTCAATGAGTGATCAGATTACGTCAGTGGTTCAAGCATGTAATATTCAGATCAGAAATTTGTGGTTTATTGCATCAAAACGGTCTTTTAACCTTAAGATTCAGCTTGTTCATGCTCTAGTACTCTCTAGAATTGATTATTGCAATAGCGTATATTTTGGACTGAGCTCTTATGATTTAAGTCGTTTACAGAAGGTGCAAAATTCTGCTGTAAGATTTATTTTCGGGAGAGGAAGAAAGGCACACACTACTCCACTACTTAAGAAAGTTCATTTTCTACCAGTTAGATTTAGAATAGATTTTAAGATTGCCCTACTTGCCTACAAGTGTTTAAATAATATAGCTCCTCCTTACTTAAAAGAGCTGATATCTCCTAGGCAGCAAAGTTTTAAAAATGTACGTCTTGATAATGATTATTTTTACCTTAGTTTTCCGCCCTCTCCTAACTATGTAAACACAGAGAAAGCTTTTAGTCACTGTGCAGTTAAAGTATTTAATTCCTTGCCATACGACATAAGATCAGCTGAGTCAGTTACATCTTTCAAGACCAAACTTAAAACATACTTCTTTTTTCTTTTCTCTAGCATTTGATTGATTTTGCATTTACATAGGTAAAATGAACTTGTCATGTCTAATTATCAATTAAACTAAGCTCAGTTAATGTAAGAGCCGCTTTAGAAAGCACTGGAGTTTATCTCCAGGATTAAATTATATCGAGTTATATGATTTAGCTGTAAGGCGGTTTATAAATGTTGTAATTATTATTATTATATCAAAGAACTCAGGATCCAATTTTTGAAGAGAATTCACTAGTTCTTCCAGCTTAGCTTTTGCACACATTTCAGATATGCTGAAACAACCTTCATTCTCCAAGCCATTTATAATAAAATTTTGAAGACCAAGGTGGTAGATCACAGACCTTGCAATGAGCAGAGATCGCCCCTCAGCATCAGGTGATGTGAACTTTGACTGAAATGGTTCAATCTTGGGAGATGGTTTTTCAAATCTGTAGGAGGAGTAGGCCATAATCATATATATATAACGAATTCTCTTGGTTCCATTAAGTCATCTGACGTTGGCTGAGGAAGAATTGTTAGAGCTTTGGATGCGTATTCTCCAAGATTTACAAGCTTCAACTTGTACATTTTGTTCTTTTTCTCACCAGTCAATATTTGGCACTGATAGCGACCCTCCCATGGATTTTCGTGATCAAAATCAAGAACTTGGCATTTGTGATGGTTAAGATTTTTACCAACTTCACTCTTCAAATGCAAAATAACGAAGTCATGTCCAATAACATCTTCATCTCGAACTTCTCTTATTTTAGCAAGAGCATCTCTTTCTATACTTAGCCATGATTCGGGCTCTGATGAGTCACACGAATCTGCTGCACAGATGCCATTATTGGAGAGCATCTGAATTTTAATGAGTGAAACATAAAACCATCATATTCTACGTTTAAGGAACTAATAAATAAAACGTCGACTTATTGGAAAGTCACTATACGGAGGATACTATATGAAGGTTACTATACGGAACCAGTTAATAACAGACCAACGTTATACAGGATGATAGATGGAAGTTCTTATTGAAATTAATTTGAAACATGAGCAGAACTGTGATATGGTGATCTAAGATATGAGGGGGGGGTGTATTTGTGGTCTCACACGCAAATCAAAAGAGTCATGCTTTAACATCGACCAGAATCACACCCCGGTAAATCAATATCTCAATATAGGTTATGATAATTGAAAATTAAACATTTTCTTTCTCCTTCAATGGTCGGGTCTACGGTCTGTTAATATAATTCCCCTCCATGCTGAAGACAAAGGTACTAAAATTGTCCCTAAATTATGGAATGAGCTGCCTCTTGAAATTAGTTGTTGTGCCACTATGATTACACATCTTCAAACAGTATACACAAAATGTCACAATGACCCTATTAACGGGCGTTGCGGCGTGCGCGCGCTTATAATGCAAGCACAAAGGCTCTAGTTAGAGCTTACTGGGCCGCGCTCAGCCTGTCATTCCGCCTAATCTCTATTCGGTTTATCAACATTAAAGCCTGGGGTCCTCAGGTAAGTTAGAGCAATTATATTTCGAAATCAGCGTTTTAAAAAAAACCAATTCAAATTGGTTTTGATTGCAGTCAATTTGGAAATTTTGAGAAAGGTTTTCAGTTGTCACACTAAAATTGTTTTAAAAATGTTATTATAATTTTTAAAATTCTTGCGTCTTTTTATTTTTAAACAAATTATTTCAATTGTTAAAAATTGAAAATATTGTGTAGGCATATACTTTTGAAGCACCCTATAGTTTCATAATAGGCTTGTAGCGCGATGCACTACTGGGTCGCGCGCGCGCATCCAATAATGCTTCTCGCAACCACAGATCGTATGCAGATCGGCGAGATGCGAAGGATTGACATCGTGAATCAAATAATAGGCCCAAAGAATATTTGTAATTTGTATTAGCATGGCAATTAGTTTTGACGGATATTGCTTGTCTAAATTTGTTCGAAGTAGCGCGCGCGCCGCGGTTTCTTCTCGAAATGGCCCGAGGCAAGTGCTAGCTAACATTTTAATTGACGATGTCAATTCATGGCAGCTCGGCGCGGCACAGTAGCGCATCTCGCCGATCTAACAGGTCGCTGTGAGAAGCCTTATTGAGTGCGCGGCGCGGCACAGTAACGCATCGCGCTACAAGCTAACATTTTAAATAATTATTAACAGGGCCTGTTTAGTGACTAGTGTTTAAGCAATAACGTACACTTTAAATCTGTTTCGGTCTTTCATTGTATCACGTCGTGACCCCCACACCCCACGGGGAATGAAATTAAATTATTGGATGCCAGGAACTAGAAATAAATATACTGGAATATTGTGATTCCATGGAGAGGTCTAATTCTAATTGGAACCATCAAGGGGAATGAAATTAAATTAGTGGATGCCAGGAACTAGAAATAAATATACTGGAATACTGTGTTTCCATGGAGAGGTCTAATTCTAATTGGAACCATCAAGGGGAATGAAATTAAATTATCGGATGCCAGGAACTAGAAATAAATATACTGGAATATTGTGATTCCATGGAGAGGTCTAATTCTAATTGGAACCATCAAAGGGAATGAAATTAAATTATTGGATGCCAGGAACTAGAAATAAATATACTGGAATACTGTGTTTCCATGGAGAGGTCTAATTCTAATTGGAACCCCACGGTCGTTTCACCCTATAGTGTTGATACAGGCGAGCCGTGCACTCGTGCGCGGCGGGTCATGCAACGTATGACAAGTCTTTCATTGTGCATTGTGTGAGTTCCCACATTTGTTGGTTGAGCTGATTTCGGGGTCCAGGCTCCTTCCTTTTTAAGGTGGTATCATTTCCTTGAGATTTGTGCACCTGGGGACCTCAAGCTATGTTCATAAACAGCCCAGTAACAAAATTATGGAGAAACAAAACATAAATTTGAGTAGAGCATTCGACACTGTTAATGGTTAAGAAAAAGACTGTCATTTTACTGCATGTTGCTGTTTGGTCAAAAGATGATGTTTGATCAGTAGTATAGTGCAGGATTTACTTTACAATACTTTACTAAAGGTTGGAGCAGCTATAGTGAAACGACAGTGGAGGTCACTACGTGATACAAACGTTTCCTGTTGGCGTCCCTTCCCCTCTTAAGGTAAAACTGCTGGTAAAATCTTTAAAAAGGTGTGTTTCCGGCAAAATGCAACAAATTTGCTAGTACTTTAGTTAAGTTTTTCAAAATCCTCGCACAGCGGAGTCAGCAGGGCTCTTCGTTACTGGGTTAGGGTAAACTTAACAAAGTCTGTAGAGTCTGAGAGTCTACTTGGATCTTTTTAAGGTGACAGCAAATCAGGTAGGCTTTTCATGCTTGACCTTTTGGAAGCCTACCACCTAAAAGCTGTATCAGATAAACCAAACCCAACAACAAGATAAGATACAAGGGCAGGTCTCTCCCACAAGTTGGGATGGTCTGATGTGCTTATCTCCTTTTCAGAAACTCTTAGCCAATCTGTTGTCTGTGCTGAGGCACTATACTAGCTGTAGGGGGGTTCGTCCTATGAGCCAGAGAGTGTGTATCACCAGCTGAAGCTGTACCAAATCACAGCTTGGTAAACCAAACCCACCTTTCTCTATTCTGGGACTACCAACTGAGTGCAGCAGAGGCGGCTATTGAGGGCGTCCAGGCGTCCGTGGACGCCCTAAAATTATTATCTGGTGGCTGGTGCTTGAAAATAGAAATAGCGATTAGTAACGGTATTCGGAAATATCTAACCGCAATATAAAGCTCTCTATTCATTCAAACGTTCTAATGTAAGCGCACGCATGATCTTTGTGAAATTTTGTGTTGTAGGGTGTCCATTCCTCGCTGAGATCGTACACGTGTGTGTCCTGTTTCACTCATGTTATAAGTTTTTGTTTTTGTTTATTTGCTGTCGCCTGTGACACAGTGGCGTAACGTTGCCTGTTGGCGCCCCCCTGCCGAAAAAAGCGCCCCCCTGTTGGCGCCCCCTCCCCTTTTTGTGCCCCTCCCTAAAATTGAACAAATTAGGTGATTTTAAAGAATACGCGCCGGTAAAATCTCTAAAAAAGTGTGTATCTAGAGCAAAACGCGCAGTTTTGCTAGTACTTTAGTTAAGTTTTCGAAATTTTCCCACATTCAAACGACGATTTGGCGCCCCCCTAAGACGGCGCCCCCCTGCACAGCGGGGTCAGCAGGGCCTTTCGTTACGCCACTGCTGTGACACATTACATACATGAGGCACTTTGGCCTGTGTGTAACTGTAATGTACAATGGAATAGTTTAATTAATTAATTAACTCTCTGCTATGGTAATGGTATTGTATGCAGTCATCGATGAATAGACATCGGCAGTTTAGGGGGGGTCGGACACCCAACAAAACTGCCAGCCAGCTCCCACAAGCCGCCTCTGGAGTGCAGTAGTAGTGGGAGCAGTGGCGTAACGTTGCCTGTTGGCGCCCCCCTGCCGAAAAGGCGCCCCCCTGTTGGCGCCCCCTCTCCTTTTGGTGCCCCTCCCTAAAATTGAACAAATTAGGCGATTTAAGAGGATACGCCGGTAAAATCTCTAAAAAAGTGTGTATCTAGAGCAAAACGCGCAGTTTTGCTAGTACTTTAGTTAAGTTTTCGAAATTGTCCCACATTCAAACGACGATTTGGCGCCCCCCTAAGACGGCGCCCCCCTGCACAGCGGGGTCAGCAGGGCCCTTCGTTACGCCACTGAGTGGGAGTATTCTGATTTTGCTGATATCGAGAAATTAAGGGCATTATTTTCTGCAGTAGTATCAGTGTTCTCAAACAGTTGGAGTCCCCCCACTCTAGAAAAGATAGATGCTATTCATAGTCATCATATGAGGACAATTTTGAACAGGTGGTCAAAAGGTCAAATCATCAATATTACTTAATATGTTTATATAAGAGATGTAATGTTGAAAAACTTTCTGTGCAAATTGAATAACAAAGATGGAAAATGCTTGGGTACATATGAGGGAGTACTGCCCTGCTCAACTAGTATTGTCTTTTGCCTTATACTAAAGTTCTTTTGCCTTAAAATCTGCCTTAAAATCTGATAATTTACCTTAATTCACTGGATGATTTCAATAACTATGCAAGTTGCCTTCAACAAGAGCCATATCTAGGCTGCACTTTAGAACCCTTTAAACTCTTCATGATATTGCTCACTAACTGCCAGTGTACTGATTACTTTAGTAAATATCTGTCCAATGAAAATCACTATGCCCAAATTTTCTTTCTTTGAAAATGGGCTTTTATCACGTGACAGAAAAATATTCACCAGCTGTCTCTTAGTTCCACTTTTTACAGTACTTTGTGTTTGTCAATGCCAATGGTTTTCCATTAAATTTTTAACAGTGCTACAGTAAGAATTATTTGAAACAAAATTGTTTATATTATTCTAAATCCTTTGGTAATGGCCCCAGTAACCTCTGTTTAAAATTAACTCTAGAATGGGTGCGGGAAGGTTATTTTGAAACCTGTCATTTAGTTACACTCACTCAGGGAATTCCACAAATCAACAGATTGCCCACTCTGTTAGTTTATTGAGTCATGGAGCAAAAATACACATCATTGGTCTGTAAGGTCCACCATGATTAGATAGATTCACTATGAGACATTCTAATCTGTATTTTGGCAGAAGTATGGTTTGTAACTTGCATATTTTAAAACAATAATATCTTTATGTTTGGCCAAAGAAGTTTCAGAACTGGTCCTACAATCTACATTGCAAGACAGGTTGTGCAGTGAGCAGTTTATTTCAAACCTGTAAAGAAACCCCAACATTCATGTTGTTACATACATAATAATAATATATAGAGTATAAGTAGTGATAAAATATGATTTACAAGCTTTTGAAAATGGCTTCTCTAGAATCAGGTAAACCATCGCTCTGATCTTATTGGTCGATCATTCATAACGTGACTTTAACTATTTAGCCCATGTGATGATTAATTGAATCTTTCTCACGTGTGGCTTGAGCTACAAAATTTGTACATTTTGCTAGCTTTGTATTAAGTGGCAAAATATGCACAAGTATTTGTTAAATGCACGGAACAATATTTCTGTTGCCTTGGTCCTTCAACACAATCCTTAACATAGCGCATGGACAGTAGAAGTATCGAGGAAATATCCCTGAACGAAGTGTTGGAGAACACAGTTAAAAGTTATGATAAAGTTCTTTCCTCACACGAAGAAATACTCTCTGCCAAGGTTTGTGTTTTAAGTGTTATTTTTCATGATATTATTTCATAAATTCATCCCCAAATATGTGCAATAACACAACCTGTGGGCAGTAATATATGTCTGTGCAGTTTTCATCGTGTGATTATAATATTTTTCGTAGGTTTATCATTATATGAAATGGCACGATCCTTTTAAGGAAATTATAATCATGTGCCATCAAATGTGACGTCTAACTAACACTAGATTATCTCAATAAATGTGGCAACATCTCAGTGTCACAATATTTCCAGGCTCAATTAATGGAAAATCAGCTGATCCTGCTACGAAAGCAGATCCACATAGTCTCAAAAGACTTGGAGGAAATAGCGGACAGCATATCAGATGCCAGGCTCTATGACATCTGTCGCAGGCAAGCACATTTCAATATTTAACAAAGCCATTAACCATTAATCTAGTATCTCTGTGTTAATTTAGGCACTTGAAAGTTTTCTGAAAAAAAAAAAACAACGCGGAGAGCAAAGCGGCGTTAAAGAACACTAACGAGGACAAGTTGAGAATGAGGAGTTGGCGGATATAATACAGGGCTAGCTGGGAGCCCATACAGCAGCCATGTGTTGAGTGTTATTCAATACTTGTAACAGCCCTGTCCTTATACCCTGTGTTCGGAAACTAACCGGCCTCTCTTTTCGTCTTGACAGTGTATTCTTCTTCACCAGTTTACTGTTCTTTGAAATCCCTGCTCCCTTCTTTGTTGTACGGGTTATACGGTGGTTTTTTGAGATAAGTGTGATTAAATCAATTAATATTTCTCGGTTTCTGGTTTCGCTGCATAATAATAATAATCTCGTATGTGAGAGATGGCGAACTGTGCACATTTGTGTAGTACAATCTTGACCATCTTGTATCTTTGTATGTGGACCTGCTCTGTTTAATAAGCTCATCTTTTGCTACTCAAAGCTTCATCCGTTGTCGAACATCGTCTTTAAATAAGAGAGAGAGAGTGAGAGAGAGAGAGAGAGAGTGAGAGAGAGAGAGAGAGAGAGAGAGAGAGAGAGAGAGAGAGAGAGAGAGAGAGAGAGAGAGAGAGAGAGATAGAGAGATAGAGAGAGAGAGAGAGAGAGAGAGAGAGAGAGAGAGAGAGAGAGAGAGAGAGAGAGAGAGAGAGAGAGAGAGAGAGAGAGAGAGAGAGAGAGAGAGAGAGAGAGAGAGAGAGAGAGAGAGAGAGAGAGAGAGAGAGAGAGAGAGAGAGAGAGAGAGAGAGAGAGAGAGAGAGAGAGAGAGAGAGAGAGAGAGAGAGAGAGAGAGAGAGAGAGAGAGAGAGAGAGAGAGAGAGAGAGAGAGAGAGAGAGAGAGAGAGAGAGAGAGAGAGAGAGAGCGGATGGCTAGAGAGGATGGCTAGAGAGTCCACTATTCTTGTATAGTCGAAAGTTTCGCTCCCAATTTAAGTCTTGAGTAAGAACCACGTCTGATCAGATTATACATGTTATCTCCAAACTTCACATGGAGCAGATGGTCTTGCAGTGTTGTAGTGTTGTAGTGTTGTAGTGTTGAGGTAACAGTATCAAATAACCCAGTGCTACCTGTTATTACCACATTTTGTTGGTTTTACATTTCACCGCTCTGCACCTTGTGATCTAGCTCTGTGTATTTCTCTAGCATCGTGTACTTGTAACTCTCTTATTCAGAACGTTTGCGGAGTATTCAGAGTAACTCTCGCTCTTTTTCATTACTTGAACCCTTATTTAGAGTACTCACGATGAATTTTCCTATTTTTGAACCTTCGGCGCTCCCTAAATCTAACTCGTGAGTATTGGATTACAGGTGAACTATGAGTGCTGATGTGTAGTGTGTAACACATTCTGGTAACATCATGTAATATATACCCGTAACACTGCATTCTCTCTATTTCGTGTACTTGTAGTGCACTTTACATACCATAATTTCGTCATAGGTTCCACGGAATCTGCAGATTTAATCCTCCAAATTCCGTTTAACTGTTAATAGAGTGTGGTTGTTAGCCACCCACGAAGTGAAGATCCCAACTGTAAACGTGATCCTCTATTATATTCAGTGTATATTCAGTGTAACGTGATATCCGATATTTCCTTCATCATGACAATAAATGTACGATCTATGTTAGTGGATGACGTTAATGTACAGTTTATGTACAATGTATAATATCTACTATAATAAATAACCCTGGTATAAAAGCCTGGTTATATTATTATATTACTGATGTTGAACAATATTACACTAAACACCTAAATAGCTCCTGATAAGCCGAGGCTCTCTCTCTCCACAGTGTTACTATTAAAGGTATCTGGTATATGTTTACTGTAATAGTGTTATACGTGTGGGCACTGAGGGCACCACCTTCTTCAAAGTAGCTCTTTCCTTTATTTAGACGTACTTGGAGTTGAGGTCTGTGTTTCTCTTTTACTTGGGAGTTGAGGTCTGTGTTTCTAGACGTGTTTCTCTTTTACTTGGGAGTTGAGCTCTGTGTTTCTAGACGTGTTTCTCTTTTACTTGGGAGTTGAGGTCTGTGTTTCTAGACGTGTTTCTCTTTTACTTGGGAGTTGAGCTCTGTGTTTCTAGACGTGTTTCTCTTTTACTTGGAGTTGAGCTCTGTGTTTCTAGACGTGTTTCTCTTGTACTTGGGAGTTGAGCTCTGTGTTTCTAGACGTGTTTCTCTTTTACTTGAGAGTTGAGGTCTGTGTTTCTAGACGTGTTTCTCTTTTGCTTGGGAGTTGAGCTCTGTGTTACTAGACGTGTTTCTCTTGTACTTGGGAGTTGAGGTCTGTGTTTCTAGACGTGTTTCTCTTGTACTTGGGAGTTGAGCTCTGTGTTTCTAGACGTGTTTCTCTTGTACTTGGGAGTTGAGGTCTGTGTTTCTAGACGTGTTTTTCTTGTACTTGGGAGTTGAGCTCTGTGTTTCTAGACGTGTTTCTCTTGTACTTGAGAGTTGAGCTCTGTGTTTCTAGACGTGTTTCTCTTTTACTTGGGAGTTGAGCTCTGTGTTTCTAGAAGTGTTTCTCTTGTACTTGAGAGTTGAGCTCAGTTTGAGGTTTGTGTTTCTAGACGTGTTTCTCTTTTACTTGAGAGTTGAGCTCTGTGTTTCTAGACGAGTTTCTCTTTTACTTTGAGTTGAGCTCTGTGTTTCTAGACGAGTTTCAGATAGCAATAATGCACAGTATAACTATAAGTAAGGTAGAGAAGAGTCACACTATCAGCTTGAAGCTGGCTAGCTTACACCCTAGCTGGCACTTGATTATGATGCACATATTATATTATATTATATGTGTTATGTATAAGCTATACAGCTCACCGTGTGTCAGGTGCATAATACGATGTCACGCCGTTACTCGCTGCCAGCTCATCTTGTTAGCTAGTTTAAATAAACTGTGTCGACTCATTTGTTTAGTTAACCGGGATATTTGCTCTCAGTTTGCCAATCACTTTATAACTTTATAACTACGAACCCACTGCTCATTTATAGCTCGCCGCTCTATTGACCTGTTAGATCGCTCACCCGTCACGTGTTCTATTTTTAGATACAGAGAGTCTCTCTGTGTGTTGTACAGGGCCCTTGTACCTAAGTGATGCTCTGTATCCACGCTTGTATCCCTCTCTCCCTTCCTCTCTATCTATCTCTGTGTGTGGAGATTGTTTTAGAATCTCAGGAGAAACTAGATATTATTATACCTGTTTGGCTACTCTCTAATTGTGCCTAATTATGGTGGATTCTCCAGTCGATTAAGTGGACACCTAATATAATGGTCCATTAACTGATTGCAAAATCGTTTTATCGCTTCGAATTTGTGTTGTCTGGCGGTTTTGTCGTGCTTGTTTGATCTTTGTGTGTATTTGAGGACTGATCTCTTTATATAATATGTTGTAGCTTGCTTTAGCAGCCGAGAAAGGCACTTTTGGTAATTGGTTGCCGGTATGGGAATTCTGCCTTCAGCACAAAAGAACGTTGGTCGTCGGAGTTTTGAAAACTAAGACTTCCATTGTAATTTGACCTCCTTTCAAATAATCAGTTCGATGTGATAAGATACAGGATAAGTCATGTTAAATGTGCGGGTATTATTGTATTATAACTCAAACTTGGACAAATTATTGGTTCGTTTCTATTTGTACTGTTGCAAAGAATATTCGCGGTCACTGGACTGCGCTGAATCTTCACAATTAGTGTTTTCTCGATTAATAAAATCTTTTTGTCGCGACCACTAACTGTTTAACGACCTATATTGTGGTTTGTAACTATAATTAACACTAACTATTATATGTAACACTGTCTCAACTATAATTGTCTCATAAGGTTAACACTGTGTCTAATTCCCCAGGTTAAGGAATATTTCAGTGCCCCCAGCCGCACGAAACAACACCTCTAAGAACCTCACCAACAGCCGGCCCGCCTCCATGATCGCACCCAGCTCCCCGCGTATTGCGGAGGTTAAGCGCTGCTCCAGCGAATCCCAACACCTCAACGCGGTGAAAGTTCGCAAAAAATCAATGACAATTGAACGGCTGGAGGACAGACAATTCCGAGCACGAAACAGTGTGTGTCATGTGAGTCAGAGAGATCCTAAACTGGATTATCAGCTCAGTTCGGACATGTTGGCTCTCCAGGAGACTAGTTTCGCTAAGAAGTACGGGGATCCCGCCACTGTCACCAAGGCGGCCATCACCATTCAGAGATGCTGGAGAAAACATTGTCTCAATAAAACATTTCATAGGATCAAACTTGAAACGCCCTACAGAACCAAATCTATGAACTCTAAAGTGAAGCCTATTGTTAAGATTCGTCACATTTCCAGCTCGACGGAGAATCTCACTGAGGAAAATGTCAGGGTGAGTAGACATTAGATAATATCACACATTTCAATACCATCCTCACGCATTTCAATACCATCTTCACACATATCAATACCATCCTCACACATTTCAATACCATCCTCACACATTTCAATACCATCCTCACACATTTCAATACCATCATCACACATTTCAATACCATCATCACACATTTCAATACCATCATCACACTTTTCAATACCATCATCACACATTTCAATACCATCCTCACACTTTTCAATACCATCATCACACATTTCAATACCATCATCACACTTTTCAATACCATCCTCACACATTTCAATACCATCATCACACATTTCAATACCATCCTCACACATTTCAATATCATCATCACACTTTTCAATACCATCCTCACACATTTCAATACCATCCTCACACTCCATCATCTAGTGTTTATGTATTGACTATTCCAGATTCCTGGTATGGCGCGTGACTTATCTTCAATGTTTTAAATCTTAATGCTCTGTAACAGTGTTACAGTGTTACAGAGGCATGCAATTTTTGTACATACTTAGCATGAACACTAATTTTGCTGCTTGACACATAGATTTGTTACAATTTAACATCTAAGTATCGTGTTGCTACAGTGCTACCTTACTATTACACCAAGTTGTACTCTGTTTTATTACGTTTCTAAACTTAGTGCTATGTCAAGTTTTTGTCGATGTTGTTGTGTTTTGTGCTCGCTAGCCTGTCAATGCATTATGTTTAGCAGGTTTGATATAACATTGATCTGACATATCACGAGGTCACATCATTGTCTTGCTTCTACAGAACTAAATGATATTATCTTGGACAGCATCTGATAACGTTGCCTGTCAGGCTGTCACCAATTTAATTAGATAAATCTCTTTTGCTATTATAAGAATTGACAATAGCAGTACGTTATAATAATATGGATATATCTCATTATTTGAGACGGCTCTTGAAAGTACTATTATTGGACATGTAGATTGTAGCCCCATTAATTAAACCTGCTCACTGCGTACTTCAACTTGACATATTTAGCTAATCAAGCTGCAGTGCACCCTGACCCCTTAAGGTATGATCGGTATGAGCTCATAGTGTCTGGGATCTCAACATTCTGACCTGCACCCTCCTTGGTAATGAGGATATCTGGGGTACAATTAATAAGGTGCTGACCCACTAGTAGCGGCCCCACTCGGCCCCAGCTTAATGTAACTACAGGGTGGCCCATAAGTGACTACCCACACGCAACCTCTTAATAACTCACGTAATTCGTCTCCAAATTGCACCAAAATTTCAGAGATTATAGATATGGGTCAAACTTAGATTTCCTGAAAGTTCCGTAAGCCATGTCCAATTACAGTGGGCGTGGCGTGACACTCCCTCTTTTTCACTATTGTCTTCATAAAATGAGAACGCTTTAAGCCAAGAACTCAAAATTTTTTGCACACATTTGGCTTGATAATTGAAAGCCTTTCCAAAAGTTTCAAGTTCATTGGTTAAAATATGGCTGAGTTATGACCATTTTAAAATCCATCGGATATGTGATCCGAGCACTCAGTCAGTGATATTTGCACTCAATTAGTGATCTCGTCACCCAATCTGATCAAGAGTAAGGCGTTAGCGTGTATTAATGAGGTTCATTAGGCTTTGATTGGATAACGATGATGACTTTGCTAGAAAGGGAAACACAAATTTTTAGGATAAAAACCAGATCGTGACTTTTCAGGAAAAGCCGTTCTCTCCACCACTTCATCCGGTCTAGTAGAGCCCCAGTGAATTGCATTCTGGGAGTTGACATATCCGTTTATATGGCCTTGTCGCTGTACCAGATTTCGTCCTCAAAGTAGGGATCCACATTCTGCTTGGACAGGAATGTGTTGGCGAAATCTATCCTCGATTGGAAATCACGGTCCAAAAGTTTGTGTTTCTTTGTGATTCGGTAGGCCCGGTTCGATGATTCAATGGATGGTTCATTCCTTTTTATTGATTGTAAGGAACCTGTGACTAGCAGGGCTAACAAGCCCTGAAATGGTGACACCACCATAAATTCGTGTGATAGCGTTTTAGGTGCAGTCAGCTGTATAGGCCGGCCCATAAGCAGGCTGCAACCAATCAAGCGGTGCATGTGAGCCAAACAGGCCATTAACCAAGTGATGAGATCACTGACTGAGTGCTCGGATCACGTATCCGATGAGTTTTGAAATGGTCATAACTTAGCCATATTTTAACCAATGAACTTGAAACTTTGGGAAAGGTTTTCAATTATCAAGCCAAATGTGTGCAAAAAATTTTGAGTTCTTAGCTTAAAGCGTTCTCATTTTATGAATACAATGGTGAAAAAGAGGGAGTGTCACGCCACGCCCACTGTAATTGGGCGTGGCTTACGAAACTTTCAGGAAATCTAAGTTTGACCCATATCTATAATCTCTGAAATTTTGGTGCAATTTGAAGACGAATTACGTGAGTTATTAAGAGGTTGCGTGTGGGTAGTCACTTATGGGCCACCCTGTAGTTCTGAGCTTGTAACGTGGTTCTCTTTTTCAGCATCAAGTAGCAGATATCAGCACTCCTCAGGATCCTCTCCAACCTTCCTTTAAACGGAACGAGTTCGGCCGACAGATCATAGGAAGGAGTAAAACTAATCGCATGGTCTCCAGCAGCAGCGAGTTCTCCTTCACACAGGTAAATATACTGTTTACAGGCAGTTGCTAGATCTTCACAGTAACCACAGTACCATAGTAACCATAGTAACCATAGTAACCATAGTAACCATATTAAGTAGATCCTGCATATTAAGTAGATCCTGCAATCATACAACGAATAAGTTAAAGGTTTGTCCAAAACAACTATGTTACTATATCAACTAAGTTAGTTGTTACACACTTACACAGTGTAACACGGGTTATTGGTTCTTCAGAAATTACATTGCCTACAACAGTGTAACATTTCAAGTTAATTGAAGTTACATGATTTGTTTGTCGTGGCCGAGTGGCTTGTTTTCATGAATTATAAGATGAGCTAACTCAACAAACCAATAAGAAGACCGTATAAGGAAGTGTTTTATAACAACCACATCTGGAATACCATATAAGGAGATGTTTGGTAACGAGTTTGTTTTCAGGACGGCGATAGTGCATTATCTCTTTCTGAAGTGGTAATTTAAAGCATATTGCTTGTCTTCTTTGATCAGCCCCTAACAGTAATTAATTCTACTGAATATACCGCCCGTGCACAGCTGAGGTGTAGCATTTAATTACAACCTTTCATCATACAGGGTGTTTCAAAAGTCTTGTAACGATTTACTTTGTGAAAAATTGTGAAACAGTGAAAGTTATTTCATTTCTGCAAAAAAAGTTTCTTCAAGAAAGGAAAGGTGTTAATGGTTTCGGGAGTTTTGACAGGTCGCAATGGTCACGTTTTACAGGATCGAGTTTAGACAAATGGTTACAAAGTTATTCAAAATGTAACCCGTTTAAACTTTTAAAGAATTTTGAAACACCCTGTAGTAAATTTTTACCTCAAAACTTGTTTTCAGCATTTAATTGTGCTCGCCCTATTATATCTAAGCTTATCTTGTCTTATCTAAAAGTATAAACATTCTTTATAATGTAACCCTTATCTTGACCTTAGCATCTTTTGTATTTTTCTTATTTTTACTCTCTAACAAATCACAATTAGTCTGTACGATATAAATAGAACATTAAAGTGATATAGAGTGTGTCAACTGCACTAGTGGAGGTGTTAACATTTGTACATCCTCAACCTCTCCTGTGGGAGTCTCCACTTTTCTTATGGGAAAATTCACCGTCTCTTCCTTTTTCCCAAAGAGTCTAGTTTCATCGCGTACCTGGATACCTATATACAGGATACTACTGCATATATATTATAATATTATGTAATCCATTAGACATTATTAACCTTGCTTTTGCCATGACGTCGTCGTGTATGTCCTCTATAATTTTAGTTGGTACACATGTCTTGACATTGGCTGAGCTATATCCTTATTAAATCGAGCTTTAGATTAGCTCACAGAGGTCAAATAAGGTGGACACAGCACACGTAATAGGTGGACACACGTAATAGTCAGTAACCTGGCGGTGCATTAATTAATACTCCCCCAACTGGGAGTAGTAAACCTCCACTTCCATCCCAGGCCCAATGAGAATTCAGCACTTCCAGGTCCGAGGTACAGATATTAGAAATACTGCAGTAACGCACGTGCTCCAACTTCTTGTGCTCGAACTCCTTGTGCTCGAACTTGTTGTGCTCGAACTTCTTGTGCACGGCTCTGTTTGCTGACAACAGTTTACGGTTTCTTGACATTATAGTGTTCACTGCGCTGTAACACAGCTCCACCTCTAAGTGGATGGATTAGAACTAGTCAACTCATTATTTGCACTGACATGACCATATATGGTAAACCGTCAACCTGCGCTCTCCGCAGACTTTCTTTTCTCTTCCGTGAGGTGATGTGTAAAGTTCTGAGTGTAAGTTATTTGTCGCATTCCATTACCATGGTTACTATTGTATTACCACTATCAGCTTGTCCTATTTAGCACATATTATTACAGGTCAACACTTCTACAGTTACTAACTATCCTAAATATGCCCAGAAATATTTGTGATTCCTGTGAACGTGCATTATCATGCCCAATCAAAAGAATGTGTCATATTTCCTGATATGTAATTCTGTTGAACGTAACTTTACCGTTATATGTGCTATATAATATGTTATATAGTTGATTTTGTTGTCTCGAGAGTTGCAGTATGTATCTCGTCCTTGTTGTCAGCCTATATTATTTGTGCAGTAACTTTTATCCTTTGTGCAATAAATCATGCGCTGCTTTTAATTTTGGTGTGGTAGTATCACATGATGCAGGAGGTCCATGAAAATAAACATCATGGAGGCTGCGTCATTTACAACAAACTGTTATTGCTGTATTCTGAGGTTTGTACTTTATAGAACGTTCTATTTAGTAAAGATATTGCTGTGTTCTGTGTCGGGTAATTATTAAAATATTCGTTAACTCTGCCCTGCAGAATCAGCTTAATTTCTATAATGCAGGGTCACGCCACTTAGCACTCAGTTTAATTAATATTTTAATTAGCAACTCGTTAATCAAACCTCATACATTGTAGATACACAGGTCTAAAATACAGACTTGAAACCATCTTGTGCGTGAAGCTTTTGATTCTGACTGTCTTGTTAACTTTGTTTAAATAATCAATAATCATGTGTTGTTACAATGCACTGCCCTGTTTATGAACGACTTGTTAAGATTTCTTGGCAATGTTTCAACGAAATAAAAAGTCTGTTCATCCGAGCGGGATCACATGACCATGACCCAATCGTGCGTTTCCAGCAGCTGGATTTCGAGGCAGGACCAGATCACGAGGACGACGTTCCTTCTCCCCTAATATCCAGATCAGACCTTTATAAAGTGAGGGATTTGGAGAGACAGTTGTCGGAGCCCGCCGACTTGGAGGTAGAGTGTTTGCTGCATGACACCGCGTGCGTTGCCATGACACCGCGTGGTTTGGTTGTGATCACTTTTCATCGCGTGATATTATATTTTCTGGAATGTGATGTTCATGAAAAGATGCAGAGTTCTTGTTTGAGTTTAATAAGAGAATAAGTTTCTGATAATTGTACTTGATTGTGGTGTGAGTTATTGTGTTGTCTAATGTAATAATAATAGTGCTGATTTGTATTGAAGATTGTGTGAGTGGTTTTAGCTTCACTAATTGTTGATTTCGATTCGCTGATGTTCCTATAAGCGATTAATCAACTTAAATCATAAAGTTGATAAATCTAAATCTCTTGAATTTAAGGTAATTTAACTGAAATGAAACATAATTACTCAGTTTGATGCTTGCTTCACATGATTACACAATAATCCCTCCACACTTCATGACAGGTAGTATTCCTTATTAAATAGTCAACTTTGGTGGAGCCTGCAGGATTGCAGAATTTTAAATTAGTCTGACAAAGTTTGTGATTTTGGCGATGTCCATTATTACAAGTTCGCATGCACATTTAATTCACAATGATTCTGATTAAATTGTGAACCTTATCAGTGAACTTTATCGAAATGATAATGGCTGTTTAAATCAATATTATTTGAATACTCTGATCACCAACAGAAGCTGCAATCAACAGTTTGAATATTCTATTGTCAAGGTTATAGTGTTAAGGCCACAGGGGGGGGTCCGAGGTCAATTTTGAGATTTTGAGATATGTTGTAGAGCTCGATCTAAATTTTCAAATGCTTTTGTCCTTACCGAAAACAAAGTTTCCTATTTGAAGATATCACGCGTTGAATTTTGAGGTTTACCTGTAATTCTATTGTAAATGAAAACTTTAAATGCAATTGTGTTCAAAATCTATCTTCTTTTTTAGTTTATGACTTAGAACCTTGTAACTTGGCAACAATGTTCTTAAAGGTATTTTGAGTTTTTGTTATGTAACGATTTATGATATCTTGCTCCAAAGCTGAGATATGAGGTTAACCATGAGTGAGAATTACAAAATTTACAAAATTTAAAATGGTTAACCTCATAAAAAGAGTTAGGAGCAAAATTACAACAATCGTTACATAACAAACTTTTAAATTTATGTCAGGAACATAAGTTCCAAATTTGAGGTGAAATGGATAAAAGCTCTAGGAGAAGATAGGTTTTTGAGGTGGTAAATAAATTGTTCAGGAGAGTCAAAAGACTATGATTCTGAGAAAATATGTTAACCTCAATTTTCCAACAAATAAAGGACATATAATAGTTCTGTTCACATTGGATGGCCAATTGATACCCATTGATAAGTTTAACTTGTGATGAGAGCAACAAAATGTTAAGAACTGGTTATTAGTGAGGTTAACTGATTAAAAAGGCAATAGTTAACCTCTATTTTACGACAAACTAGGCGCTCTGGGGGGCTAAGGGTGGTGTGCAAGCGTCAGATAGTACGTGGTCTGCCAACTGGCAAAAAACTTTTTTTCGACCTCGGACCCCCCCCTGTGGCCTTAAGTTGAAATTCTATCAGCCGTGTCAACTGTGGCTTTGAATACCATTTCTATGAAAACCATTACTATGTCTAATTACAGAATCCTTAAATAAGCTGCATGGTTAGCTATCCTGTTATACACAACATTTCTAAATATACATAGTTATAACATAATATATTCTCCTGACTTTGGCCAATGGACAGGAGCTGCAGGATCTCAGAATGTTACACTAGTTTAGGTACTTCATCACAATATCCCGTCTATTTAGCCGAGTAGTTCTAATGTACCGTCACAATAGTGACTTTAATATACCCTCTTGATTAGAACTCAATACCTCCTCACTAGGGGGGCCGGGGGGGGGGGGGGGGGGGGGGGGGGCGGTGTACTCTGTTAGTACTAAGTTGCCAGTAACAGTAGTAGAAGTGGAACTGTAGTCTCGAGATGTTGAGACTACAGATGTTGAGGGGGGGGGGGGGGGTGTACTCTGTTAGTAGTAAGTTGCCAGTAACAGTAGTAGAAGTGGAACTGTAGTCTCGAGATGTTGGTCTGAAACTCTGGAACCTTCTAATAGCTATAACAATATACCCAGGCTCTATGGTTTCAACCTGTATCTCTAATCTTATGATCTTTAAGTAAGCTGAGAGGGACTGAAAGTCAGGAATGTAAGACTGAAGGGCAGGAATGTTCGTTAACCCAGGTGGTCCCCTGAACTGGAACATGGAAATTAATTTAAACCTAGTTACAAGGTTACTAGTTACTAGTTACAAGCCCAGACTCATTAGTCATTAGATTAGGACTGTTAAAGTGGCGCTATGTGCATCACGGCAACAATTTCATCCGAATGTGATTGAATATTCGGTCATTTAGGAATGTTACCAAACTCAATGAGTAGTTAAGGTTAGTGTCATGTGGTGAACTTATACAGATGTAGTGGACATTTACATTAATACTGTGAGGGTTACTGAGTCTCCGAACCAGCTGACAAGCACAAACCATGCAGCCTCTATGTTATGTACTCGCTATAACATGCACTTGTAAGGCCTCTCAAATAGTTCAAAAAGAAATTCCTGGCATATTTGTGTTGGAAGTATGAAAACTGTATTTTTTGTTATGTTTTTCAATCGAGTGCTGCTAATTCGTCCTCCTAAACGTTCTAGAAGCCAGGTCAGATTTCTTGATGATATTCGTATTCTGATCGTTTATCTGCATTGTAGTAGTTGTACAGCAATACTATCTGCATTGTAGTAGTTGTACAGCAATACTATCGGACCTTTACTGATAGTTGAAATTCGACATATGACGTCATCTAGCGTCATCTAGCGTCATCTAGCGTGAAATATCGCCAGATGATGATAGATGACGCTAGATGACGCTAGATGACGCCAATTAGCGACATTGTCGCTAAGTGCACGTCGCTAAGTGCACGCTTGATGGCGCCTGCGTCAGATGTCGTCGCGACAGATGTCGTCAGATGACGTCAGATATCGCTAGATGGCGTCAGATAGCGTCAGATGTCGCGGCAACATATGACGCTAGATGACGCTAGATGTCGTCCCTAGAATTTTTATGAAAATAGCGCTATCTGTCGCCTGGCGTCAGTGCTGCGTGCTTAGCGTCATCTAGCGTCATCTAGCGTCATCTAGCGTCATATAGCGTCATATAGCGCTAGATAGCGCTAGATAGCGCTAGATAGCGCTAGATAGCGCTAGATAGCGCTAGATAGCGCTAGATAGCGCTAGATAGCGACATTCGAAAGGTGCCGTGCACTTAGCGACAATGTCGCTAATTGGCGTCATCTAGCGTCATCTAGCGTCATCTATCATCATCTGGCGATATTTCACGCTAGATGACGCTAGATGACGCTAGATGACGTCATATGTCGAATTTCAACTATCAGTAAAGGTCCATACTATCTGCATTGTAGTAGTTGTACAGCAATACTATCTGCATTGTAATGACAATGAATACCCGGGCTGCATTCTCTTAATATTCATTACTTTTACCTTCGCCCGAGGGCACAATGCACATACACTAACATTTGAATGTTTGAAATGCGTTTAAACTGATAAGGGATGCTTTAGTGAACCTTTTTAACTGACGGATCTGGAATTAGATTATTTTTGTGCAGAGACAGTGCCCTGGTGCCCATAGTTACCCTTCAGAAGTTCAGAGCATTGAGTATGAAATTGATGGACATTTCTTCACGTTTTTATTAAATTTAGACAAATCATTAGGCAAATATCGTTCTAGAATATTATACTCATATTACTGCCGAGCTGTACCAATATCTGTGCATATCTGATAATAAGAGTTATATTATAAATTTGCATAATTATTCCATAATTCTTAGATCTGGATTTCCATACACAGCAATGTCAGATAATTAGAGGAAATATTAAAATCATAAAATCATAAAGTATTTAGCTAGGTGAAGTTAAACATTATCATTATTCATTATAATAAGTCGGTTATATCGACCATTTTGAGCATTGTCTAAGACGATTATCTAAACAATCATGCTATGTATTTACATAACCCACACCTCAAAGCTGTAATGGGAGTATTAGTAGTACTAGTTCCCACATTAGTGACTAGTAGAGAGGTGTTCAAGTTTTGTAAATGACCAACAATCAACATTCCTGTACTTTGACACTTACATGCTACTGAGCTGTGGAACGATATGAATCAAGATTCCCAATTTTCTCCAGTACAATGTGCCAGTAAAATGTGTCCAGTAAAATGTGTGTGGGGTTAGCTCTCCTATTCTTGAAGTACACTATAGGTTCCTGACTGGGCCCTTATACAGGGGCCCTTTAAAAGACCTAAAAGATACCGACAGAGAAGTGTAAATATGTAACTGGCAGATAATGACACTGTCATCAAAGAAAGTAGCGACAGTAATAATATTAGTAATAATATTAGTCCGTAAATAGTCCGTAATTAGCGAGTCCTGATACCCCTCAGGGCAACTCTTCCCTCGGTTCTTAGTCCCTTGTTTTGGAGGCTGATCTAGATGTAGAAACTAGTCTGTGTAGATTTTGTAGAAAGACAAAGACTGAGGGCTTACACTCAGCACAGTACTATATTTAACAAGGACCTCTTTCTCTCTTTGTCTTGATAAAACATAGCCCGCTAACAGACCTACTCTTCACTTGTAGCTCTTGACTTGGTGCTATTTTGACGCTCAATATTCTACAATAACACATTGTGTAACACATTGTGTAGCACATTGTCCGAATGTTTACCACTGACTTGGTGTGGTATATTAATTGTATAGAGCTGCAGCTGACTTACTAAGTAGGGAACACTAGAGAAGAGTTAAGAGTAGGTATAGAGGAGGAGGTATACTCCTCACATACAATCTACATACAATCTACCATCTACATTCTACTATCTACACAAAATATTATTGTTACATTTTGTACAGTATTGTCCACATCGCAATGTTCAAATAGTCTACAATCTAAAGTCAACAATATATATGTTACAATGTAGTTTCCAATGTAGTCCACAACATAGGTTACAGTGTATTCTACAAAGATAGGGCGTTTTATCCCCTAAGTGTCACGTGCTAGATGAGCTATTTTCACCTGTATTAGGATAGTTAAGATGAAAGAGGTAGCAGCTTAGTAAATGAAGGTGTCGACAGAAGGTAGACGACGTAACCCGCATGACTCTGCATGAGACAAATTATAATTCCTTAAAATTTGGAGTTCTTACTTCTTGCTTTCTTAAATCTGATTTTATCTGCGATATTCTTTTTTATAATGTCAGGCATGGGTCCAGCTCATTATTTGGAGGGGCGAGTAGGGTTGGCACGGGAGGGGCATTACGCTGCGGAACATTTCACTGCAGAGAGTGGATCCTTGGGGGAAATTTTCAAAAATCAGCCTTTGAAGGAAACAATAATTTCTTCTAGATAAGAATATGATGGTAATGATGGCCTGGAGAGCTGATGCAAATTTATTTGATTTGATTTGATCGGTTGATGCTGATTGGTTAATAAACTTGCATCCCCTTCACGCTTTCACACACGTTTGCAAATAATAAGATTACAACCTTCATGCCTATTGAATAAAAAGTGCCACAAAAAGTGGTTAAAACCAATTATTTGATTGCAAACTATTCAGGCTACTCGGAGAAGGAACACAGACAACTTCCCCCCTTCGCCAGACATCATAAACACTTTCAGAACTCATGCTAATTCATGGAGCAACTTCAACAACCAAGTCTCACAGCTATTATCATCCAGGTTAGATTAATTTTAGACTCAAGTTCAACTGATCTTTTCAATCACCTTCATACAGTAGAGGAAATATTCCGGTCCGAGTTTCCGATTTGTCAAGGTTATTACGCTTTTGTGAGCACCCAGATAACATTGGACCAACCGACAGAAGTAGCACTTCTGAGTTTCTCTAATGATCACGCCGGTATTGGGTGAGCACATTCATTGATATTGATCACTGTATTATTAGAATGATAACTTACCTTCCTCCCCAGCAGCAGCAACAGTGGCAGCTCACCTCTGGGTGAGAGAGTGAGCGGTGATGGCGCTGAGAATCCTGAGGACCCTATTCGCATTGAAACTGACTCTAAACCCAGCAAATACCTTTCCCCTATCGCAGAGGTATGAGACTTACTATGTATTGTAGTTATAACATCACTCATTACATTACATCACTCATTACATGCCTTTCTTAATTTAGTTTTAAGCAGGTAGTGACCCCCGTCGGCCCCCTTACTCAGGTATTGTAATCGTGCGTAGCTACATCAGTACATCATGTTTGGATGTGTTTCATACACTCTTCCGCTCCATTAACCGATACTGTTAACTTCCAAACCTGCCCCTGAGTAGCTATTCTCCATATGAAACATAAGACAGAACAGCCTGCTCGCAGCCAATCACAGCACAGTATTTGAACAATCCACCAATGAGAGCCTCTTATTTGGACCAATGTGTACAATACCTCTATCACACTAGCTCTGGTAACGTATTTTCTGACTGTGTCTGCTGGTTCTGTCTGTATTGTCTAGTAACCCCCGGCTTGTTACTTGTTCTTACTACCAGAATATCTTAATTATCTTTGTTTGGTGGTTATGGTTGATTGAGTTGATGAACGCCAACCTGATGAATGTCATTAGCAATGTCAACGTTAGGAAACTTCCGAATGTCGCTAAATTTGTACGTTGGGTTTGTAAAACATGCCGCATTCATCATATTACACCTCGTTAAATATCAGTTCTACCAAGTGGTTACTAGTGGTTACTAGTGGTTACTAGGCTAATAATTCAAATAATAAGAGTCACATCATGATTTCTCTAGTTTTGACTTTTGGTTTACACTCACGAGTCTTAATGTGTTATAAGTACGCTAGATCCTTAATAACGGACTGAGTGTCTCCTTAGAATTATACCAGTACAACCCCGATTTACCGCGACCATTTCCTTCCCCCATGCACAATTTAAACTAACAAAACCCCGATTTACCGCAAACCCCGATTTACCGCGAACCCCGATTTACTGTGGTTGTGTCCTTTCCCCGCGGTAAATCAGGGTTTCACTGTATTGCGATAGTTAGGGCTGGGATCACATTGGTGCCCGGTACATTTACTACCAGGGTAATTATGAGAACTCCTTATTATTCGTGCGTCATCTTCTGCAAAAACAGATTACATATTAGCTTGATAACCGGCTATATACTAGTTAGGACTCGCTCTGCTTGAATTGGGCGACCCAATCTTGAAGACTTGCAATTTCATTAAATTCCCTCAATTAAGGTCATGCTTAAAAGGTTATGTCGTAAAGGTTATTAAAAGGAACGAGATATTATAATATGATAGACACTTCGTCATTTAAATTTCTCTCATTTACCAGAAATACGGGCACCTGTGGAGCTCGACCTCGAAGGATCCCGAACAGAGACAGATGTGTAGAAACTATAAACTAGGTGAGTTCTAGTTCTTAGTTAAATCTTATACTATAAACTAGGTCAGTTCTTGTTCTTAGTTAAATCTTATACTATAAACTAGGTGAGTTCTAGTTCTTAGTTAAATCTTATACTATAAACTAGGTGAGTTCTAGTTCTTAGTTAAATCTTATACTATAAACTAGGTCAGTTCTAGTTCTTAGTTAAATCTTATACTATAATTTAGGTGAGTTCTAGTTCTTAGTTAAATCTTATACTATAATTTAGGTGAGTTCTAGTTCTTAGTTAAATCTAATATTATAAACTAGGTGAGTTCTAGTTCTTAGTTAAATCTAATATTATAAACTAGGTGAGTTCTAGTTCTTAGTTAAATCTTATACTATACACTAGGTGAGTTCTAGTTCTTAGTTAAATCTTATACTATAAACTAGGTGAGTTCTAGTTCTTAGTTAAATCTTATACTATAAACTAGGTGAGTTCTAGTTCTTAGTTAAATCTTATACTATAAACTAGGTGAGTTCTAGTTCTTAGTTAAATCTTATACTATAAACTAGGTGAGTTCTAGTTCTTAGTTAAATCTTATACTATAAACTAGGTGAGTTCTAGTTCTTAGTTAAATCTTATACTATAAACTAGGTGAGTTCTAGTTCTTAGTTAAATCTTATACTATAAACTAGGTGAGTTCTAGTTCTTAGTTAAATCTTATATTATAAACTAGGTGAGTTCTAGTTCTTAGTTAAATCTTATACTATAAACTAGGTGAGTTCTAGTTCTTAGTTAAATCTTATACTATAAACTAGGTGAGTTCTAGTTCTTAGTTAAATCTTATACTATAAACTAGGTGAGTTCTAGTTCTTAGTTAAATCTTATACTATAATTCAATAGTATTGTGCCGTGGTACCGTGTGCTGTTGTTAGCGGTACCGTAGTGTGGTACCATGGTGTGGTACCGTATGTGTGGTACCATGGTGTGGTACCGTAGTGCGGTACCGTATGTGTGGTACTTCCTACGAGATAACAGACTTCTAATATCTATAAATTGAAAGGTTGCAATAGTTCAAATATATGTGCTGTGTTGGTTGTACCCAAACATGCTACATTGTAATATATGATTAATTGGGGCAGCAACTCTCATCTTAACATTGAATAGACCAATCACAGCACACTACCTCTAATTTCTATTTGATCTCGCTACCACAGAATAGTACTGTTGCTGCAATACAATACAGCGTAATGCTGTAATACAAGGGGCGTGGTGGGCGTTATACAATTGCAACATTTACTTTATAATGTTGTGCAAGGACGCGTAGTGGTCGGGAGGAGGCCCAGAATAAATACTGCTCGAGCAGAGAATAGCGGGGGGGGGGGCATTACTATGGGGGGGGGGGGGGGGGAGGGGCATTACTATGGGGGGGGGGGGGAGGGGCATTACTATGGGGAAGGGGGGAGGGGTATAACTATGGGGAAGGGGGGGGGGGGCATTACTATGGGGAAGGGGGGATTACTATGGGGAAGGGGGAGGGGCATTACTATGGGGAAGGGGGGGGGGGGGGCATAACTATGGGGAAGGTAAATGACTTGGTTATCTCATTGTTCATATGTATCAGTTCTCAGCAAGTTTTAGCTATGTATGCTAATCTTGAATGAACACACCAAACAATACGCTTGAAGCGAGAAGCTGTAAACATTTTCTTGAGAATTCCTGGTCTCGAATAACATTCCATAACTAGGGAATGTACCCGGGTAGAATTAGGACTGTGCTGTGCAGGAGATTGAAGTTTTAACCGGTCTCATTGCAGGAGTGCACAAGTTCAACAAGCGGCCCTCGAACGGAGTTAAGCACCTGACGACAGCTGGAGTGGTACGGGACTCACCTCACGACATAGCTGCCTTCCTCCTTAACGGAAAGGGGCTCAGCTTGTCCCAGATCGGCAACTTTATCACGGAGCTTAGGAAGCCGCTCTCCATAGCCGTTCTAGAGTGAGTACTAATTCCATAGCCGTTCTAGAGTGAGTACTAATTCCATAGCCGTTCTAGAGTGAGTACTAATTCCATAGCCGTTCTAGAGTGAGTACTAATTCCATAGCCGTTCTAGAGTGAGTACTAATTCCATAGCCGTTCTAGAGTGAGTACTAATTCCATAGCCGTTCTAGAGTGAGTACTAATTCCATAGCCGTTCTAGAGTGAGTACTAATTCCATAGCCGTTCTAGAGTGAGTACTAATTCCATAGCCGTTCTAGAGTGAGTACTAATTCCATAGCCGTTCTAGAGTGAGTACTAATGTCTAATTCCATAGCCGTTCCAGAGTGAGTACTCATTTCATAGCCGTTCTAGAGTGAGTACTAATTCCATAGCCGTTCTAGAGTGAGTACTAATTTCATAGCTGTTCTAGAGTGAGTACTAATTCCATAGCCGTTCTAGAGTGAGTACTAATTCCATAGCCGTTCTAGAGTGAGTACTAATTTCATAGCCGTTCTAGAGTGAGTACTAATTCCATAGCCGTTCTAGAGTGAGTACTAATTCCATAGCCGTTCTAGAGTGAGTACTAATTTCATAGCCGTTCTAGAGTGAGTACTAATTTCATAGCTGTTCTAGAGTGAGTACTAATTTCATAGCCGTTCTAGAGTGAGTACTAATTAGTAATTTCATAGCCGTTCTAGAGTGAGTACTAATTTCTTTTTGTGTCTGCTTAATTAATGTGTAAAAATGCTTTGACGTTTGAAGTGAGTAAAAGGGATAAAAAGCTAAACTTGAATTTTTCGGTACTGGTTTTCTGAAAATTGTATTAGTCAATAAAATATTGTCAGCGCGAAAATAAATATATACGAGTTGATGCGTCACCACAGTAAAAGTACATTATGCAATAATTCGTGGGCCGGGGGATGTCATCTAAATTAAACTTGCAATTCACTTGTCAGATTAACTGGCTTGCTCTGTAATTTATGTTGTCGGTTGTCGGTTGTATCGCATGCGACTATACAAATCTGACATTCTTACTTCGCGAGTAAATAACGATAAAGATCTTCGTCGTTTGATGACTATTTTAAGCTTGCACTACGTCAATAGGCTCGGATGTGATTGGGAGACAAATTGGTACCTGACAAGTGACAGAGAGTAACTAATGGTTACCAGTGGCTGTCATGTGGTTGTCATGTGGTTGTCACGTGGTTACCACGTGTTAAACTACTTCACACTTACTTCCACGTGGTCACCAAGTCTATAACTCTAACAGTTCTACTGCCAGTTCTACTGCCAGTTCTACTGCCAGTTCTAATACCAGTACAGTAGCTTACTAATTACTATGTGACTCACTGAAAACTACTATAAACGTACTTTTCTGGACAAGTGACACCAAACCAAGTGATTGGAAATGTCTGTGAAGTGAGCAGATCTAGTTGTTGTAGTATAGCGAGAAAGCAGATCTAGCGAGGAATTATTTTGGGATTATTACATCAGCAATAAGTTTAAACTCTAGCTAAAGGACACATACTCCAGTACGTGATACATACTGGAGTATGTACATTTAGTTGGGTCAAAGGGGCTACGACAGAAGCCTTCTAATGATTGTAAATCTTAACATACTCCACCCATAACTAGATATTATGCAGAAAAGCGAATAACACATACGCATCTCACTTCTAGGCTTCTTTACTTACATACCACGTACGTAACAGAAATGAGCCTACTGGTCACTGCTGGAGGGATCATTGGTTGTGATCTATATATATATTGGTTGTGATACTTGTCAAGCCTTTAAAAGGACGCGATTAATTTGTCATGTTTTGCAACTGAGAGAGTTTTAAATTCAACACAGAGTTTTTATCCCTTTACAATGCTTTTATACAATCTATTTTTTCTATTTTTCAAGTGTATTTTTTTTTCAGGGAGTTCATGAAACAGATTGACTTTACATCGCTACCTTTCGAGCAAGCTCTGAGACATTTTATATCAAAACTTAGATTACCGGTAAGCAAATCTTTATCGTCATATTTCTCTTTTAATTAATGTTGGACCTTTTAGATCTATTAATAGATATTGAATCATATGCTGTCATTTGTCATACTACTGACTATTGGGGAATTTAAACTCTGACTATTTGGGAATTTAAACTCTTGTCATACTACTATAATATAAAAGAATAATACAAGATAATATAGAAATAATACAGTTCCGTCAGAGGTTCGGGCGATAAAGACTCTAATTATTCCTCGAATAAGGGTTTTAAAGTTGCTGAGTTCAGCTGAAACTGACTCAACAATATAAAACACATGGTGTATAATATAATATCCAGTACAAGTACAATGTACAATTTAATATAGTAGTAGTTCATTGTTCCACTTCTTTGTTACACGCATTCTTGTGTAGTCACAATGAAACAATGTGACACAGCGCGCGGGAGGGGGGTTCATTATTTAAAATGTAAAGATACAAGTTTGATACAATGTTAAGGTACAAGTTTGATACAATGTTAAGATACAAGTTTGATACAATGTTAAGGTACAAGTTCGATACAATGTTAAGGTACAAGTTTGATACAATGTTAAGGTACAAGTTTGATACAATGTCGTCTATGATACAATATTTTTCAAATATGGGCTGATAGCACAGCGAATCAGCGATGTTACGATGTAATAAATGGTGTTTAATAAAGTATTATTTTTAACGAGTCACCACTAAGCTGTATATACTATATTTACGACGCTTACGCTCCAAAATGAAATGGTTTGCACAGCTGTAATGATATTTTACGGACGTTCTTCAGAGAAGGCAGGCAGCCAAGATGTGATAAACAATATGGAAACGCAAGCAGCCCTTCTTATCGAATATATTATATTATATGAAGTCACCTCATCATATTATGTTCACAGAATATAAAACATCTCGCAACGAACTCAATTTTGTGTAGCCTCTCAAATTGAGATTAAAATTAAATTTTACATTAGAATGAAACCAGGCCATGATAATGACAATAACGCGACTTTGCTACAACATAACGACAGATACGTTCGCTATAATTATACGTCACATAATCTATTTCTATTCAGACATTTCCTGAAACTCTTCCGGGTGTCAGAATGATAATCCCATCAACATGATGTGAATGTTATCTCTTTAACAAGATAACACGTTATATGTTTGAAACTATTGTCAGCTCCCCGTCACGAGATTACACATTATCAGTAGTTAGTTCTAATAGATGAGGGTCCTGTAGCCGCGTGTAAAATGTACCGACACTTCTTACTTACTGTGATCATGTTGATGAGGTTTAGTTGAACATTGTTCCTCCTCACGTAGTCAGCTGAATGTTTAGTTATAAGGGTATTAGTTACCAGTAATCCGGCCTGGGGTCGGAGGTTCATGATAATATTGTTACAGTTTTAAATTTAATGGCCTTTAGGAAGAAGATTCTACAGTTTGATAACTTTTACAGAGTTCAGAGAATATTTATTTATGAACTTTCCCAGGATTATTGCTATTCCGTGTTAATTGTGTTAACACTAACAGAAGAGTAATGTGATCATGTTACAGGGTGAAGCACAGAAGATAGACAAGCTGATGGAAGTATTTGCGGAGCGGTACTGCGAGTGCAATCCTGGTGCAATCAGCGACACTCAAGACACAATATACGTTCTAGCTTTCTCTGTTATTATCTTACAAACCGACCTTCACAATCCACAGATAAAGCTTCACAGGAAGATGGATTTAGAGTCCTTTATTCAGAATAACCGAGGTGAGTTTGTGTTTTTGTGTGTTTGTCGGTCTGTTTGTCGTTGCCTCACCTGAATCCTGACAAAACGCCTGTTGAGCTGTTGTGAGGTATGTTAGCAATGTGTGTGTGTGTGTAAGGGTGTAGGTAAGCGTGTGTATCTTGCAGCACAGTGTATCCCAGAGATTAACTCAATTACACAAACTGTTAATATAACCTTCCTACTACACCGAATTAGATCTTGAGACACCTCCATATCACACTATACACATACTTTAGGAGATCTTGAGACACCTCCATATCACACTATACACATACTTTAGGAGATCTTAAGACACCTCCATATCACACTATACACATACTTTAGGAGATCTTGTTTTCTAGCCTGAAGTTATTACGAAATTCATCTAAGTTTAACAATTACAGAAAGTATGAGCCAATCTGTTGATACCATTAAGTAATTATACCTAATAATAATGTAGCTGCTGAAATGTTATTCCTGCACACAGGATTCTCCATAATCTATATTCTATACACATGGGAATTGTACACATGGGAATTGTACTTGTATAGGCCGGAAAAAGGACCTATAACTGCTCTCTACCTCTGTTCTAGTAGCTAACTAGTCTACCACATAGTGATGTAAGATAGCTAGTAGCTACATATCGTGTGGTGAGCAAGCCTGATTATAATAAAGTCTAATTAGTAGAATCAGTGTGATTAATTTAGTGAGTCCCTGATTTACTGAGCAAAAGATCGTGCTAAAGAGCTAAACTTCCTAGAAGTTCGCACGTTGTAAACATATTACAATATAGTCGTATGATATTTGGCTGTAAACATAATAACATAACGTGTATATAGAGAAATTTAATTTGGACATCGTCCAATTTGTTTAATCACTAATCAGTGAATATTCCGCTAGATTGTTAATCGAATTCCACTAGTAATCATTGGTTAATGTTTGTGTTTAGTATTTAATGCACATTTTATTGAACTTGTTGTTTTGCACACACACAATATAGTTGATTGTCTGTTAGTAAGCGTATATGGGATGATCATTGCTATTGGAATCAATAATCCGCAAAATTTTGTTTCTGAGAGACCATGAACTGATGAACATCGCTAATGAAATTGAGCTTCTTTTATGGAACGCGCGAAGTAAATTTAGATGACTAAATTTTAAGGCATTGATCAATGAGTGAAACAGTAACCGCGCCGCGCGCACGTGTTTTATCTATTCATGTTCTGTGTGTGACCGGTAAATTTAATTGTGTGATGTGACTGTTGTTTAAAAAGTAGGACAATGCAAAATGTTGTACAGACTTAAAACATCCAGACTTTATGTAAGACATCGTATTCGAAAATCATTCATGAACTTTTGGCACAAATTAGTTTTGAAATTCAGAATTTTCACTCTGTGAGATTGATAATACATGAGCAAAATTCGTTAAATAAAACGTGTCGTCTCGTCACAGGTATCGATAATGGTAACGATCTGGAAAGAACATTGCTTGAAGCAATTTACGAAGGGGTGAAGAAAGAACCAATAATATCCGGCAGAGACCACCTTGATTTTCTGGAATCTATCGACAAAAGTATCGTGGGCAAGAAACTGAGCCTGATGGACCCCTGGAGAATGCTTATGATGGTACGTACCCTCTACACTGATTTAAATTCAATATTATTATTACCTCGTGTTAACACCCAATGATATATTGAGTGCTTTTTTAGATTATATTATTATAATAAAACTACCGATCTTGGAATGTGGAGTTTGTGGGGTTAGCTGTAGCAATTACATAACAATTACATACCATTAACCTCTCCTCTTCAGACTACACAGATGCAGGAAGTAGTGAATAAGAACGAAAAACCTCCTCCAGATAAACATATCAGACATGTTTTCCTTTTTAACGATTTACTACTGGTACATATCTCTCTTTATTATTTGTGTTGTGGTGTTTTAAAAAAATTATTTCGGCTTCAGATTAATGTTGCATTTAATTGTTACTAAATGTTTCACGATAACAAAACCTTGTGATATCTTTATAAAAAGTTTACTTTCCTCAGATAACCAAGCAGATGAGCACTAGAGGGAAGGCAACAACAAAGACAGCCAAAGAGCGCGTCATAGCCACCTGCTCCTTTCAGTACAGACAACATTGCACTGTGTGTAGCTTCAAAGCTGAGTCATTTTCCACCGAATGTAAGTATCTCTCTTATCATTTATCTATTTATAGAGTGGGTATTCAGTAAGATAACAATCTCGGAAACAACTTTCACCATAATAAATATTAATAATATGTAGCTAAAGTCTAAACTTCTCAGATCATCCGTTTGGTATAAAGTTAGTAGACAGTTACGATGACAAGAGTGTTCTAGTCGAGCTAGCAGCCTATAACGAGGACGACAGGAGCGCTTTTCTGAACGAATTAGCAGAGGTCACGTGGGTCTATAGAGCTCTGGAGAACGATCGGATTGGGACACTCGGGGTTTCAGATAAAATGGGGCAGAGCACCCTGTCCCTTCATGTGAGTATTCCTTAAATCAAGGTTTTGGTCCGATTTTTAAAAGAATATTTAAATATGATTTATTTCTGTTAATTGACACGATAATTTATAGAAAACTCATTACTTCAGAGTTTCAACTCGGACTCTGACGCTGGACGAAGGCACACGCACACTCTGGGTCGAAGGTTCTTCAAATCGAATATTTTCAAATCTGGTCACAAAAGGGAAGCACTCTCACCTTCAAGTTCAGTATTTTATAGCCAGGGTATCGGCTCGGCTGACATTCCTGATAGCGTGGAATCTTGATATTTGCTTTGTAGCGTAGGACTATGGGAATCTTTCCTCTTTTTTATTTCATGTTTTTAATGTTGATTTGGATACGGTTGGATTGGGCTTTCATTAAAACAGTTCAAATTTCCTTAAAATTTCTTTACCAATTTCAAACGCATTGGGATGCAATGTGGAATGTTGGATTTCGGGAACTTGTTCGTTCTATCGAGTGATTATTTTTTCTTTAGAGTAGTTGGATTTGACTATCACACTGCGGGCTATTAATAAAGTGACAATTTTCTCATTAAACGTTTTTAGATTTGAAGTAATATGATTTCTAGTTGATTTTATTACACTATTACCGATTTATTTTAAATCATTTGATGACAGCAGATAAGTTCAGCTCTGGACAATGTTTGTTTACATTTATGCATTCTAAAGTTTTTATGTTTGATGTTTACAGATCAAAATCAATTTGAAGTTAAGAACTGTGTTTCAATCATAGGAGTCCTAACACTTCATTTGTCCTTACAACAATAAAAACCATCTGAAGTACCCTGTCCCCTGAGACAGTGAGACGGCTCCATATTTCTGCAATAATTTGAGAATGCGGCAGACGAAAATTAAGTCCAGACTTTGGGTCGGTAATTTATGAGTCAGTCATTGGATCATTCAATCTGGATTACCTTGGCCATGAAGAATATTGATCATCGGTGAACCAATGTTCATTGTTGAAAATATTCTGACCGGAGTTGTGGAGCACCATTTCCGAATGTCAAAAAAACATCTCCATAAAATATCCATCGTGATTTAATTTTATATGTTAATGAAATCATGATTATACTAGATGAGCAAATCTTCAGCAGATCTATACATATATTAGACCATATTATGGTGATCGAATATGGCTTTCCTTAACCTAAAATGAGTCCTCTCAAACCGCTGCTCACCAGTAAACTTTATTTCGAAATAAATTGCTCAATGTATCAGTGTAAGTGTGATATTCAATGCGGGAGGCATGCTTCTTCACATTTTTTATTGTATTGAAAAGTCGGTACAATGTGACGAAGGCTCTTTTTCATTTAGTTCCTAAGAAATAGCACACTCCAGTGGATCCATCTATATGTAGATCGTTTCTATAGATACGCAAGTGCTTTCATTTAAAAGTTTACAAGTAAAGATACGGTTAGGCAATCGCGCGCGCCGTACCAGCCATGTTTATTTGTTGTTTCACAACTTGCATACAAAATTTTAAATGCGTAGGCATAAATATTAAATAATGACTATTTCTCATGCCTGTGTCCCATGATCTCACAACTTCGTATAAAACGAAAATTATTTCAGTCAATAAGTGAGTCTTGGTTAAACAAACTGCCGAAGCATACACGAATTTTAAGGAACATAAAACATCTGCAACGAAAACATGCAACACATCATTCTGCGCTTAATTTCGCAGCATTTATAATTCCCCCTCCAAATTCAATAAATAACCCTGTGGGTAAGTAATACATTAATGGTAACCTCGCATCCAGATAAAGTAACGAAATCTTAAGAAAACTCTAAGTCTAAGTTATAAAACTCATCTTCGCCGGAAGCATTTGAAATTCCACTCACATGTGTATAAAAACATCAATTAAATTAGAGTTTAGACAAAAAATACAATCTATAATGTACAACAACTATTTACACGTGCATGATAAAATCCATCTGTAGTGAAGAAACTTCGTTTCCAATAAAATGACATGTTGGTTTGTCAATGTTTGGGTCTGGACTGGAGTCTGAATATGTCGACGCGACAAGAATTTACGATAAAAGAATTCAGGAGTGTTCGTTTGAGCACACCCGTGCAGGAATGCTCACATAGCTTTGTTAGGGGGAATAGTTGGCACGATCGGCTTTGAGGAGCCGGTCCGTCGTCTGTTGAACTTCATTTTAGAAAGAAATGATTTTGTGGCGGTACGGTCGCCGATTGCAGGCAGTGGAACACTCTGATTCACTAATACGGTATTCTGGTCATGGTCACCGAGGATTTCTGCTGCTGCAGATGTGATTGGGTCGCTGATGATGGTTTTGGAGAAGTCTATTGAGTGGTGTCTGGAGCCGGGACGAGGGCTACCTCGTCGCAGTGGGGGCGGTGTAGGGGTGAACCTCTTTCCTGATTCATCTGGGTTAGTATTCACTTTCATTTGTATTAGCTTGGCATTGTGTATCTTGGACATGAGGTACGCTAACTGATCACTTTTACTCTCCAAGTCTGACCGGAGGGAATGAATCAAAACGTCCTTTTTCTGTAAACTCTCCGTCAAATCTGCTTTCGTCGATTTTAACTGGAACTGCAAAAGTTTGATCTTTGAAAGCCGTTCCCCTCCCAAACTATCTAGCCGGCTGTTTTCGGAGTGAAGTTCTCGTACTGCAGAGTTGTACTCTGCCTTGAGCTTGTTGATCTCCACTGAGGAATAACAAGCATGTGTTTTAATTAGCTTTATTATTCTCCGCAAGCATTACATCAATTGTATGTGAGAAGTGAGACCTCGTGATGTATCCGCTACCAGGAGGTAAAGCGGCTTTTAAATATTAAATCTACGTGAAAATAGAAGAGTGTGTGTCACGCACACCACATACACACTTGTAATTGTTAGCGATCGCTCTGACGCCACAACAATGTGGCGGTTAGTCACGTGTTTCACTCTTTTCTCAACATTTAAAAAAGGTTATACATGAGATAACTGATAAGGTTTAAAAGAGGAGAAAGAGACAAACCAGCATGGTTGCACGTGGAAGTAGAGGGAGCCGCTGCGTCGCCCAACATATGTAGCTCAAACGTTAGCTCTGAAAATAGGATGGTGTTAAAACTTCCGCTTTGTCAAGATCACGTGATTGGGTGCTGTGTGAGTCACGTGATTGTGATAAGCTTGTTGTTGGATCTTGTTTAATAGACAGTGCTTTGTTGATGAAGAGTCTCTGCTTGATGTTCACACACAGGACAGTTACATAGAACAAGTGCCGTATAGAATAAACGAGTTTAGTTCTAATGCACCAGCCACATTCCACTTATAGCAGAGATTTTAGCCACAACTATTGTAGGTGGACATACCACACAATATTTCTACGAATCTTCAAAGATTTTGCAGTGTATGATAGTATTGATTATAATAATTGCACTCACAAAACTCACAAAACTTCTAGATTTCAAATTAATTGCATTATTCCTGAAACCTCTTTAAGTCTGGTAGGTTCGCGTTAATGGAAAGTAAGCTACTGTCACGCTGCAGGGAAACTGGAAATCATCGACATAAACACTCAAGAAGGTTTAAAAGTGGTTTTTTGACAAACTTAAAGAAAGCACGGCATGGTTGGAACTTAACAAGTAAGAACATGCCCACAATGGATCGTTACAAATGAACCACTGCACTGGATCTACTACGCAACTATTTGATTAGAAGCTCGAAAGTTTGAACACTTTTTTAACATTCCACTGAATGAGCTGAGTGATGAAATAGCGACCCAAAACTCAAGGTTTAGTAGTTTGTAAAGGTTTATTCCCTAAAGGTTTATTGTAAAAGAATAACCCCCTAAATGAGGTTATTCATTGTAAGCATGATTCTCTAGGTCACTAATACTCATATTTATGTGTTTTAATTTTACCGATTTACTTGTAAAAGATGTTCTGGAACTTCGATGAGCTATTTACACTAGTAGTCATTTATAGGAACTATTACATCCTCTTTTCTAATACTGACTAAGCCGTACAGCTATAAAGCCTACAGAGCCTGCCTTTTTCTCAAGACATGCTCACTACAGATACCGGATAATGGTTTTGTACTGAGCAGCACCAAAAGCTGGTTATAATTAAAGTTATATTTCCACGCTACATCTTAAAACTTGCACACTACCAAAAGCTGGTTATAATTAAAGTTATATTTCCACGCTACATCTTAAAACTTGCACACTACCAAAAGCTGGTTATAATTAAAGTTATATTTCCACGCTACATCTTAAAACTTGCACACTACCAAAAGCTGGTTATAATTAAAGTTATATTTCCACGCTAGATCTTAAAACTTGCACAGCAGATCAGGAAGGAACTATGACCTTGTTCCACTGGTGGGTACTTAATACTTATGATAGTCAGAAAACCGTGTTAAGTAGTTACTTCTCTGGAGAAGAGAATGTAACCCCTCATTTTGTGGTATTCACTTCCACCCCATTTTTCTGTGTTATTCGAGATGACCAGGAAATACTTTATAAAAGTTCTACGGAAAGGGTGTGGGATTCCAGTAATTTTACAATACAACCATTGCGTGATAGTGTAAATGTACCGGAGTAATAGCTGCAAGTGTTGATTAATAAAGTTTCAGGGAACTTGATGTTTAGTACCACTATGATGATTTCATTCTTCACAATTCTTTATCATGTTTATAATGCAAATGAGTTAATATAATAGTAAGAATCAGGAATGATGACTGTGCATCATGTATATATATCATTCTACAAGTACAAAGGATAACAAACTCAGAGGCAATTTGCACTAACTTAAGTAAATGCCACTTGGGAGTGCTAAATGATGTGATTTTCAAGGTTAATTTATCAAAGGCATCGAATATTTACACTTTATTCAATCATCATGCATTACCTTACGTTAAATACATAACTAGTTAGCAAATCTCAGTTAAATAAAGGTAGCCAGGTACAGTGAAGCAGTACCTAACACAAGACAACATACCACTGCATTTGTTTTGAAGTTTGTGAATCTCGTCGTGGAGCCCGTGGAGAGTTTGCGCGTGTTCCGCCTGCATGAACCGCATACTGCTCTCTGTGTTCTGCAGCTTTTCCTGCACTTGTGACAGTAACGTCGACATTCCTACCTTAACAGTACTGGTTACTGGTTACTGGTTACTGGTTACTGGTTACTGGTTACTGGTTAGTGCACAGGTTTTCAAGAGTTTTGATAATAATTCAAAGCTCAACTGCTAGATAAGTAGATATTCTAATTCAAGGGGTGCAGCATTTAAAATAAGCCAGCTTGCATTTTCAAGTTCTAACTTGGGTAACACCTAATTAGCACTAGTTAGTCCAGAAATTAAACATTTTAAGCAAAAGTGACGAATTTTCAATTTTTGACCGTATCAAAGTAAAAATATATAAAAGAGAATAATTTTTTGAAATTTGTCAACATAATCATAATCATATGTCTTGTGATCATATGATCAGTTTTTTGCATGACGATTTTCCGTACAGCTAGTTTTTATCACGTGCTGCAATCACGACACTAGACTTGGTTAAAATAATATAACTCTTTGGTTTCACAACAGCAGTGAGGTACTCTCAAAACTATCAATTACTAAAACTTAGCACAGTATAACATTCCGAATCAGGTTGCATAATCATTAATTATAAACCATTTACTCTTAGCTTTTCCAAAATAATTCTGTTACTTTTTCCTTACACATCAGTACATATATAAATACCTTTACATAGTTATAAAACATAGGTCTCGTGTTTTCAACACTACTGCAGTGACGTAACAGTCAACATGTCTGTTGATTAATTGACGTGAACAAACTCCTTAGGTCACCATGCCAACTGTGGTTTAACGTCTTTCAATTCAGCTAAAAGCACTGAATTCTCATTGGTCGGGTCTTTGTATATTACACGGAAAGAATTCCTCCGAATTTGTTACAAGAGTAGCCAGGAAGAATAGATAAAGGATGACTTTAGTTGAGCGTTTGCACCAATAGGGAGCTACTTATAAGTATAAGGTAGACGTGATTGGTTCAAATACTAAATTCTACATGACTTCAGCACCTACGTGGAGCGAGAGAGAGAGAGAGAGAGAGAGAGAGAGAGAGAGAGAGAGAGAGAGAGAGAGAGAGAGAGAGAGAGAGAGAAAGAGAGAGAGAGATAGAGAGAGAGAGAGAGAGAGAGAGAGAGAGAGAGAGAGAGGGCTGGGAAGTAACTGACTCCGAAAGTATCACCCTAGGCTGGGTCCGTTAGCACTACTCACCTCACACTTTGGAGGTTCATATTCAGCATGTTTTTCCTAGTACCAGCATCTGACTTTGCTGCTTTTTTTTCCGCTGCAGAATAGTTTCCTTTGTTTTTAAGACAATTATTGTAACATCTTAGAACTTCTTGTGTGTGCAATTTTTGTTGATATACTTTACTTACCATTACGTACCATATATGGAAAGCAGTAATTATCCAGAAAAAAACAATGCCTGAAATTTCCAAAAACAAGACACTTTCCTTACACTAAACTTAAACAGTATTCGGTTAATATGTTTCAATAGTTGTAGCCCATAAATGCAATCAGAAACATTTTTCAAGGTACAAGTATTTAATGTTTATATTCCTCACAGAACTGAAACTGTTAAATATCCCCAGTTAGCACCAAACTAAAGCTCACAATGAACCTCTGCTCATGTGTTATTCTGGTTATTCTCTCAGCTTGTTCTGCAGGCGAAATATTCGGTATTTAAAATTCAATGGTTATTATCACTGTTATTGATGCTACAAACGTTACAAATGAAAATTGTAAGTAGATTAAATTGGTAATTTAATAGTTTACAGATACGAGAGGTTATATCTAAGGTAAAATTTGCAGGTATGAGACCTGGTACACATGACCATTGTCCCAGACTTAAAAGGGATAAAGTTTGTACGTCCGCGTCAGGAAGTGGAACTCTCATCTGCCCCAAAGAGGTAAGTGTGCCTTCTTATGTCTATCCTTATATATTCCAGGTCAGTATGCTGTCAGCTGTGATTACAACTTGTTCAGTCATTTAGGAACAGACAATTGAGCCGAGTTAGTTGTTGATCTCTAACTATAACATGTAACTTCTCAGGCACCTTACATTAAAGCTGTATACTTTGAGCGTTGCGCTGCACAAAAGTACGTCCCATTTGGAGTAGACTGCATGGGAACGATAGATTGGAAAAATCCAGATTGTGATACGAATGGAGACTCGAGCCACCGTTAAACAAAAAGTGCTCAAGAATTTTAGAACAGTTTATTCTATTTGTAGATAATCAAAGATCAGCAAGATCATTAAATTTTAATTTGTTACTGATTTCAAACCATATGTTATTTTCTATAACCACTGACCAGATTATGAACAATTATAAATTTACTGGTTATGTTTGAAATATTCTGCTGGATGGAGAATTATTAGTCAATAATCAGATGTTGCAATTTAATTATTAACAATTATATTAACAATTCCTATTATGATTTCAGATAAAATGAATGACTCAATATAGATAATGTGTTTTAATTTAAAATATAGTGAATCGCACAAGATTAGGTATTTGATTTTGAAAGGGAGAAAATAATCTATTGTAACTCCACAATACGAAATGAGAGATGAAAAAATAATAACAAAAATAACAGAGCACACTCAGAATATTATATTCAACAATATTAAATCATTATAGGAACCTAATTTGTGGCTTGATCGTTATGTTAGGGCTATTCTGTTAGCTGATGCTGACAGGCACCGCATGGGGCAGAGGCTTAGGACCATTACACTGAAGGCTTACAATGACCCTTTTTGAACCCCATGGCAGTGCTAGTTTTACTCAGCATAATCGATCATGTAAGGTAGATTTGTCAATCCACAAAAACTATTTTGGGCAAAAGGTATTAAAGTAAACTTGTAACGTACTCTACAGAGCTCAATAAAGGGGAACAGGTTGCTGAACTGCTCATGCTCTTCAAACTGTTTTCAGTGTCAGCCTGCCTTTCATTTGCATCAGGTCATGTCACAGGTCTTATCACGTGTTTCGTGGACGAGAATCTTATCTGTTTATAATATTCAAGCTGATTTCTAAGTTGTATATTTATTAGCTGTGTTACAAGTGGCCACAAACCTTAATATTAGGAGCATTTTTACTGCATTTTTACTGCATCACATTGAGGACGAAAGTTACGTATTGATTGACTGTTTGCTCTACTCCTCAGTTAGGGAAAAATTAAATTTCCATCCCCAAAACATTACTGACCTATCCGGTTTGCTCTCCACAAAAAACTCTTGATCCTACCACACTCACTGCCACAGCAAGAGCAATCCATTCAATTCTCTCTGTGAACGAACAATATACAGCCTATTATAAGAGCCCAGATTTCCACTCAAATACTGGCAAGTGGATAATGCTATAGGACCTTAAAATAAAATTGAACCATACAAACTCTATTTATTTATCTTTTAAAAAACTAGCATTATATAACATTTCTAAATTATCCCTACACATTTGTAAATAATTAGAATTGTGTAACTTAAATTATTTCAGAATTACAACTATTGTGTACTCAATAAAGTAATTATCACTTTTGTATCCTTGTATCCTTGTATCCTTGTATCCATAGATGTAATTTAGATTATGATCAGACAGTGGCCTAACGTTTATATGGTATGCAAAAATTAGACCATAATCACTCATGGAACAATATCCAATGCAAACTTATACCTAAAATGTAACTCGGTAAAGCTACCAGATCGTGTCCCTAAAGAAGCTCCTAGGTCAAATCTTGCATAGTGCTGATGACTCCCCCGCAGCATTAGCGTTAAAGTTTGCTGTCACAACAAACTGTAATAATCTTACTATATATAAAGCGAGACGATATATATATATTTATTTATCCGTGCCATTTTACTGACACCACGGCATCAACTTTAACGCGAATTTCCGCAAAAATCGTAAAAGATATACAACTGAAACTTTTTTGACTGGGTCAAATGCTTTAATGGCCTTCAAATCAGCAGGAAAAAAAATTAAAAATTGGCCAAGGAATAAGAATTTTAGTGCCCAAAATTTGGACTCCCAAGTGGTGTCAAAAACGCGAATTAAATAGGTAATAATTATTTTATTCTCTCGAGCCTTGACACCACTTTAGGGTAGACGGGTTCCTGCTAGTACATATAAAGGGCGCGCATCGTAAGAATTTGTTTTATAAGATTATTGTGAATGATTTGACCCTGAGAGGTTTAAAATTCAACTCTTTGAATGATATTAATAAGCTTAAGATATTAGCCGATGATAGAGTTGCTTGGAAAAACAAATTTTTACTTTAGCTGTCTTGATCTGTATTGATCACAAAGTTGTTGGTTTTTTGAATATTTTAATGGTGTAAAGTGTAAAAAGTTTTTTAATAATAAACACTTTGAAAAGGAGCATACAAACCCATTTTAAATAAACTAAAAATTCTAATTGTGCAAAACTTGTACAAATATCATGATTGCAGTTAATTGACGATGTCAATTCATGGCAGCTCGGCGCGGCACAGTAGCGCATCTCGCCGATCTAGCTGTGAGAAGCCTTATTGAGTGCGCGGCGCGGCACAGTAACGCATCGCGCTACAAGATTGCAGCTGCATTTCAGAATTCTCTAATATTATCAAACACCACTGCCCATACTCCTTTTATGAGTCCATCAAAATTTCAAACCGTACAACGAGTTAAACAGGAATTCTTCTAAATAAAAAATACCTTTTTGTTTAATGCAACTAAAATTTGGAATACTGTTCATTAAACAATTTTTTAACAAAAAAATTGATCTTTTAAACAAGTGATTTTACTTTCCAATTTTGCTACACGTTGTCAGTTGTATATTTCTTTCTCGCACCCAAAGCGTGCACTCCAGCCGGCTTGTAGGTTTATAACCTACCAGGACGCGCGCCGAACTGGACTCGTCGACGGTACTAATATTTGGAACAAATATTTTACGGGTATCACCCGTTAATTTTGACACTATATCCACAGTTATTCACCATGGATTTGTTTGTTATTAAATAGTTTTTCATAAATTTTTGGATTTAGATTAATTCGATGTAATGGGTCCAAGTTACTGCGGACATAGTTCACTATGTTTTTACTTGATACATGTTACGTATCCCAAATATCAGAGATATATATATATATATTTTCCGCCTTCGGCGGCGCGCGCTTCGCGCGCGAAAAGTGGCATGCAACGTATGTCAAGTTTTTACCGTGTTTGGATGCCCATCATATTTTACAGATGGGGGCGATATTTTGAACGATTCTATTTTATATTCATCTATTGCTGTACTCTGTAAAATTTGAAAAGTATTTAATAAAAAACAGCGGGCCGGCTGCCATGCGCGCGATCAAAAGTAAAACAAAATTTAAGTAAAACAAAGTTTAAATTTTAATTGTTTTGTCATAATACAATGAATAATAATATCATAATAAACAAAGTTAAACTTGAACATCCGATAATAAACTCATGAAAATTAGATATGCTATGTAAAATACACTTTTTACTATATATTATTCGAAAATTCATCCCAATCATAAATTTCTATCAGCGTGGTGCTAGTCTGTAGTCATTTATTACAATGACGGCTAACTAAATGAATGCAAAAACTAATGAATTCAACAATAAACAAAAATTCCAAAGCAGAAGTAAAAGTTATTTTTAAAATATTTTATTAACTGACTTGTATACTAAATGTTTAAATTTCCTAACTCGATTATAATCCATAATGCAAATGCTTTATTTCACATTGTAGCCCTGCCGCACATGAGTGCAATGACAGGGGTCACGACGTGATACAAGTAATTCCACGTTGTCATAAGAAAAATGTTAGTTGCAGCATGTGTCAACTCTAATTTATGATTTTGACTTCTCAAGGGATCTCAAAATTGCAGAATAAATTTGACTTTGAGATGTTCAGCGTCCATAGGACAGGCTTTCTGCTAGTAATTATAAGAGTGAAGGTAGTTAGTGGTTATCAAAGGTTCCAGTTGATAACTGATATGACTGACTCGTCATTTCATTGGGACAACGTGGAGATGTAACATTCTTTGCAATTATTTATAATCGGAAAGTTGCAGATTTGATCAGTTACAGGAATTGATCAGGATCATGATAAGTAATCACTTTGTCAGCTGGGAGAGTTTGCATGAAAGTCTATAGTGCATCCCCTGGGCCGTATCATACCATGAAGTTGGTCTAACTATAGACAACTTTCCAATAAAAAGGTTTCGTCCACAAATTTCCTAGGATATATAATAAACAAGTTCAACCCTGCATCATGGGAAGATCACATTGAAGCCCTTAAGCGATCTCTAAATCATTCTACATCCACCTTATGTTAACTTCACTGCTCCCTTCTAATTTGTACATCGACAACTATATTATACCTCGTATAATAATAATAATAATACCTCGTTTGGATCTCGCTTACTGTATATCTTTCTGGGGTGGTGCTGCAAAGCAAGTTCTTTGTTTGGAGGACTTTGCCGCTTCGATGCGCCGTGCGAACTATCATTCTTGCTTCGTAGATCTACTTCACAGAGCAATGATTTCAAAGGGTTGACATCGTCCATCAAGCTCTTTGTTTACTGCCCTAAAGACAGAAGTACTGCCGCGCCAATTAACATCAAGTGCAATTTTTGCCACTTTTTTGTATAAAATATCGAAAGAATTAAGTTTGGTTTTGGCAGCGCTACACCAAATAATATCCATGTAATTAAATTGAGGAACTGCAAGCATAAGAGCGTTTACAATTTTTTTTCTATATTTCAAGTATTTTTTTGACCTATGTAATGCTCCTACTAGCAATTTTAGATTTCACATAATCAATATGATCCTGAAAGTTTAATAGGTTGTCTATTATCAAACCTAAGTATTTATGTGATTTGGTTTCTTCTATGTGAATACTGCCATCTTCCGAATCAAGAGGCATCGACAGGCTATCAAGATTAGGACATTTTTCGAATACTATAAATGAGGATTTTGAAACATTCAGTCTCAGCTTATTAATTCTAAGCCATTCATATACAATCTTCATATCTTCTACTACATTTTCATACAAGCCTCTAGTGATATTATCAAGATGTAGTGCACTGTCATCTGCAAATAAATAAGCAGTAGACTGTTTGCAATTACTACTAATATCATTAATGAATAAGCTAAAGAGAATTGGGCCTAATATACTACCCTGTGGTACACCTGTGTTGACCGGAAGCAGTGGGCTCACATTACATTGTATTTTGGTGCACTGCTTTCTGCCACCCAGGTAGCTTGAACCACTTGATGACAAAGCCATCTACGCCATAGAACTTAAGTTTTTCAACACAACCTTATGGCTAACGGTGTCAAAGGCTTTTTTATGTCTAAAAATACAATTGTAGGTTTCTTTAATTATTCTTTAGACATAAATATTTTGTCAAATAAATTTAGCATAAGGAAAGTGGTTGAATGGTCTTTCCTGAATCTATACTGATGGTTGGTGAGCAGTTAATTTGTTTCAACGTACTTGGTGAGCTGTTGGTTAACAAAATATTCTATACATTTCCCAAGTAGGAGAGTATGGATATTGATCGATAATTATTTGATCATTAGGGTCCCCGTTCTTGAGAATTAGAGTTACTGATGCAATTTTACATGCCATCGGCATAATTTGACTTTTCATGATTAGATTTACAATATGAGCTCAATCATTTCAGGGATGATATACTTAATAAGCATAATATCATTTATATTATTGATTTATCTGATGGTATACTGAATACATATTCTTTGACCTGTTCAAAAGTCACCTCAAAACAGAGAGTTTGCACTCTGTGGCATATAATCTAGAAAGTTGTCTGGGTCGTTCTCCTGAATTGACTCTTGTATGATTGTTCCAACTGTGGCAAATTGCAGGTCAACTCTGTTGACATTTAAGTTTCTTGGAAAGGTGTTTCTCATTTGGTTCACCATGTATTAATAAAACAAAAGTTTATAAAACAAAAGTTAAATTTATTACCAATTATTCAATCAATACATATCATAAATATTGCACATTGACTATTGTCATTGAAGAAAAAATGTTACTCACAAGTTCAATCTTTGGGTTTAGCTCAAGCTGTCATGAATTTGGAACTGCTGGAAAGTTTTGGAAATAGTTATCCTGATGAGGCTGATGGCATACTTGAAAGTGGCAGCATGACTCTTACCTGCGCATTCAACAGACACGGTTCACTTTTAGCAGCTGGTTCGAATGATGGACGAATTGTTATATTTGATGTCATTACTCGTGGTATCGCAAGATTTTTACAAGCTCATGTTCATCCCGTTTGCTCCTTAAGTTGGAGTCGGAATGGATTTTTATTGTTAAGTGGGAGCATGGATTGGACTATCAGTGTATGGGAAGTATTGAAAGGTGAATGTTTGTACAGATATCGATTTCCATCACCCATCTTAAGGGTACAGTTTCATCCCATTGAGACAGACGTTTTTCTTGTGTGCCCTATGAAACTTAGACCTGTCTTAGTCAAGATAAAAGGTGAGCAAAAGCACATAAGCTTTGATGAAGAAGGAGGTGAGCAGAATATATTTGCATCATTTGATCGCCTTGGACAAAGGATTTTTACAGGAAACAGCAGAGGTAAAGTTTTGGTTTTTGATTCAAACTCTTTAGAACTCCTTACCTCATTTCAAGTAACAACTGGCTCTAGTACAACGACCGGAATAAAGAGTATAGAGTTTGCTCGAAAGGGCAGCAACTTTTTGGTCAACTCTTCTGACAGAATCATTAGAGTTTATGATGGAGATCTTGTCAAAGCAACGAAAGGTGAACCACAGCAAGTGGAACCAGTGCAAAAACTACAAGATCTAGTCAATCGAACTCAATGGAAGAAATGTTGTTTTAGTGGTGATGCCGAGTTCATTTGTGCTGGTTCTGCCCGTCAACATGATTTATATATATGGGACATGGCACATGGTAATTTGGTTAAGATATTACATGGACAAAAAGGAGAACACCTGCTCGATGTAGTTTGGCATCCTAATCGACCAATAATTGCATCAGTTGCCAGTGGAGTAGTTTCTGTTTGGGCACAGACACATGCAGAAAATTGGAGTGCATATGCTCCAAATTTCAAAGAATTGGATGAAAATGAGGAGTACGAAGAGAGAGAATCAGAGTTTGATATTTCAGATGAAGATAAAAGTGTTGAAGACAAAGATGAAAATAGAGAAGACAACATAGATGTTGATGTAGTAACCTGCGACCCTATCAAAGCTTATATTGACAGTGACATTGAAGATGAGGAGGAGATACTCACATTTATACCTATTACTCCAGAAATTGAAGATCCAGAGGATGGATTCTGGGCAATGACTGAGGAAGAAGTCACAAACTTAGAAAAAATGAAACAAGAAGAAAAAAAACATCAAGAAGAACTCCAGAAGAATACTAAGATTGTTGACGTTAAATATGAGGGACATGAAATCCCAGAGAATCCTCCAGAGTTGGTGACTCTTCCTAAAAAGAGTGAACCGAAAGTAAAGATTCCCAAACCCACCGCTCCAAAGCCAACTAAAGATCAGCTACCACCACCTCCCATTGACATGCCACTCGACATTCCTCATATAGACAAAACAAGTCAGCTTTTTACTGAGGAAAGGATTCATGAGGATGATAACCAGATGAACTGATGTTAACCAACAGAATAAATTATAACACAAATTTCTAATATTAAGACTATGTATTTGAAAAGGTGCTGCTTTTGTTGATTTATATCAGAGAGAATGAACAGATCTAATGTTGTCAAACTTCTTTCAAGTTATCCAATTTTATTAATTTGTTTCTATATTTCATCTTTACTGTATTTGTTAAGTTTGTAATGTAATTTTAATTATCATTTATCACTTTCTGTCTCTCCTCTTATTCATAATTCTAATTTATCAATTCCATTCTCATTTGTGCTGCAGGCAGATATAGAACACAGCTTGACTCTACAGCTGCACTATTTTTAATCAATATCATAATTACGAATTATAAATCCTGACTTTGATCTGTTTTCTACCCAGAATGTGAGTGCTATGACAAAGAGAAAACTGGGGGAGGAAACACCAACTACAGAGCCGTCTGTGTTGTCGCCGTCACCCCTGTTCAGTCCTGGTCTTACCGAGCGCCAACAGATAGCACTAGCCATGAAGTTGTCTGGGGAGTCCTCACAGACCGATAACTTTAACTCACCTCGTCCATCTAAAGTATGGGTTTGTATTTTTATAATAGTCCTCAAATTAGCCAACTCTGATCTGCTATTTAAACCTGAAGTCATAATTATTAATTACTAGTTACTAATTGAATAATTACTTCAGATCAACAAAACGAATAAGCACGGCGAGAGTCCGTTACAGATAGCCGCAATAAAGGGGGATCTAAAGCAAGTTAAGCTGCTGATTAAGCAAGGTGCTCAAGTCAACACCCGTGACCATGCAGGTAACATACCCGGCACTATTCAGCTTTCAGCTTTTTAGGTGTGGTAAAACATGATGTGATCCCACAAAGAGGTCATTAAACTCTAATCAGTTAAAATGCAGGAAATATGATATTCTGCAATTGTGCAACCGCTGCAACTAAGAGCCTCTAATATTTGTTTTCATTACTACAAGCAGCTGTTTTGTTACTACTTTTTTACTGTCGGTTTCACTCTTGCAAGGCACCTGAACTGAAAAGGGACTAATTTAATCATCATCTGCAATTACGTAATAAAATAATTTGATTTATTGTATTGAAATGATGCTAAATAATACGGCAGGTTGGTCGCCTTTACACGAAGCAGCTTGCAAAGGTTATCTGGATGTGTGTAAGATGTTGATAAAGAATGGGGCTGAAGTTAATGTACACGGGTACTGTGATGAAACCCCCTTACACGACGCCGCCTTTAACGGCCATCCTAAGGTGAAATCTTTAATAATTAACAAAAATAAATATAGTTACAAGAATTGCCATTTATGGAACGATCACTGGATATCATACGTTAATTATAAAAGATTCAGTATATTGACCAATACAATATTTAAAGTCAGTTGAAGATTAATAATGACTGTTGCATAATATAATTAGGTGGCTGCAATGTTAGTAGTGGAGGGGCTTGGAAACTTTTACGCAATATTTACGGAGGCGGAGGGGGTCTTAAATTGCTAAAATCTTGCTTATGTAATTATATGTGAGTTACGATCCCTATTCATTTGATCGATTTACGCCATTGAAGGATGGCGAAAAAAGTTTCCACTTTCTCATTTTAAATCGAATTATTTTTCTCTGCAGATAGTGACATTGCTGTTACAAAACGGAGCAAACCCACTTCTTAAAAACAAAAGCGGTAAAGTCCCCCACGAGATTGTGGACAATGAGCCGATCAAAGAGATGTTACTTATCGCTGTCGCTACTGCAAGGGTGTCTACAACCGTTAAAGTGGAGGGTGACCCACTGGCTACTTACAATGCTGAAAAGGTAACTGTTCTTTTTTCAAATTATTTGTAGTTAATGGTACTTTTCAGTAAAATATATGAACGTTAAGGGTATTAAAGTTATTGTAACATTTACAATAACAGTTATTAATTTTACTGTGAGAGGTAATCTGTGTGACATAATCTAATAACCTCCACAGTGCAAACGGTTACAATTAAAACTGTGAGAGTGGCGGGTCAGTCATATTGTTGCATTATTCAAGTGATACCCCTGCTCAAAGTACTCATAATCAATTTTTGAATATTTTTATTTACATTATTTGTAACTATATTTGAACAACTCAATTGGTTCGTTTTGAACGGAGCAATTTTCTTGTTCAATATGTTCGGCAGTTTGTCACAGACTGTAACGGTGTATCAGTGTTCCCCAGTCGCTAGAAGTTAGCGAGCGGTTGTCCTTTGTCATCGTCAAAAATCCATTGCAATTGTCCTTTTCATCCTTATGACTTCTTTGTAGAAAATTACTTAATTTTTCTAATGATTGCATAAACGTTCCGGGATTTTGTAGTATGTCAACAAATTTACAACATAGTACATACACGTTTTTAAACCCGCCGGTTGATTTAAGTTGTGTGATTTTTAGCCGGTTTATTGAATCATTCCTCGACACTTTGCTGTTTTTATCCTTAATCTTGTCCTTTTTCTCTTCTGCACTCTCCTTTGTTTTAAATTCTGGCAGAACAAATAATTTGAGTTAATGAGTATAACGTAGAAATGTCGATAACTGAGTCTATTCACTGAGTCTATTCAGAAAATATCAGAAACTTTTTGAAATAATCATAAAATGAGACACTACACAACATAACCAGATTACTTAAAATACGAAAAGAAACGAAGGTAAAAACCAAATAATGCACTGAGTACATGATGTGAAGGACTCCTGTGTAATGTGATACTGTGTGGTGCTGCCCTGTCAAATTTAGTTGCATCACACTAGGAGGAGTAGTAATAAGTACCAATATTAGTGATACATATTACTACAGTACAAGTATTATCTGATCAACTGTGATCGATAAATGGATGTCAATCACGGGACATAACGTACTTTCAGCAACAAAACAATTTTCAAATTTCAAATTGTTTTAATTGTTTATCGTATGGACTGGTGTTTCGTCTATTGGTTGAGATTCTGCTGATTGGTCCAACACGTTATCATAAACAATGGTTAATAATTAGTGGACCCATGAACAGGGAAACCGTATACTTGTCACAACATTGTATCAGATATCGGTCACCAGGTGGTACCCTGTATCATATAGGGTCTCTAACAATCGTGTACAAGTTACCAAATATTGTACATCAAACATTTGCTTAAATTTAATAAGCTTACAATAACTTTCTTTCACAATAACTTTCTTTCACAACAAAAATGTTTGTGAGTTTTGACACGTGACCCTACTTCAGCTGGAGCAGGACAACAGGAATGTAACATCTGAGTTGGTCAAGGAGTCGACCGTCACCCCTAAACAGCTGTTCAAATCACCTGTAAAACAGGAGAGAAGTATGTACTGCCCAATAATTGATGATTTCAAAACTTTTTAATGTACAGTGAAGCAATCATGTCACTCATTATTCTAAACAATTGTCCTCTCTTTCTCTCAAACATGTCTCTATATATCGCCTAATTGTTCAGGTCTACCCAAAAGTGAGTCTCCTCCCGCCTCCTCTGCAGCCCCCTCCTCCGCTCCTCTGCTTCCTCCTTCCTTCCAACTAGAACCTGAAGAACTTCCACCGGAGGTGAAGGTGAAGCTGGAGCCAGAGGAGGTAAAAGAAGAGGAGATAACAGTTGATTTAACACCCATTAAAGAAGAAGTAGAAGAAGAAAAGGAAGAGGAAAAGGAAAAGAAAGAAGTTGAACGACCACCGTACTTCAAGTACAGTTACATGATCCCTGAGTCGAATTGCTCTACATCGATCACACAAAACGGTCCAATCACGCTGTTCGTGGCCCGAAACAAACGCCCTGTGAAGCGAGCCCCCATGTTGGAGTGTAGATCACCTCCAACTACCAGATCCAGAGCTGGGGGTAAACCTGTTGATAATACTGAGGCAGAGGAACTGAAATCTCTGAGCGAGGGGTTTGTACTTCATTGTTGTATTTAAGGGGGCCGGGGGGGGGGGGGGGGGGGGGGGGGGGGGTGTTGTATTTAATATGTTCTTAGTATTATGAGGATCGAGATGTTAAATTTTAAATTTCATCACTCCTAATATTGGCTGCTTCACTCAACCGATTGATTTAGCATAAGATAAAACATATGTTAGCATCTCAACAGTGTTTACTAGCTTCTTGAACATGTACACTTTTCCAGGCGCTATTTATTAAAGTCAGCCGTGGTAACGCCGCGGAAAAAGTGGCTTCACCAGCATGCCACCAAGAAACGGCACATGGGCGACATCTACGAGCTGCAACGTCGAGGAACACCAGCCGAGCCACCCCTTCCCTCCTGGATCACCAGCTCAATGCTTCACACCAAAAAGTACCTGCTTCAAAGCTCGGTCAGTGTTTATATTTTAATCCTCCTCGTGTCCTCTTTTATTATATGTATCGTGGGGGACTCTGTCACAGTGTGATGGTTTAGTAAATGTAGCGCGCGATGATATTCTTGTGACTAAACTTGTATCTTTCTTCGCGCGAAGATTTACAGATTTCGATCGATCAGTGCAGCTACACTGTACAGTGCACATACGTTTACATTTAGTCTGATTTGATTTTAAAATCCAATGCTTTACCTCTTCAAACATCAACAAGCACCTCATAGCACTGACCTTATTTCACCCCAGGTGGCAGGTAAGATAGATGAACAGACAGAAGAAAGACCTCACACTGAACACATACCCCCCATTATGAAAGAAGAAGTGGGGCAGATGAAACGCGACAACTGCCTGTTATCGTGTAAACACGTCGCAGACAAAGTAAGCTTTCATCTCTTCGAGTGTGTGGATGATGTGATGATAATTCCTGGCACTCCCCCAAATATTCCGTGCGATGATTTATACCTTTTACTGGAGGTTAATTACCTAATCACCTATGTAATACTCCTCGTGTGCAGGAGAGACTGTTACAGCAGCACGACCAGTCAATGCTCCGTGTCCGGCGACAATCCATCATGAAGCATCCTACACCGAGCGCCTGCAGTATTCTGTTACAGCAGCAGAGTTGTGAATATTCCAAAAAACTTCAAACTGTGTCGTATGACGTGAACAATGAACAGTTGCTTCTGGCTATGGGAGAGAAGGTAATGTACACACTTACCTCGCGTTGCGGCAAAGAGCTGCTAGGTGGCTGTGGACTAAACTTTTAGGTGGCAGACCTTTGTTGCTGGGGTATCCGTCAATATATCGGAATCCCTCTTTTGTCAGACTTTAGCCAAAATTTCGTTTAATGGTTTTTGCGTTTATTTTTTCAGGGAAGTTTAGATTTTTAGTCTGATTGAAACATGATACCACCAGTGGCAAGACCTCCAGGTTCAGCTTACTATGTTTCTCCTGATTACTGTCAGATCAGCAAAAGTATAATAACCTGATAAAATGTTCAGGTCTTGAAGACGTTTACAACCTTAGCAGAAAAGCTCCATCGGCGTCACCAACAAGAAGCTGACACACAATACGCCACTCAGCGTTTTAGTTGGGTCAACAATATACACAAATACGGTCTCTACGATATGCCCATATTAGGTTAGTTGGGTTAACTAATACGGTCTCTACGATATGCCCATATTAGGTTAGTTGGATTAACCAATACGGTCTTAACGATATGCCCATATTAGGTTAGTTTGGTTAACTAATACGGTCTTAACGATATGCCCATATTAGGTTAGTTGGGTGAACTAATACGGTCTTAACAATATGCCCATATTAGGTTAGTTGGGTTAACTAATACGGTCTCTACGATATGCCCATATTAGGTTAGTTGGGTTAACTAATACGGTCTCTACGATATGCCCATATTAGGTTAGTTGATCCGGGATAATTGTCCAATTATCGTAAACCATTGCATCGTCCATATTCCATACTCTATAAGCTATTAGACTGTAAAGGTTCTGCGAGTGAAGTAAATGTACATTGTCTCTAGACGCCATGAAGCTCTTTTATCTCTTAAAGTGCTTTAAAATTCGAGTTCTTTCCTGTTTTGGATCTGTTCGTTCATCGAAAATTTGATCGTTCGTTGAAAATATTTCCATCATATCATCAAAGCTTGTAAAAAGTAACTTTTAAAGTTTACCCAATATAATTAGGTGGTTCTGAATGTGCCATATTTGACAGGTAACCTAGACCTGTGGGTGGAAAGGGTGATAGTGACCAAGTTAAAACCTCAAGTTGAATACTACGACGAGTACGATCCTTCAGATAGTGACGAATCTAACAGATAATATTCTTTGATTCCTTCGACTAATGATTGTTTGCAGAAAACTCTAGATTGTTGTGAGCACACTGCTTGTTGTTCGTCGAGGGACCTTCTTTGATTGGGTAGCTTTTGATTATCAAAATTAAAACCAAATACATCAGCGGCAGTAGGGCACTTGAAATAGCGACTGATTTTGATTTGAGTATTATGGGAATTGGTTACCAAGGTAACGAATATGTGCCTGCCTTCTGATGTATATGGCTTATTGGGGTTGACAAATAAAACGATTAACTAGGAATTAGGAACGTAGACAATAGTAGTACGGAAATGTGTTTTTTGACTCCTTAAATTCGATTGTAAATTAAACTAACTTATTTAATCGTGATTCCTAGCGTCCGTTAAATTTCTTGCTCTATTTTCAGAACTAAATTGTGTGATGTTTATATTGTTATACATTGATTCTTTTATTGCTCGCAACTTATTGTTTCAATAAGTGTAAGTTAAAGTTCCACTTCAAGTATAGTTCTGCGATTTGATCAAGTTTCTGAAATTGTTGGATGAATTTGTTTATTGAGCTATCTCTACTTTAATTTATGAAGCTCCGTAGATTCAGACATTACCCCTCTCTCAAATCTAGGTCGAGATGTACAAAGTTGATATAATGTCTTGCGTGTCTGACCCCTTGCTGATCGAGGAGGACGTCTTCAACTTGTGGCTGGCGGGACTTTCAGGTATTTATATTTTCTAAAATCTTCCGCTAAGTTAAAATGAAAAACTTAAATTTTTGGCATTGTATCATTATTCGTTAATTCACGCTATTACATTATTTCCCCGCAGTTGATAAAGCAGTGGACTACAGATACCAGAAAGACTCGTCCTGCTCCTCCTTCGACCGGACCATAGTAACCTTGGATACGGAGGACCAATACCAAACCTTCTCTCTCTTGGAGCCACTTCTCAGGAAACCTCCAGCGTTAGCTTCATCTCCTGTGGTCAACATGCCTTTCATCACCGATACTCTTCTGCAACAGTGGGTCAGCTTGTGTTTTAAACCGTCTTTAGTGATTTATATATCTCACCTTTAAAATTGCTATTCAGAATGTTGACACCTGTTGTGTAACAGTTTGAGTTATTGAATTGTGCTCCTCAATTTTATGAAGACTTGCTACCCGTGTATAATGTACATTATATAATATGTTTGATGATGATATGCTAGATAGTATGCTATATATTAGATATGTTATTGTTATTGGTAGGTATTACTCTCTAGATAGTAGATATGTTAGTGTTATTGGTAGGTATTACTCTCTAGATAGTAGATATGTTAGTGTTATTGGTAGGTATTACTCTCTAGATAGTAGATATGTTAGTGTTATTGGTAGGTATTACTCTCTAGATAGTAGATATGTTAGTGTTATTGGTAGGTATTACTCTCTAGATAGTAGATATGTTAGTGTTATTGGTAGGTATTACTCTCTAGATAGTAGATATGTTAGTGTTATTGGTAGGTATTACTCTCTAGATAGTAGATATGTTAGTGTTATTGGTAGGTATTACTCTCTAGATAGTAGATATGTTAGTGTTATTGGTAGGTATTACTCTCTAGATAGTAGATATGTTAGTGTTATTGGTAGGTATTACTCTCTAGATAGTAGATATGTTAGTGTTATTGGTAGGTATTACTCTCTAGATAGTAGATATGTTAGTGTTATTGGTAGGTATTACTCTCTAGATAGTAGATATGTTAGTGTTATTGGTAGGTATTACTCTCTAGATAGTAGATATGTTAGTGTTATTGGTAGGTATTACTCTCTAGATAGTAGATATGTTAGTGTTATTGGTAGGTATTACTCTCTAGATAGTAGATATGTTAGTGTTATTGGTAGGTATTACTCTCTAGATAGTAGATATGTTAGTGTTATTGGTAGGTATTACTCTCTAGATGCTGAAGTTGCCCGGGAGTTGGTGGGTAGAGGACAGAAGATGACCGCCAAGCTACGTAAGGATCTAGACACAATCTCTGATAAAACTGGAATACCGCTGAAGAGCTGTCTAAGGCAATATGATAACATTAAACGTATTTATAAGGTACCTTTGATGATGTAAACTTGTTCTATGATTACATAGTAAATGTGACTAAAATAATTTAAATTGCGATAAAATGTGTAGAACTTCATTTTCTCCTATATCTCCAGTTTGGTCACATGGTCACATGTTTGGTCACATGTTTGGTCACATGTTTGGTCACATGGTCACATGCCCCCCCCCCCCCCTCAGGAGGTAGATGAGAAGGATGGGAAGGTATCTCAGAACATACAGCGTTACTACGGTCTCAACCCCACCCTGTGCCAACAGTACGCGGCTATTATATACGTGTTGGATAACAGGATAGACGTTGCTCCCAGGAAGTAAGATCCCCCTTCTTACATATTATATTGAGATTTGTGAGATCAGTGTAGTCGGAGGTTATATAAATTAGACGTGAGACTAATTAAGTTGAACTATTTCCACACTTACAGTGAACTCTAATTTTACAGGATCCCCAATCTGACGTATCCCGCTCTAGTGAAGTGTGTAGTTGTTCTCATGTCGGTAAGTGTTGGGGGAGGGGGGGGGGGGTTACGTCATCGTGACGTCATCGTGACGTATCCCGCTCTAGTGAAGTGTGTAGTTGTTCTCATGTCGGTAAGTGATGGGGGAGGGGGGGGGGGGGGGTACGTCATCGTGACGTCATCGTGACGTATCCCGCTCTAGTGAAGTGTGTAGTTGTTCTCATGTCAGTAAGTGATGACTGATGGGGGAGGGGGAAGTAACTGGACCTTCTTCATATCACTTTTACAGTTGGGGCTTTTTAACCCGACCATGTTCTGTTATCTGTAGCCATGACTCATTCTAGCGATCTAAACTTTGTACGCAACTTAATTCTTAATTATTGACTAATTAAGTAATGTTTATTATACAGGAGTGGTGTAGAATGTCCGAGTAATGTTTATTATACAGGAGTGGTGTAGAATGTCCGAGGAAAGTAATGTTTATTATACAGGAGTGGTGTAGAATGTCCGAGGGAGCCTCAGACATGGACATAGACCGGACCTTCCTCAAGGAACTACATAGTCTGAAAGACAGGCTCTCAGATTCTATGTTGGTTGGAATGGTTAACCACGGCGCTGAAGCTTTCAAAAACAGTCCAGAGTTCCCTAAGAACTTCGGTAAATATTATTTGTTATCAGTGATATGTCAGTTGGGTGTGGTGGTTACATTATATGTGTGTTATGCAACTCATAATCACTCATTAACCTCATATACTCCTTCATAAATTAACCCTGCCAATTGCCTGTACTCTTTATCCTGCCTTCTCCTCAAATTGTTACTTACTCAGCTGTACAGGGAACATGTTGCCCGTAACTTCAACTTGTTTCAATATATGCTCACGCATCTTTTATACTGCAACATGTTCAACTGAATTGTATTGTTGTATCCTTGGAGCAAGAGAATGTGCACAATGCACTCTCCTGAGGTATCTCATAATACATATCAATATATTTTGTATAATATATTTACCTTTGTTCGTCCAAACTTTTACTTTCCACTGAACCGGCAAGTAGTAGGTAGTTTAATTGCAGCTTTACTTAGATCGTTCGTATATTACGTATATTACGTATATTACGTATATAACGTATATAACGTATATAACGTATATTACACATTGTGGCTGTTTAAGACCCCCTCCCCTCCCTAAGCCACTATACACATATTTATTGTGTATAAATTACAAGCTGCTCAGTTGCTGTGTGAGTAGGAGGTACATGCCAGAATTGTTATAACATTTTCGTTAAAGTTTAGATATATTGTTAACGTGTGAAAGCGTTATTTAATATTGTTTCTATATTGTTAACGTGTGAAACGGTTATTTTATATTGTTTCTATATTGTTAACGTGTGAAACCGTTATTTTATATAGTTTCTATATTGTTAACGTGTGAAACCGTTATTTTATATTGTTTCTATATTGTTAACGTGTGAAACCTTTATTTTATATTGTTTCTATATTGTTAACGTGTGAACCCCTTGACAGTGAGCGAGCTAAGGAAGTTGGCAGTGAAGTTGATGAGTATAGGCTACAGTCTGGTGCACACTAAAGACTACACGGATATCTTCATTGACCTGGATGAGATGATCCTGTGCCCCTGGGCTGGTGCTGGACTGTCTTTCTCACATCTGGAGCTAGGTCTGAGCACTCTGAGTGGGTGCTACGTGAGCGCTGTTCAGAACACTGGGTACGTCATCGTGACGTCATCACAAATCTAGACTAGTTTACTTGATCTGGGGTTTCAGTTTTGACCCATGATCAAAGTTTGCCCTTTCAGTTTCATTTATCATTGCTATTGGTGTGTTGCACTACTGTTACCACTGCTTACCACTACTTATACACCTATACTACATGTGACGCAGTGACACCTAGTTAGTATGTGATATTTCAGGTTATCCTCGACAGTACCAGTATTTGACAAGTATCTCCGTTGTGTTTCAAACTGTTTGCTGGTCCTTGCTAACAGGTGAAACAAGCTCAACTAGCTCAACTAGCTCAACTAGCACAACTCCGGTCTGAGACATCCTGATCGGTTTGATTTTATGTCTTTCCTTGATAATATTTGTCAAGCCTATTGGCTAGTTCTAAAGTGATGGAAATGAATGAAGGCCTGTGAATTGGGATTTAAAAGATATTTGTTTGTAAAGGACCTGACGTAAATATATAAAAGTTACTTTTATTTTCTAATAATTTATGTATAATAATTTAAGATCGTGAACATCTATAATTTGATTCGTTGACGTATCGTTTCAATACCTTAATTCATCATCATTATCCGCAAACATTAATAGTCGGGGTTGAAATAAAGTTTAAAGTTCGTCCAAGCCAGTTTCTGTCAGGAACACTATCTGAATGTAGTTTATTTCCAACTTCCAATGTAGTTTATTTCCAATTTCCAACGACCTACAATGTGTTTTTCGTGCATAATAGGTTATTATTATTATATATATTCACCTAGAATATACCCCATATATTGGGTATATTAGAGTTGTAACACATGTGATGTACTCAATACACTAGTCTATGTAAGACAATGATATCACCTTTCTAACTGTGTCATATATTGTTGTTGAAACAATAATTGGACTTTCAAATAACTGTTCGCTAACCAACATCTCTTACATAATAACTGTTCGCTAACCAACATCTCTTACATAATAGCCAGCAGGTATGTGATCATATTCTACAGAATGTAAACTAGGATAGAAGAATGAGTGTCTCTGCTACTCTGTCATGATGCTGACTTTGCTTTTACCCCTCACTCTACTCGCTCACTTCCCCCTCTCTTCAGCACTAGACTTCAACTGGTGCACCAAGACTCCCCCCGGTTTCAGAAAGTGTGGCGAGCTCCAGCAGGAGTACCAGTCTGCTGGTTCTGTTGAGTTCTCATGTTCTCACGACCTTGCTGAGGGAGGGTGTCTGCAGGAGGTGAATGAGGAACCTAACACTGTGGTGTCCGTTAATCCAGGGAAACTTTACCACTCCCAGAGATTAGGCGGGAGATACAAAGTTATACTGGCAGAGGATTACAGCAGTGCTGTGGCTCATACCTACTATCGTTACTACTCAGTCGCAGTGGTCAAGGCTGGCAGGAGACATCTCAAGTTGTTGGATCTAAAAGGGAAGAAGGTTTGTCATGGTCAGTACGATTACCAGGGCTCCACAGGTTGGGATATCCCTATTAGTTACCTCTACACCTATCACAGAAGGTTCAAGATGGATGACAGGTGCAATGTTTTGGACGCAATTAACAGATACTTTGGAGCCTCCTGCCTGCCCGACTCAGGAGGTTCCATTACAGATAACATGAGGCTATGTGCAGCCTGCTCCTCCGGCACCTGCTCTAGAGAGGTTAAATACCGGGGGTATAAAGGAGCGTTCAGGTGTCTGGTGGAGGATGCTGGGGAGGTAGCCTTTCTCACCCACAACACTGTCTCCCAGTGGACAGATGGTCAGAGTACTGAGTCCTGGACAGCAGGTTTGAAGAGCAGTGACTACCGGTTGCTATGTCCGGATGGTTCTCAGGTCACGGTTGATAATTATAACCAATGTTTTATCGGCTGGATGAGACCCAACGCAGTGGTTCTGGGTCAGGATGTGCCAGCCGGGCTCACCACTAAAATTCAGAATAGTCTGAGAAACCCTCCTCTGCGGGCAGCTGAGCGTATTTTCAACATGGACAGATACACTCAGTCGGATGAAGACGTGATATTTTCTGGAGAAACAAAAGAGCTGAGGATAGTGGAGGGTCGAGAACAGGACCCTGGTGAGTATCTGGGGGACACTGTGGGGAGATCGTACCAGTACTCCTATACTCGGGCTATGGACGGTCTGTACTGTGTTACTGGGCATGCTCACACTAATCATGTTAACATTCTGCTTATTTCCCTCTTTTATGTTTTTATTATATTATTTTAAACTGCTGAAATAATTTTGTATAGTGATTATTAGAAGATTTTTGATCAGTGATTATTAGAAGCGTTTAAATCGATTTTTAGACATGTTAAATGGTTGTAATTAATCAATTTTCATCAGATTTCATAACTTTTATTGAAGGATCAATACTTTTTAAATCTTAGAATTTTTAAATTTGATATAATAATAGAAATTTTAATAATTTTATTGATTATATAAGATTTATTTTATCGTTCAGTAATCCAGAATTATTATACTTTTCAGAGCCAGTTACTGCTTCAATTTCTAAATATTCTATTTTTTAACCGTTTAAGATATTGGAATAATTTATTACTATCAGAATAGTCAATCAACTAAATATTTTTATACAATTTACACTATGTAGACTGCTTAGAACGGCCGATAGCTGGCATGTATTTATAAATACTATTAAACTTATATTAATTTATCTTAATGTAATGTTTTTTCTAATGCGTTCGAATTAACTTGAGAATCTCTGCTAGAAATATGACGAATGGTAGATGTTTACCTCCCAATATCAGTTTTATGTTTCAGATTCCTCTCCAGATCCCCTGTTATTGTAAACTGAACGTTTAAACAACTATTTAGTCTACATACCACACATTGCTAACCTCTCCTCCTGTGTAGTAGTATGACAGAGCACGAGGTCATGTGATATGCCAGGTATAGCATGTAGCGGGGGATGATTCATGTCGGGGAAGGCCTCACTTCGGATAGTAGAGTTGCTAGAAAGAGCTCGTATTGAAGGGGATTGGACTCATGTTAGTCAGGTAAGACAAACAAAGACACCGCAGAAAACCCATATATGGCAGAATTAGTTCCAATATAGTGAGTTTGAGAGTGCTCATTCTGAATTGAAGAGAATTCAAGCTTACACTTTACAGGCAACCTCGCTGTATGGCCATTGATTTCCCACCATTTAAGAGAGCTTGTTCCCCATATATAACATAAGAATTATTATAAATATTTGAATTAGTCATAAATGTAAATATAATTACTATAAATATGAATCACATGTAAAATGTAAGACCTGGCTATGTTTAGTACGCGGAACAGTTGCCGAGAGAGTACTCGGTGCTGAAGTTTGTAAGTCTGGGGGAATGTCTGTTGGAGGGACAGCAGAACGGCAAGATCAGTTACAACTCATTACACCTCGCTAAGGACTACATTAACAAGGTAATTATTTAATTGATTAAGTAAATATTATTTATTAGAGTTACGTAAGTTAATTGTGTGGCGTTACTTTTAACCTTGTGCTTTAAGAGAGACGGGACAGGATTGTAATCACTAATTGTAGATTATTAGATTTGAACAACCACTTGTAGTTAAGTAGTTTATATCCAATATTCGATTGTCAAATTTTGTGTAAATTACGGGTCAATTGTCACTTCTGCTCAATTGAGACTGTTTTGAGAGATATTGAAATACGTTTAGGAGGGTAAAAATGTTCCCAGGGGGCTTCACCCCCGCGCCGCGCTGCATCCACCCAAAGATTTTGAGCTGGAGCCATGCCTGAACCACTGGCCGGGATAATGGTATCATTTTCATAAAGCATTCCTAATTGCTTTACTTCTGGGATGATCCAGGAGCTAAGTGAATATTACCTCGCAGTTTCTACATGACCAACTCTAGCGGATATTTATTGAAGTGTTGTGGTTTTTTTATTAATGGCATCGATAGTTGTTCTCCCTTCATTACCACGGTTGAGTCTCAGATTTGATTGCGTTGAACCGTTCTTTAGCTTGTAGCTGCATACTTACATATTGTATGACTTACTAGCGTTACAGGCCCTTTTGAATCTTTTTAGTTACTCATGTAACTTAATCGCGTGAAAATAGCGTTGATGCTTGAAGTTGTTACTTGGGCTTTTTTTAGCAATATTTCTGTGGCTACATATGTTTGTATTTCCAGATATCTTTGTATTCCTAGATATCTTTGTATTCCCAGATAATATAATAATAATAATAACTAGAAATTTATACATCGCTTTATAGCCAAAAAGAACTCAAAATCCAAAGATTCACTTCAAGCCATCTAAAGCGACTCATGAACATGTACATAAGAACTTAGAATTTTATGAAGTATGGTTTGTATGAGAAAGATATTATATGATACTTATAAGAACACTTTTTCAAAGAGATGAGTCTTTAGTCTCTTTTTAAACACGAAAATATCGGTCAATGTTCTCAATTGATAAGGAAGCTGATTCCATACGGAGGGTCCGCAGTAACTAAAACCTCTCTCAGTTTTACTATAATTTGAGACAGGAGGAACATTTAGAAGGAAATATTCTTGTTCAGTTCGTAGCACACGTACAGGCTGACTCTTGATGTCGATGCATTTGGTGATATAGTCTGGAGCTATGTTGTTGACGCATTTGAACACTGTTAGAGCAATCTTATAGTCTATTCGCTGTCTAATTGGAAGAAAATGGGCCTTTTTCAGGAATGGAGTGACACTGTCCCATTTTTTTAAAAGCTTTTCTACCAAGTTACAAGAATCGTACACAGGAATTTTGTACCTTCTTGAGTTTCTTTAATGGGAAAATCAGGTAAACCATAGAGAAGTTCATTGCAATAGTCTAGTTTTGAAAAGATCAAACAGTGAATGAGCTGTCTTTTTAGGTCATAGTTAAGCTTTGAGCCTATAACTCGAAGGTTCCTCAAATGGATGTTGCAACAACTGCAACTGATTAATGAGTGATTATTGAATTTACTTGATCTTCAAATGTAAGGAATTGATCAAAGAGGACACCTAAACTTTTTACTGTGTGGGATGCATCCACAGGGTCAGCTGCATTGTCAAGTTGTATTGAATCGACTGGACATGAAGAGTAACTGTTCTTGGTCTGTACTACAAGCGCTTCTGTTTTGTTTTGGTTTAATTTGAGTTTATTTTGGGTCATCCAGCTCTTAATTTCTTGAAAACAATGTGTTATTCTCTCTTCGATTGTTGACAGATCTCGAAATAGTGGGTTAAACTCGATGTAAAGTTGGGTGTCATCTGCGTACATGTGGATGTTAAATCCGTGTCTCTTTGCAATATGATTAAGCTGCTCCTTTGTGTACAGTATAAACAGTATTGGACCTAGAATTGAACCTTGCGGGATTCCAATTCTAAGGAAGCATCTCTTTGTATTCCTAGATATCTGTGTATTTCCAGATATCTTTGTATTCCTAGATATCTGTGTATTTCCAGATATCTTTGTATTCCTAGATATCTTAAATGTAGTCCTAGATATCTTTGTATTTCCAGATATCGTTGTATTTCCAGATATCTTTCTATTCCTAGATATATTTGTATTTCCTGATATCTTTGTATTTCCAGATATCTTTGTATTCCTAGATATCTTTGTATTTCCACGTATCTTTGTATTGCCAGATATCTTTGTATTCCTAGATAACTTTGTATTGGGAAAGTGTGTTAACAGTGGAAATATCCTGCACTGATTAGCGAACATTTTCATAAAATGTAGCATGATTACAAGACCAGTCGTGGTGGCATAGTACATATTAGGAGCTAAAACAGGGTACACAGAAAGAGAGTGGTGCGTGAAGTGTAATAATATAGTCTCACCTTGAAGTTCATGAACTTTATTTAAACGGTTGTGCCACTACCGCATTGTACAATGTCTGGGAAGAGCCGTGTTTTTATAAGTATCAAATATAGCTTCACCTTCCTGCTCTGTTCGTTCCTGCCCCCGAATGGCATAATACTCCTTCATAATTAATTATTATTATTATTAATCAACTATATACAGCAAACACAAGATAATAGGAAATAAATCCTAAAATCGAGTGGCCGAGTAGTCTCGACTCACCCATAGCTTCTCCATAAACGTCTATCATGAGCTTTGTACACTAAATCGTTGAAATTACTTAAACTAAATCTTTTATTTACAATCACAATAATAATTATAATACTCCTTCATAATACTCCTTCATAATACTCCTTCATAATACTCGCTTCAATGTAGCTCTACTTCAATAAGACAGGTATTGCCATTATTCTCTGTCAGAGATTCGTAGTTCTCATTCTTACCCCAGATTATAAATGTAGCCGAGAGTTAATGTCGGTCACGTGGCATCTACTGATAACATGAGAATACTTGAGTACTTCCTCTGTTTTTCTTGTTCCCGGTCCATCAAGCAGCAGGTCTGGTTGATATCATATCTTGCTTTCTTTCTTTACTCGTCACTTAAATAGATTGCTCTCCAATTTAGATTGATTAAACTTCTGACATACCATGCTTAATATTAAAAGTGTTGTAGCTACCCTAACTAGTAGCTATCCCCCTATTATTAGCAATAATATTATGCAGAATTTATTCTACATGGTTCCCATTATTTATACTGTACTAGCAGGAACCCGTCTAACCCTAAAGTGGTGTCAAGACTCGAGAGACTAAAATAATTATTACCTATTTAATTCGCGTTTTTGACACCACTTGAGAGTCCAAATTTTGGGCACTAAAATTATTATTCCTTGGCCAATTTTTTATTTTTTCATGCTGATTTGAAGGCCATTAAAGCATTTGACCCAGTCAAAAAAGTTTCAGTTGTATATGTTTTACGGTTTTTGCGGAAAGTCGCGTTAAAGTTGATGCCGTGGTGTCAGTAAAATGGCACGGATATATACACATATATATATCGTCTCGCTTTATATATAGTAAGATTGTGATGAAAACAGTTCCAATCTAACCTCTAACCATAACTAGTTACACCACAAGTAACCAAAACTAGAACGCTAACACAACATGGTAACACCACGTGACCATGGTAACACCACGTGACCATGGTAACACCACGTGACCATGGTAACACCACGTGACCATGGTAACAACACGTGACCATGGTAACACCACGTGACCATGGTAACACCACGTGACCATGGTAACACCACGTGACCATGGTAACACCACGTGACCATGGTAACACCACGTGACCATGGTAACACCACGTGACCATGGTAACACCACGTGATCATGGTAACACCACTTGATTGCAGGCGCTGAACACTAAGAACGACCGTGAGGGCCAGTACTACAAGGAGGCGATGCTCCTCCAAGCCAAGACTTGTTACATCCAGGCTAAGTTCCAGGAATGTCTTGACATACTCGACAAGGTAAGAACTTGTTTGCCAGACTCCGTGAAATACTCCGTAATGGTCCTGTCAAATAGTGTAATTAGTATAGGACGTTTCGGCCCTGTCTCACTTGTCTCGAGTGTTTTGCAAGTTTGGGATGTTTCTTATCCTTCGATGTATTCAGTGACTGGACGTTTAAAATCTAAATATTTTGAGTCCGACTTTTTTAAACACGCCCTTTTTATAAGGTTGATATGGAGAGTTTGAGAAAGGATGTGCTGACTTTCAACGCTTCCCGAGCTCTGGCTGATGCCTACGTTTATAAGGGAATGGCTATGGAGTATTTGAAATTTGTGTCAAACTCAGAGGAGGTGAGTTATAAAAGTTAAGAACCGCTCCCACCCCACCCCACCCCCACCCCCACCCCCACCCCTACCCCCACCCCCACCCCCACCCCCACCCCCACCCCCACCCCACCCCAACCCCCATCCCCACCCCCACCCCCACCCCCGACCCCACCACACTCCAAAACACAGACCACACTATAAGATCCCTACACTCCGGGAGTGTAGTCAGACAGTACCACTCTCTGTTAGTCTGTATGTCCCTGTATGTCTGACTAATACCCTGTCAGGACACAGATATAGAGAGTATAGTGGAGTGTTACGAGACAGCTGGAGACCTGGGCTTAGAGCTCCTTAACAGCATCAGTAGGAGCACACTCAACCTCACTCTGTCTGGAGTGTTGGAGATCGCTCTTCTCAGATCATTCCTCCTGCAAATGTCACATGGAATGGTATGAACCACTTCACTGCAGATCCTTATATGTATTATTAATATATAATATGGTCAGATTCATTATTTATATTATATCTAACTTTGTTGAATGGTAGTGTATGTTTTATCATACTATTGATAGTTCCCTCTCCTGTTAGGTAGAGAAAGGGTTGCATAGACTAAGAAGAATACTACAGACCTCTGATATGCCCGGTTCTGACAACCTCAGACTCACCTTATCTCTCACTCTCGGTAAAACTTGTTGTTACTGTGGGTTTAATCTGAAGCTTTGTCTTCTTTTTGTCATGTTGTGCCCCCCCCCCCCCCCCCTAACATGTTGACATAAAGTTGCCACCTTGATTTTCACATCCTCCTCTGCCCAGGTCAAGTGTTGCTACAAGGACTGCCTGACAACCAGTGGTCTCCACTAGTACACAGAGACACTGTTTCAGACACACTTACTAAACGGGGTCGCAACACCCCTACTCTTAAGAAATACGAGACTGTGTTCTGTCCTTGTAACAAAGTAGAGGAGGCGTTGCTATCATTACTTATAGGACAGGTTGGTTCTCTTTTCAAAATCAAATCGAGAAACTCCGGGTATCTAACACTTAGCAGCCCCTAAATTCTAAAAGCAGTCCCTAAAAGCATTCCCTAAAAGCAGCCCCTATAAAAGCAGCCCCTAAATTCTAAAAGCAGCCCCTAAAAGCAGCCCCTAAAAGCAGCCCCTAAAAGCAGCCCCTAAAAGCGGCCCCTAAAAGCAGCCCCTAACCTGTTACCCGGTACCAGGTGCTGCTGTACAAAGAGGGTTGTGTCAGTGTGCACCAGGAGGACGAAGTGGTTTACAAACAAGCAAACAAACAAGCCCACACCCTACTCAACCTTCTCGTCTCCCTTCTCGCTAAATACTCCCAGCATCGGCCGCTAGCAGACGTCATTGAGAAATTCCTTAAGTACAGTCACGATGTAAGTCGTTATCCCTATCTTTAAAAGTTTTAATACCCAAACCATAAATATTAAATACAATTCTGATAGTACCACGTGACCAGAATAAAGCCAATCAGAGCCCATGAATTGTTCCACGTGACACTAAAAACCCCACCCCTCAGGACGAGCACATCTGCAAGCAGTTCGGCTTGTCCCTAATCTCCTCTGAGCAGTTTGTCCGGGGTGCAGCTGTTCTGCAGAAATGCCATGATAGAAATGTGGACGTCTCTATTGCTCTAGTCTTAACTCAGGTAAGAAATGCCATGATAGAAATGTGGACGTCTCTATCGCTCTAGTCTTAACTCAGGTAAGAAATGCCATGATAGAAATGTGGACGTCTCTATTGCTCTAGTCTTAACTCAGGTAAGAAATGCCATGATAGAAATGTGGACGTCTCTATTGCTCTAGTCTTAACTCAGGTAAGAAATGCCATGATAGAAATGTGGACGTCTCTATTGCTCTAGTCTTAACTCAGGTAAGAAATGCCATGATAGAAATGTGGACGTCTCTATTGCTCTAGTCTTAACTCAGGTAAGAAATGCCATGATAGAAATGTGGACGTCTCTATTGCTCTAGTCTTAACTCAGTTAAGAAATGCCATGATAGAAATGTGGACGTCTCTATCGCTCTAGTCTTAACTCAGGTAAGAAATGCCATGATAGAAATGTGGACGTCTCTATTGCTCTAGTCTTAACTCAGGTAAGAAATGCCATGATAGAAATGTGGACGTCTCTATTGCTCTAGTCTTAACTCAGGTAAGAAATGCCATGATAGAAATGTGGACGTCTCTAATGCTCTAGTCTTAACTTAGGTAAGATAAGAGTGCCATGATAGAAATGTGGACGTCTCTAATGCTCTAGTCTTAACTTAGGTAAGATAAGAGTGCCATGATAGAAATGTGGACGTCTCTAATGCTCTAGTCTTAACTTAGGTAAGATAAGAGTGCCATGATAGAAATGTGGACGTATCTATTGCTCTAGTCTTAACTCAGGTAAGAAATGCCATGATAGAAATGTGGACGTCTCTATTGCTCTAGTCTTAACTCAGGTAAGAAATGCCATGATAGAAATGTGGACGTCTCTATTGCTCTAGTCTTAACTCAGGTAAGAAATGCCATGATAGAAATGTGGACGTCTCTATTGCTCTAGTCTTAACTCAGGTAAGAAATGCCATGATAGAAATGTGGACGTCTCTATTGCTCTAGTCTTAACTCAGGTAAGAAATGCCATGATAGAAATGTGGACGTCTCTATTGCTCTAGTCTTAACTCAGGTAAGAAATGCCATGATAGAAATGTGGACGTCTCTATTGCTCTAGTCTTAACTCAGTTAAGAAATGCCATGATAGAAATGTGGACGTCTCTATTGCTCTAGTCTTAACTCAGGTAAGAAATGCCATGATAGAAATGTGGACGTCTCTATTGCTCTAGTCTTAACTCAGGTAAGAAATGCCATGATAGAAATGTGGACGTCTCTATTGCTCTAGTCTTAACTCAGGTAAGAAATGCCATGATAGAAATGTTGACGTCTCTATTGCTCTAGTCTTAACTCAGGTAAGAAATGCCATGATAGAAATGTGGACGTCTCTATTGCTTTAGTCTTAACTCAGGTAAGATACGAGTGCCATGATAGAAATGTGGACGTCTCTATTGTTCTAGTCTTAACTAAGGTAAGATAAGAGTGCCATGATAGAAATGTGGACGTCTCTATTGCTTTAGTCTTAACTCAGGTAAGATACGAGTGCCATGATAGAAATGTGGACGTCTCTATTGTTCTAGTCTTAACTAAGGTAAGATAAGAGTGCCATGATAGAAATGTGGACGTATCTATTGCTCTAGTCTTAACTTAGGTAAGATACGAGTGCCATGATAGAAATGTGGACGTCTCTATTGCTCGTCTTAACTCAGATAAATAAGATGTGCCGCGTCCGGGAACTAATTGTGGGTTATAACTTATTTACTTATAATCATCAGTACAATGTTTTAGATTTGTTAAGCACTCTGTAGCCCGGGAAAAATTATTATTCTATATTTTGAATGTTCTAATTATACACTCATAGATTTTTCAATCATAAATTTCGAAAATTATCTTTAAATCATTGCTTACCAACATTTAAAACATAACAATTTCTAATCTTTCCACGTGCTCAGACGTACGTGAGACACCTGCAACGTCACGCGGACGCTATAAAGATATGTGACGAATGTATGCCTCTAGCAGAGGCCCCCCATGAGAGGAGTAGGGTGTATCTTTACAGAGGGGTCGCCGAGGCTGCTCTCTGTCGATCTTCTAGGTACCTCACTTTTTACACTGTATAGTCTTCCTCACTTAGTTGTTTTTAAAGATGAAAGATATTTTACCGTAGCCTGACTATGAAAGTATGAAAGGTATAAATTGTAAAACAATTTATTATTTACGCGGTAATTATATAAATTTACCCAGATTACGTGAAGATCAGAACTTATACAATAAGAGGTCGATAGAGAGTTTCCAGAAGTCATATTCCTTGGACCCGAACTGTTCGCAAACTTGGTACCACTTAGCTTTACGACTTGCTAGTGTTGGCGAAATAAAAAAGGCGTTCAGGTTAGATTGAATTAGATAGTATTAGATTGTTTTAGTCTACATGAGATAATAATATATTAGATAAGATTGGATATTATGTGTGCGAAGGATTTTGATATAAAAATATCGCACAGGTTCGCACACAAGGTGGAAGCGTCCCCCGGAGTTGTGAACATGGTGGACGTATCGCATTTACTCGCACTGGTTTTATCTGCTCAAAACAAGCTGGAAGAGGCCCTAAACATGGTCACACTAACTCTGATGAACTATCCTGATAACTTAAACTTGTTGATAACTAAAGTTATGCTGGAACGACAGGTTCATGGGGGTCACAGTGCCCTCGTCACCTGCAAGGAGGTGCGTTCTAACTTCTCAATCGTAAATATGAGTTTATATTTGAAAACTTAACTTGCTTATTATAATGTTTTATGACAGATGACCTGACCTTGGTATAATTGTCAGGTATTACTGCCCCTGTTAGAAAGACTGAGCACGAGTGCATCTAAAGAAATGTTAGACCAAACCTATCTTCCTTACTCCGACCAGTGGACCTCAGGTAACAATATCTACAGAGTGTAACGAGAACTTCTGTCTATTCATTTTATATATCTTTTAGGTTCAAATGCCAGGGGGAATTCCAGGTATAGCCCCAAATTGCCCCGAGGCTTGCGCTCCCTTGCTCTCCATTAACCGCTACAATAACCCCTCGCTCCCAGGGAAGTTCCAGTTAACCCAGTGGAGTGACAGGGTATCCACGCACACTACAGCCAGCTTTACCGGCTCCACTATTGGCACTCTGCCAGCCGAGAGCCTGTGCGAGAGTATTGATAGTGCTATTGGCTGCGATCAGAGCAACTGGGGATATCAGGTTGGTTCCCACAGTTCCGGGAGTGCTGCCCCTTCATTCCAGGGATTAATATGGATTTGATTTTCGTTTTGATTTCTTCATTTATAACCGAGAAATGTGAACTTTTGGGAAAACTAGCAAACTGGACATCTAGTAGTGAGATCATTACCAAAAGCAAAATATAGCTCCAAACCCTGGCTTTATAACACGAAAGCTTCGTCTTAATTTTTATTGAAAAGCACTAATATGTCAATGTGCCAACTCCTTATCTTGAGTAGGACTATCTGTACTAAATAAATATATATTATACGTATTCAAGGCAAATGAATTATCAGATGTACAGCTCGTCATTTATAATGAACGACTCTAAATACACCTTCAAATAGAAAGGGCCTATGTTGACATAGGCCCTTTTAAAAAAGTATACCAGCACGAAAATCTGTGGAACCATACCTACCATATCCCCAAACATAAAGTCAATTGGGTGAAAATTGATTATCTTCAATTTTTTTAAAGAGCCTATATTAACATAGTCCTTTTTCAATAAACTGAACTGCTACTGATATTGATAAAATAAAAGGGCACATGTCGACATAGGCCCTAAAAAATTGTTGGAATGTGATGTTTTTGATGATGTTTTTGAAAAGTAGAAAGGGCCTAAGTCAACATATGCCCTAACAAATTGTTGGAATGTGATGTTCGAAGATATAAATTTGAAAAGTTAAAAGGACCTATGTTCACATAAGCCCTGTACCAATTCTCACATGTAAGATGCTTCAATTAATTAAGAGGGGCCTATTATATGTATCAAATGTTATTTTAAATGGGCCTATGTCAAAATTAAATCAATTTGCAATTACCCCAATTAATTGAAAAGCTTCAGGAACATTTTCAGAGTGTCTTTCCATTTAGGATACACAGAAATCAAATTCAAATGCCTATTCTAAAGTTGATTTCCATAAATAGGTTTTTATGTATTATCTCAAAACGACTTTTTTCGACATAAGCCCTTTCTATTTGACGTGACTTCTCAACCTGACATATCCTTAAAATTTTCTTATGCCCTAAAAAAGGTCAGGTCTTCTAAAAATTAAGCTTCACTAAGCTAGGAGAATGTCAAAGTTGAATAATCAATGTATTCGCAGGCTGAAGTTTGGTACACAATTGCAGACGTTTTCTTATCAGAAAATATGATCTCCGACGCCCAGAAGTGTGTCGACGAGATAAAACAGCTCTTTCCTCTTTCTCATCTAGTTTCCTACATGAACGCGAGGATACGTGAAAATGAAGGTATCACTATCTCAAAATTTGACAAAATGCCAGTACGTTATAGCATAGTCCCTGAAACTTCCCTCTCAAACGTAACTACTCACTCCGACCAACTAATTTCTCAAACTAATTTCCTGCCCAGATAACCAGAAAGAAGCTGAACAACAGTACATAAACGCAGTAACGCTCACGCCTCTCCACGTTCCGTCCCTTGTTGCCCTGGGAAGACTACAAATAGAACTCAACAAACCAATACTTGCTGAACATTATCTAGTGGAGGCTACACATCTCAAGGTTGGTATTACGGGGCCGAGGGGGGTTACAGAGATATAGGGGGGCCGGGGGGGGGGGGGGGGGGGGGGGGGTTACAGAGATATAGGGGGGGGGTTACAGAGATAGAAAATGCTCCTTTTATAACTTATGGAGACCCGTCCGCTGGTTTCCAACTAACGACTAATGATTATATAACTAACAGCTCTCTCCTCAGCCGGACGAGTATGAAGCGTGGCACTACCTGGGCCAGCTCCATCAGCTGCAGGGTTGTCATCAGAAGGCTGCTGACTGTTTCCTCACCGCTCTCCGCTTCGAGTCTTCTGCTCCCGTCCGACCTTACAGCGTACTTAAATGGAAGTTGTAGCCTTGACCAGGTCGAACATTGTGACCATTGTGGCCTTGATAGTTTGAAGCTTTAAATGTTGTATCAGTAGTGACTAGTGGTGACTAGTATTAGTGACCAATAGTGACTAGTGGTGACTAGTATTAGTGACCAATAGTGACTAGTGGTGACTAGTATTAGTGACCAATAGTGACTAGTGGTGACTAGTATTAGTGAGCAGTAGTGACTAGTGGTGACTACTATTAGTGACCAATAGTGACTAGAGGTGACTAGTATTAGTGACCAGTAGTGACTAGTGGTGACTAATGGTGACTGGTATTAGTGACCAGTAGTGACTAGTGGTGACTAGTAGTAGTGACCAATAGTGACTAGTGGTGACTAGTATTAGTGACCAGTAGTGACTAGTGGTGACTAGTAGTAGTGACCAGTAGTGACTAGTGGTGACTAGTATTAGTGACCAGTAGTGACTAGTGGTGACTAGTAGTAGTGACCAGTAGTGACTAGTGGTGACTAGTAGTAGTGACCAATAGTGACTAGTGGTGACTAGTATTAGTGACCAGTAGTGACTAGTGGTGACTAGTAGTAGTGACCAGTAGTGACTAGTGGTGACTAGTAGTAGTGACCAGTAGTGACTAGTGGTGACTAGTATTAGTGACCAGTAGTGACTAGTGGTGACTATTGTTAGTGACCAGTAGTGACTAGTGGTGACTAGTAGTAGTGACCAGTAGTGACTAGTGGTGACTAGTAGTAGTGACCAGTAGTGACTAGTGGTGACTAGTAGTAGTGACCAATAGTGACTAGTGGTGACTAGTATTAGTGACCAGTAGTGACTAGTGGTGACTAGTAGTAGTGACCAGTAGTGACTAGTGGTGACTAGTAGTAGTGACCAGTAGTGACTAGTGGTGACTAGTATTAGTGACCAGTAGTGACTGGTGGTGACTAGTATTAGTGACCAGTAGTGACTAGTGGTGACTAGTATTAGTGACCAGTAGTGACTGGTGGTGACTAGTATTAGTGACCAGTAGTGACTTGTGGTGACTAGTATTAGTGACCAGTAGTGACTGGTGGTGACTAGTATTCGTGACCAGTAGTGACTGGTGGTGACTAGTATTAGTGACCAGTAGTGACTGGTGGTGACTAGTATTAGTGACCAGTAGTGACTGGTGGTGACTAGTATTAGTGACCAGTAGTGACTGGTGGTGACTAGTATTAGTGACCAATATATTCCGTTGGACAGATTGCTAAGCGTAGCTGGTTTAACTTTGACAAAGCTATAGTTTACAATTTGAAGTGTATATTCGATTACTTATTGTAGTTTTATAATGAAGTATATGCATGAATATTTCAATATTATGTAGTTTACTATACATTCTTGTCAAGTGTCAATTAATTTTACTCTAACATCGAATTGTTGAGTTCTTATAGGTAAATCCGTCTAGGATACTAGGATACTTCCTAATTCTACATAGGGTTGGGTTATACGATCAAGGTTTCTTGCAGATCTTTGAAAAGGGGCGTTCTAGTAATGACAGGATGTCGTTACTATCGTAAATAGCTCTTGAGCTGTTTAGCTTTAATGCTTGTTTAATTATTTCATAGGTTGATCGAGGGTTCGTCTGGAGCTGGAGGGCATTGTAATGATTGCTAATGATCTTTTGTTTGAATTGTAACTGATTTTGTTGATTTTAATTGTTATTAGAATGCACGGTTTGAAATATATTTCCGAATTCCGATCAGTCACCAGTATACTGGGTAAACGTACTTTAGTGCGAAAATCAGAATACTGTTACTTAATGTTACTTAATGATTAATCTAAGGGCTTATTTCCTTCACGATAAAGCTTCATAGCAGCAGCTTCAGTCTGTTTAATAACTTAATATTTTGCTAATTTGTTAATGTTGTTATTAAAGTTCAGTTATATACCTAGTAATGTTAGTGATCTTGTAACTTACCGTTTTCTTACTACGTTAAGTTCTTAATTGAAAATCCCACGACGCCAATTCTGGTTTTCAAAACACAAAAATGCAGAAACAAATCCCCTCAATTCGTCATATTCCCTGAGAAATACCTTTAAATATATCAATATGACCATTTCAAAGATCGTTTCCTATGGCTAGGTGATGCATGATCACGAGTAAACGCTCTATTCCGCTCATAACTCAGATCGTTCAACAAACGCCCTTTTTGTGCCACAACCTTACCAGAATGGTCTCTCAAGTGAGTAACAAGTTTTGGTAACATTACGAGGAAGTGGTCTCTAACTTTTATCTTAAATAAACTAAACCCGGTTGATGGAATTTCAGATGGTTAACATTAGGTCCAATTTTGTGAGGTACAGTCTCCTATTCACTGTAATACTCTTCGTGGTACAGGTACCAGACTCAGTGTCCTTCCCCAAAGAGGAAGAGAAAGTGATTGAACTCTGGAAGAAGAACGACACTTTTAAGAAGTCGTTAGAGCAAAGTAAAGCAGCTAAACGTCCAGCCTACACGTTCTATGACGGTCCTCCCTTTGCTACAGGACTTCCTCACTACGGTCACTTGCTGGCTGGCTCTGTTAAGGATATCGTTACTAGGTCGGTAAAAACTAAACCAGCACGGTATTTTGATGTTCCAGCTCATTCCAATACAATTTTTGTAGAAAATATCAAACTTCTTGAAGTCTTCACTTTTCATACTCGGATTGTGATGGAGGTCCCCAGACTCCGGTTCAGAACCTCTACATATTATATTTAACATGTCCCTGTCCTCCCCAGGTATGCTCACCAGAACGGGTACCATGTGGAGAGGCGGTTTGGTTGGGATTGTCACGGTTTACCTGTAGAGCACGAGATTGACAAGAAACTTGGTGCGTTTAACCTCCATCTAACAAAAACTAACAATAATAAGATACAAATTCTTTACATTTTACTAACTGCTATAATAACTACCTAATAAAACCTGCAAGCCCCTAAAACCTCCTATTTCTCCAGGGATCACGGGACCTGCTGACGTGCACGCAATGGGTATAGACAAGTACAACGCGGAGTGTAGGAGTATTGTGATGAGGTACGCTAGTGAGTGGGAACACTCTGTACAGAGACTCGGCAGATGGATAGATTTCGAGAACGTGGGTAAACTTTTAGTCTTATGTAACATGTGTGTAAGATCTAGAACTTCCGTGAGGCTCTTTTAATCTAGGTTTTAATAAAGCTTGATGTTGTTGACGTATTACTGAACTTATAAACAGGATTCTTATTAAAATATTTCCCGCAGGACTACAAGACTTTATATCCTGAATTCATGGAGTCAGTGTGGTGGGTGTGGTCACAGATGTTTGCTAAAGGTCTTGTTTACAAAGGTTTCAAAGTAATGCCCTACTCCACTGCCTGCAACACACCTCTCTCTAACTTTGAGGTTAACCAGAACTACCACGATGTCACGGACCCTGCCGTCTTCGTCAGCTTCCCCATCGACCAGGACCCGGGAGTCAGCTTTGTGGCCTGGACCACCACCCCCTGGACCCTGCCCAGCAACCTTGCCTTGTGTGCTAACCCTGATGAGATATACGTGAAGATCCTGGACAAAGTCAGGGACCAGAAGTTCATCTTGATGGAAGCTAGGCTGTGTGGATTGTACAAGACAGAAGATGACTACACAATTCTTGAGAAGTTCGCCGGAAATACCCTAGCTGGTAAGACTTACACCCCTCTGTTTCCCTTACATGGAGCAGATGAAGGCTAATGGAGCGTTTAAAGTGTGTCTTGATAAATATGTTACTAAGGATGCGGGTACGGGTATGGTCCATCAGGCCCCAGCATTTGGAGAGGACGATTACCGAGTTTGTTTGGCCAATGGGGTTTTCAAAAAGGGCAGGAACCTGACATATGCCCTGTTGATCCCACCGGAAAGTTCCTCTCTATCGTGACTGACTTTGATGGAATGTATGTGAAAGATGCTGACAAGCACATCATCAAGAAGCTGAAGGAAGAAGGAAGAATGGTCCACGCTGGAACCATAAACCACAGCTACCCATACTGTTGGAGATCTGATACCCCCCTCATCTACAGGGTCATCCCCAGTTGGTTCATCAAGGTCACTGCACTCCGTGAGAAACTGCTGGCCAATAACGACAAGTGTTACTGGGTTCCTGAGTTTGTCAAAGAGAAGAGGTTTAAGAACTGGTTGGCTGACTGTCGCGATTGGAGCGTGTCCAGGAACAGGTATTGGGGAACTCCTATACCTCTTTGGGTTAGTGATGACGGCGAGGAGATTGTGTGTGTGGGATCTATCAAGGAGCTGGAGGACCTAACCGGGGAGAAGATAACTGATCTTCATCGGGAGAGCATTGATCATCTCACTATTCCGTCGAAGTGTGGTAAGGGTGTTTTGAAGAGGGTACCGGAGGTGTTCGATTGTTGGTTTGAAAGTGGAAGTATGCCCTACGCGCAGCAGCATTATCCATTTGAAAATGTTTCTCAGTTCGATTCTAAGTTCCCAGCTGAATTCATTGCGGAAGGAGTTGATCAAACGAGAGGATGGTTCTACACACTTCTGGTCCTCGCCACGGCCCTATTTGATAAACCACCATATAAGAACCTGATCGTGACCGGTCTGGTGCTTGCTTCCGACGGAAAGAAGATGAGCAAGCGTCTGAAGAACTACCCGGACCCAACTACTGTCATGGACAAATACGGAGCAGACTCTCTGAGGCTGTATCTGATCGACTCCCCTGTTGTTAGAGCTGATACTCTCCGCTTCAAAGAGGAAGGTGTCAAGGATGTCCTCAAGGATGTTCTTCTACCATGGTTCAACGCTTACCGCTTCTTGATCCAAAATATAATCCGACTAGATAAAGAAGATGGCGTGAAGTTCGTGTATAATGAAAACAGTCCAGTCCTGTCCAATAACGTGATGGATAAGTGGATCCTGTCCTACACGCACACTTTAATAGAATTCGTGAAGGTGGAGATGGCTGCTTACAGACTCTACACAGTTGTTCCCCGTCTGCTCCAGTTTATTGAGAACCTCACTAATTGGTACGTTAGGCTGAACAGAGCGAGACTGCGAGGAGAGGTTGATTTGGAGGAGTGCCAGGCGAGCGTGCAGACTCTCTTCTCCGTCATGTTCAACATGATCCGACTCATGGCCCCATTCACTCCATTCATCACCGAGATGATGTACCAGAACTTGCACAAGAGCATTGATAAAAACATGATCAAGGGGGCATCAGACAGTATTCACTACATGATGCTACCAAAGTACGACCCCAAGATGGTTGATAAGGATATTGAACGCCGTGTGTCGGTAATGCAGGCTGTTATTGAAACAGGCCGTGTTCTCAGGGACCGAAACACTCTCCCTATAAAATATCCTTTAAAGGAGGTTGTTCTGGTGGACGCTGATCCTACAACTCTGGCAGACGCCCAGGCTCTGGAGTCTTACATTGTCAGTGAGCTCAATGTGAAGAAGTTGACAGTTTCATCTGATAAGAAGAAGTACGATGTGAAACTGACTGCCAAACCAAACCACATGATTCTGGGGAAACGGCTGAAGAAGGACTTTAAACCCGTGTCAGCAGCCATCGCTAAACTTACTGACGCTCAACTTACGGAGATGAAGGAGTCAGGGAAACGGGAAATTCTCGGTCATACTATCGGTTTTGATGAGATGCATGTTGGTTACGAGGTGAACTCTGAGTCGGGCTCGTATGCTGCTGCTTCAATGCACAATGTTCTGGTCTTACTCGACCTGTCTACTGACCAGGAGATGATGGATGAGGGCCTGGCGAGAGAGGTCATCAACAGAATTCAGAAGCTTAGGAAGTCAGCTAAATTAGTCCCAACTGATAAAATCTCCATATTTTACGCGATTGACAGCAAGAAGAAGGATAACGAAGACATGTCTAGAGCAATGAGAAACTATCAAGATTTCATCGAAACTGGCGTAAAGTCTCCATTCTTAGGCGAACCCGCTCAGGAAAATGTAATTATTTCTGAAGAAGTGGAGGTTAAAGGAAGCAGATTCCAGCTTACTCTCTGTGGAGATGTCAAGAAAAGTAGCTCCGGTCCTGTCGTCCAATGGCCTCAGGGTCGTCCATCCGGTAAATACTTCACCGTCAACTACAACGATTCCTCAAGGGAAATCCTACTACAACCCAACGGTAATCAACTGTCAGCAATACGACTTGAGAGGGAAGTTAAAGCCATGTATGGGCTGTTTGGAAGGACGGTAATCTTGAGTTTTAATGGTAGTGCGGTTAAATGTACAACACGTGACCTTACTTTCCTTGGCGGGGGTATTGTCACAGTTATAACAGCGTAGCTGCTCATCTTCTTAGGTCATATTATAGGGTAAATAATTTAACTCAAGCTTTATCATATTTCATTTTCATAAAGGTATTTGACTGATTTTATGGAGTTTTCCCACTATCTCGTTTGACTGCCTCTCTCTCTCTCTCTCTCTCTCTCTCTCTCTATTTCTCTCTCTCTGATTGCTGTTTAAGTCTCGCCGACGAGACTGACAATTATTGCTCATATTATTGTATTGTCATCTTCATAATGTTCCCAATCATATTTTAAATGTTAAAATGTCCTCGACTTCCCACGAATCGCATAATCTTGTTGTATAATTCGCTGTATGTTGGCAACTGACTAACTGAACTAAATAACGAACAGGATGTAGCAATGTTGAACTAACTCCGGAAGATGTTGAGGAGTCAGATCGAGCACTGTGCCACCCCTGTCTGGTACAGCCACTTCCGACCTATCACCTTCGACACCTTGTTCGTTCACCTGACTCCTGATTTCCTGGCTTATCTGTCCGCTGACGGTGTTGTGCTGCCTCCCTCCCTCATTCCTTCTCACCCCCACAATCAGCAGCAGGACAGCTCCGACAGTGAGGTGAGAAATAGTTAATTTCACTGATGTAACGGCCATTTGTTATCTGTCCCGCCATTATATGTCCCGCCATTGTATGTCCCTGTAACGGCTATTATCTGTCCCGCCACTAGCTGTCCCGCCGATAAGGGGTCCTTCGTTCAGGTCTTTGGAGAAATACACCGCCATAATCTGTCCCATTAATCTGTCCCGCCATTATATGTCCCATAATCTGTCCCGCCATTATATGTCCCGCATCTAGTGGCGGTACAGAAATACATCCAGGTATGGAATTAAATTTATTTTTTCTTTCTAATTCTATCCTTTCTCAGGTAGATGAGGAAGAATGGGAAGAGACTCCGCAAGCAACCCAACCGGACTTCCCGGACCTGGAGGAGAAAGTGAGGCTAGCAATAGAGCGTCTTGGTGGAGAAGCGTTTATCAAGCTCAACTGGTCCGCGCCCCGTGACGTGAGTTGGATGTTGCATGATAATTCCCTCTGCTGCCGGACCCCGCTGGATGTTATCCTGTTATTGAAGGGCAGCGAGTTTATTCAACATGACCTGACCCAGGCGTTTATGGAATGTACTGATGGTATCAGCCAGACACCCACAGGAGGGTTCGTCCTAACGATACGCAGGTTCCAGAGCATAACCCCTGCTGGAGAGTTTAGGTGTTTTGTTAGGGCTAACAACCTGATAGCTGTGTCCCAGCGGAACCACCGCCAGTTTCTCGCCTCCATCCCTGCCGATAGAATCAACATCCTGAACGATATCCAGCACTTCTTTTTCAACTACATCCAGGCAAAGTTCCCGGACCCTGACTTTGTGTTCGACGTTTACAGATCAGGACCTCACCATGTTATTCTGGTCGACTTTAACCCGTTCTGCAGGGTCACCGACCCGCTCCTCTTCGCCTGGGAGGAGCTCTGCGGGTTGACCCCGGGCCCACAGCCCGTGTTTAAAGTGGTTGAAAACCAGGAGAGTATCAAGGGTCACCCTTACGGCGCTAACAGGGTCCCACAGGACATTGTGAGCATTAATAACCAGCAGGAAATTAACGAGTTTGTGAGCATGTTCAATAATGGCAAGTTTGCGGGCGACAGTGACGATGATGACTTGTGAGACAGATCAGGAGGATCAGGATAGTCGATATATCCAGTGCCATCTCCTTATATGGGCATCACGTGTCAGTACCATCGTATCTATAAGGACAATGTACCCAACTTATTATTTTTAAGAGTCACAAGTTCGAAGTTACGAAGTTCTGAGGATGGATGCAGTTGTTTGAAAATGATTAGACAGAAAGGGATGTTTCTGGATATAAGATAACGTTATTTATTACTGAATTGTAATTATCAATTATAGCTGATTTTTATAGAATCTGTATGATATAACCATTTCTTTTTACAACATTTTTGAGAAGAATATGCGTATGAAATAGCTGATAATATATACATAGTAAGATAACGGATGCTTTACCTCTAGTATTTAATTTAGTCATCGGGTGAAGTCGTTTTAAGTTTTAATTTTATATTATTGATTTATTACATAGATTTATGAGGTCACCGTTCATGAACAAAGATTACAATGGCCGCATTGTTGCGCAATAATTTATCTCGAATGACAGTCTTTTCCAATCTGTAATTAATTTATCTCAGAAACTTGTGCCACCTGACTCGTTGAAAGTTATATAATCGTTTACCACAACTGATAGCTAAATGTGAATGGTGCATTTTAATTGAGAGCCGAAATTTTAAATCCTTTTTCTTTTAACTTTAAGTTCTTTTTATTTAACATTATTTCTTGCTTATTTCACTGTTTTCATTTCGTTTCCCTGATTACCGGATGGAATCGCTGTCTCCAAATTTCCAGACTTTCTCAATCACGAATCAATTTATATACAAATGAATAGTAATAGTATGTAAAATTATATAATCGCGCTAAAAATAGGTTTTGCAGGATGGCAGAGTCACTGGAAGCTATGCGACAAGCGAGACTAGCGGCCCTAAGTCGGTCTGCTGAAGCCTCTGCCAATACACCATCACCACACCCTGCTCCTCTACAACAACCTAACAAAGCTTACTCCAGAACCCCTCCAGTCAACCAAACTAACCACTCTCAGAGTAACAAAATCCACACCCTCTCCTCCACCAGGTCCAACTCTGGGTCTGGGACCAGACTAGCTGCTAACTCCAGAACACAAGTCGTCACACAAACTCATGAACTCTACGTGAGGCTACCCTCTAAAGAGATAACTTCAGAGCAGTTGGTGATGTTTATTAAATGTCAGTTCAATGTTAACGCCTCCGTAAGGTACATGAACACCAAGCAACAGTCGTACCAGATGACCGACAGGAACTTTTGTTTTGTTGAGTGTGATTCAAGGGCGGACATGGACCGGCTCATTGAAGATATGAACGACACGACTATCGGAGATTGGGAGGATCCGATCATGGTTAAAGAGAAACTGGACCATCCCCCCTCTGGGTGAAGACTCTGTTTCTAGTTGATGGTTATTTCTTGTTCGGTGTTTTCCAGGTTCTCGTTCCAGGTTTTCAATTTGTTGGTTCTTGTCTAAGTCTGTCTGTCCAGTTGTTACTATTGAACACTGTCCGTAGCATGATGTTGATTGTTTTTATTTCTATTTGAAAATTGGGTGATTCATAATTCAATTATCTAATATGAAATAATCTGGTTCAGTTACGGTTAAGATTTAAAGATTTCGTTTCTGTAAGGCGTAATGAATGTAGATTGTTGATGTTAGAGTCGATATTTGACTATTATCTAACTATCTATGGTTGACTGTGGTGGTTATAGTATGTTAACATTTATATTTTGAGATATTTTTGTTATTTTTTAGTTTTACAATTTCATTGGACATGGTTGGATGTAGTGATATTTTATCAGTTTGTTGATTTGTTGCTATTACTGCGTTTCATTGATCAAAGAAAAACGATGTATGCGCAGATAAATTTGTACGCCTTTAATAATATAAAGCTCTCCGTTCAGATTTCTAGAAAATAATTAAAAGCACGGCTGTGGAGATGCGAGCAATGTCTCCAAAAATAAATAAATTTCAGCAGGATGTCAGACTCGTCCATCCCGCTGCCATTTTTCTGAGTTTTAGAAATTTAAAGTTATATGTGGAAAAGGCAAAATATGAGTTATTTAGGTTATTGAAGTGAAAAAATTTGCAATAGAAAATGTAAGTCAGAATATGTAAGTCGATAAACCTGCATTCTGCAATCATCCTAGCTTTGATAAAATGTGTATGAAAATGGATTATAGTATCAATGTGTAAGATTTTATGTGATTTGGTTGGGGACCGTTCATTTGCTCTCGCTGTCGTAGTCAAACCATGTATTGCTGAACTGTCTCCCAATTGTTAAAGAATTCCGGGTGTGATTATCCAGTTTCTGAAGTTTCCACCCGATTAAAATTAGTTTGAAGTTGATGTTTCAGCCAGTCTGAATCAGATTCCGATTGAGGGAGGCTTCAATTACTGAGCTATTTTAAATTTTATGTAATTGGGGGTATGTAATAGTCATGGTTTGCTTGAGTTTTTACTTTCCAATGGGATCAGTACGAAAACATATATTATGTGAGCCCAAAATACATCAATGTTGCACAGTTGCATAATAAATATATGTGCTTTTATTTCAAGCGAATTAGAAAACGACCAAATTTGTAAAATATGTAAATCCCGGCTCAGTCATTTCCACACACAATCTTAATCACAATTATACCCAAGACAGCACTTTAATTTTAATTATATTTAATACTGTATAATACTGTTTTATAGCTTAACTGAATCACTTGGGATTGAAAGTTTAAAAGTTCATCGTGTTTGAAATGACTCATAATAATGTAATGCTTAAAAAACGAGTTTTATAAATGTATTCCTTCTTGCAGAAGGCAGACATTTTGATCTATTATAATATTTACTATATTATTTACTATATTCTATATTTACTATATTATATATAGCTATGGTTTATCAAATATATCTGAAATGTATTTTGCAGCATCATGACTCAAGGTTAATCTGTGTACTGAAATCAGATAGTGTTACCATGTCTGACTCGGAACAAGTGCACGGTGAAAGTTTCGGCTTAAAGTTTCTTGAGAAGTATGGCTGGACTGAAGGTTGGTGGATTATGATGATGGTTTAAATCAATATTTTGGAAACCTTTCACAAATCTTCTGACTAAAATAAGGATTGCTTTTTCTTGTCGACCTTTGATCGAATTTAGCATATCTGGCAGCCGATGTTACATTTTAGTATATTAGGACGCAATGAAACTACCGGACTGCGATGTATGGGGACTTGCCACCCCATGGCAACATTAAAATATATCGAATCTGTTACATCGTTTCCTCAAATTATTTGTTATATAGTAGTGTTGAAAGTATTAAAATGTCACTTCTTCAAGGTAAAGGGCTAGGCGCAAAAGAGGATGGCATGAGTGACGCTATAAAACCAAATCTCAAGTTCGACAAACACGGACTAGGACACGACATAGTCAAGGATATTGCGTTCAACTGGTGGGACAATGTTTTCAATAAAGCTCTGGATACTGTTGGCAAATCTGAAAAGGTTAAAGGATAAGTTTGTTAACAAGTTCATTTAATACAGATATTTTTTGAAGATAATTGTGATAATTGTCGCTTCAATTATTAATGGTTGACACAATCGCTCAGCTCTGCTTACACTGCAGTGGTCTCAAAATTATATTTATATAACCCACGTTCTTCGCAAAGATATTCCATACGTCACTAAGACCATACTTGTGACATCTCAAAACATTAGGAAGTGGAGGTTCTGGAAGAAAAAGAGAAAGAAAAGAAAAAGACTTACTCTAACTTTGTGAAGGTCAGTCTGAAGATGTTCTGTAAAATATTCTGGAACTTGAAGTCTGTAAGATATTCAAACTAATTTCTTAGTACTGATTTGTTAAAGATAACTTGCGGAATTTTGAACCAAGTATTTTTCAGAAAGATGAACTAGATGACGACGATCCAGATGATGCCTCAAATTCTGGAATGAATACGTGAGCATTTAATATTTCCTTCTCTTTAAAGACGCCAATAGAATATTCAACTCTATCGAACATATTGAGCCACTTTTATTGGAAATAATACCGATATCTTAGCCCTTTTCCGCAGATATGTAAGAAGTTTTTTTCGACTCCTTACCATGAGACTTACTTTTTAAAACCTTAAAGTTATTGGACAATGGACAGTACAGTGGGATCACTGGTCAGGGAATTTAGCAGGGACTGTTTTCTATAAAAGACCTAAATATGTATTATGTATATATCTCCAGAACCTATGTTATAATACCCAATCAAGAGAAATACACTGGCCCAACCCTTTTAGATCATTGCATTTAAATTCGACAAAACACGGGCAATAACAGCTCTGAAACCTGCCTTTTCCCGGAAAGCGCTCTCAGTCTGTTTATTTCACTCTGTTTTACTTTTACAAGTAGACTCATGAGCTCTTAATGAGTTTAAACTTGTGGACGATAGGTACTTATCATTATCGTTATTCGTTATCATTATCTTGATGACTTCTTATAACCGTTCTTTAATAGGTTTCCGTTTAACTCCAGAGTCGATGATCATTTGCACGTTGAAAAACTATTTCTATCCCCGATCTTCTGCGGTCCAACTGCCCGGTGTAATTATACTCTCACAATATATTAGTGGTTAGAAGTGGTCGCTAACCATTATCTCCTTATCAGATTATCGACGGCAATGGTGGTGGAATGTGAAGGTCGGACAGCTCACAAGTTAGTTAACTTTTAATTAGAGTCTAATTATAGTACTACTTACTATAACTATTTAAACTTTGTTGACCTATCTGGTCTGGTTACTGTCTTCTTCGGTTTACCGGAACTGAACCACAGCAACCACTACACACAACCACTACACATCATGATTTAATTATAATCGTTTGAACGGGAACTTTAGATCATTGTACTTAAAATGAAATAGGCTGTCTAGGACTTAATTCATTTCCTCCTTATTTCCTTCTCATCCATTTCACGCGCTTAACAAAAACCCGCCTCTAACCCGGAACCAGCCGATCCCATGCTTTCATTTCAGACTTCTGCTCCTTTTGTGCGTGCTGCGAGCGGTTCCTCAACCCTTACATTATTATTCAAACCAATCGCATCACCACCACCGGCTACCTATTATGTGATTAAGTGCTCTAATCGTTGTACTCTCCTCTCCTAATACATCTTCTTAACTCTGTCTAGTGCGCTGCAGGCATTGGACCAGCTCGCACGAGAAGAAAGATCAGAGAGATACGCCAGCTACAGGCACAGCCTGGAGCTGCAGCTCTCTGTATTACTTCTGGTGTCTGTGTAGTTTGTTGTGGGCTTTAAGATCAGTTTTGTGATTATTGCAGGGGTGCGAGACACGGGGTTTACAGTTCTGGGAAGCTGGAACGGGTCAAGAAGGCTGAGCAGGAGTTCGCTGCGAAACACTCCGCAAGCAACCAGCTTGAGACGAAACGCTTGGGAACTTCAGATAAACGTTCTAATCCGAAAGACAGTCATGTGAAATCTAGGACTAAACGGAGAAAGAGAACTAAATGATTAAACGCGCATGATTATTTAGTCTGTCATTGCTCGCTTAATTAGTCCCGTCTACCGGATCTTTCGAATTTAAATTAAATTATTCCGAAGAATTCTCTGTATTATATCTCGAGATGTTTTAATTTTAAATCTTAAAAAGTTGTGTTATTGACTTGTTGTTACCCGAGTAAAGTATGAAGATGGATTTCCATGGAAATAACGAGTGGGTGTGTTGCTTGGCCCAGGCAGTACAGTCCTCGTTCAATAGTTCCAAGTACTCAGATCTCAGCGTACATTCTCATGGCCGGATAATATCAGTGAACAGTCTTGTGTTGGGTTCTCAGAGCGATATGTTGCAAGACATCATCACTGGTTTGTCTGTTTAGATTAAGTTATACTAGCTTTATTCAGAAATTAGAATTTGCTTTCGTCTGCGAGTTATGAACAGTTAAAACTGCCCCAGAATTGCTGTACCGATTGATCAACTTTTCAGGGCGAAACCCGGCCACCGCTCTTGGAGAAATCCTAGAACCGTTCACCCTAGCGAGCGTAGAATGCTTCCTGAAGTCCCTGTACAAAGGGAGACTTGAGCACCCTGGTATATACAGGGACACCCTGGAACTGTTTCAGATAACCAACGCTCTCCAAGTCGGGTGGTTGTTTGATGACGTCATCGAGTATATCCGAGACACTGTGTCCTGTGTTACTGTGTTTGATACCCTCACCCTCGCGCTGGAACATTCAGATCCTACCCTGACCCGGGCATGTGATGACATTCTCACCCGAAACTTCCTTGGTGATATTACTTTACCTACAGATCCCAAGTGGTGGGAACTACCGCGTGAGATAGCCGTGCACGTGCTGAGCTTGTGCACGCTGCGCGCGGTCTCAGAGTTGGACGTGTTCGTGCACGTGCTGTATTGGATCGAGCGGAACATCTCGGTGTCGAACAGAGATGAGTGTGTGGAGTTGTTACAGTGCATCAGAGTGTTCGCTATTCCCCATATCTTCAGGGAGGGGTTCCTTTACCCTTACATTTCCATCGTATCTCAGAAATACTTCCTCGCTCTCAAATACCCTCAGGTTAGTTCATAACCCACCGACCTTTGTAGTTGTTTTACTTTTAATTTGTAATGACATAAAAGCGATTGTGAAAAATGCAAATTAACTACTTGATATTTCGTGTGAAGGTTTATTAAAGATACTCCACCCCGCGAGTATCCAATTCTATCCAAATCTGCAAATATATTTTGCCTATTTGTTTTGCAGATCTAATTTTCGACTTCTCATGCCCCTTATACACCAATTACCAGACCTATTTCAGTTGAACAGATGGAGAGTGAGACAGCAACCAGCCCGCACCAACTCCCTGCTCTCTCTGAACATTGCACCGAGTTTACTATCGCTGTACTGGCTACAAACGGCCGCGAGGACTTTTGCAAGAAATACTACAACTCTGGCTGCAGTATTCGTCTCGAAATAGACCTCAGTAAACTTCTGCCTTTCACCATAACGTTAGTTCAGATCACTTATCTTACATGTCTGTTTCGAAATACGATCGTCAGTTTTTTACGACGACTGATGGTAACTATTTTTAGTCGTTCACTCCCCTGGAAATCCCTAAAATTTGGTAAAACTGATCTAAAATTGATGTTTCGAACCCGTGTTTCTGATCAGTATTGAAAGCAGTATTTACTATCGCTTATATCTGGTGTTTTGCGGTGATGATCAAAATCTTGTGTACTACTACTATTAGCCATTTACCAGACTCACTACTATCGCAATGGTAGCCCCCTCCCCCATCCAATGGTACTACAGTTCCCTTCAAACGTCCCTACAGTTTTTAAGAGGACTACAATTAGCAGCTCTCTTTTTTGCCGTACAAATTCTCGTATTGTTGCTGATCAATATTCTAAGGGCTATTTACTATGGCTAATTTCTTCGTGTTTTGTGGCGATTATCTTTTGCTTAATGACTTCCTAACTACAATTTAATTGTACAATTAGTCATTTGCTAAACTTATTGCCGGACCAGCAGCTATGAAGTTCCATTTCTACGTGTTTTATGGCTGTGATACTCCGCTAAACTGATTGTTAACTATTTCGTAATAAGTACCATTATTCGTTTATCAAATTTACTGGCGTTTCTATTATGGGATCCTCCCTAAACTAGGCAATAACCCAAATAAATAGCAATACCGACTGCTTTAGCAATACTGACTGCTTTAGAGTAACAAATAATAGAGAAACCGATAATAGACTTTACGTCCAGTGACTCCAGTCGTCAGACGTTTAAAAGTGAGGATTTCCCCAGATTGGAGTCTGACAAGAGGTACGAGAAGTGTTACGCGTGGTTTAAGTCGGAGGAAAACTACGGATGTTCCCTCTGGGAGAGAGAAGCATTCTGACAGCTAACCAGAACGAGTATAAGAGAGTGGTGTGGAACGCACTGGACCACATCGAGGTGAGGGTACTGGCGGGAGGTAGCAGCCATCAATACAGGGGTGTTGGAATGATTACACCCCTGCATCAATATCTTTGATAGTTTTTTGGTTTAGTGCAAATTCTGCACAATTTGCACTAATTTAAAAATCTCTAGGACCTTCATAGCCCAATTTACCAGATACCCATATGTTTCCATGATTTTTGGAACCGAAATAAGTTTTTCGTAAATAACTGAAAAAGTTAGCACTTTAAGGCATATGTTTCTTCGTAACTCATATAAAAATATGCCAATTGCGGTTCTTTTGCATTCTATTCGAAGACTATCATGTTCCTATCAAAAGTTAGAAAAATGGGCTTAGCGCCACGCTCAAAATGGTTTTTGGCGAATTTCTCGAAAAGTAAAGATTTTAGGCCATATGTTGATCAATAACTCCTATATAAACATATGTGGCTCGTTGAAACCCATTTCGAAGTCTCTACGACGTTCAGAAGCAAAGGGTCAGTTGCGTCATTGGGTCAATATAGGCGTGGCCCTCCTGGGCCTGGGGTTTACCCACGTGGCCCCCCTGGGGTTTACAGGGTGTTTCAAGATTCGTGTCCAAATTTTGAATGACCCTCAAAATCTAACAAATAGGTCAAACAGTTCGATTTTTGTTTTAAATTATAGATAAATTATTACATGTCAAAATACATATCAAAAATAACTCAAATATTTCATCAACTTTCCGAACCAAGCCTCCACTCGGAAATCGTTTATTTATACCTTTGGGAAGGTCTGTGCAAATTTTCTTGAGTATCTAGAAATTTGCAGGTACATGTCCATAAATGACTAGACTACAAGTATTAATATCTATTAGAATGTCTATTAGAGACTAAAAGTTCGTTTAGAGCATTTTGTCTACCTCCCCAGTTTAATGAGAGATGCCATTTTGCGGCTTTTCATCATTCACCAACGTTCATTAATTAACCTACCTAGACGCTCATAACCGAACATAGTTCTCATTCATTAGTTAACCTCACTCTTTATCAAACCTCAAAAAGAGGTGGTTTTAAAGCCCTCACATGGCTACTGGACTAATACTGATCATTATCTCTTTTCAGTTGCGACGCCTCTTCTCAACTAACTGCATACGGATAGGATTCGTTTTGTATCACCCACCTTGAGGACCAACTACCATCTCTCATTTTATGCTGAAAAGTTTATCTGCTTGTTAGTCGAGTTAAAAGAATGTCAGACAAATTGAAAACCAATTATATATAGAAACTGTCGGCTTAATTAAGAATGAAAAGACTTAGATTTGACTGTTTAAACACCGACTCTTGAGCCGCAGACTAACTATAACTTAGTTTTCATCTTATTTTCATATTCAGAAGTCGTCACAAATCTGTTAACTTGTGATTTCGAGCCAATATTTTAGGCGGGGACACATGTTTAACCTAATCTATTAGGACAATTTATCTGTTAAATGTCATTTAGTAAAGGATCGTTGTCAGAAAAGACGGTTCACGCGCCGGTTGTCACGTTAATCACAACGAGCGGTGTTAAACTTAAGTGTTAATGATCATTGTCATTAATAGTTGACATTTATTGCCACAAACTTCTCTTATTCCTTGTCATATAACTGATATCTTGTTGTTTCCTGAACAACTGAATTAAACCCCCATTATCGGCCCCAAATCCCTCGTTTGCCCCGAATTGTGGAAAAAGCGCTAAATACTCCCATTATACCCGCTAAATACTCCTTTATAAATACTCCCATTATACCCGGGTGCTATTTCCTGGGGGAGGGGTCCAGTGAGCTGCGGTGGTATTATAGAGAGGAAGAGATCATCAGCTCATTTGTGACGGAACAGTGCATGATGTGGTTCGGTTGTCGGATATGTCCTAGCGGTCACAGTCGGTTTGCTCTGTGCGACAATCATCATGTCGACTTCGTGTGAGATAATTTTAATTTCTACTGCTTTTCGTGGATTTCATCTTGTTTATACCTTAAATCACGGCTGGTTCAAGAGCTAGAGCTCAAAACTGAAGGGCAGCCTTAAAGTTAAAAACATTTAAAACTTCGGAACACCATCGTGTTAGCCGTCCTCTAATTGTTTTTGAAAATTTGACCGGAAAATGATGCCCATTTATTAGTATTACTTTTGGTCAAATGTGAAATAGGCAAGGGTATCGATGGGGTTCCCCCCCCCCCTCTCCCTCAGGGAGACCAGCATCTCGACCCTGCTAGAATCCCCAATCGTACATTGATTCATATATCTTAATACCCAGGGGCTAGCTGGGGGCTTGTCAGGACAGCCCCTAGTATATAGTACATAGTATAGAGACCGCTGCCTAGAGACCGCTGCCTAGAGACCGCTGCGAAGAGAAGCTGTTAGCCAGTCCAACGGCAATGCTCACAGTTAGACTAAATTTGCAATATAGATGACTGTGATACTCCTACATTATTTAACGATCAGTCTAAGTAATACCCAGCGATAATATTTGTGAGGGTCATAAATCTGTATGGAACAATACGGAGGATAGTGTTAAATAATATAAGAACTAAGAGTATTTGGTAGAATAGCTCCAATCCTACTGATCTAATTTGGCAAGGCCTGTATTATAATACTTTACCGCTGATATTATATGTGTTATGTTATCACGATAATAATCTGGTCAGTATGTCGTATCCACTTGTGTAATACTACCTGTGACCTGTCCAGCACCCTCTAAGCCAAGGTCACGTGCTATCCCTAATACTTGTTATAGATCGAGTCTTATCCCTAATTATACTGTTCAATAGTGAGGGCTCGCCACGAATTAATGAGTAAGATTGCCTAGTAGATGAGCCGTTAAGCCGGTCTTAACCATCTATATTTTAATACTAATTTTATAATAATAAGATGATAGGCTGCAAACCTGCTCTGCGGGACAAACTGTACAACTGCTCACCGTTTTCCAAAATGCACTCGAGTTCATCGACTTCTGAGTTTTAGATTTTGTGATTTACTTTAAGATTCTTTAGTTCTGGTTGTTAGCGGTTAGGGGAGGGGGTCTCAAAGTCTCACTGTCGTAATTTAAGCGGTTATTACAAAGCTGAATCAACTTTCAATGCTTTGAACTGGTCTTCTTGAACTATCAACAAAGGGTGTTTGCTGTGGGATAATCGCCCCAAAATGGCACATAGCATTGTCCCACGCAACCGTTTATGTAGTAAACAGTGAAAATATTCAAATCCTCTTAAACCCTACCAATTAGAAAGGTCAGTGTATTCCAACTCTCATGACACCTACTCGCAGTTTCCCTTGTGAACATAAGTTCCCCTTGTTACTCACCTGATGCTACACTCGACAGTTATCTTTCTGGACCAGTACTGGTAGCTCTGTAGTCTGTAGCCTGTGTGAACTTTTAACTTTACATACTTAAATGCCTTAATAAGTGATTAAATTACTGTCGATGTCTTCCTGGTTACGAACATGCTTAGTGGACGGTATTAACATGAATATAATAATATAATTAGCAAACTGTCCATATATTTCCTGCGGAATGTTGTTCAATTCTTACAGTCTAGTAGCACTTATGTATTGCCTTATTTTCAACATTTCCATATTGCAAGGTTTCTTTCAGAGACTTGTAGATTTATAGACCTTTTCATAGACTTGAACTTGGGTAACAGTAAGAAGACAGATTTGTATCGTTATATTACAGTCTTTATCCCGTACTATTGTGTACATTATCTTACCCATTCCTCCCCCAGAACATGATCGTGTTTGTAAGTTTGTTCGTCTGTGTGTGTGTCATGTCTGATAGTATGGCTGCTGTGGCAGAGGGGGAGCTCAAAAAACGGTCTGTTATGGTTAGTGTTGACCTTTAATTCACACTTTATTTAATAATTATAAGTTTTAAACCTTTAATTCACACTTTATTAGTAATTATAAGTTTTAAACCTTTAATTCACACTTTATTTAATAATTATAAGTTTTAAACCTTTAATTCACACTTAATTAGTAATTATAAGTTTTAAACCTTTAATTCACACTGTATTAGTAATTATAAGTTTTAAACCTTTAATTCACACTGTATTAGTAATTATAAGTTTTAAACCTTTAATTCACACTGTATTAGTAATTATAAGTTTAAAGCTGCCAAACCATTCATTATTTTGGAAGTGAAGAAGTAGCACTAATGATAGTACCACTAAAAATATGTCTGTTTTTCAAGAGTGGAGATATAGAGGACGCCGTGCTCCAGGGAAAGGGAGAGTTGAAGGTTCCGGGAAGAATGCGACCAAGATCCGGCAGACCCAGACGTCAACAGACCTATTTCTACGACCAGGTTTGTGCAACCCCAATATTTATCACGACAAGAAAGATGTCTAATTCTGTCACATTGGTTGCACTTTAATTTGAAAATTATGATTCAATATTAAAAATAAATTTAAGCCTCCAAAATTGTATATACAGGGTGACAACCCACATGGGTATCTCACATCAAAACTCACGCGGTTACTCTCATTTTGAAATAATTTCAGGAGGATGAGTTGGAAAACACTGATCGAGTAAAGCGACAGTTGGCTTACTTCGATAAGGTTCGTTAATTCCAGATTCCTAACGTCCGTAACAAAATATTCCAACAAGTCAATCTTATCTTGCTCATTGATCATGGAGTCAATTTTTGTCTTTGATCTTGCGTACACTAATAATATGGCTGAGAATAAAACTACCAATAGTACTTTTATTTTTGAAACTACTTTCAGGAAGAAAATTAGACCTAGAGTTATACAAGAGAAGATGAAATCAGCGACATCACGATTTTTTACTAGCAAAAATACTCTGTGTCGTGGAGCTACGAAATGTTTTGGTAGTTATTGTAAAGTTTACTTTAAAGATTATTATGTTAAATGTTGCACGATTTGTCCTTATTTTTTCCGGATGATAGTTGAATACAAGATACATTAACTTTAAAATTGATGTAAAAGATTTTAGCAATCAACGTAATGCTGGCATGGTCAATTAGTCATAATGATTTTTTGCATTTGATTTATGTGGATACAATTACAAATTATATCAGTTAAAAGTCATAATGATTTTTTGCATTTGATTTATGTGGATACAATTACAACTTATATCAGTTAAAATGTATGATGTCACAGTCAAAACATTGTTTGATTGACCCAGAATTGTCTTTCCTTACCCTCAACTTGAGTACACATTAATGCACGAGTACATGGTACATTATTGTACTGATGAATGCAATTACTACAGCAAGAAATGCGTGATCAATGTAGACCATCGTCCATCAGTGTTATACAATTTTGTTATAAAATCAGCCGCAACTTCAAACTTATTGAACCAATTCAAGGCGTGCACTTCGCACTTAAAGTTAATATGACAGTCAAATTAATCGAGCACGTATGGAAATTCTATATGGTGAGCAAAAGTCAATCAGCCTGATACGGGACTCGAACCCGTGACCCTCAGATTAAAAGTCTGATGCTCTACCGACTGAGCTAACCAGGCTTGTGCTGCGAGTCGAATTTGAAGTTATTTATTCGCCTGTAGACTGCCCTTTTCCAAGAAATTTCCAGGTCTATTGTCCGTCGATTATATTTATACTAATGAATAAGCACAATTAAGAAAAGTAATAAGTAATCTGGAGATCAAATTTTTCAGCCCAATGTTTCTCAAGATATTGTGGGCAGACAATTTAACAATTTGACGGATTATACGCGTTTAAATCTATTGAATGTCAAATGCCACATGTCTAAATATCTTCAAAATGATATCGTAGTATAAGCCTGGTTAGCTCAGTCGGTAGAGCATCAGACTTTTAATCTGAGGGTCACGGGTTCGAGTCCCGTATCAGGCTGCTTGACTTTTGCTCACCAGATCGAGCTAATGTCATGGAGTGTGGAGTGGGGCTCGATGCAAGTGGCAAGGCAACGCGCGCAACCGACAGTAAACTTTTTAACAACAAACAAGTTTATCAGCTATTGACCAAACATTAATGATTAAACAATTCAATATGTAAAATGTATGTATTAAATTTTTTCTCGACCATAAATAAATAAAAATAAATTCTACAAATGAACATATATTTTATGGACCATATAATATTTTGAGTAAAAAGCGGCGCACGCTACTAGACTTCGAAAAGTTTAGACGAGTACGGCCAGTATAATCTAATCATCTGTCAACACAAGAAAGCGATTTGACCATTGTTAATGGTTTGGCCCGGCGCGCGCTACTTCGAAGAAATTTAGACGAGTAACATCTGTCAAGTAAGTAAAGCAATGTAATTACTAGTACATAGTAACCGAGTCAATATATTTTAATGTTGTAGCGCTATGCAATACTGGGCCGCGCCGCGCATCTTCTCGCAACCACGTATGCAGATCAGCGAGATGCGAAGGATTGACATCGTGAATCAAATTTTAATGTTGTACTTGTATTGCCTTGGCAGTCATATTCATGGTACTACACGCTAGTTTTAGGGGTTTCAAGTATTTAAAATAAAGAATACATTGAATGATATAATGCAGTTATAATTTAATAACAAATAACCCACCAATACTTATAGGAGGTGCACGATAAAAATTAACTTGCTCGGGTT